GTTGTTCCTCTTTTCCTTGTTGAATGATGGCTTCAGCTACTCCTCCCCACCTCACACAAACAGGCTGAGAAGGAAACACACCTTGGCAAGAATAAACTTGCTAGCCAAGTTGCTCTATTATTGCTGCCAGGTCTCTCTTGCACTCGGATGGGTTTGCCTTTCTAACAGCAAGTACTGTCGATTTTGCTATGTCCAAATCACATTTTGGGTGTAGGTCTCTGCTGCCGTGAGACTAAAAGTAAAATAATAAGACTGGAAAGCCAACACCTGCGGAAAATCCATACCTCTCACCAATGTTTCATGTTTTATACCAGTGATGCAGAACCTTTGGCCCTCTGGATGTTGCTTAACTACAGCTCCCATCAGCCCCTGCAAGCATTGCCAATGGCCGGGGGTGATTGGAGTTGTAGTTCAGCAACATGTGGAGGGCCAAAGGTTCTCCATCAAATCTGGCAAATGATGGAACATGGTATAAGCAAGATTTCTTGGTTCGTGCTGCTTCTGTTCCCCGTACACCTGAGGGCGATGGGGGTGACCACTGCTGAAAGGTGAAAAAATAGCAAAGTTATCTCAAGGCAGCTTATTTTTCATATATATTTTTGTGAAGCTGTTGACTTGGCTAATCATTATCCTTCTGCATTGGTGACACCCTCTTGGTTGTCCCTCCCTGGGCCTATTTGCACATGCATGCCATTGCCAGATGTGCAGCTCGGCATGTGAATGGACTCAGTTGCATTTGAGATGTGAAACATCTCCTTTCTCATCAAGTGATGAGCAGATATGTGTGAATCAGCCCAGTGAATGTGAGCAGTGCCAACCCTGCCATCTCCCTTCCGCCTCAACCTTTAGAGGCCCACTAAAACCTGGAGCATGTCAGCTTTAACAAAAAAATCCATCAAGAAAGCTCAAAAGGGACGTCTCAGGGAAGCAAAGTGTTGCCTCTTCACTGCCAGCTTCCTGTAAAGGGATGACTTGACTCTTGCTAAGGACTTTAACATCATGCCAACTTTTTCTTTCTCACCCCCCTCCCACTCCCCCTTTGCTTAATACATAGCCTCACGAAAAGTTCTAGAGAACTCAAAACCTTGATTATTTTGTGAGGCTTGGGTAGGTCCTAATAAATATATTTCCCCACTGTGGATTTGAGATTCTTGTCAAAACAAACAGTGAAGCCAACAACCATTTCCTGCTCTGTGGGATTACTCCAAACGATGTGTACTGTAGCTTAGAGCTGCCTTCTTAGGATTTCCCCTTCCAGCTTTACGTATAGCTATCCAGAAGGTAGAATATGCTTAGAATGCCATTGTGTTTTGAAGGCTAGGAAACAGAGTAAAATGAGATCCCTTCACATTCAGTTATCAGCTCTCCCTGCTTCCCCCAAGATATGGCATAACATGGCTCTGCAAACGTGGAATCCTTTATTAATTTTAATTTGAAAGTGGTAATGAAGTAGGGATGTGAGTGTATCTCCGTATGATGACATAAATAACACTGCTATGCCGAGAATTATGAAAGCAACTTTGAGAAAGTTAGGTGCATCTAAACCCCATCAAAGTAGGTAGGAGCTCAAGTATGTTTTATGAATTGCATCTTGTGCAATTACTTCCTAATTTCTGAGTTGTTGTTTTTGAAGGGGAGGGTGTTCGGTCAGAGTCTCCTAAAAGAGCCTGTGATCTTCCAGCAGATGAATTGCCATCATTTCAAACAAGTTTTTCTCTGCAAAGGATGCTATCATAAGCTATGACTGTGGGTTAAACCACAGAGCCTAGGACTTGCCGATCAGAAGGTCGGCGGTTCGAATCCCCGCGACAGGGTGAGCTCCCGTTGCTCGGTCCCTGCTCCTGCCAACCTTGCGGTTCGAAGGCACGTCAAAGTGTAAGTAGATAAATAGGTACCACTCCGGCGGGAAGGTAAATGGCGTTTCCGCGAGCTGCTCTGGTTCGCCAGAAGCGGCTTAGTCATGTTGGCCACATGACCCGGAAGCTGTACACCGGCTCCCTCGGCCAATAAAGCGAGATGAGCGCCACAACCCCAGAGTCGGTCATGACTGGACCTAATTGTCAGGGGTCCCTTTACCTTTACCTTAATCTGAAGCTTTAAAATGCAGTTTGACTTGCTAAGTAAATAACAGCAATAGCCTTTTCCCGCTGAAGAGATGCTCTTCAGGCACAGGAAAAAGACTGGGTTTGCAATATCAGCCACTTTGATTTGCAGACAGTAGGAAGCCCACCCTTAGTATTAATAGTAGTAGTCTGACCTTGCTTTATTCCGTAGAGTTACCAGCAACTGTGGCAGTGGAAGTTTATGTATGCCACTGTATGCACTTCTTACGTGATGATGCAATGGCTGAGCCAGATCTTAATTGCACAGTTGAATGGGAAATTGCATGGGTGAGCTTCTATATATGAAGCCTTATTATGCCTTAAATACCCCACCTCCTTTTAATTTCCATTTTTCTTGAAGATAATTTCAATAAAAGTTCTAATTGCTGCAGTGCAGCAATCTAATGGAGAGGCATTTGAAGCGCATGATAATATGAAATGTAATAGTGATGCAATGTTAAGTTTTAAAAATTATGCTCCCTGATGACTGCCCTTCAGTCATAATAAAAAAAGCACCAGGCAATTAACTTGAAAGGCACAGGCAATTGAGCGATCCCAATTAGGTTATATTGCATTGGAGTAAATGTGTGTGTGTTTTAAAGGTGCAGTTATTGTAAACAAAGCTACTTGGAGACTTTACCCAAGGTTTAAAAGTACCCTGCTTTTTTCAGTGCAGTTACTGGGGTTTTCTCTACCCCTTCTTGTCTGTTTCCACATGCAGCATTAAAAAAAGAACAAGGACAGCATAGCTTTCTTCTTCAATATAGCCAGTTCCACAACATCAACAGGAAAAAAATAAAATAAGTCCGCCTAGTGACTTAACACAAATTCAGCAAATCAAAGTGTAGCATTATTATTTTTAAATGGAGCTACAGGTTGCTGTTTCCTCACCTTTAATGCTATAAAGCATAAGGATATTTTAATCCTTCCACTCTGAATAAGCTGCCAGTTATCAAAAAGTGATTCTGATAGAAATTAGACACCTGGAGTAGTTGGCTGCCTGTGTGGTGAGGAAATTTGTTTGCCACCATCTTTCCCAATCCGGGGAAGTAAAAGAGGCACAATTCACATACAATTACAATTAGCTCCTCATTGGCTGCATCCCAACGGTGGGATTTTGCTGCTCAGTCGTTAATCACATCCCTTGATTTCTAAATTAAATGGCTCACATTCCACAAAGGAAAAATAATAAGTGTTTCCCAAAAGAAGGAAGAAAGATGAGGTGTGTGCCTATGTGTTTTTTCCCTAATAGTTTGCCAAAGGTTTTCCTTGAATGCATTCTTGCTTCAGAGTTCCCCAGCCTCGCAGCCAGTGACAGATTGTGCTGTGAGTAGAACTGAAAGCTAGCTGTTAAAACTCAAATGTTTTTAAAAGACAACAGCAAGCCCTGGCCCCTTGCTAACGGAACCTTCAGTGACTGTTGGAACCAACAGCCATTTGGCTCCTCCCCTTTCCAGAGCATTCTTCAACGACTATTTCACTTGTTCATCCCATAACAGATGAAAGGTTGGTACCTGCTCTCCTGTTCCTGACTCATTCCTTTCTCCCCTTTTTTGGTATTATGTCATTTAGGAGAAGCTGGCATGGTGTGCAAATGACCTGTCACATATTAATTTAATTTACTGCTCTGTCCTAGAAGACTCAAGACAACTCAGAGCAGTTCTCTCCCCCGATAAATTTGTAATTCTTCTGTCCCAAAGAGGCTTGCGATCTAAGAAAATTGAAAGGTTGGGGAATGAAAGAGGTCAGATAAATAAAAATCACATAAACATAAAAAAACCAAGAACTGCAAAACCAATTAGTCCAGAACCAATCCAAAGGACAAGCCCTTTTTGTAGGCAACCACCTGTTGGTGGGCTCCGTGTACCTCTGATACAGTGTTAACACCAGTGCTAATAGCTGTAGGTGCTGTTACAGAATTAATAATACTGTGGGTGGGCTGGTTGCCTGGAGGTGACAGTTTCAAATGACTAGATCCGCATTTCTCAAACTTGGGGCGCCACTGCTCCTGCCAGCTAGGGATGATGGGAGTTGTAGTCCAACAACAGTTGAAGCCCCAAGTTTGAGACTCAAGACTCTCATCTGAGTAGGACTGGGATGTCCATTGAGTAAAAGAACCATGTCTCGTGTGAACCAGTTTTAATAGTGCTGTGTTCCTATGATATGTGGCTTTCAGAAGGTGGTAGGCGCTGCCAGATTACACAGGCATTGCAGTAATCTAACCTTGAAATCACCAATCCTACTGAAGCTATCTGGGCCTCCAGTGACAGGTAGATCAAGGTGCACCCCCAAACTGTGTAGCTGCTCCTTCAAGTGGAGTGTAATCCTATATAGGGCAGGCAATTGACCAGCTTTTCAGGTGCAGGATACTGTCACCTACATTACCCCTGTCTTGCCAGAATTCAAGTTCAGCTTATTTTCCGTCATCCATCCCACCACTGCCTCTAGGCTTTGGCCCAGGTTTTGCACAGCCTCTCCTGATCCAGATGTTATGAAGTAATAGAGCTGTGTGTCATCAGCATACAGATGGCACCTTGCCCCAAAACTCCTAATCACCATTCCCAGTGGCTCTTTGTAATTGGGGATAAAGGAGATGGTTCTTTGATGGACAATAGGAATATACGTTCCTTGACACCCCCACCCCAGGCTAGTCTTCTGCTGTTTTGAGTAACCAGGTGAGCTAGGTCAAGGTCACTCTAGAAATAATAAATGTTCAGTCACTGTATTGCAGAAAACAGTCTGAATTAACTAAAGTGAGAGAATATCCCAGGTCCTTGTGTCTAGGGCTGCAGTCTAAGCTTTGTTTTGTTCATTTGCTGGATTCCAGAAATGAAGGATCAGCTGTGAATGTATTCACCCATACTGGTACAGAACACAGGGTGAAGTTTTCTACTGAAAATGGGTCTTTGTCCCAGTTTGGGGCGCGGTGGCACCAAAGCTACAGCAACGTGTTCAGGGAGAGGTAAATCGGTACATTTCTTTGATGACGAGTCACAGCAGGAACTTGATCCACGGTGTGTGCATGGTCTCCATCCACCTGCACAACCTGCAGAACAGACCTCCACTCAGTTAAGTAGAAAAGCTGGTTCAGAAACCAGACCTTCAGGTGAGCTGCCCTCCTTTTCATATTTTAAGTGCTGCTTGTTTTACATGCCCATTTGTCATGCCTCTTTTAAAAACTGAGATTAGGGGCTTCCTATGCCTCAGTGATGTCACAGTCATTTTTTTCCTTCCAAAAGCTTGTTTTCATTACAGTGGTACCTCGGGTTACATATGCTTCAGGTTACATACGCTTCAGGTTACAGACTCCGCTAACCCAGAAATAGTACCTCAGCTTAAGAACTTTACTTCAGGATGAGAACAGAAATCGTGCTCTGGCGGTGCGGCGGTAGCAGGAGGCCCCATTAGCTAAAGTGGTGCTTCAGGTTAAGAACAGTTTCAGGTTAAAAACGGACCTCCGGAACGAATTAAGTACTTAACCCAAAGTACCACTGTATATTCTATAGAACAGGGGTGGGGGACTTGGATCAGCTCAACAAATTGGATCCCTTGGTCCCCAGCCTGCCATGGGCCAGCTTTGACTAGAAGGCAGGGCCACCCCCTGTCAATCACACAATGTTGTAAAGATGTCAGGTGATTGACCCCTATCAGAGTTCAAAGGGGGGGTGTCTTGTTGCAACAGTTGGCCAGCTCATGGGCAATTATAGCGACCCTCTTTGAAGGTGTGCTTCCAGCATCAATCAGCTCATTGGCAGAGAGAGTGAGAGAGAGCACCCACTTTCAAAGGAGGGGGTTGCTCAGGTAGCTCAAAGTAGCTTGCTAAAATGGGGTTTGTGTGTGTGCTCTTTTAGCATGAAATTTCAACGTAAACTACTTCAAAACACAGCCCTGGTGCACTCAGTCCCCATGGTTCTTCCTGTCAGTTCCAACCAGCTGATTTCTCCTTTGCAAGCAGAGCTTTCCAACAGCACCAATCAGGATTTAAGCTCCTGGTTGTTCCTTTGTAGCCACATTTATACCTGGCCCACACCTGATGTCGAACAAGAGTGAACTTTAATTCCTAATACCCCTATTTGCATGGGAGTTGAGTTCCTGGTCATTGCACGCATCGGCAGACTTTGTGGGCCAAATTGAGACGTGCTGTGCCTATGGGCCAGAGATTCCCCAGCCCTGCTATAGAACCATGGTTTTTCTCAGAGCTTCAGCAAAGAAGAGGTGTACCCTTGTATGGTATAGTAAGGGGTATGATGACATCATCATACACAGGTACATCACAGGTGACTCAGGTAGCACTGCACACGATTATAGCCTTAGTTGAATTCTTAGTTTCCTAATTTAGGAAGGCTTGCTAAGAGATGCACATGTGCACATCCCCTTCAGCATACAAAACTAATAACAAGAATGCGGACATTTGATTCATATGGTTTGGTCAGAAGTACTTTGTGCAGCATTTCCCTCGGTATCAGCCTAAACAAAATACTGCGTTCTTCCCTTGTGAATTAGGAAACTTAAATTCAGCTGCCTTGTCAGTTTTGTCATAAGCCCACCCCATTACGCTGAGTCCCATTCCTCCCCATTTCATCTCTCTTCCAGGTCCGAAAGGGGCACCTGCGTGCACGGTTGTGCATGCTTTGAATGTGTGGAAAATGGGAGTTTCCTGGACCTGATATCCCAAGCACCAATAGCAAGAGGCTTTGGACAAACTTGGTAGCAGTTGAGCTATGCCCTGCTGCTTAGTGGTTCACAAGGAGCCTTGGCCTGCTGTACTCTGCCTTTTTCTAAATTTTACTCTCTTGAATCATGCCCTTTTTGAGATGCCAATGAGATGCAAAGAGCGATTCTTTTACTTTTATGCATATATCTTCCCCCACTGTTGTGCGCCTCACCCCTGACCCTTGCATAAGTAGTTTTTTAATCGCATCGTTTTGACATTCTGATAGAAATGGCAGGAAGAAGGACTCTTGTTTTGCATTTAGGAGCAAAGGTCACACAGGAAGATACCTTTCTTTAGAAGCAAGAACCCCTGCAACTCTTTCCAAGGTTCTCTGATGCCCACCAGCTCATATGGCCTTGCACTTCCCTTGCTAGCCATGTGTTGTAACTGCAGGCAACTCTCAATAGGAATACAAGGCTGAGGCAGACACCACAAATGCACATGAACTGTAATCACAGTGGCACAGATTACAGTCACAGAAGCTCAGGTTACAAGTCAGCTGCATTTTTTCCAGTGGAAGAGAGCCTTACATACAATCCGTCACACGCAAATATGTCTTCCGAAAAATGGTGGTCCTTATTTCATGTGTTCTACCTCAAGCACACCTGGTGCAACTCACAAAGCCCTTGATGAGTTGCATTGGGTACGCTTGAGACAACACCTGTTGTATTTGTGCTGTTGCGAGGAATTCCATTCAAGGGGTTGAATAAAAGTGAGACTGGAGAAGCTGCTTTTTCAGCTGAATTTAGAGAAACCACTTGAAGCATCCGTTGTGTTGAGCTATTTCAATTGCTTTGGTTTGATTTGCTCATTGCTAACAGCTGAAAGTATGTAAATGTTGATAATACCCCTGCTTTGCAAAGGGAATTGAATAATTTCGATTGCAACTGTAGTTCTAGATTTTCCAGGTTTGTGATGAGGGTTGTCTTGGAAATGATGGCTCCCCTGCATATGTCATGAGGGAATGCCAAATCATATAAAAGTGGCTGGGGGATCTAGTCCTTGTCGAAATCTCAGGTTACATATAACTTGCTCCATTATAGCTGTATTTCAGAGTGAGTGGTACCAAGCGTCCAGTGTAAGATTTCAGGCTGTTTCCCAATGAGTTGCTTGCTTTCCACGCTGCCAAGCTCATTTATCAAGCAGTTTTTTTGACAATATATTTACATTGGTGTCATCAAAATATTCAGCAACGTTAAATTTGGACAACAAACAGTAGTTTCTTCCGTAATACTCTTATCAAAATTAAATTCCAAAAATCTTGCACCAACTGACATTCCCAACATAAAAGATATGTATATAGTTTATTGCAATCCTCCCCCCAAAATTAGGTGATATAGAAGAAAGCATTTTTGACATGTGCAAAGGAGTGCAGTACTGTCTGTGTAGTACAGGCAACCCCTGATTTGTTCTGGGGTTGCATTTCAGGTTATCACTCTTGCTGCTTCCAGGGTTCCTGCAATCCATGCATGCACAGTCATGCATGGTTAGAACTTGCGCAAAATAGTTGTTGCTTGTAATTTTAAGGAGTTTCCTCTAAGGAAACTGGAAACATATGTTAAGGGTCACGGTTCCCAAAGTTTATTCCTTGGGAAGAATTTGTGCGCCAATGTCAACTGGTTAGGATGTCACCAGCACTCCACACATCAGCATTGGTGACCTCACGCTTCAGTAGGTAGACTACTTACTTTTTTCACTATGTTGATGGGACACATCACAGTTAGATGAGTGAGGGGAGGAGAAAAACACAGTGGTACACCTGAATCAGCAAAATCAGACATATTCATCTGCCACAGCTGCAACAAAACATGTCTCTCCCACATTCATCTCTAACCTACAGCAGGCGCTGCAACTGCCAACAGTTTGTTCTTGGAGGTTGCCAATTTGGAGGACACTGCCCTCTTTGTCCCCAGCCACCATATCTATATCTCCTTTTTTATGCCCAAAGTTCATAGACTTTGTGTGTATAGTACATTGGACGCAACACTATGTTGATAAGACACATCCCAGTTAAATGAATGAGCCTACTTTGGTGGCTAGAGTGGAAACTAGCCTAGAAACTTGACTGCAGTTCTCAATATGTTGTGTTTAGATAACTGATTTTAGGGGATAACAAATCAACAAAACCAATTGTTTGTGGAAGCATTGTGGATAGCACCCCAAATGTGTGCACTTGACCACAAGTCTGTCTTCATTGCAGGCATGCATGGTCCTGGCAAATTTACCATTCATTTCCTTTGGTAGGTTGTTCACATTCCCACTTTTTCTGGCAAACAGGTAGCTTGGTTTTTGGAAAATGCTCTTGTCTAACCCCCTAACTCCGTGCTTGTTTGTGTTTGGCAACAGGTACAACGGGTAAACCATCATCACCACCCCCTGCAGTCATTGATGTGAGGCAGATGAATGAGAAACTGGAGACCATTTTGTTTCAGCCATGCCAGGAGCGGGATGAGTTGAGGAAACGTCTTGCACTGTCGTCTCCTGGGTCAACCTTTGATGAGTGCAGGTAAAAGACTGAACGGTCACATGAGGGTATATTTCCAGGTCTAATGCGTGTGCACTTGGGCATGGGTCTTTGGCTCTTTTCCACGGCACAGCTGTTTGAGTTGGGGGGGCAGTAAAGGATGCCTAAGATGGCTCAGTCAGACAACATGAGACACTTAATATCAGGGTTGTGGGTTACAGCCCTGTGTTTGGCAAAAGATTCCTGCTTTGCAAGGGGTTGAACTAGATGACCCAGTCTTTGTTAGCTAGTGATGTTATCTTTGCAAATTACTTACACCACCAGTGGCCAACTCCATGTGGGTACAGAGTATGCTTAATGTATTCTTTATGCTTCATATAAAGTAACCTTTATGGGAGGGTGCATGTTTTCTTTCACCTTAATACAGTGGAACCCCTGTTGTCAAGCATCTCAGGAGCAACTGCTTCCATTTTTGAACATGCCTCTGAAGCCGAACGGCTTCCAAGGCGCATTTCTCTCTTTTCTCAATGGGGCTTGCCAACTCGGTTGTTGAGCATTTCGGAAGCCAAACTGGCTTCTGGAATGGATTATGTTTGGCAACCGAGGTTGCACTGTACTTAAAATGTTTGATGTGTATACATGTGAATTTTATGCTAAGGTCATGCTCATCTGATATCTATCCTGGTGGGCCGCCTAGCCACAAGCCAAACCATGAATATGAAAGGCTGAAGATTCAGTGCATGAAGGCAATGCCCGATCTGCAGTCTCTACAGAACCAACACACCAAAGCGCTAAAAAGATGTGAAGAGTCTGCTAAGGAGGCTGATTTCTATCAGTAAGTAAAGGCACACAGCATATGCACAGAGATGCATTTTGGTTTCCTTTTACCATTATTACGTGTCTGTTAAGCTGCCTTAGATCTTAATGTTCAAAGGTCCTTCATAGCTTTTTTCTTATCCCCAGCTTCAGTCAACTTTTAAAATGGCATCATTTTAACATCAATAGAGAGATAATGTTCAGAGCTTTTGGTTGCAGATTTAGGATTAGTTTTTAAAAATCTTTGAAGACGGAGAGCCAGTTTCTGAAAATTATGGTGGGGAGTATAAGCTTAGCTTGGTGTGGAATGAATCGAGTTTAGCAACTGTTGGGTGACTTCCTCAGTCTCCAGCGATTTGATGATACTTGTCCCCTGCTTCCCCCTTTCAGAACCCTGCTTTCACCAGCTCCAAGTTGAAGTCCAGTGCAGTAAATGACACTGCCAAGGAGGATTCTCTTAAGGGCAATTAGGTATCAACAAAATTCACCACACCAAGCAACAGTGCAAAATCTGGTGGTTTCTAATGGTGGATCTTTCTTAATTTTTTAACTTCTTTATCAAATTGGAGGAGATGACACTAATTTCTGTGTTTGATAGTGTATAATGGTGGTGACTAAACTATGATCCTCCAGAGAGTCTTGGAACACAACTGATGCATGCTGGCTGGGCTGATGGGGAGCCCAACAACATCTGGAGATACACAGCTGGATAGAATTAATAAACCCTTCTGAGTCCGGAGGATTTGCTGTATTTGTGGTGGTTCTTTTATGACTTAACAGGGATGCTTACTCGATAAAGCAACGTTGCTTTTCCACGTTTTCTAAAATGGCTTTTTAATTGCCGTTGGAGCATTTTTATATGTATGTTTCTAATATCTGAACAGTACACTGCACAGTCGTCTGCTGAGTGACCAGTCGCAGGTGGAGGAGGACATGGACACTCTGAAGCGGAAGAACAACCAGTTGGTACGAGAGCGCGATCACCTCCAGCAGTCATGTGAGGAAATGAAGAGACTTCATGATGAGGATCTGAAGGACATAACAGACCTGCGCAGTCAGCTGCAGCAGGTAGCCTTTGCTCTGTTTTTGCCAGCTGAGTTCAGCTTCTCGTTTATTTTCTATTCTCTTCCCGCTCCCACTGATTTCTGAAGTGTTTCGGGGGCGGGTTTCAGAAGAGTGTCTCTTCCATTCCATTTCTTTAATAGTAAAGGTAAAGGTACCCCTGCCCGTACAGACTCTAGGGTTGTGCGCCCATCTCACTCAAGAGGCCGGCGAGCCAGCGCAGCACACGGAAACGCCGTTTACCTTCCCGCCAGTAAGCGGTCCCTATTTATCTACTTGCACCCGGGGGTGCTTTCGAACTGCTAGGTTGGCAGGCGCTGGGACCGAGCAACGGGAGTGCACCCCGCCGCGGGGATTCGAACCGCCGACCTTTCGATCGGCAAGCCCTAGGCGCTGAGGCTTTTACCCACAGTGCCACCCGCGTCCCAATTTCTTTAATACACAGTGCTTATTTCTTTTCTTTAATTTCCATAGAGGACCAACCCACCCACCCCAAAAAAACTCAGCATCTGTGATGTCAACTGCATGTAGAAGACCAAAAGGGAATATTGCTGGTTTCATATCAGAGATGTGAAGGATGATGGGAGCTGTAATCCAACAATATCTAGAGGGTGCCACATTGACTGCCCCTACTACATGGGGGTGTTTTCTAAATCAGGTGTGGGCAGCTTTATTCCTTGAAATCCCTCTCCTTTCACAGCCTTGAAAACGTATTTTGAATGTAGCCTACGGGTATCTTTAAGAGAGCCTCGGCTTATTCATTTCTTCTTTAACCCTGCCGTCCTTGTGTAGCATCCATTTGTCAACACGTGGAGCTGTGTCTTTGTCAACCCATGTAGTTTCAAAGGCTTTTTACTCAGCACTAGATGCAGAAAAGGCTTTTGACAGACTATATAAAGAATTCAAGTAAAAAACCAAGTAATAATTTGGCAAAATTGGGTGAAAAAAGGTATTTTGACATTGAATCAATTAATTGATGAAAATTACAAATTTGTGGAATATAAGACTTTGCAAGTAAAGTATGGATTAACTAGTGAAACACAATGGCAACACATCCAATTGAAACATAGGTTGGAAAGGCAGTTTGGCCCTGACGCTATAGTAGCATCAGAAACACCCCTGCTGCTACAAGATTTAATTTCTGCAACAAAAACAAAAAACTCTACACTTGCACTATATAAAACCCTACTCAACAGGAAGAAATATGATTTTGAATACAAAAATGGAGTGAAGAGTTAGGGGTACAGATGATATATGGGAGTCAAGTATAAAATCAACAGAAATAGCCTCTATGGATCTAAGACTAAGACTGATTCAGCAGAAAATAATATTCAGAGTCCACTGGACTCCAACAAAACTTTGCCAGAAGAAAATAACAAATGCAGACAACTGCTGGAGATGTGGAAGTAAAAATGCGAGCTTAGTACATATGATGATTAACTGCCCAATGATAAGATCATTTTGGTGCGAGGTGAAGATAATAATAAATAATAATAAATTTTATTTATATCCCGCCCTCCCCAGCCGAAGCTGGGCTCAGGGCGGCTAACAACAATAAAAATAATCCAGCACTCTAAAAACATTCATTATAAAATTAATTAAAATCAAATTGATGGCAACCATTAAGCAAAAGATATATATAGCAAGAGTAATAAAAAGAAATTGTTATTTAAGGGAATTGAATTGAATTCTAAATTATATACCGGAAACGTGGGAGATTACAAGGGGTAAAAAAAAAATGGATGTACCGTGCCATATTAGAAGCAAAAAAACTTGTTTTGAAGAATTGGAAGAGCCACAAAAAGATTCCATTGAGCACATGGATTGACAATATGGACAGACTAGCCACATATGAACGAATTGCATGTCGACGCAAATTAAGAATGGATAAATATGAAGAAATCTGGAAGAAATATTTAAGCAATAAGGCGGACGGTGGTGGGAAGTAGGGGGATGAGAGGTGGGGAAATATTGTTAAAAAGGTGTAGTCATAGGTATATTAGTACTCAAATCTGAAATGTTAAATTGTGTTATTAGTGTTATTGCGGTTTTTGTTGTGTGTGTTTTTTGTGGTTGTTGTTTGTATTGAAAAAATGATTAAATAATAATAATAAAAACCGGCAAAGGGTTCTTTTGCTCTGAGTAGTTTATGAACACTCTCTGGAAATAGATGCATCCCTACCAATTGACCCCAATAAACGTGTATTAACATTGACAGGGCCATAAAAACAAGTGTTTCGAAAGCAATCCATTCTCCCTTTGTTGAGAATATATTTTAATGGTTTTAGCTTAATTTTGAGCATTACGCATCTATAATAGGGCTGCAATGGACATTGTAACTGGTGTGCCACCTTGTGGTAGACTTAAACAGAACTGCAGTTGCATTTTGTCTCATAATAGTGGACAGTAGATCAAAGAAAGGAGGAGCTTGGGGCCAGGGGGGGGGATGATTTTGCCATTCAGACTTAGAAGGACACAGTGGGAGAAGATCCATGTTCAGGAGACACCTTTGGGCGGGGTGATATATTGGGAGAAAGCCCCGTGAAGAGACATTGGATTAAAAGTGTCAGAAATCAATAGAAGGGAAGGGGAGAGTATATTATTTTCAAGGAAAAATCAGTAACTGTGTCAGGCAGGGCAGACCCTTCATCTTGCTGTCTGCTTTGATGCCCTGTATAGTTTTACATCTTAACGTGTACATTACATACATGAGAGGTGTTCTGGGCCTTCTGGTGTCCAAAGGGTATTTAATCAATGATCATATGCTAATAAATTGAGTATAAATCCCAGTGATCATGGAAAGCTAAATCTCTTAAGAGCAGCCACTTGTATACATATGGAGAGATTTCTTTTCAGAAGGGGAGGGAATATGCAGTACAAAGTCTGGGTACTGTTAACTGCTGTTTATGTTCCTTCCTGGATGTTATGGGCCCTTTTCATTCCTGGAATTCCTCCCCTTCCATTCTATACTGGAGGTTTTTTTAAGGAGAAAACGGAAATTAAATCTAAAAAGGTTACTCCGTTTGTCCAAGAACTTATTCAGCTTTTTACATGAGCAGAACCATGTGTTGTGCCATGAAACCAGCTTTTCAAAGCCCTGAGGATTCTGTACAGTCTCTTTGGAACGCAGCACTAGCAGCTATTTTCCTTCTGCTCACAGTTCTTTGGCTCTAAGCATGTTGTGATTTTTAAAATATGTTACCTCGTCAGCTCTTTTGAGGGCCCTAGTGAGCAGAAAATAAAACCTCCCTGTGTTTTCCCCCTCCTGTTTACAATATGACTGAAGTTTATCTGCCAGCAATTATTATTCAGAATATCTTCCGTTATTCCAGGTAATGAAGCAGAATGGGTCGTCGCAGACACTCAATAAACCCTACAATAAAGCAATGGGCAAGCTGGAGGGCGTGAAGAAGGATTACGACGCACTGAGGAAGCGGTACAATGAGAAGATGGCGAGCTACAATACTGATCTGAGCCGATTAGAGCAGAAGGAAGGCGAAAACAGGCGACTCCAGAAGCAGATTGACAAGCTGAGCAGAAGGTAGAAGATGCTTTTGCCAGAAAGCCATTTCATGTTTTTGTTTTTTACTAGAACAAACTTGACACTCAAGTTACCTCTCTGAACTTTCCTGGCTTTAGTCATGGTTTTTTTGCTTGCTCCCTAGTGACCAAAAATCGAACAAACAAAGTTGACCTGACTGAGCAGCCACATTTTGTTCATGTGTTTGCTCCAGCCACATATAAAGTGCTGTGTATGTGTGCCTGTGTGAGGGCTGCATCCCATGATGCAAAAAACTTTTGTGCACACAGTGACACCTCCTCTTTCTCTCCTCTGGAGCACATTTGGGGGAGAGATGTGGAGGTAGAGAGGAAACTGCAGTCCTGCTGCAGAAGTGGATTTCTGCTTGCACAGTGTTCAATATAATTTTATGTGTCCCATGTGTAAGTAAAAACATCATACGTGGGTGAACTATTCCCCTCCCCTGCACCATGGTTTGTGAAGTGAAAGGAGCTCATCTCCTTTCACCAACATTTCTTTTATAATGAGATGAGAACCACTGCTTCTCTCCCCCCTGCCACTCCCACATTGAAATGTGAGCAGGGCAGTAATGTGACAAAGAAAACATGGCTGACTCTCCCACTTCTTATTTACTCCTTTACACAGTTTAGTTTGGTGTGTAAAAGAGGAAGGAAGCTTTCATAGGGCTGCGTTTCGCTTACAAGTGGTGAAAAGACTTGCTGTGACTGTCCTCCCACCTCTCTTTAGGTTTGAGACCGGGCAGCAAGAACTGAGCAAGGCCACTGCCCAAAACAAGGAGCTACAGAGAGAGATGGAGCGGATGCAGGCAGAAGTGACAAGGTTTAAGACAATGCAGCTGAAAGCAGTGAAGGATGCACAGAAGTACAAGGAAGAGAGGGACGCCGTTTTCACCGAGTATTGTCTCATCATGAGCGAGAGGGACGAAGTCCTCAATGAAATGGATAGGCTGGATACAGAGTTGGAACTTGCCGAATCCAAATTGAAAAACATGTCCTCAGAGAAAAGAGTGGCTAGTGGGGAAATGGAAGCCTTAAGACAGGTATGGTATTGTATGGCACTTGCTCTGGCCAGAAAGAGTTGTTCAAACCTAGTGGTGTTGACTGTGTAACTCTGCGAGTTTCTAGACCAGTCTTCCTCATCCCAGTGCCCTCCAGATATTTAGAACTACAGCTGGCAAAACAAAAGTCTTAAGTATTATTGCCCTCTGTGCCAATCATCCCTTGGTCAGAATTAACTTCTCTGATTTCTCTATTATTACTTTGGGGCTGCAGAGTGTTTCAATTTTTTATGCAAGCAAATATGTGTTGCAGCCTTAAAGATATTTGCTAGTTGCATCTAATTCATGCAGTGTGCTGTATTATTCCTTCTTATGCATGGCACAGGCTTTCAAAAATTCAGTGTGTTTTCATTAAGAGAAAGACTTTCTTGTACACTTAATGTACCTCCAATGATGGATTTTTATTTTATTTCAGGAGCTGAACTCGGTGAAGGAAGAGAGAGGTGTGGCTAGGAAGAAAGAAACAGAAGCCATTATCCAGGTAGGGTGGGCTCATGGAATGATAGTGTACAGTTAAGATGCCCAGTTACAGTGGTACCTCAGGTTACAGATGCTTCAGGTTACAGACTCTGCTAACCCAGAAATAGTACCTTGGGTTAAGAACTTTGCTCCAGGATGAGAACAGAAATTGCACTGCAGCGGCAGCAGGAGGCCCCACAGCTAAAGTGGTATCTCAGGTTAAGAACAGTTTCAGGTTAAGAACGGACCTCCAGAACGAATTAAGTTCTTAACCCGAGGTACCACTGTATTTGCTAGGGGCTGCAGCCCTGTTGCATTCAGTTGAAACTGTTCTCAGGATGGCAGTCCAGAACTAGGGGAAGAAAACAATAGGCAGTAATGTTGACTTTGTTTTTAGGGTGGTAAATAGTTCAACTGCAATATGAAAATAAGGGCCACATTAGCTACTGGTGATTTGTGTGTGCTCCATGCATGTATGAGTGGTGTGTGTTTGTAGCTAAAGACAGCAATTTCTCGATAATACAGGGATGGGAATTTATTTTTAAGAATAAAAAGGCTGTATGGAGTAAGGAGTGCAGAACCCTACCTTCAAATGTTTTCTCCCTCCCAGCTGAGCACAGTTCCAATATGTGAGCTCAGTTGAGGAGGAAAGCATTCGGGAGAAGGATAGCAGGGAGGGGACAATGGTGCCCCACTCCTTACCCATACATTCCTTTTGGTTTTTTATTCTTTAAAAAAAGATGTCCCCCATGAGATTGATATATCTCCATATAACTACCAGGGAATGCAGTTGGATTTTTCTCTGTAATAAGTAAACTTGTTCCGGAGGAGCACTTTATATTGCTTACAGCAGAAATCTTGCACATCTCTTGTGAAATTCTGGGCCTAAAGGAGTTTTCCCCCTCTTTCGTATTAAGCCTGACTGTTTTTCCTTTTGTACTTTAAAGTAGGTTCTTCCGATGCATGTGTACAGTGTTCTGTGGTTAATAGGCCTGAGCCTTTGAGCCCCGAGAAGGAGTCCCAGCTGCCTCCTCCTTCTCCTCACCTTTACCTGATGGTCTTCCCGCACTGCCGCTGTTGTTTTCTGGCCGAGCCCTTTGGAGAGGAGGAAGAGGACCCGTGCCGCCGCCACCAATGCCATCTGCCATGCAGCCTGCTTCTGCGAAGTGGTATGACTGAAGGGACTACAGCTTTATTGAATTTTGTGTTGAAGACAGTAAAGATGTTAATGTAAATTTTGAGGAATCCAAACTTTCGTTCAGTTGTCCTGGAGGAAACAATAACTTCAAGCATTTAAATGAAATTGATCTTTATAATTCAATTGATCCAAATGAATCCAAGCATAAAAGAACTGACAGATCTGTCTTATGTTGTTTATGAAAAGGAGAAAAGGGTGTCTTTAGGGTATGTTCCACTAATTTTTAATGCTCTTCATTTTGTTGTTTTTAATAACTAGTTAGTGTTCAAGATATCCTAGTTAAAACTAGCAATTCCTTTTGAAACTTAAAATGAGTAAAGCCCATACATTTGTATGTTTGATCCTCAAAGCTCTTACATCTCACTAGGGAGGGATTAGAGCCTAGAGGTTGTTGCTTGTCAATCTGTACATTTAGACCAAATTGTATTTGCACTGTTAGTATGAAAGCGAGTGGCAAAATGTTAATACACTATACGATCTTCTTTTGGGTGTGTTTGTTGTTGTTTTTTGACCAGTTTGTGTTCAGAGCAGTGGGGATTTTTTAAATGTCTACATTATTTCTAATAAACTGTTGAAGACTCCATGGCTGTCAACTGGCTGGCTGGCTGTAACTTCATGTATTCTTACTATTTGTTGGAATGGAATACTTAATTTCTAGTTGGAATAAAAGTGGGGGATTATTTCATCTGTTTGAAGGAGGAAAATTCTAATATTCCCAAGCAAGTCTTTTTTTTTTTTTTAAAGGATCTGTAAGTTGTGGGTACACTGACAGTTTAAAGGGGAAAAAATGTTGTGATTTGACTAAAATAAAAGCAAGTTTTGACTTCCTTTTTTAAAAAAAGGTAGGTTCTTCCAGCAACTTGCAGTATAGGACAGAAGGAATAAAAATACCATGGACGCCAAAGTACCAGAGGACCGTCATTGGTTCCAGTAGGGGTAATATATATTTATATTATTTCTTTCTTGGAAATTACTGCATGAATGGAGAGTTTGGCATTCTAGCTAGTAGATTTTTGTCAATGTTTAAAGCAGGGCACCATCCCTGCTTTGTGGGGGGGGTCACATTTGGAAATCTAAGAAACTATCATGGGCACCACAACATAGCCCTTTTGCAGAAGAAAAACACAATAATGGGATGAGAATAGCCTCTTCCTCGAAGCACCAGGTAAAACACCCATGCATGCCCCCTTAACAAATACCACACAGGCGCAAAGAGAGGCGACCCCCAAATTAAAAACAAGCCAGACCCTGATTTATTTATTTTTTAATTGAGAGGGTTAGGAGGGGGGCTCCAGGGGGAGTCTGAAGGTACCACTGTGCACATTGGGCAGTTCATGTTTTGAGCAAGGACATGCCCCCACCCCATATTTCTAGTGCATGCGTATTAAATGCATTCTCTCTGCCCCCTCAACCTCTCAGTGTTAGTATGAAATTTTCCATGATATCCTAGTGGTAGGGTAGTCTTTAAATAGCGCATGTAATTGAACATTTAGGTGTTGTTCTTGTTGGAAGCCCACTATTAAAAACACTTGGAAGCCAACGTAAAGGGATGGTGTGACTTCCCTGGTAACTTTTGCAACACACCCAACTGCCGTGGCTGCTCCTGTGCTGTTCTATACAGGTTCACTGTCTCATTCTGAATGTAGCAGCCCCAGCCTGGTAACCCCACCGCAGTCACCGCTTAACCTGGAGACCTCGTCCTTTGCCAGTAGCCAGTTGCAGAACTCACTTTCCACCCTGCCCAGGTGAGCCCAGTGTCTGTAGGGCAACATCAAAAAGACAAGTAAGTTATTCTGTAAATGTCTTAGATAGGGCTAGTTGAAATAGTGGTTAAATGTGTAAATGGAAAAAAATAGAAAAGGAAAGGGGGTGGGGGAAATGTGCTAAGTACAGAAACTGCTGCCTTTTAGACCAGTAGCCTTCAGCCTTTTTTCAAGCTGGGACTTGCCTTTAACCCCAATCTGCAAAATTTGACTGATTGTCCCCCACCCCACCCTACCCCAGTCCCTACTATCTGTGCTACCTTTCTGCTCCTCTCTTCCATGTCCCCTGGCTGTCCTTGTGCCCCCAATATTTCTGCTTTGCATTCTGCTTTTGTCTGCTAGGGGAGAGCAGCTGATCGCAGAATAAGCAAGATGCCAATCACTGCAGCTGCTAGCCAGAACCAGGATAGATCTATAGGCAGCAGGGGTAGCCATCCTTAAGTTTTCGGAGCAGGATGTGGATGAAAATCTAAGCACCCATTTAAGTATTTAGTAGAAATGTTATAAGGAATTAAGTATAAATAGATTAATAGAGTATTAAAGGGAAAAATAAGGTTAGAATATGTTAAGATAATTAAAGGATAGAAAGCAGAGGAAGATGGAAAGGAATTGCTGAAACAATTAACAGAAGTGGAATACAAAAAGGGAGGTGTGAGGAGGTCATTGAAATAAGTGAATGAAAGATAAGATATTGAAACTGTTTGATGTGTTTTAAATTGTTTTTGTTTTGTTTTGTTAGTTTAGTGTTAGTGTTATGTATTGTTTTTGTATTGTATTGTATTGTATTGTTTATTTTTTTGTAGTGTTTAAATTGTTGGAAAAGTAATAAATATTATTTTTTTTAAAAAGAAAATCTAAGCACCCATTTAAGTATCTAAATATCTGAAACTGTTTAGATATAATGCAGTTGATCAGCTTTTGATTTTTCTGGTATTCTTCTTCCTTCCTCTAACTTGAGCTCCTGGCTAGAACCCATGAGCAGCCATTCCACTCCACAAGGCAGTAGAGCTGCAACTCTTGACAGCCATTCCATAACTGATACTGTGAATGAAAAGGATGAAGGGATCACGACACCTCCATCCAAGCAGACCACCCCAACCACCAATCCCTGCAATTCAATCAGGTAACCTGCTTCCTCATTTTCCCTCTCTCTTTCTCTCTCTGCGTCTGTATCTCTGTGTCTGGGGGTGGGCAGCTGCTGTATATTCTAGGCTGATTCAAGGGGAGTAGAGTTGAAAACTGAGTGCCAGATTTTAAAGCAAGGGCTCCACTTCTACAAGGAGCTTGGTCTTCACGTTGCCCTTCTCTGGGGCCAAGCAATTCAGCACGAGGGAGTGGGAGTTCCCAAGAGGAACACTGAATTTGGATCCATGGTGGCAGTGCTATTTTTCTAGAAAAACAGGTGCTGGAACTCACCATGAATGCCTCCCTTATTCTTTTATAATGGCAACAGTGCTCACCTGAGAGGTGCAGGTACTGAGTTCTGGCTGGGGGAAAAAGCCCTGCATGGTGGAAAGGAGTCGATTCCTTCCTGCCAAATAATGCCACAGAGAACTCAAATTGGGGCAGCTGGGACATCTTTGGGGCCTCTCTTGCTGAGAGCTGAGAGATAGCAAGGGAACAGGGGTTAAGGGCTGGCTGGAGCTAAGGGTTTGGAGGAGCAGGACCTGATGAGGATCAGCTTGTCAAACAGGCCTTGGGTGTCTTCTCTTCTTCTCTTGCCATTGAAAGGAATTCTGTAGACACCAGCAAGAGGACACCTGAACCTAGAACAGTTACCATTAAGAAGTCCCAAGAGGAACTCGGAATCCAGATCTGTGGTGGAAACCTACATGGTATATTTGTGTCCGATGTAGAAGATGACAGCCCTGCCAAAGGACCTGATGGGCTGGTGCTTGGAGACATGATACTTGAGGTAAGCAGTAGATATAAAAGGAAGGTGGTTGGTGGTTCAAACACTTGCAGAATCTGTGGATGCAAAAACACATCCATAGTTTCCCCCATGAAAGGAAAAGCAGCTTGGGTTTTTTGTTTTTAGTGGACAAAACAGGTTAGCATGGAAAGGGGAATTCATCCCTTGTTTTCTTCCTCTTCTCATGCACCCACATGCCACCGCCGCTCCAGCTGATCCTTCATTCAAGATTCCAGCATTCTGCTAGTTCTTTTGGAGAGGAAAAATAAAATACCACATGGAAAAATAATCATACAATTACATATGATACGTAGTCTGGCCCTCAAATATTCTAGTGTTGATGAGGAAGGTTGAGATAAGCAGAAAATCTATTAGGTCTTGGCTGGAAAATGTACAAAATTTAAGGTGGAACGTCAGCTGACACCAGCAAGGATACTTAAGATTCAGAGCAGTGATGCTTGGATGAAATATGGCCTAGACATTTTCCAATGAATGACAGTTCTTAAAGCTTGTGCTGTCCAGCTGTATTTTTGGACTGGGTTGCCATTTCCTCAATTTTCCATTAGCGAAGATGGTGTGTTCTTAATGCAATGTGAATGTATTCCCCCTCTTTTGGTATAGTCAGATTCTCTAGTCCCACATAACATCATTTTCATTGTTTGGTTTGTTGGACACATGCATCAGATTGGAGCTCTCAAGTGTTTTTGTTTCTTCGGCCCCCCCCCCCCCCGCAGTATGGTTCTGTTGACACGCGGAACAAAACAGCTGAAGAAGCTTATCTTGAAATGCTCAAGCCAGATGAAAACGTTAGAATAAAAGCTCAGTACAGAATAGAAGAATTCAACAAGAATTCAACAAGTTACCCGGAGATGGATTCTGTGTCAGGTATGTAAAAGTTCAATTGGTAAACTAGGCGACTATTCATCTGCTACAACTGTGGGCTAATTCACACAGATATGAGCATCTCTTAAACTTTCAAGCACTTGATGGCTTGCAGATGAACGTGTAAATGAGCTGCATTGAAAGCATTGTCTAAATTGTGTTTGAACTGACTATAGGGAACAGGACAGCACTGTCTCCAGTGACTTAATCTGCAATAAAAAAGTTGTCACTTGATGCTATAGTCAACAGAAGCAAGCATGCATTCAATTTTTATGAATACAACTCAAGAGCACACCTACAAAATTGGCATCAAAAGTTCAGTCACAATAAGGCAAACTGTATTTATAGTGATTCCATACTTCCTTTTCAACACATTTAATAATCTCCCCTTAATTACCTGAAGGATGGATATCCTATGATTAGGGAAGTGGGCCTTAGGCTCAGCACAGCCCTGTTAAGGATTCTTGAATGATTCCATAGCCTGTAAAATTGAATATTATTAATCTACCTCCCAGAGATTTGGGAGGTAGACTAAGTATCAGAGAGAGCACTTCCTTAAAAAAGAGAAAAAGATAAGTGAGCCAGCAGTTTTCTGGTTCAAAGCTTATCTCAGTCATGAACTCCTTGAATAGCCTTAAGTAATTTTAGGCACACAATTAAATAACGTTTATTTAATAATATAAACTATTGAAGAAACTAAGTAAAATTCCCAGCCTCTGTGATATTTTGCTGTACTGCCTTTTAACAGATGGCTCTAATGTGAAGCACAGGGGTAAAATAATAGAATCGTAGAATTGTGGAGTTGGAAGGGACCCTAAGGATCATATAGTCCAGCCCCCTGCAATGCAGGAATATGCAGCTTTCTCAAATGGGGATTGAACCTGCAACCTTGATGTTATCAGCACCACGCTCTAACCAGCTGAGCCATCCAGAGCATGTATTATATGCCCTGATGCACAATGATTCAGTGGTGAAGCATAGCTCTAAATCCCTCTTGATGGGTTGGGTCTGGACTATGTTAGTTGAACTTGGGTCCTATTGAGATAAAATTAGTCTTGACTTACTCAACTCCCATTGAAGTCAATGGGAATTAAGTTCATCAAACTTAGTCTGAATCCATCCCATTAACAATATAAATATACACCCCCAGGTAGATAAAGGCTGTGGGCAATCAAGTCCGCATCAGCCCTGGAACTGGTCGCCTCCTACTTGGGATTCTTGAAATGACTGTAGAGGGAGAAGTGGGAGCTTTAAGTTACTACTCTGTTGACCAGGCATGAGAAGAAGAAGTATTTATTTCTCCCAGGCCTTGCCATTCCACAGGCTTCTTGCTGCCTACCTATTGCAAGGACTGACATGCCCTCTCTGTCCTGAACCTGAGGACGCCTCTGGGGCTCAAGTATGCATAGTCCCAAGGAGCTCAACTCAGCAAAGTCCCAGCCTCAAATCAGGAGGTTCCTGGTTCACACCCTGGAGTCTTTGATATACAGTGGTACCTTGGTTCTCAAACTTAATCCGTTCTGTAAGTCAGTTCCAAAACCAAGGCGCACTTTCCCATAGAAAGTATTGCAAAATGGATTAATCCATTCCAGACTTTAAAAAACAACCCCTAAAACAGCAATTTAGCATGAATTTTACTATCTAATAAGACCAGGCTTCCTCAACCTCAGCCCTCCAGATGTTTTTGGCCTACAACTCCAATGATCCCTAGCTAGGAGGACCAGGGGTCAGGGATGATGGGAATTGTAGTCTCGAAACATTTGGAGGGCCGAGGTTGAGGAAGCCTGAACAAGACCATTAATCCGTAAAATGAAAGCAATAATCAATGTTCTGTACTATAAAATAAGACAGTATTGTAGATGATAAAAAATAATTTAAAAAATTTCCTTACCTGCACTGATGATAGTCATTGTTTGGATGGGGGGCTTTTTTCCATTTCCGCAGTCACACAATCAATCAATCAATCATAAAACAAAAAACAAGCAACAATCACAAAAATTAAAAAGCCATAAAAATGCGAAAAATAGCAAAAACAAAAGCACCAAAAATCACCTCAGAACACTGCAATCAGAAATGGAAGGCTTTAATTATGATGGGGTGGATTCAGATGAGTGGTGCAAGGGCAGAAGAGGGAGGAAAAAAGGCTTAATTACATTCGGGGGGGACCCAAATGAACAGTGCAAGGGTAGAAGCGGGAAGAGTAAAGGCTTAATTACTATGCAAGGGACTGAAATTTGCTATGCAACAGTAAAAACAGAAGCTCATGGACCCCGTTTGGGTTCCGGGGCAAAGTTTGAAAACATAGAATCATAGAATCATAGAGTTGGAAGAGACCACAAGGGCCATCGAGTCCAACCCCCTGCCAAGCAGGAAACACCATCAGAGCACTCCTGACATATGGTTGTCAAGCCTCTGCTTAAAGACCTCCAAAGAAGGAGACTCCACCACACTCCTTGGCAGCAAATTCCACTGTCGAACAGCTCTTACTGTCAGGAAGTTCTTCCTAATGTTTAGGTGGAATCTTCTTTCTTGTAGTTTGGATCCATTGCTCCGTGTCCGCTTCTCTGGAGCAGCAGAAAACAACCTTTCTCCCTCCTCTATGTGACATCCTTTTATATATTTGAACATGGCTATCATATCACTCCTTAACCTCCTCTTCTCCAGGCTAAACATGCCCAGCTCCCTTAGCCGTTCCTCATAAGGCATCGTTTCCAGGCCTTTGACCATTTTGGTTGCCCTCCTCTGGACATGTTCCAGTTTGTCAGTGTCCTTCTTGAACTGTGGTGCCCAGAACTGGACACAGTACTCCAGGTGAGGTCTGACCAGAGCAGAATACAGTGGCACTATTACTTCCCTTGATCTAGATGCTATACTCCTATTGATGCAGCCCAGAAATGCATTGGCTTTTTAGCTGCTGCGTGCACACTGTTGGCTCATGTCAAGTTTGTGGTCAACCAAGACTCCTAGATCCTTTTCACATGTACTGCTCTCAAGCCAGGTGTCACCCATCTTGTATTTGTGCCTCTCATTTTTTTTGCCCAAGTACAATACTTTACATTTCTCCCTGTTAAAATTCATCTTGTTTGTTTTTGCCCAGTTCTCTAATCTGTCCAGGTCGTTTTGAAGTGTGATCCTGTCCTCTGGGGTGTTAGCCACCCTTCCCAGTTTGGTGTCATCTGCAAATTTGATCAGGATGCCCTTGAGTCCATTATCCAAGTCGTTGATAAAGATGTTGAATAAGACCGGGCCCAAGACAGAACCCTGTGGCACCCCACTAGTCACTCTTCTCCAGGATGAAGAGGAACACCTACTTCCGGGTTTGCAGCGTTTGGGTTCCAAGTTGTTCGGAAACTAAGCTGTTCGGAAACTGAGGAAGGGGCAAGCAGAATATGAAATGGAAGAATGATATAAAGAGGTGAGGGATATAGCTATTAATGATAAATTAACACATGCCATTAAGGTAAGGTGGGAAATATGCAGGTAAAATGATTTTGAGGAGATATGGAGGGTGTTTGCAGAATTTGTACTGTTAAAACAGAAAGGGGTCAAACCATCGCAAGAGGTGTTGAAATTTTGGGAGGTTGGATAGTTACAATGGAATGGTCTCGGTGGTGGGGTGTACATTTTTATTCTTATTTATTTATGATTATTAGTTTGTCAAAAAGAAAAAGAAAATTTAATAAAATAAAATAAAAAGGGTCTCTTAATCTCTCTTTTTTTGCAGGGCACTTTATGACCGGATGGCAGAAGTGGAGCAGGACTTGAGCTTCAAGAAGGATGACATTTTGTACGTCGATGACACTCTGCCGCAGGGGAACTTTGGTTGCTGCATGGTGTGGCAGCTGGATGAAAACGCCCAAAAGCTGGAAAGAGGACAGATTCCCAGCAAATACATGTAATTAAATCTCTGAGATACAAATGGCGTTTGCCTCATTGCTAAAAGCGGGCAGTTACGATGAAGTATGAACAAAAGCCAAGCGTTTTGTTCTTCAAAGCCTTGCTGTTAATGTTGGAGGGGGTATTGAGTTTCCTAGTAAAGTTACTTGAGAGAGGTGGCATGTTTTAATAACTCTCAATTAAAGAAACTATTCCGTCAAGTCATTTTTAGTGCTGCCAATGGTTGCCTACTTCCTAAAAATGGAAAGGACTTTGTTTTTGTGCTTTTATTCCGGGACAGCCTAAGTGGCTTCCCGTCATCATGCCACAGCACTTTTAGACAGGGATGGATGGCATCCATATTTAATTTTGGTCCATGGGTTGGAACATAAGAGAACACCACATTTTCCCCTTTAATCCACCAAATTAACGCTTGCTTTTTAATAAAGATCAATGAGATTAAGATCAAGGGGCAGAATTGGGCACTGCTGCCTCAGCTAAGATCCTGATGTCATGGTGTATATGCAGCCAATTGGTGGAGGGGGATGTCCCTCATTCTGGCTGCCAGCTTATACTTTTTTTGGTTTTCACTCACTCTCAGGTCTTTTACTTGATCATATCCTTCTCTTTCTCCCTCTTTGCAATAGCATTTCACCAACCTTCTCACTTCATTTCCCTCCATCTTACCTTGGAACTGTAGAATCATGGGGTTCTAGTGTGGCCATACCTGCTCTTCTCTTTTGTATGGGACTCCATTATTCTTACTATTTTTTAATTCTTCACTTTGTGCTTCAAGTTTCTATACCTACCCACTTAGATGACCACCACACACATGTAAAGAAAAAGAAGGAACTTTTTATCACATGTGGTGGACCTGCCCCAAGGTGAAAGACCTCTGGGAAAAGATTTATAACGAATTGAAAAAAATGTTGAAATATACATTATAAAGAAATCAGAGGCCTTTCTTCTTGGAATAACAGGTTTGGAATTGCCCAAGAAAGATGTTTAATTATTTTTGTATGCCACAACTGCTCAAATAGTACTAGCTAAGCAGTGGAAAACGCAAGAACTACCAACTGTGGAAGAATGGCAGATGAAGATGATGGGCTTTTCAGAGCTAACCGACCTGACCGGAAGAGTCCGCAACCAGAATGAGGAGGAGTATCAGGAAGAATGGAAGAAATTTAATGACTATTTAGCTAAATACATCAAGTTAAATTAATTGGAAAAAGCTTGCAATTACCAGCTAGGCCTAGGATTTAAATAAGTAATTCGAGGAATTATTATGTTTAATGCTGAATTGGGAAGAATGACTGATGTTAAGTGACTAAGTTAAGATTTTAAGAACTTTGATTTGGAAAACCGTTAAAATGATATTCATTGAAATCCAACTAGGGGGATATGAGGAAGTCACTTAATAATGTTAAGAAGATTAGTTTTAATAAGGTTATGATTTATGTTTGTTGTTTATTTGTTAGTTTAATTTGTTATTTAATTTTGTGAAAACCAATAATTTTTTTTGGAAAAAAATTTAAAAAAAATAAAGTCATGGCTTGGTTTAGCTCAGAACCAAACTTACATCCTCAAGTCAACTACAGACGACCCCATAGCGAGGCCTGTCTCAAGATCCATCGTTGGTTTTACTGCTACCTGTTTGAGAGCATTTCAGATGTTGCCCGAGTAAGCCCACAATCTCTTTGCAGGATGGAGCAGGAGTTCTGCAGGAGGCACAGCATGTCCGAAGCTAAAGATGAAAACAGCTCTGCAAAGACATCATCGGCAGCAGCTCAGAGGTCGTTCTTTAGGAGGAAGCACAAGCACAAACGTAGCGGGTCCAAAGATGGAAAGGAACTGCTAGCCGTTGACACCATCAGCACAGACTCCATCCCTTTTTTGGATGGCAAGTGTCTTAACCAAATTTGCTTAGCCCACAACAAAATTATCTAGGTTTATTTGCATATTGGTAAAGGAGGCCCTATGACTTTGGGTTTCAGAACAAAACAAAACAAAACAAAACAAAACAAAACAAAACAAAACAGAGGAGTTGAGGCAAGGGTGAGCGGGGGAGTGTCAGCCTGCTATATCCATTGCATGTTCAAAGCTGTTCGGTGCCAGCCAAATGTCATGTATCTCATGTCCCACTCTCTCACACATTTAATCTTTTACATACAAGACTGATTAGCATGTCCCATAACCCTTCTTAAAGTATATTTCCACATGTCCCCATAAATCTGCTATTCACGGTAGCTAAGAAGTATGGATTTGGATCATTAGCTATAGAATGCGGAGTTTCTCCAGTTGTTCCCAATGATCCTTTTCTGTATTACCTGTTCGGGCTTTTATTATTATTATTCAGATTTAGTATTGTTAGAGAATTCAGATTCACAATATTCAGACAGCGACTGTCCCACACCTCAGTTACCTTCACTAGCATGGGCCCTTGAACTGTTGCATTCTTTTATTTATTTATTTATTTTCCTGATCATGTAAGCAACTCTCCGTTTCTCTCCAGATTCTGTAAACCTTGCTTATCAACGAGTCCAGAAAGTGGACTGCACGTCTCCCAGGCCTGTGCTTATTCTAGGGCCATTACTTGATGCTGTGAAGGACACGCTAGTCAAGGAATCTCCAGGAAAATTGTGCCGGTATCTTCTTGGTAAGTATGTCAGCACTTGAAGGTCCTTGAGTAACAAAAAGTTGGTCTCCGGAGGGAGCAGTAGAAAAACAATGGTTGCTTAGGTGTTATGGGTAATTCAGGTGACACACACCCTCTATCGGCAAGAATTCCCTTCTAAAATACCTCTTTTCCTTTGCCCATTTGGCCATTGTGCTGCTCTGTGTTCTTAGGTATTCTTTCCTCCTCTCCCTCTTCAGCTTATAATTCTCCCTCTGCTCTCTTTCCTCTTAAGTCTCTTCTCCTTACTGTAGAATTCATCTAAACCCCTCCTTACCAATGCCTAACCGCCACTCGAGCAACTGCTCGCCACCAATACCCTCATGCCTGAAACCAATCCCTGATCCCCTTTGCTATGCTAGCCGGCAAAAGAGGGTGAGCCCCGGCCGCGCCGGCCCTAAATAGGGCAGGCCACGCCCCCCGAGCCACCCGATTGGCTGGCTGGGCGGACAACGCGGCCGGGATTCCCCTGCTCTTGCGGGGGCTGAAACCAGCCCCCGCTCATGTGGGGTGGGCGTGAAGCCCGCAACCCCACCTCCTGGCCAGGTCCGGAAGTGGCTTTTTGGGAGAGAAACAAACTGATCCCTGGTTTTGGATGCAATGGTTGATCCAAGAGTCGTATTTTGTTTCTTTCCAGTGTGTATAGGGAAGAGACAGGCCAGAAAGACTCAACTGTGGGAAATTGCTAAATATGAGTTGTGAACAACGCCATTACCTTGTTTTCAATTCAAAAGGAAAGTAAATACAAGCCACGATGGCAATCATCAGCCAAGGTACAGGTGCTGCTTAACACTCCTGGTTAAGCAGAAGTACCAAGTGATGGTGCAGAGTTAAGCATCATGGTCTCCCTTCCCTCCTGTGCAATTTATTAAACTCTTTATCTGCTTGCTCCTTTGGGGAGAGCACTTCCTGACAGCTACGCATGCAGCCTGGAAATCCTCATTTGACAGCACGGACTTATTAAACAGTTGTCCCGGCATGGATTTATTAAAGCATGGGTTTATGAAGCAGTTGTCGTGCTACGAAGCCAACAGGGCAACTGCTGCAACAGCCTCCTTGCTTTTCCCCAAGACTCTGTGTGTGGTCCTACATTGAATGAGGCAGGAGAGACGCCAGCAGTGCTGCCCCCCCGCCATTCTCTCTCCTTTCTCCTGGCCACAATGTAACATCCCTCTACCCTCCCCATTCTAGAAGGGGGGAAAACATCATGGTATTAGCTTGTGCGAATATTGCATTGTGGGGAATGTGCAGCTGTGGGTGCATATTCCTTGATGATCCAGTTAAGCCCTTCAGTAGACATAAGGCCAAATGATTGCTTTTAACTGGTTTAAATATTAGCGTGCTTTATATATATACTGTACGTGTGCAAAGGAAAACTTGGGTCTGAAGCATCCGAATGCCACCTTCCTGTGAAAGTAAAAATGAATAAACCATTCTTTGTTTTTGCTCTTCCAAAACAGAGGTGATGAAAGCTTCTCAACAAGCCATCGAGTGGGGTGTGAAAGACTGTTTATTCATAGATTATAAACGTAGGAGTGGACATTTCGATGTGACAACTGTTGCCTCAGTAAAGGAGATAACAGAGAAGGTGCTTCTTTTCTCTCTCTCTCTCTCTCTCTCTCTCTCTCTCTCTCTCTCTCGTAGCTTTATTTTTTTCTCTTAAAAAAGGCACCCACCCACAGTTCTGCTGTAGCTAAACTAGTTTGGGCCTGCCAGCTTCTCGAGTGGGAGACTGTCTGGAACCACACAAAAACTTATCTGAACTCTTTGGAGAAGAGGCAACGCACAAGGAGATAGAAATATGGCCCTTTCCCAGTTATGTTTACATTCTTATATTTAAAAACTGGATTGATGTGCTGTTTTGATTCTGTAATCCCTAGATGAAAGTGGCTAAGTAGGTGAGCCAGCAAGTTGTGTGTTCGAGTCTAACCTCGGGTGTTGTTGGCTTCAGAGCACATGGCAGTAACTTTCCATGGCACACTGAACAAACTTTCTGCCCCTGTTCTTAAGCTTACACTTCACGGGCCAAATCTGATGCAACATGGCAGCCAATATTACCATTATTTAACAACACTTACATAGTATGGGAATGTAATAAACCTCAAAGCCATTTGTTGATCGTGTGCAATTTACATGCCGCCTTTCATCGTAAGATCTCAGTGTAGTTCACTGTATTAATAAGTAAATAAGTAAATCCCCCAAATTACATTGTATTTAATAAGTAAATAAGTAAATCAAAACAGTAAAACAGTACCCCAAATTAAATTGGATTTAATTTAATACAATTAAAAAGCAGTAGAATATTAATCTCAGGTGAGGAGTGGGAGGTTTCTGTTTCTTCTGTCAGGAAGAGCACCCATCCGAGCTCCCCACCTCCTCTCTCCATGTCCCATTGCTACAGGAACTTTTATCTCAGGCCAGCTCTGCTACTGGCAGTAAACCAAGCTGATGAGAAAAGAGCTTTTAGGCCATTTGGAAGTTTCAGGTCTGCTCACCTGAGCACAACTTCCATGGTAAAAAAGCATGCCCTGCCCGCCCCAGTAATGGAGACGTATGTTTAAATAAGAACATGCCGCTTGTCTCCATCACAACTAGCTGCGCCTAAGTAAATTTGCTATGGTGTTCAGGTTCTGCATTTGGACATCCCAAAGGCATCTGCCTGGTCACTGTGAGACGCTGGGCCTTTGGTCCAGCAGGCTCCCCTTCCGTTGTTAACTGGGCAGATAGGAAAGACGGCTTGGGGAGAGGCAGGTTTGAGAATATTAGGCCGGTGATGAGTTTAAAGTCAGGTGTTTGCACTTCTTGGCTCCTTCTGTTGGTATATTTAAATAGTACAGGAACTGTTAGAGAGAGATAGAGGACACGGTGTTGGTGGTGGAGGGGTGGAAATTGAAGGATAGCCAAGCGAGAGAGTGAGAAGTCGCCTGGGGGAAGCAAAAAGTACAGAAATACAGAGAGAGAATAGGAATGCAACCAGAATGGTGTCTCAGACACAGCATTATCAAAGGCTTGATTTTATTTAATCAGATCATATACTGTTGTGCTTCTAGTTATGCACACATTGGGCAAAGTGGAAGAAATCTTCTTCTTTGCACAACTGATTTCTGTGCATTGGTTATGCTATATAAATAATATATGCGTGGTAAAGGGTGGGGTTTTTTCCATATGTAGGCTACAGATTTGCATAGGATTATATTCATATATAGTCCTTTGTGGCTACTATTTTTAATGCTTTTAAAATGCCTCGAGGCCAAGGTGTACTGTACAATAATTGCATTAAGAACAGGCCCCCGGGATTTGCAAAGAAAAGTAAGGCAGTTAGGAAGGGAACAGGGGAAAGCCGGGTCAGCTCCATAGAAGCTGTTTAAACCAGGGGTAGCCAACAAGGTGCCCGTCAGATGTTCCCTGCCAGCATGATATTTAAACCCTTGCAAGGAGGGAGAGGTGCAAAGTCAGGAGGCATTGGAGAGAGAATGAAGACGTGAAAATTGGACAAGTACCCCAAGGTTTTGGCAAGATGAAACTGCCAGTGGGGGAGAGGGAGAAGAGAGGGAAGAGATCTCCGTACAGAAGAAGTAACTTTGAAAAGTGGCTCTGATAAGAAAACAGGAATCCAGGCCCAGGTGGAGTGACAGAGGCAAGCCAGCTTTGGGAGCCAAGTGGCAACCACTGGGCTTTGTGGGGCAGCTGCACTCACACTCCATATATCCACCTTGCCCAACAATTTTCAATGCTTGCTTCCTTACAATTATGGTTCATAAAAGATAACTGAAATTTCAGATTTTAAGCAACATTTATAAACGATGTTTCCTATATATAAATGTTTTGGACAGCCATCCAGCACTCTAAGGGTGCTTTCCTGTCACAGTTGACAGCACTGCCACTGCCTGTTGATTAAGGCAGATTGCCTTGCCAGTTGCAGCAGATCAAAGGTTAGCTGCTGCTGCTCCTGCTGCTGCAGTGTATCAGGCAGCCTTCCTATACTGGACACCAGGTGGCGCTCTGCACACACCATTTCTATGCTGATTAAAACAGGCTGCAAATCTGTTTAGCTCCCTAATGGTTTGCCTTCTGTCCCCTGAAAAATTAAGCATTTAACGAGCTTTTTCTACGTTTCTGTGTTAGAGAGCAAAAAGACTCCGTCTTCCTGAGGGACAAAGTTACGCAGAAACATTCTAAAGAACAGTTTGAGACTGCTCAGAAGATAGAACAGGAATATAACAAGTACTTCACAGGTTTGTATGCCAAAGGAAACAATAGCAAAGTGGAAGGCTGGCTTCTGATTCCTCTAGCTGGGTCGTGTTTACAGTGGTACCTCGGGTTAAGTACTTAATTCGTTCTGGAGGTCCGTTCTTAACCTGAAACTGTTCTTAGCCTAAAGCACCACTTTAGCTAATGGGGCCTCCTGCTGCCGCCGCGCTGCCAGAGCACGATTTCTGTTCTCATCCTGAAGCAAAGTTCTTGACCTGAGGTACTGTTTTTGGGTTAGCAGAGTCTGTAACCTGAAGTGTATGTAACCTGAAGCGTATGTAGCGTTTTTGGGTTAGCGGAGTCTGTAACCTGAAGTGTATGTAACCTGAAGCGTATGTAACCTGAGGTACCACTGTATGTGTGCTGTGTATTTTTTTGCAACAGCATATCCCCCCCCCCCCTTAGCAGTCTCCTGTGTGTAGATCACAGCATAGCACCTGGTTCCCCATAACAACCAGAAGAATTATAAATCATCCCTTTAGTACTAAGCATGTTCTATTTCAAAGAAAGGGAACAACCATTAAGTCTGTATTACGTGCTAGGATTTCCCAAATGGTCAGCTCAAGGGATAGGAAACCCAGCAATGTTGGGCGCTAAAATCTGGCAGAAGCTTCTGGGCGAAGTGAGGGGCAGAGCTTGCAGCTGCCCAGTGTGATCCAGGTAAGCTGCAGTGATGCTGCAGTTGGGAGAATGGTGCCATAGCTGTTTCCAACTACATAGGTTGCTGCTGCAAACTGGACCTGCCAGCCCCTGCTCAGTTACTTAGGCACTTGACTATGTCCAAGATAGTGCCTGTGCAACATTTTAATGCAAGACACTTTCCCAATATTAGCAAGTGAGGACTGCAAGCAGACTGTGGAAGACACTGTGGAGAATGGCTAGTAGCATTTTAGTTTGTTTGAAGAATGAAGACATTCTGTCTGTTGGTCTATATCCTGGTTTCTCTGACTGCTTGGGACTGTGTGGTCAGTTCATATGCACAGTACAAATCACTCTTTTTAAAAAGAATGTAGTCCCTGCCCTCAAGCTTACAACCTTAAAGGACATGTCACAAAAGGGAGGAGGAAATAAGCAAGTTCAGGGTCTTGGGTGTCCAATTTTGCCAGAATTTTCAGTAGACGTAAGAACACCCAGAGACACTGGACACCAGTTGGTCTCACAAAAGTAATACTTCACCTCCCAGAGCTCAAAACAATTTTGCAGATGACAAAATCAACCCATAAGTATGATTTTAATTTTTTTCTCTGGAGGTGGTTCCATTTTCTGTTTGCCCATCACTCCCATGGTTCCCCCCCACACACACTTTACTGCTGTCTGTTGACATGCTCCTGGAGGTTTGAGGGGAAGTCCCCCCCTCCTCCAAGCTTTAGGGGTGGTGGCTACTCTCTCAGCCCCAAGCACTAGTTCCCTCCATTCCCTCAAGAAGTACAGAAAGTTCAGTTTCCTGGTAGAATTAGAGATAAGCTGAGGGAGAAACGGGGAACTTCATTTATGCATGCAGATCCACTGTGGGATCCTACAAAGGTGTCTCAATGGCATGATCCCTCTCAGCCTTGGGAATCAGTGGGATTTGTGCAGTGGAGACATGCTAAATAGTCAGGTTTTTTGGAGTGCAGCAAGATTATTGGATGGAGTAACCCTGCAACACTTTGCTTGAGAAGGAAGTTTTGCAATAGGCCAACATATCCTTATGAGAGACTCTTGCTGTGTTGGTATTTTTCTCCACTGATTGCTGTGGTAGAACAACAAAGCAACTATGACAGGCTTTGATCATAAATGCAGTTTTAAGTGTTTAACTCTGAATCCCCCAGAATGGGGTGGTAGGAAATTCCTTGCAATTTCCCCTTGTGCTTTGCCTTGCAAATCCAACTTGAATGTCCCTAAAAGCATTTAATGGGCTCTAACTGAGCACCAGTGTGTTGTATTTTCTGTTAACTTGATCCCTTGAATAAGCCTGCCAGTTCTTTTTTTATTACTATTATTATTATTATTAACCAGTCATGCCTGTTTTATTAACGAAACCCATAAACGGCCATCTTCTTATATTTGTAAATAGTGGCTTGTTGCTACGGCCATCATCTCTTTGTATATTTCTGCCTTGCTACTAAACTTAGCCTTCTGTTCAGCCCTGAAAGTTTATTATGCTATAACAGGGGTCCCTCTAACCATATTTAGATTTAATATGTAAACTTTGTCACCTGATGCCACTGAAAATAGCTTTCGGAGGGCTCAGTAACAAAACAGTTGTCTTAGAGGATCATACTCGTGGGGCCTGGCTGCTTTCTCCTCTTGCCATGTTTTTGTTAGCTGTATTGCAACAGCAAAGGCTTTCTTAGCAGGAATGAAGGTTCTCAGAAGCTTGGCTTCTTCAACACTGATTTCTTTTGCTAACCACAAAAAGAACTCTGCTTCCACAAACGGTAAAGAAAAGTGAAAGCCAGAAAGCCCAGTTCCTTTCTCCTTTTCCAAAGCTCAATGGGAGTTACAAAGAGAGATGCCCCCTTATCTTAGGCCTCTCCCTGTGTCACTCTCAAACTAGTCCCCTGAAAGGAACAACACGCAGTTTCAGTGTCCTGAAAAATTTACATCTTAACTGTCTCTCTGTGTGTCTCTCCCTTGCTGTTTGTCTCTCTTCTAAGAAGCCAGACGCCATTGCTGAAGTCTCCCTCTTCCCCACCCACCTCCCTGATGTCTTGTTTGTGATTTCTTGTGGCTGTATCTGCATAAGTGCTTCAGTGACAAACTGATACCATGGCCTATGAGAACCATAGCTGAGCACTCCTGAATGCCATTAAAGATGCTAAGAGTTGGGTCCTACAAATTCCACCATCAACACTCAAAATCCATACAGTGAGAACGCATAGAGAAGCACAGTCTGTATGCACCTCCCTTCATTTTCCTGATTCCTGGGCCACATCAAGAGTGATGCCTAGTTCATATACCCGCTGGTGGAAATGCTTATAGGGAAGCAGGCAGTGCAGGCGCTATTACACTCCCTCCTTTCACAGCATCAGTTCCTGTTGACAAAGAGGCAGGCCACTTTTTGGTTCTCTGCAAATTATCGTGAGGATAATGGAGGGTGTCCTACATATGACCACCTTGAGCTCTTAGGAGAAAGGGTGGGAAATCATCATCACCAAGAAGGGGGTTATTAATCCCCCTTCCTTTTTGTTGCTTCAGTGTGTTTCGATTTCTTGGCGCTAGTGCAAACTCAGCGCCCCCCCCCCGCCCGGCCCCTGTAAACAAGCATGCTGATTGATTGGTGTGTGTGATCCTTCTTTTCACAGGGATTGTCCAGGGAAGCCCTCTTTCGATCATTTGCACTCAGATCATGACAACAGTTGATCAAGAACAAAACAAGGTCCTGTGGATTCCTTTTTCATAAGACTGTGATGCTGCAAGCAACCTGTTCAGGTTCCCCTACCCCAGTCTTTATTTTATCACATTTAGGTAGTCTATGTAATTGGAAGCTTACATTGCTCAAGCTTTGTTCTTTTGGTGTGTAATAGCCATAGAGATTTTTATTTAATTATAATTGCAGCCTCTATTAAAGGGATATGACAACCTCTAGTGTGGTCCTGTAACTTGTTAGTTTTGCCACTGTCAAAAAATGTGTCTGTTTTGTTTTGTTTTTTAATTTTTGTTACAATATATTTTCTGAACTAAAAAAAGTCACTGTATGAAAACAAAAAAAGTTAAAGAAACTGAGTAGTGTGATAAAATAAAGGTCAATATCTATAACTTGACTTGTATGGAAGTGTTGCATAAATCCCTCTCTGACTCCGTTGTTCAGTTTACTACTATCAACCAGGTTACAGAATTAAAACAAATTCACAGACATTTGTAATGGTTATTTTACAGTGAGATTCCAAATTGCATTTTGTTGCTAGAGTTGCAATTACCCATGAAGCATAATGACTCCAAAAGAAAATTCAGAGCAAAGCTTGCTTCAGTTTTGATACCACTGAATTTAAAAGATCCAACTTGACATACCACTCTTTGTGCCCTTCCCATTTAACAAAATACTACATTTTGAGTATCAGTGGTAAACATCTGCCTGAAGGAAATTGGGCTTGGTAGATGGTCCTTTTTCTTTCCAGTGTAAGAGGCATTAGGCAAAAGGTAAAAATTCTACTACCTCAGCCCTGCAGATTTGGAGTCCTAACCCATGACCTTCCAACGCCCAGTTTGGAAATGGGAGTGCTTTATAAGCTTTTCTCAAGCTAATGTGTGTAAGGCTGAAAAATAAAACAATTCCCCCAAGTTAAGAGAAGGCTTAAAATGACAAAGCCACGGGGTGGGGTGGGGGATACAAATTTTGGACCATGCAAGGGCTTCATTGGACCTGATTTCAGATGTCTTGGGAGAGAAAGAATGTCTTATGAATGTACGTCTTATGAAGCTAGCATTCCTTCAGCTACTGATATATTTGAATAGCTGTCCCCAACCTCTCCCTGGTTAATGATCTTTATGATTTTGTTTTGGTGATCCTACTGAAAGATGGCCATAAATTCCACATAATGGCTAAGTGAAATATTTTCTGCTATTATATGGGGCATGTGGTTATCTCAAGGAATGAGGTGGTTTTTGTAATTCTAAAAGTAATGCACTTTGACTTGACAAAATGACAGAACTATGGTGGACACTGCAATGAGTTGCATAATTGTTTAGCTAAAACTAACGTAGCTAGAGGCTCTTTGATACATTAGATGGATTAATTTATTTCTCCTCCACAGCTTTAGGATCAGATTAAGGGATTCACACACCCAGGTTTTAATCTTCTCTATATTATATTGTTCTTTACAGGGGTATTCAAAATACTATTGAGTAAACGTCCTCTGTAATTTTATTTCTTTGTAGTCAACAGTCCTAGTGTTAGTATTATTGCCTGGTTTCTTTGCAGCTCTTCTTAAATTCAGACTGAAGAAGATAATTAAGTAATTCCAGTAAGTTTAACCAATGTGGTGCCTTCCAGGTATTTTTGCCCTAGAATTCCTGTCAGTCTCAGTTAGTATGGGCAATGATTCGGGATGCTTGGGGCACATAAAGATGAAAATAGTTGATTATCTGTAACTTTTGCTATTCAGGTGGGTGATTTATGCCCTTACATATCCTGGCCAGGGCGTCCCAAGTTCTGCTAGTGCATGATGGAACTGGGAGGGAAAGGGGTTAGCTCCACCCCTCCATTCAATGCAAGAAAGGCTATTGCACATCTACAATACAGACCAAAGGAATTGGCACTGCAAGTCTTCTTTGCTTCCTAGAAGGCCCTGCCTGTGAAGGTACAAAGAATCCTGCTTTATACTGTGAGGCTTCCATTCTTACTTCCTGGCCAGGATCACCAAAACCCAGTTGTGGGGACATCTCTACTTTCAGCCACGGGGAGGCAGGCTTCACAAAATCCTATGCAAGCATATTCCTATGCTTGCTACAGCATACCTTGTTATTGTTTTCCTTTTAATGCCCAAGAAAAAAATTCTCTGGTCACACAGGTTACAGAATTCAGGTGATTTGGCAAACTGTGGGGTGCGGGGGTGTGTGCACACGCACACACATGCAGATCAAACATCTCCCAGATTTAAGGATGATCAGTATGTATGGAACTTTGAATGCATTTGAGTATAAGACATATTGCCGGAAAATTCCTACGCAAGCCATTTCAACCTCTCTCCCCCCCCCCCATTCAGAAGCGTTTTGAACTGCCTTTTGCTCATGTCATGTTGAAACTGACTCCCAAGTACTACCAGAATAAGTTACAAAAACTGCATATAGGCCTGTGTTTCTTAACAATACCAAATACCAGTGTTCGAAGCTGAATCCCAAAGACACAGTCTTGTCTGCAAGCTGTCAAACCTGAACATTAGTTCAACTACTGACTTTCAAAATCAGTATGTGATGCAGCCTCCTGGGGGGGGGGAGTCAATTTGACAGATGAAAGCCCCTTCCTTGCTTTTCTGTGCAAGGTTGTTATATCTCTACTCTTTATTGTTGACTCTTTGTAAACTTTCTGCAGTTTAAGCACACACTGAATTGGTTAGGGTAAATTGCATCTTCATGATAAGCAAATGTTCTGATGTTATGGTCTGGTGTTATGCTTCTTAAGATATGAGTGTGTTCTTGAGAGTACAAGTGTGGCCGACATCACAAAATGGCCATTCACACCAAAGTGGTAAATGTATGGGCTGCATATGTCAGAATACAGATGTAATCTCTCATAACTGGGTGACACCCTCTTCACCCTGCTCCACTTCAAAACGATTCCTACACACAGAAAGGTAGCATGTCTGAAAGAAGGCAGGGCTAGAACCCTTCTTGTTAAAATGCTAGTTTTCTATGTGCAGATTATTATTATTTTTAACTTGTAGAGAGGCCTCCATCTGAGCTCATTTTATACATTTTGAAGCGACATTAGTCTAGAGACAGCTTTGCCACCTCCCAAATAAATAGGACCACGAGGTCATGTCAGATAGCTGCAGTTATTAACAAAGATATATTTTTAAAAATTAAGGGAGCAGCCAGATTGAAAACCTAAGCCGGTCTGAAAGTTTCACTTCCACAGAGTAATCTAGGAAGTGAATACTTTCTTACAAATACTTTCTTACAAATCCCAAGCCCTTTGAGACATGGTAGTGCTTGAAATTCCTTAGTTTGATAGCCCTTCCAGATCTGTAGTGCACACCCATCAATCATATTTAATGGATGAGATGTCATTCCCCTCCATCCATGCTCACAAACCAGGCTTTTCTCACAGGGGCCATAAACTCAGAAGTGGGATATGCAGACTGCTAGCCATCACCAAGTAGCACACACAGGTTTCTCAAGCTTCAGCTTCCTGCTGTGATTGCTCTGCAGCTTGTGTTTCCTTTCTGGTGATGACTCATCAGGTCATCAAAATGGAAAATGGCAGCTCATCGAAATGGAAAAACACCAGCCTTCTCTTGACGCTTTTGCTGTAGTGGAACCTCTTGCCTAAGGTAAACTTCCCTTTACAGCATTTAAAATACAGAGCATTCAAATGCAGCATTTTATGTACATTTAAACTTTCATACATAGGGCAAACTGCTACCAGGTGATCTCTGTGCAAGATGAATAAATGGAAACAAATTATGCATTAAGAAAAGTAACACAGAAAATACTGTTTTCATCTTCCTGGCCCTTCAGCTACGGGAGTCTTTTGTTTCCCCTTCATTCAGAAGGGTGACTTGGCAACACAAAACGACTAATTTATAGCATAGGTCATTTATGAGTGTTTGTTGTAAAAAGCTGTTGTTTAAAGCTCAGTAGAATAAAATATTACATAGATAGAGGAGTAGGCTTTGGCCTAGAAAAGTTTATACCAGAATGGAAACAGTGGCTGAAGCCTCACAGACTCTTTGTTTACTGTTTTCCATGGAGACTGAGAGAGACAGAAACACACCACATGGACAAAATGGTTAACTGCCTGTAAAATATGTTGAATATTCTGTTTATATTTCATATTATGGAGGCTCTTGGCTTCCCTAATTCAGCCTTATTTACAACTTTGCCATCTGATAGGCCCAGCTGAGGCCTTTAATGTCAGTTGCTCCAATGAGGGTAAGTGGAGCCAGAATCAAGGGCTGAAGCCACCTTTTGAGGCCTACAGGCCCTTTTAAGACACCTAATAAACCAAGCAATACTTGTGAATGGGAACAAAACCCCAACAAAACATGGAAATGGTAGTCATGACACAACGGGGGGGGGGGCAGTGTTGTGTTGTGCTGCAGCTGCCTTTTAGCCCTCACAAGTACCCTCATTCTCCAAAATTTAGCGGGGTCTGATGAAGATGATTTTGACTGAGACAAGAAGGCATTTCTGAGTAGGCCTCAGACACAGCCGATAGTCACAGATGTTTGGGGGGGCACATTTTCTCTCGTGAGCCACATTCTGAGGGCCACGTGCCTGTGGCAGCTGGGGCCAGAGGTAGAAATGGGTAGAGCGGTGGTTCCCACGCCCCAGAGAAGGGCAATTTGATTTTTAAGGGGAGCAATTTGAGAATGAGGTAAACCAAGTTAATGGCCTTTTAGGCTTCCTCCGCGTGAGCAGAAGTTCACTTTTTGAATAATAAGAATTACATGTCACCGGGGGGGGGGCGGGCATCGGGATTTTAGAGATGCTAAGGTGGGGCATGGCAAAAAAATGGGCTGGGAATGGAATCACTGGGGTAGAGCAAAAGATACAGCTTTTGCATTTCTACACCAGCTTACATTCCAGCCATGGGGAAAAAATCACTAAATTTACAAACACATAACACACAAGCAACAAGGCAGGCAGGGAGCACAATCCCAGTTCAAGGGCACCATCTAGCCAGGCAAAAACACTCAAACAAGGAGAGATGCAGGGTCTGTGACAGGTGTTGCCTGTCACTGTATAATAAATATTGCCCCCCCCCTTGCCGTTTCACCACAGATCCAGGCCTTGCGGGCACCTGAGGTTTGACTTTAAGATAAAAAACAGAGGAATAGGTACTAAGTCCTTCAGATGCTCTGTCCACCTGTGGTGTTTGCCCCAGTTCTGCAATCTTGGGTGCAAAGAAGCCCCCCTCCCCTGGATGAAAAGCCTGCTTTTTGCAACTTGGGCCACTCAACAGGGATGACAAATTTCTGGTCTGCATGCTTGCCGCTAGCTCAGGCTTACCGGAGCCACCAGCAAATTGCAGCCTTTTCAAAAAATTCAAGCCACATGGACAATTGTGGTGAGTGAGATGCTTCACAAGATATCCGGCAGTGGGGTGTGTGGGAGAGCCGGGAATGAGATTTAGAAGATGTTGGGTGGAAGGAGAGCCTGGGGTTTGGGGCAAGAGGAGGACCATACAGGAATTGGGCCAATTCAACCCTGAGCCTTGAGTTTGGGGTTAGAGTGGTCCTCCAGATGTCCACAGGGGAACTGACTTTCTTCCTCTGCTTTCTTTTAGGACATTTTGGGACAGCTGGCCTCCATCTCTGAACATTTTCCACTCTGTCTCTCCAGCCTTGTGAAGCCAGAATTATCCATGCTGGTTTTACCAGGACAAGGTAGCAACAAGGCAATCAGAGTTGTGGCCAGGACGTCACATAAAGATACTGAAGATTGAACATTGTAATCCAGAACACAAGGCAGTTGTGGGAGGCAATGAGGCAAATCCTTCACTGACAAAACAAAAACATCATCCAAAGCATCGTGTTGAAACTGTTAATGTGTTACGGTGCAGCACATGCATCTAGCCACCAGAGAACCAAGTTGCTGACGACAGTCCTAGCAAACACGGTGTGTGCAGCAGACACTTTGAAAAGGAACAGAAGCTCCTGGTAAGAATACTAATGAAACTGAAATAGAGATACTTCACAGACAGAATAGTTTCTTGGGCACATCTCATTCTGCTACTGAGCCGTGATACACTGAGTGATTAAACCATTATTAGATACGCAAGAAGGTATGATAAACTGAGATGCTCATGTGAAGAGAGGTGGGAAGGTGGGAACCCCGAGGTTTACCAAGCAATGTGCAAATGAACGGAAGCAGCAGTGGTTGCTGTATGTTGTGGTGCAAAAAACTTCTCTAATGATAGCAATTAGGTCCAGAGGCTGTGAAGCATGGCTAAATGCATTCAGGAAGAGCACACATCACATTTGGGTGGGAAATTAATGAGCTGCTCTTCATGTGCAAGGGGGAAGGCATTAGGGCGCTGAATTAAAAGATAAAGCATTGGAGCAGCTTTCAGCTGGGTTCTGGTTGTGCTCACATCCTCTTTAATTAGAGGCAGGCAGCCGTATGAGAAATGCAGCAGCACCTTCCAAGCCTGAACTTTAATAAGCAGAGGGTCGTCAAGAAGAAACTGAATGGGCCATGCTTGCAGGCAGCCAGGCTCCAAATTGCAGCCACTTACCATTTCAGAACCTTCAGATACTCTGCTTTAGTGTTGGGGATTATCCTTGCATTGAAGCCGGTAATGACTTTAAATAACATTATTGAGAACTTTTTTTAAAAAAGGTAACAATTGGAGGAAGTTTGAGAGGGTGACGATTGCCACTAAGTGTCAGAGAGGCATCTACTGAATGTTGCTATCAAGTTGGTTGTTGTTTAAGGAGAGGGTGTCCTGTGGCTGCTGAGAACTCATCTCCTCACTTGCCTAGCAGTTGGACTTACCACACACACTGGCTGGTGGCTCCAGCATCATTTTAGGATTTTAAAAGTCCCATGCTGGTGGGCCCCAATATGAAATTTAAGGGAGCATCATTTTAAAAGTGTTGAACTGTGCCCTGGAGATCAGCAGGCACCGTTGCTCATTTCCCAGCTTTGTGTTGTGGATTCTTAGGCCCCATCTGCAGTATATATGTAAAGTGGTATCATATTGTTTTAAACAGTCAGTTACTTGCCCTTGAAAGAATTCTGAGACCTGCAGTACCATCACAAAGCTACAGTTCTCAGAGTTTCCTAGGACTGGAGATTAGGATTAGAGATTGTTGAACCGGTCTGAAAATTGTAGCTCTGTAAAGAGAATAGGGGTCTCCTAACAGCTCACAGCACCCTTAACAAACTGCAGCTCTGGCCCCCTCCACCTCTTCCCTCCTTTTCTTCCTAATGTATCAACAAATGAAACTGACCTATAGAAAATGTAACTTGAAAAAAGAGACATTGCACATACATTTGTAAACCAAGAAATCTTTAATAATAATAATAAAAATGAAAGCAAACTGCAGCTCCCAGAATTATTTGGAGGACGCCATGGCTATTTAAAAGAGCCACTGCAGGACTGTTCTAGGAAGCGCATACGATGCTGGACAAAGCGTTTAACTACTTCAGCCAGCAGTAACTTGGTGTTTCTCATGATTATTTAATTGAATTGCCTGTTTTTCCTTGACTGGCCTAGTTAGCTATTGAGACTGTTTTCTCAAGTCTAGGAAGGCTTTGCAGTCTGAGCATTTTCCGGAGTGGGGAAGAACCATAGCTCAGTGGTAGAGCACATGCTGTACATGCAGAACATCTCATGTTCAATCGCCTCCATAGCAAGCAACTATTAAAGTTGCACTCAGCTCCATTCAAGACAAGGATTTGGCAGTCCTTTTTGGTTCCCCAGCTTATTGTTGTGATTGCTGACACACCGGCATTTTGTACTGAAACGACAAAGAGTCTTGTGGCACCTTAAAGACTAACAAATTTATTGTGATGTGATAATAAAAAAAGGGTAAAAGGTAAAGGACCCCTGAATGGTTATGTCCAGTCAAAGGCGACTACGGGGTTGTGGCACTCATCTCGCTTCAGGCCAAGGGAGCCAGGCGTTTGTCCACAGACAGCTTTCTGGGTCATATGGCCAGCATGACTAAACCACTTCTGGCGCAATGGAACCCCATGACAGAAACCAGAGTACACGGAAACACCATTTACCTTCCCTTACCTATTTCTCTAATTGCAATGATGTGCTTTCGAACTGCTAAGTTGGCAGGAGCAGGGACAGAGCAACGGGAGCTCACCCCATTGTGGTGTTTCGAACCGCCAACCTTCTGATCAGCAAGCCCAAGAGGCTCAGTGGTTTAGACCACAGCGCCACCGTCCCATTGTGATGTAGCATTTGTGGACTACAGTCCACTATGTATCTGTGCCAGAAATGAAATGAGGAAAAGGACAGTAGTACGGACATCCTGGCATCATTAAAACAATGAACACGTCTAGTGCAAGAAAAACCCATTGTGCCAAAAGGGATAGCATTGCCTCTCTTGATGTGTTGCAATACAGTGGGTTTCACACCACAGGTTCCCTTCAAAATGCCATTGCTCCTGGATGGTCAGTCACACAGGGTCCTGTGAGGCAAGGGGTCAACAATGGTGTGAAGGGATTGGGCTGCTTTTGAGTAGCTGTGAATCAGAAAGTACACCAACATGCTTCAGAAGTTTAGCCAAATGGGAGCGATAGATTGAGGAGTTAACCCACTGGTGGAGGAAGAGGGGCCGGGGGAGCGCACCACCCCTGGCACCACGATCCCGGTGGAGTGCCATCACGGGTGTCCCCCCCACATGCTGGGTACCACGCCCCCGCAGGCGGTGCGTCACTCCCCCAGGACGCATGCCAGCCACGCCCCCGCCTGCTCTCCGCCCCTGGTGCCGAAGCATAAAGCTCTGCCACTGAGTTAACCTCCTGTTTTGGGCCAAAAACATAAGCCTGTGCTTATGTGGCTTCTCTTTGCCAAATGGCAGCTGTTGCCGCAATAATGCCCATTAGCAGATAGGAAAATTAATTGGCCAGTGATTCATTGTGCTTCGTGCTTGTAAGGAAAAGAGGTGGGCTTTTTTTAGAAAGAAAATAAAACATTTCCCATAACCTGGGCTTTTTTTCCAGCTGGAACTTGTTGGAACACAGTTCCGTCACCTCTCAGGTGGGTGCCATTGCCATTCTAAGAGAACAAGGGAGCTGTTCATGGTGAGTTTCAGCACCTCTTTTTCCAGAAAAAAACAGCACTGCCCATAATTAAGCTTGTGCTATATCTAACATTAGTTTTGAAATGTGGAAGGAGCAAAAGGAAATTTATCCTCCATAGCTTTAAAGCACATTCAGAGCACATTTTCTCCAAAGAATCCTAAGAACTATGGTTTGTTGAGCTCTGTGAGGGGTAAGCTACAGTTCCCAAGATTCTTTGATGGAAAGTGCTTTGAACGTGCTTTAAAGCTCAAATCTGTGAGTGTAACACAATAATAGCTTTTATTAAGCCAACCAACATGCCACAGACTAGTGTGCAAGCTTTTAAGATCAATATATAAATATAAAATAGAGAGGAAGCTTTTTGCCAATTTTGTGACATTTCAGTGTGCCTAATAAAGGTATTGCTCTAATTTGGCTCTAATAATGTGGAATATATGAACCTTTTAATGCAGAATTATAACCTGTTCTTTATATTCCCATAATGTCTACTTCAGCCAGCAGTAGTTTGGGCTATCTCAGATTGGCTTCCTCTTAACTAGTTTAGATAGATAGTTTCTAAGAGGAACTGACAATCTCATGAAGATCGGTCTACCAACATCCCTTAGCCATCATAGCTAAATGGAACCCCGTGATCAGTAGTAGTGTACGTCTGAATATCATCTATTAAGCATGGCCAACGGAGAAATGGGTTGTTACTTCTGGAACAGTCACTAGAATCATAGAATCATAGAATCATAGAATCATAGAATCATAGAGCTGGAAGAGACCACAAGGGCCATCGAGTCCAACCCCCTGCCAAGCAGGAAACACCATCAGAGCACTCCTGACATATGGTTGTCAAGCCTCTGCTTAAAGACCTCCAAAGAAGGAGACTCCACCACACTCCTTGGCAGCAAATTCCACTGTCGAACAGCTCTTACTGTCAGGAAGTTCTTCCTAATGTTTAGGTGGAATCTTCTTTCTTGTAGTTTGGATCCATTGCTCCGTGTCCGCTTCTCTGGAGCAGCAGAAAACAACCTTTCTCCCTCCTCTATGTGACATCCTTTTATATATTTGAACATGGCTATCATATCACCCCTTAACCTCCTCTTCTCCAGGCTAAACATGCCCAGCTCCCTTAGCCGTTCCTCATAAGGCATCGTTTCCAGGCCTTTGACCATTTTGGTTGCCCTCCTCTGGACACGTTCCAGTTTGTCAGTGTCCTTCTTGAACTGTGGTGCCCAGAACTGGACACAGTACTCCAGGTGAGGTCTGACCAGGGCAGAATACAGTGGCACTATTACTTCCCTTGATCTAGATGCTATACTCCTATTGATGCAGCCCAGAATTGCATTGGCTTTTTTAGCTGCCGCGGCACACTGTTGGCTCATGTCAAGTTTGTGGTCAACCAAGACTCCTAGATCCTTTTCACATGTACTGCTCTCAAGCCAGGTGTCCCCCATCTTGTATTTGTGCCTCTCATTTTTTTTGCCCAAGTGCAATACTTTACATTTCTCCTGTTAAAATTCATCTTGTTTGTTTTGGCCCAGTTCTCTAATCTGTCAAGGTCGTTTTGAAGTGTGATCCTGTCCTCTGGGGTGTTAGCCACCCCTCCCAGTTTGGTGTCATCTGCAAATTTGATCAGGATGCCCTTGAGTCCATCATCCAAGTCGTTGATAAAGATGTTGAATAAGACCGGGCCCAAGACAGAACCCTGTGGCACCCCACTAGTCACTCTTCTCCAGGATGAAGAGGAACCATTGATGAGCACCCTTTGGGTTCGGTCAGTCAGCCAGTTACAAATCCACTGAGTGGTAGCATAGTCAAGACCACATTTTACCAGCTTCTTTACAAGAATATCATGGGGCACCTTGTCAAATGCCTTGCTGAAATCAAGGTAGGCTACATCCACTGCGTTCCCTTAATCTACCAGGCTTATAATTCTGTCAAAAAACGAGATCAGGTTAGTCTGACATGACTTATTTTTCAGAAATCCATGCTGACTATTGGTGATCACAGCATTCCTTTCTAGGTGCTCACAGACTGTTTGCTTAATGATCTGCTCCAGAATCTTCCCTGGTATTGATGTCAGACTGACTGGGCGGTAATTATTTGGGTCCTCTCTTTTCCCTTTTTGAAAATAGGGACAACATTTGCCCTCCTCCAGTCTGCCGGGACTTCGCCTGTTCTCCAGGAATTCTCAAAGATGACTGCCAGTGGTTCTGAGATCACATCTGCTAGTTCTTTTAATACTCTTGGATGCAGTTCATCTGGCCCTGGAGACTTGAATACATCTAAACTAGCCAAGTATTCTTGTACTATCTCCTTAGTTATTCTGGGCTGTGTTTCCTCTGCTGAATCATTTGCTCCAAATTCTTCAGGTCGGGCATTGTTTTCTTTATCGGAGAAGACTGAGGCAAAGAAGGCATTGAGGAGTTCAGCCCTTTCTGTGTCCCCTGTTTGCATTTCACCATCTTCTCCTCTGAGTGACCCCACTGTTTCTTTGTTCTTCCTTTTGCTACTGAACATACCCATAAAAGCCTTTTTTGTTGCTTTTAACCTCTCTAGCAAGCCTGAGTTCATTCTGTGCTTTAGCTTTTCTGACTTTGTGTCTACACGTGCTGGCTATTTGTTTGAATTCCTCTTTGGTGGTTTCCCCTTTTCCATTTTTTGTACACATCCTTTTTAATCTTAACTCAGTTAAAAGTTCTTTAGATAGCCACCCTGGCTTCTTTAGGCACCTTCCATGTTTCCATCTCATTGGTATTGCCTGACGTTGTGCTTTTAGTATCTCCCTCTTAACAAACTCCCAGCCATCATGAACTCCCTTTCCTTTTAGTATTACTGTCCATGGGATCTCACCCAGCACTTCCCTAAGTTTTATGAAGTCGGCTTTCTTAAAGTCAAGAAATTGAGTCCTAGTATGCTTGGCTGCTCCTTTCCGCTGTATAGTAAACTTCAGAAGAGCATGATCACTCGCGCCTAATGATCCTTCCACTTCTACCCCACTAACCAGGTCATCAACATTGGTTAGGACCAGATCTAAAATGGCTGTTCCTCTTGTTGCTTCTCCCACTTTCTGGACAATGAAGTTGTCTGCAAGGCCAGTGAGGAATCTGTTTGACCTTATGCTCTTGGCTGAGTTTGACATCCAACAAATATCCGGGTAATTGAAGTCCCCCATTACTACTATCTCCCTTCTTTTTGCATGCTTGGCCATCTGTTCCAGGAAGGCATCATCTATAGTAAACTCCCACAATGAGGTCACTGTTATTCTTCTCTCCCTTAATTTTGACCCAAATGCTCTCACTTTGGCTTTGAGGTTCTAAATCTTGGATCTCTTCACAGGTATACACATCCCTGACATATAACGCCACTCCTCCTCCTTTCTTGTCTGGTCTGTTTCTCTGAAATAGATTGTATCCCTCCATTATTACATTCCAATCGTGGGACTTATCCCACCAGGTTTCAGTGATGCCTATTATGTCATATTTAGTTTGCTGTACCAAGAGCTCAAGCTCATTTGGTTATTTCCCATGCTTTGCGCATTAGTGTACAGACATTGAAGTCCATTAATCATTCCCCCGTGTCTCTTATTTAAGGATTTTTTCCTCCCACCACTAGGTCTGCGTGCTGTTTGCTCCATTTGGTCTATGACATTTGGATGATCATCTTCATCAGTTGATAGACTCCTGCCTTCAGGAGCACTGTCTCCCTCCCCCACATTAGTAAGTTTAAAGCAAGGCAGGAATGTATCTGGTTGGCTGTGGTTGGATTTAGATACTGTATATGTCTGGCCCAAAACAGGAGGGGTTTAACTCATCTATCTCCACTCACCCCCAATTTCTTAGCTGCAGAACCCCTTCTTCCTCTTGGCTAGGAGTAGTATAGGCTTGGAACCCACACTTACATTGACCAGGTCTGGGGAGGGGTTTCAGCTGGAACTTGCTGGAACTCATTTCCGGTGCCTCTCAGGTGGGTGCCATTGCTATTATAAGAGAACATGGAGAGTTCCGGCATCTCTTTTTCTAGAAATACAGTGGTACCTCGGGTTACATACGCTTCAGGTTACATACACTTCAGGTTACAGACTCTGCTAACCCAGAAATAGTGCTTCAGGTTAAGAACTTTGCTTCTGGATGAGAACAGAAATCGTGCTTCAGCGGCGTGGCAGCAGCAGGAAGCCCCATTAGCTAAAGTAGTGCTTCTGGTTAAGAACAGTTTCAGGTTAAGTACGGACCTCCGGAACAAATTAAGTACTTAACCCGAGGTACCACTGTATAGCACTGGGCAAAAGTATAGTAAAAATACCAGTTTTAACTCACTAAGCCAAAAGTTTAGGACTTGCTGCTGCAGCAGCTACTAATCTCCAACAAATTAGTATCTGGGAAGACAAAATACTTGGGCAAAATTTGCTGTTGTGAATCAGTGCTGTAGACAACAGCAAGCTAGGTCTTGTAATGTTAATAGGTCTCTGTGACATATCTCCTGCCTGGTGCATTTGTGATGGAAAACAAATCCCCCTTCAGTCACATGAGAGTAGACTTGGTCACAAAATTCTTTCCTTTCACAGTCATACCTTTCCTTGACACCCTGCCAGTTGGTGTTGTGATCTTATGGGCTTTCTGCATACTTTAAAAATGGCATACATTGACTTTTCTGGCCTCTGCTGTTGGCTTTTGCCTTATAAGGATTAGCACGTCTTTGCTCTCTCTCACTCTTTTGTTTAGGATCCCCAGCTTCAAAACAGCCCATATCTGGCTTTGTGTTGACCTGCGGCACTTGAACTAATGGACATTCACATAAACAGTGTACTGGGTTTTGTGTGCACATTAACAACTTGTTTGAAATTTGTTGGACCTTAAACTTTTAACCTCAGACTCAGTTTTTTAGTGTGTTTTTTAAGTCTGGAGATTCAAGGAACACTGCTTCATCCCATGTGGATGTTTAGGCGGCAATTTGAGCCCTGGTTATCTGGGAGTAAGCTCCAATGAATTCCTAGAATAGAAACATAGAATTGTAGAGTTAGAAGGGACAATGAGGGTCATCTAGTCCAACCCCATGCAGCAATCTTTTGCCCAATGTAGGACTCGAACCCATGACTCTGAGATTACGAGTCTCATGCTCTACTGACTGAGCCATCCATCTTGGGCAATTTATTTCTGAGCAGACATAGTTAGGATTGTGCTGTAAATTATCTAGTCTTCTCTGCAGGATCTTTGCGTGTCGAGGTCCCCAAGACACCCCCTAATAAAACACAGTGACACATTACTTTTGTTTAAGGTTTTGGGCATAATTTTGGCCACAACTTTATTAAATTACAAGCAATGTGAGTGGTTGCTTAGGCATTGGTTGCGACTATCTGAACCCGCACGGGGACAGTCTGACATTCTCATGCCTGCGAAGTCAGAAAAGGGTAAGACACCCGGAGAGAGAGACGGGACTGGGAACCATGCCTCACCTCTCCCCAAATGCTCCCGGGGGCTCTTGCGTGGCCCTAGCCCCTTAACAGGGTGCGGACAAAAGCATGGCGAGCCCCTGGGTTCCTTTAACAGAAAACCCTTGCAGCAGCACTTTTGGAGGGGCAGGCACAGCCAACTCCATACCCCTCCACCAACCAATTCCCAAACCAATGCCTAACCGCAACCTTACAAGTTGTGACGATTTGCTACGCAGTAGGCAAAAACCAAATGGCACCAGCTAATCAGCCAAATGGACAGAATTCCTACCGGGCCCCAGCCCCAAAAGCAGACGACCCCATGACAGGCATAGCAAGGTCAAGCAAACAGCCTAAAATAGGGAGGGAGGGCGGGTGATCCGATGCACGCAGCGAAAAGAGGAAGCTCAACACTGCGTGCAGGGCATTTAAAGACTAGGGCAGTCAATCAAAAAAATGGCAACATATAATTCTCCCCAGCAACAGCCAGCCCTCTGCTAATGGTGGCCAAACTCTTTCCCACCCAGCAACAGCGGGGTGTCTTGCTAGCCCCCACTGCAACACGTGCTCTCCATGAAGGAGAACATATTTTATTAGGAGGACTAGCAAGTTTCTGAGATTTGTTTGCTGATAATTGCACTCCAGGTTGTCAGTTTCTGAGTACCAACAGCTGTATGAGAAATACAGTTTCTCCTAATCCTAGCCACAGCTAAAGTTTGCTGGCTGGTCCTCTTTGGAAGTGTGTAATCCATAACCACCACGATCAACAACAGAATGTTCCAGGATCCTGGAGGGTTAGCTTGTTGTAGGAGTGGAAATCTGGATTTACTGCATTTTAACATATATCCACCTTGCTTATATTCGAAGCATGATAGCCCAGTATGTGAGCTGAAGTTACAGAAGCAACATGCTCATAAGAAAGAAAGCTTTACTTCTTAAATGCATCAGTTGGACCTGTTCAAAGTAAAAGCACAATATTTGTCAATCGGCATTTGTGGGAGGATTCCTTCCGCTCTCTTTGGACTTGAGAATTGCCAGCTCTTGCAAAAGAAGCTTCTTGCCTGACTAAGCTGTTTCCTGAACTCTGCAAGAAAGAACCAGCTAAAGGATGCTTGAGTTAAGTTTAAAGTTACCTCCCTTCAGGCATTCAAGCGCAAGTGGAGCCATGCTGGCTGGTGTTGATGGGAGTTGTAGTCCAAAAAATGTGGAAGACAAAAGGTGAAAGAAACCTGCTGTCTACATTGTATAATAATGTGCATTCAATGCTTCTTGACCCAGGCTGAGTCTGTAACTGGAAATGGGGTTTTCCAACTCTTGTGCAAATAGAGATCATATATATATATATATTAATATAACCTGAATGTTGCTAAGTTGCGTATCCTAAATCAGGATATTCACTGGTGCCAGAAGTGTGTCTGGAAGTGTGTATCGTCCCTCTTTCTCTTTGAAAGATAGCCCTCTGAAGCAAGCTGGCCAGGCTTTGACTGTTCCATATGAAATCAGCTGCCTGTCTGACTAGCTCTCTTCCATAAGAGGGAATTTTATGCTGTGAGTTCAGTAGCCTAAAATCAGAGATGGGAAAACCATGGTTTTTAAACATTGTTGGACTCCAACTCTCATCAGCCCTAGCCAGCATGGTCAATAATCAGGATTATGGGAGTTGTAGCCTAGGAGGGCCACAGCTTCCCCATCATAGAAGATGGTGTGTTCCTGATTCCCTTCCGACAGTGTATCCTTATTCCTGTCCTCCTGCTGGAAGCTATCAGTGGGGTGTTTTCACACACAGATGCCTTTATATCAGGCTCCTTTGTAGATCTGAAATGTTGCATGCGGGGTCATTAAACCCTTTTGTAAATCCCAAAGTCCTAACTTCTTCACGTATTTAGTTCATTTAGACTGGAATGAAATAGGAGGAGCTGACATATGAGAAATGTTAGATAAACAAGATTCACCCCATGAAGAGACCCTGATGGCAACATCTTGCTATTTTTAAACTTGAGAACACGCAACTTAATTTATATATGTAGTCTTTCCTCCTTTTCAGGGGGCAGGGGGAGAGGGAGATGTCCTGGATCTATTACAAATGTCAGAGCAGAGTCAGCCAAGGTTGTCTTTTCAAAATTCTGCCATAATGGTATTTTTAGCAGTGGTTACATTCATCAGTTCACCTTGCAGCTTCTTATGTTGCACATAATTATCACTGCAGTTATTAAGACTTGTGGGGAAGGAGGTGGAAACGTCTATTTTTGAGTGTGGTTCCAAGCATACGGATAATTCGGAGGGCTGCCTCAGCAATCGTGCTCCATTCTCAGGCAAGGGAGATGTTGCTTGCTTTATTAAGTTCCTCTTAACTGGAGGTGCCAGAACGGTTGCTAGGACGTTGGATACACAAAGTACACGTTCTCCCAAAAGCCGAGCAGGGCCATCACTAGTCATCAGTTGGCGCTTTGGATGTGGAGAGTCTCATGCACAGCTGAGGGCCAAAATAGATGTGCTGTTGATGGCGTTCACGCAGTTAACATGGCACATTTCCCGTTATGTAAATAACAGCCGCAGGGAAGCCTGAGCATCTTTACGGCTCTGGGAGAGGGAAAATGCAACTCTCTCCCGGCCCAGGTCTCCACAAAAAAAATCTCCTTTCTGAAACAATCAGCATTTCCGCAGAAGCTTCCATTGGGATGAATAAGTTGCATGGGGTGGGTTGAGGGATAGGAAGAGGAATATCAGTTGTTGTGTGTTCCAGCTTGTTTTCACATGGAACAAAGACTGTAAACAAATATTTGCAATGTCCATTACATGTAACACACAGGAACTAGATAATGGATACAACCCGTTATCCAGATCTAGACTTTGACCCTTCACAGCATCGTCCCCTCATTTATCTATTTCTCTCTATTCCTCTCTGATAACCCAGAAGAACCAGAGCTGTCATTGTTCCACAAGCCCCATACCTTCAAATTTGGGGTAAATCTGGTAATCCCAGATTTCAATGCCATGCCAGTAAAGCAGCCTCTAGCTATTGGTGCAGGATAACAGATTTAAATCAATAACCTTTATTAAGCCTTTTTGTAGAACTGCTGTGCAATTCCAGCCCTCTTTTACATATCCTTCATCTGAAGGTATCTGAAGAAGTGTGCATGCATACGAAAGTTCATACCAATAACTTAGTTGTTTCTAAGGTGCTACTGGAAAGAATTTTTTTATTTTATATCCTTCATCTGTGAATCTTAGGGATCTTAGTTATAGGATGGTGACCAAGTGCATTTGCGCTGCTCATGGATGATTGGTAATAGAGTTTATTTGCACCTGCTTAATGTTGCTTAATGTTAGTAATTGACATATTAGGAATTTAAAGTACAGTACTTGATGCCAGCATTTTAAAAAGTTAAAAATAACAGCCCCAGATGCTCTGTAGAACAGGACTCCAAATAACATTTCCCAAACAAGAGGACGAAAGTTTTAGATGACTGAACTGCAGAAAATTGACTAATGAAATAGACCTAATGTGTTTAGTGGGAATTTTCTAGCACTCAAAACAATTACTTAACCATCTCTCTCTCAGCTTGTAAAAAGAAATTTATATTGATGGCATAAAAATTGCTGATACATTTTACCTCCTCCTAATCAAATAAATAGCACTTTCTCTCCAGGAAAAATGGTTAATCAGGAATAAGAGACGAATGCAGCCCACCTTGCACTGCAATCACTTCAGATTCAATAAATTAAGTACCACTAGGACAGATTAATATTTGCATGGCAGCCTCTTTGGAAGAGACTCTGCAGAGCTTTTTAATCAGCACAGGGCCTTCCTTTCTTCATGGTGAATTGGTGCCCTGAATGGCCGCCCTGTGCTTAGGGTTGCAGTGGGGGACTTGGCAGCTCTCCAGGTCTTGCTGGGCTACAACTCCCACTATCGCTGACCATTAGACATGCTGACGGGATTTAGAGTCCCAGCAATACCTTCAGGGCCACAGGCTCCCTACCCCTGCATTACTCGACCAGCTGCCCTGCCTGTACGCATATAAAGCAGGAGGGTGGGGATCATAGTTCTGGGTAGTTTCCTCTCAGTTGTGCTCCTCTTTTGAAGTAAAAGTAAAACAGTCCAGTGGCGTAGCGTGGGTTGTCAGCACCCGGGGCAAGGCAAGTAATTTGCGCCCCCTAACCCGTGGATTTTAGCACTCAGAGAGCTGCGAGTGCGGTCGCCCCTCCCAGATGTTGCGCCCGGTGCGGCTGGCCCCCCCCTGCACCCCCACGCTACGCCACTGAGACAGTCACACCCTCTTATGGGAACTGGGCAGACATGTGAACCACAGGTGTGTCTGCCCCCATCATATTTAGTTTGGGCTGGCGTGATGTCTCTCTGGATTACCACCCATTCCCCCATCACATGGGAACAAACCCTCCAGTACTGTGCTTTTCAGTAGAGTTGGTTCATCCATTTGGCAGTGAGTCACAGGAGTGATGGGTGATAAATAAATCAGAAGAATGAGCCTTCAGTTTCACAGTCATTTCTTAATATCAGCTCATTTGCATTATAGGTCTTGGAGAGTCTTGGAGATCTTTGTTTTTCCAACACGCCATTTCTAAATTGAATAGATTTAATTGCAGCTCAAGACTGGGCTTGCATTCAAAATATGATTCTTCTGTCCACCCTCTCCAAATATGTGTGTCTTCAGGCCAAAAGAAATTAACTGCAATAGTGTTACGCTAGTTATTACCGCTGGTAATAACTAAATAACCCATCAGTGTTCAGGTCAGGATTGTTGGTATGCTAGCAATAATAAATTATAACTTGCACATCAGTCCAGGTTTTATCATGTGGAACAGGCTTTCTGAGTGTTTATCCCCCCCTTTTTTTAAAGAAAACATATTTGTGGACCTGCTTGGTCAAAAAGCCGGATCTTAAATCGTGAGTACAGGAAATAAGGTTTATTTAGTGGTGGCCCCATAGCTAAGGATCTCCCTGCTTAAGTAGTATGATTCCACACACACACACACATACCCCGGCATTTTCTTATAAGTGAGCTCTGAAATAGTTATTATTTCTATCGTCTTTTGACTAGATGTGTGACTTCATTACCCTTCTTCAATGGCTGGGAGTTAGGGTTTTTGTATATTTTTGGCTGGCTTGAAATGAAATGGTCTTACTGTTCAAATATTTTAAATGAGAATGGTGGTGTTTGTTTTAAAACATTTTTATTTTATGTTGCTTTGGGAAGCTGTATGATAGACTAGAAGATTACAAGGGAGCTCCTTAAATAAAACATAAATAAATACGGTAACTCTAGATGAATTGGGGATACTACTGATCCAGCAATATATATGTATCCAAAGCCAAAAAGTTAGATTGCCACTGATCAGCTGTGTAGGAAGGGACGCAGAGGAAGGGAAGCAGAGATTCAGTACCTCTCTTTGTCCTTTCTACCAAACAGGTGATTCCAGCTTTCTTGATTCACCTGTTTCGTGTGCTCTGTTCTAGCTATTTGCACGCGTGCTTTGTTCAATCAGGCCACAGTGTTCACCAAATAAGCCTGATTAAATAAGATGTATTGGCATTAAACTGTGTGTAAGTTAGTTAGATATTTTTATCTGACAACTCTGGCAGTTACTTGTACCAGCTTTTCATTTTGTGACCACAAAGCCCAGCATTTGTGATGTCAGCAGTGATGTCAGCAATACAGTCTTGGAAGAAGTAGATGATTCCCCCCCCCCAGCTGATTTCTGTGCCTCAAGACTGCACTTCCAGGAGGTTGGCACATTCAAGAGTGGACTTTGCTGCCCTGTGTGAGGCCAAATTTTGGCACCCCCAAATGGATCTTCTCAATTGTGGGTCTTCTAAATTTTGTGCCCCATTGGCTGGGTGCCCTGTGCGGGGGAACCACCCGCACCACCCTAAATCTGGCGCTGGGCACATTGGTTCATAAACATTAGAGACTTATACATATGAAAGAGATATCTGCACCATTGGAGTGACAAGAAAATAGAAGTGGTCACCATGAAAGGAGGAAGGAGCTGAAAAGCTAGGTAGATGATAATAGGTATCACTGCTTGTTGTGAATATGCTCATACACCACTTTCACCTGCAGGAAATGGGTTTGGCAGATGTTATTGACTTCAGTTACCAGCATCTCCAGGTAAGGCTGGAAGAGCCACAGTCAGTCAGCATAGAGACAATACTGAACTATGGGGACTTCCGGGTTGGCGCCTCTGGCAATGGCGGATTTCCTCCGATTGGGAGGAATCCGCTCCGTGGAAAACAGGGTCTGAACTGCCACGGCGAGGCGGAGACCCATCAAAAACCACAGGCGGGAGAAGCCTGTGGACGTGGGATTCGGCTGGCACCTTTGCGCCCCCCCTACTCGCGGGGAAACCCTGTTTTGGGGATCCAGAGCGACGTGGGGTGAGTGGCGCGGTGCTTTGAATCGACTGCTTTCACGGAGTGAAGCCGCATTGCTGTTGCCGGAGAGCGCTGACTTTTTCCTGTGGACAATTGGATTTTAAACAACTGCCCGTGAGTAGAACGGAAAATTGGACTATGAAATTTCTTAATTAGGCACCGAAAGCGGGAAGGTCTAAACAGGAAGTCCGCCTTCCGCTTTTGTAGAGAGATTGAAGCAAAGATACGGCAAGCTAGAGTCTAGAAAGTCGTTTGTAAAGGATTAAATTTTCATCATTTAAAATTACTGAACCCCCCTTGGAAGCAGGAGAAGAGGGGGGAACCTTTTTTAGACTGTCTAAACCTGCAGAAGAGAGAGTAAAGAAAGGTAATTTTCCACCGTCTTGAACCTGGGAGCGGGGTGTCAGGACTATGGACTATGGACAAACGTTTTTGACAGATAGTTAAAAGAAGAGAAACATTTTGACTCCATTGTTCCCTTTCGCATTTAAAAGGAACAAAATATCGACAAGATATCCGAAAAAGGAAAACTTTGTTGCTAGATCTGCTTTAAAAAAAAAAAAAAGATGGATACAAATAGAAATTGTTTCCCCTAGAGGGAGCTTGTGAAACTGTTATTAAAGTCGAACTGGGGAGCTTTGCAGCTGTAGAGATTAAAGATCGTGGGACCAGACTTCGACCTTGAACAAGAATGTGCTCGGAGGCTTTGGTGCTTGCCTTTTGCAAGACAAGTGCTTTATTGGAACAGTTACATGAGAAGATGGATTTGATGACTGTTGCGATCGGAAATTTTGGACAGGCAGTGGGTACCTATATAGAACCCACTCAGGAATTAATCCAGGAATGTGCTTTGACAGATCAGATGAGGGAGGAGGTTGTTGCTGGACCTCGGGAGGCAGAGATGGAGGGAGCTGTGGCCCAGCAGGAATATGAGTTGTTGGATTTGATGAATGAACCTGGAAAAAGTCAGATTTGGAGAGATGGAGTTCTGTTTGGCTTGGAGATGGGGGGCTGGATGGATCCCCCTATGCAGGGATGTTTTGACCTTTCAAGTCTGGCTTTGGGCCGGGGGGAGTTCGGAGTTGTGGGGGCCCTTAACTTTGGAGGGACTTTGAAACACGCCTTTAAATACCACATGGATTTCAGTGTTGACTATGGAAAAGGGGCTGACTTGTCGAGAAGGGACAAAAATATTGTCAAGCTGGAGTCTCCCCAAGTGAAAGGAGCAGAAGACAAAGTAAAGTACAGGTATAAACATGAAGAAGACCTGTGGAAGGGACATGGAAAAGACTTAAGAGCCTCGGATATAAGGTCACCAGGTTGATGGACTAGATGGATGGGATAGAAAGGACTGACAAAACCCGAGACCAGGAAGAAGAGACGATGGATGAAGATTGGAAGAAAGTTTTAAAATTTTATTTAGAAAAGTATTGTAAAATTAATTAATATTAGAAAAATGTTGGAATGAAATTATTTGGCTTTAGCAGAAATGTTAAAAAGAATTATGTAAGAATATGTTATAGTTAAAAGAATTTGGTACAAATAAGATTTAAGTTTTAAGTTTTAGGGTTTTTTTATGGTAAGATAAGGTTAAAATAGATTAAGGTAATTTAATGACAGAATATTGTGAAAGATGGAAAGGATTTGCTGAGATAATTAACAACTAGAATACAAAAAAGGGAGGTGTGAGGAGGTCGATGAAATAAATTAATGAAAGTTAAGGATTTGGGAATATTGGATTTGTTTCTAAATTTTTTGTTTATTTTTGTTTTTTGATTTTGATGTGTGTGTTGTTTTTTTCTTTTTGACATTGGTTTTTATTGATTTGTATTGTTTAATTGTTACTTTTATCTACCTTTTTCTCTCTTTCTCTCTTTCTCTTGTTTTTTCCTTCTTTTTTCTTTGTAACTTTAAAATTCTCAATAAATATCATTTTTTTTAAAAAAAGAGAGACAATACTGAACTATATCAATCAATACTGTAATTCTGAGCCAGACCATTGATCGATAAAGCTCAGTATTGTCTTTGAGTGCTTCCAATGTTCCTTTGGAAGTGAAGGCTCTATCAAACCATGTTCAACAGCTTTAAAAACAGTGTTGTCTCTATCCCAAGCTGACATGCTGAATGAAAAGTGTTATGCGTGTTGATTATGGTAGTACCACAAGGATTATGGGCTGTTTACAGATGCTTTTCATATAGGAGCATGGGTGAGTTGTTTAGTGTCTGATGAAGCCACAGCCATGCAGTTATTAAGCTATTTGTTTAATCTGACAAAGATTGTGGCTCAACTTGCCATCGCTCAGCTGACTTTCAGAAGCTGGTAGTGATCAGGTAAACAGAGATTGAGAAATGAGGCAAGACAATAACAATGATGGGGGTACCACAGATTCAAGAACTTTCACTTTGTAATCCACATCTTACTCTGAATTCAAAACAAGTGAATCAACTCACTGGGTGTTTGGTCACCCCTTTCTTTTGAAAAGAGAATGTGCTTAGCAGAAAGTATGGAGTGAGAACTTTAGCTGTAGTGGCTTATTGTCTCATTAAACCGCAGTAAATGGCAAGCCTTTAGAAGCGAGATAGAAATGTCTTTTTCAATGTCCTGCTAGCACCACCTCCCATCCTTGGCAGCTGGCCATTTTGACAGCCCATTGCGTTTCTTTGAGGCTCAGCAGTCCAGGTTCTGAACCTGTCACCACAGGTCTTCCCCTCCATTTATATCCTGTGTCACACAGAGTTAGAAATAAATTGTATTAAATAACTCCTGTCCCTGCATTGGGCAACACATCGATTTGCTCCTGCTGGTCTCAGATAACCCCTAGACACCAAATCATCCCAGATGGGAATTGCTTGGCTAGGACAAGTCTGTACTTCCTCTGTACCCCTGAGTTAGCTCATAGCTATCATGGATGGAACTGCTGGTTCCCCAGTAACCAAGTAATCTAAAGCACCTGCCTATTATATAATTGAAGGGCAGTGATGGGGAACCATTTTTGATGCATGGGTGGAGCCAACCACCCGTCAATCACCTAATGTCATAAGATGTCAGGTGATTCAAATATCAAGCTGGGAGCAGACACAGGCTTATATTTAACCTTAGTGCTATGCTCCCATAGCACTAAGATCAGAGAGATTTTTTATAAAGCCTTATGCATCCTCTTTGATGGTAAAAGGCAACCAATAGAGCAGACTTTAATGGGGATTGATAAATAGACAGACAGATAGCCTGGCTGTAATGTTGTTTTTGCCTAGGCTAAATCAGAGATGGAGAACATGTAGCCCTCCAGATGTCATCAAGCTACAACTCCCATCATCCCTGACCACTGGCCATGCTGACTGGGGCTGATGGAAACTGCAGTCCAGCAACATCTGGAGAGCCACATGTTGCTCAGCCTTGTGCTAGAGAATAAACCTAAGCTCTTGGTTAATCGAACTTGTGGAGTTAGCTAAGGAGGAAGCAAATGGGTGCTCCTGGAAGTTCCTCACACCATTCTGTATACTGCAGCTGAGCTCCACAGCCTTAAATAAGTTGGAGTTCTTGTTATTAAATATACCAAGAAAAAAGCACACCAAGAACTCAGGCCAACATAAGTTTCAATCGTTTTTGTTACTATTGACTATTGATTTGTGAGTAGGGACCACTCCCACTATTGAAACTTACGTTGGCCTGAGTTCTTGGTGAGCTCCACAGCCTGGCACATGGGTTCAAACATGCTCACAAACTGAGAGTGGTGATGTCAATTTCTGCTCAAAAAAATTCTAACATCCAGCCCCAAATTTAATGCTGATGATTGGGCTCAGGGGCAAATAATAATAATCAAAAGAAATGTCCTGGTCAATTTTTCTCCCCTGATCAGTTGGCAATCTTACCTGCCCTTTTAACCAGTGTTTTTGTCCACTCTTTGGTAGAACCTCTTCAGTGCACCCAGGGGTGGAGCTACCTGCCCCAGCAGCCAAAGCGGTGCAGGGGCGGGGCTAGCCGCCCGCTGCCTCCACGGTGAGCGGGGGGGGGGGTGCACTGCTAGCTGCCCGCAGCAGCATCATCCCTAGTGGCCCGCCGCCCGCACAGCGAGCGGGGTGGGCGGCAATGTCATCCGCCCTCACGGCTGACACCCAGCGCAGAGCGCACCCCCGCACCAGCCTTCCTCCACCAGTGAGTGCATCACACTATCAACATTAGCAAATAAGTTAAGACATGTGAAATAAGAGCAGGTCTTGTCTATCATTTGACAGATTATGCAAGCAAAAGGAATTTTTTTATTTAGGCAACAACAATAGAATGCAAATACCTCCCAGAGGTGATTTTGTGTTTCATTAGTGATCATTATGCATGCTTACGAGACCTCTTGAAATAACTATCTGCACAATTAATAGAACAAAACGGCTCTTGCAGCAATATATTAAAACCTGAGAACTGCTTGCAAAAATATGTACCTTAGTCAAAACTGCAGACAGGAATGTGGTTTTTAGGCAAGAGCCGCACTAACATTCTGAAGAATTTTTGTGAGGATTCTTTTTAACAAATGCAACTTGATGCAGAAATGCCTATGAAATATCCTAAGCAGACTTGGGCAAGTCACTGTATCTCAACCTAGCCTCCGTTGCAGGGTGATTTTGAGGATAAAGTGGAGCAAGGATCAAGCCACCCTGATTTTCTTGAATGAATGCAATCTCATAAATTTACAAAATAGTTTAGGATGTTCTTCAGAGAGACAAGCACACCATGCAAAATGCAGCAGAGGTAATAAATATGCTGATACACTGTCGGAGGCATGAAACTGGTTCAGGATAAAGAGCCACATCAGAAATATTATTGTGAAACAACTTATATGCATAGTGTGACAGGTCAGAATATAAATATTGTAGAAGGAATGTGAAATGTCTACCAACTGTACCTGTAATTAATTAAGTAGATTTGCATATATCCATTAACATGACATGTGTCAAACTATAAATGCTTTGCCTTCACTGTACAACAATATTTTTTAAATTCGGAATGCATTAGCATTAAATAATGAGAGATGATCACCCTGAATGCTGGCTTTTAAAATACGTTTCCTGGTTTCCAGCCCTTTAGCAATTATTGCTATCATATACTTTCATGCTTCCCAGTTGCTTAAGCCACGAGAAGTTTCAGGGTCAGAACTCTCTGGGTTTAGGGATGCTTTGAGTAAGGAAGAGCACTGAAGACTTCTGATGAGCATGGCAAATATATAAGTAGAAAATATAAGTAGTGGCAGAGAGGCCCTGCACCCCCAAAATACATTCAGCTTACAGCCATTTCATAACTTTTTTTTCACATTCTGCTTCTCCCCAACAGCAGGCTGCTTATTCAAACAAGTACACACTTCTGCTGCCTCCTCATCTGAGTTTGTGTGTGTAAAGGAAAGTGTGTGTGTGTGTGTGTGTGTGTGTGCGCGCGCGCGCGCGCACGCACGCGTGTATGTGTGTGTGTGTTGGGGGGGACTCTCTGATAGGTGATCAGAGGCAGATTTAGGCCAGTGCAACTAGTTCTGCCACTAGCCTCTGAGCCTAGAGGGCACCCAAATATGACGTAGTGAATTGAGCAGAATGGAAGGTGAGAGGTAGGTTTTTGCCAAATTGTGACCTTGCATAGGGAGCCACAGAAATTTAAAGGTCCATCGTCCGCCCCTCAGGTTATCTTATTCCAACACATGGAGATAATCTCATCTGTTTCCCATGCACTATCTCCCATTAAAGGAACATCAGCACTCATCCCAGGATATTAAATCACAACTTGTCTAACAAAGAAAATGGTTTGCCAACTGCTGCCATGCCATTTTGAAATGTATCTCCCCAGCCATGACGGCTAGGAAATTTTTAAGAAGAAAGAGGCCCTTTGGGACCGACACACGAGAAATGCCTTGGAGCTTGCCTGTTCCCCAAACTAACAAGGAGATCAATGTGAAATTGACATGTTTTTGCCCTGTAATCAGTCCTGTGATGCATGTCAGTTTTCTCGACTGCAATCATTTCCATCAAAATACAATATTTTGTTCCTCATTAATTACAGAGCCCCAGGGAAATGGATTGGAAGTCTAAAGTTATGTTGATTTTCTGCAGCCACCAGTAGCTTATACAGTGGTACCTCGGGTTACATACACTTCAGGTTACAGACTCTGCTAACCCAGAAATATTACCTTGGGTTAAGAACTTTGCTTCAGGATGAGAACAGAAATCGTGCAGTGGCGGCGCGGAGGCAGCAGGAGGCCCCATTAGCTAAAGTGGTGCTTCAGGTTAAGAACAGTTTCAGGTTAAGAACAGACCTTCAGAACGAATTAAGTTCTTAACCCGAGGTACCACTGTACACTGCAATCAGTTTCTTTGAAGAATTCAAGCTTTCTTCTTTATCCTGGGCCTTTTTTTCCACAGAAGGCATCAACCTCACGACAACCACCACCACCACCATCATCTAGGCATGCCCACCTAGTAGCCTTTTCCCTTTCTTCCTATTTAAATGTGAAGATTTAAAAACAAAAACCTCCCTGCCTCGGTTCTAAATTACAGCTCCACATAGCTCTTGTTGCCAAGGCAACTGGTCAATGCTCACTTTTAAGAATTACAGAAAGAGTAACCTGGTTTTCCCAGAATATTGAATTCCTTCACACTTCTCTATACCTTGCCAGTTTAGTTGATTAGAGGAAATTACTGCCCCTTCTCAGGTACCCGAAAGCTCCATAATAGCCTTCTTTTACTCTGACCCGTCTTACTTACATAACACCTGAGCGAAGGCTGAATGCAGCAGTGTTGTGTATTTTGCAAATTGGCTGTACTGTATATAAAATGCACTCATTCTGTCGGAACTCACCAATACCTTGGCCATGGGTAGGGATAGGTAAAGGTAAAGGGACCCCTGACCATTAGGTCCAGTCGTGGCCAACTCTGGGGTTGCGGCACTCATCTCGCTTTACTGGCCGAGGGAGCCGGCGTTTGTCAGCAGACAGCTTCTGGGTCATGTGGCCAGCATGACTAAGCTGCTTCTGGCGAACCAGAGCAGCGCACAGAAACACTGTTTACCTTCCTGCCGGAGTGGTACCTATTTATCTACTTGCACTTTGACGTGCTTTCAAACTGCTAGGTTGGCAGGATCAGGGACCGAGCAACAGGAGCTCACCCCATTGCGGGGATTCGAACCACTGACCTTCTGATCGGCAAGTCCTAGGCTCTGGGATAGTCAGTGCTTTTTTCTGGGGGGACGTAGGGGTGCGCATACCCCTAAATATTTTGTGAATCTAAGTTAGGCCTCATTGAGGGGCAGTATTTCAATATGAGTAGGAAAATGAGAGCACCCCTAAACATTTTTTTTAGAAAAGAAAAGCACTGGGGACAGTCTCCTTCCAACAACACCTGCAGCCAAGCTGGTTGCTCTGCTTTTCTCTGGGGCACAGCAGCAAGGCCGAGAGGTCTTGTCACCTGGGCAACCCAGGACCTCCATGTACACTGCCCAGGCTTGTGCCCTGGAGAGGTCACTTTGCTGTTGCTGCAGAAACAATTCAGTAGGCAGCAGTTACAAGTTACCAGTCTTTGAAGCCACACCAGGTGCTGTGATTCTCCAGCGGTTTGACTTCACCCTTGGAGGTAGACTCCATTGTCTCTCGAGACAGATGGATGCCAACATGAGCCAACTCTAGCTCAGTCAGTGGAGCATCAGACTCAATCTCAGAGTCATGGGTTTGAGCCCCATGTTGGGCAAAAGATTCCTGCATTACAGGAGGTTGGACTTAATGACCCTTGTGGTCCCTTCCAATTCTACAATTTTGTGAAACTATGAATGTTTGTTGGGATCCCCACTCTCCCAGGTCAAAGTGGAGGACGCTTCTAAACTAACCGAACACTTTTCATTTTCCAAATTCAAAATCTTGCCACCGATTTTACTCCTTTGTCTTTCCCCCAAATATTTATTTAACATGGAAGGCGAGGCAGTGTGCATAGAATCCTCAGCTGGTCTCCTAATCCAGGCACTGACCAGTCCCAAACCTGCTAAGCTTGAGCAAGGTGGCTGCATCAGGTGTCCCCAGACCATACCTTTCCAGGACACTATTCCTCATCTGAATCAACTAATTGCACCAGCCAAGGTTATATAGCAGGCGGAACCAAATGCATCTTCACAACTAGAGTTTAGGTGGAACAGGAAGAATAAAAGGACTCTTAATATGAGAATTACCTGACGGTTGTGCTTCACATGGGCTCATGTGACTACAATGGAATACTAATCCCAGGTGGCAATGACATTTTTATTCGCAGATAGCAATCTGCATTTCAGAAAGTGATATTTAATACGGTGCTTCTGGCAACAGATTGTTCTTCAGTGTTTCAAGAATATGCTTATTTTTGAGGAGTCCCGTCATGCTGTTCACATTCCTTCCAAGAATAAAGTCTTCAGAATTAGCACAGTATTTATATCTTATTCCCAGAAACAGGGGGCCCTTCTCTCTTGCATACAGCACTCCATAATATTTGATGTGAAATTCTTAGACCTTGAGTAGCTTAGAGAATTTATAGATCAATTCTCCAAGGACCGGGGCAGGATACAGAAACCCAGGAGTGGGGCCTTTTCAGTCATTGGCATGAGTCTTCGATGCAACCTTGTTGTGGGTATATTTTTCCAACCTTAAATGTTTCCACTTTCAGAAATGCATTGTTTCATAAAATTAATCAGCATCACAAGGAATTGACACAATACAAGTCAGACTGGGCAGCTGGAATGGATGCTAGTCAAATCTAAAATCGAAGTGATAATTAACTTTGACAGACCATATAGTTATGTGCCTAGCTCTGGAGGCATGTTAAAATTAATATATTAACAGAGCCTTCATTTCCCTCCCTTAAAATCTGAATAATGTAAGGGAAGTGTATGTTATTGAGCTGTCATGTCTTAAAATATTTAAAAGTATTCTGATGAATATAATTCCCTATTGCATTTTATTCAATCCCTCCCCCCTCCCCCAATCTAATATTTCAGTTAAACTACTTTTGGCTATTGCAAAAAGAAATTAGATAGTTTTGCAACAAATCTTTTAATAACTTTAAGTCTGCTAAATTAGATCCCCATCGATTTAGGGCAGTGAACATTTTTCCAGTTCAGAATTTCCAAGAAACTCTGCATCATTCTGAATAGGCTACAAAAACTAACTCTTTTGTTTGACTTATGGATGGAGGTAAATGCTTTGAATGACTATGCTTTCTCTGCTGAATATGCTACATGTATTGTTATTGCTGCAGTAGCTTATACTTTCAAACACAGTTTGATATTGTTCTATTTTAATTATTTTATGTAAACCATCTTGAGCCTTAGAAAGATGGTATGTATAAGTGAAGAAAGGTGGTATCTGTCATAAGAGCATAAGGCCTGCCCTGCTAAATTCTGTTTTCAAGAGCAATGGGTACTTTGTGATCAGTTCTCCTGAACTTCAAAAAGTCTTTCCCCCTGGAAATGCTGTGTATCTTTTAGGATGGAAAGTTACGTGGGAAAACCAGCCTCACATAACCAACATGATTAAGTCTAATTAACACATGAAAGGGTTAAGACCATAGAGTAAGCTGTCCTGACAGGTTTAACTCACGTTGGGAGGGACTAGGTAATCTAGCCTTTGTTCTTCATTCTGCCAGAACAGCTCAACATGTGAGAAGGCCTGAGCTGGTTCCTCCAAGCTCAGACCACATGACTCTCACGAGCCATTTTTTAGTTCCTTCACCAATAATTTAGGAACGTTCACCACTTTGCAACTAAGCCAAGTTTTACTGCCTGTCTAACTTTTTCTGAATATTATATGGAAAAGCACATGGATATGAGCTTTGGAGAATAGGTAAAAGTTTAACTTACCAAACTATGCTAGGTGAAGTAGGAAACTTTGGAAAGAACTAGCAGAGTATATTTCAAAGGTCTAGCAGCCTATATTTCCTCGCTTTACTTTGCTGCATATTTTGTGATTTAAAATCTCTGCTGGGGTTCTCTCACTAAAGAGTACTTGTCCCAAATCTGGATCTTGGCATCCAGGGAATTCTACTTTTATACCTATTTTTTTCATTGAACTAACATCTTACACCTTGCCAAAACAGAGGAAATGTATCACATACACACAAATGAAAGAAGAGGGTGCAGGTTTACTTAACATTGAATGTGCTAAATTTTAGGCATACTGTAGTTACAAATTTGAAAACAATGATGATAATTTAAATAGAAATACCATACATCACACCCTAGTGGGGAAGCCTGACCAGGTGATCACATGCTTGCTTAGTCCTCTGTCCTGGTGCTGTCTGTCAATGGGCATCTTTAGCTGCACTCCCTTCTTTAAACAGGACTTGGATGGGATAGCAAGAAAACTTAATATACAAATAGGAGAATATAAAAGTCATGTTCCTACCTTAGGACAAGCACCTGGCCAGTGAAGCATTTTCATCTACAAGCCTATGGATTTTACTTTTGAGGCAGTGGAATCAATATCTTTTAAGAATGAAAGGCATATATTAAAAGGGGAAGGCATTTCTATTTTAAAACTTTCTACTGAATCACCCAGATTTGTTATTTCTCGATGACCTTGAAACTTTACCAGCTTCATGTGATTTGATTCACAAATTTGCCATCTATTGGGCATAGACCACAGATTGATCCAAATGGGAACGAATGTCTTTAAGCGGCAAAAACTTAAAGTGGCTGATCGCCTCATCCAACACCCTGCTGGGTTTCTTGCCCTCAAGGCAGACACAAGAGCCAATCAGCACTCTAGTTCCCCTCTGACCTTTTCTGAGTTTTTATTTTCTTAAAGGATTTAGCTGCTGCTAAATGGGAAATAAACAATGCCAGTTCCAGGATTGGAATTCGTTTTCTCACTGGTTTAGGAGTGTGTGAGAGGAATGGGAAGGCACTGGATCCTTCAGATCCAAACGTTTTCACTGGCCTGCATCTGACACAATCTCAGTAAATTCTCTGCATGGCCCCCTTGCAGTCCTACTGACAACAGAGTTTTGGTGTTGGTAGAGCAAAAGTTGCAGATGCAGCAGGAAGTGGGTTATCCTGGATCTCCCTCTCCCAAAGTCAGAATCCCCTTTCTGCCCTCAGGGAGGGAGATCCAATGCTTCCTATGGCTTCTGAGATGCCCCAAGGCACAGGAAATTTCCCCCATAGTTTTGGTGCTCCAGTATCAGATCCCCAGGGGCTAACAAACCCAGGAATCAAAATAGCATGTAATATAGCCTCCATGGTCAAAGACAACAAGAATCATATTGTGCTATAAACTTGACTTGGATCAGTGGGTTACATTATCCAATAGCATCTAGAATAAAATTTAAATAATCAAAATGAATGTGATGCCACACTTAATTTATGTATTGATTGCAAATATTCCTATTTTGCACGTGTCAATAAGCTTTTTATTGCCTTTAGATGGAGCACACAACATCCCATATATTTGTTACATTGATTCCAATTTCCTGTCGAAGAAGGAGGCTTTAATTTCCCAAATTTCTTGCTATCCAAGGTTCTCTTGTCTCCAGACTACATCCTCAGCCAGCATTCTCATATGAAACACCAGCCTGGGCAATACGAGAACACCTTTCTCCATTGACAGGGTGGACAACCCTTAGTTTCAAACTTATTTATAATTTTGCTAACTTTCTACCATCTCTACCCCTACCCGAGAGACATAGAATATCCCACACCATTAACACAACTTTAACCTGTATGCATATTTTAAAAATGAAATAATTTGGCATAAAGTCAAAGGGCATATGAAGCCACCAGGTTGCTGAAACTAACCAGATTTGGGTCTGATCAATGCCTGGGTGGGTGACATTTTGGGAACCTTGGGTTCCATGAGGTAAGGGGAAAAGGTGGATATAAATGTAAGAAAATAAAAATAAACTCAACATTGTTGTATACATGTTTTTGTGAAACACATGGACAGTTAATCAAATCCCTATGTTTGAGCAATGAATACACAAGCAAGTACGGTAGTTTTTGCCCCCTTTTGTTACTTTTGAGAATCATATGGACCTCTTGACACTTCCTAGTGACACCTCCTGCAATTGAAACATAAACTGGTTCTAAATGTAGTCCTTTTGCTGTCAGTGCTTCCAAAAAGTCCTCCATAGTAGAGGATCTACTTTGTTGACCAATGCTGCCCAAGCCAACTCATGATCCTGGGGTCAAAAGTAGCACTAAGCTAGTTTGTTTACTTCCTTGCACTAGGGGAGGTCCAAAATCGAAGCAAACCAAGCACATGGCCCGTGCACTGTAAGGTTCTTGGCTTATCACTGCATTTGGACATGCCAACTATGTTGTACTCTTGTGTTGTGTGTCAGTGCTGGACAGAATTTATTGTCTGTATCAGCTTGTTTCCGGAGACATACCTAAAACTTGCAGACAAAATAGTATGGATAATGCTTCCCATCTGTATGGAATCTTATCCTCCCCTGGGGGAAATGGATTAGTCACACCCTGTTGATTGCCCAAAATATTGTTTTACAATGCTGTAAATTCAGTCTAGCCATCGGCAAAGGGACAGAAGACCTATCATCACTTGACATTAGTGAAATCAGGTGCTGCTTAGCTATCTCTATGACAAGCATATGCTGATTTCTATGCCTAGGTGAATGCCAAGTTATTTTGATTATGACACTCCCATAAATTAAAAAAACTTGGGAAGAAGTGCTGACCCACACCCTGTCTCTCCACCCTCAACATAAGTTTCCTTTTTTGTGGGGGGTGGGTGGGTTTAAGGCTATGTAAGTTGTGTTGATATAAATAAAAGCTTAATAAAAAGATTACTTTAAAAAGTGCATAGTTACAGGTAGGTCTGCCGTAGTCGAAACAAAATAAAAAAATTCCTTCCAGTAGCACCTTAGAGACCAACTAAGTTTGTTATTGGTATGAGCTTTCATGTGCATGCACGAGATATCTGAAGAAGTGTGCCTGCACACGAAAGCTCATACCAATAACAAACTAACGGTAGTTGGTCTCTAAGGTGCTACTGGAAGGAATTTTTTTTATTTTGTTTTTAAAAGAGTGGAGATAAATTTAAACTAAATTTTTTTGAAAACATTTATTTTTCAAACTACTGTTTGCTTTGTTCATTAAATTTATTGCTTCTATGTGATGATTCTCCTATGAAGAAAATGCCAAGAAATATAACCAAAATATATCCCTTTGTTTTAAAGGGAATAGCTTTTTAAATTTAACAAAGCCTATTCAGGCTGCAATGCTCTACCTGCTTACATGGGAGTAAGTCTCATTGAACTCAATGACACGGAGAAGCGGACATGGAGCAATGGATCCAAACTACAAGAAAGAAGATTCCACCTAAACATTAGGAAGAACTTCCTGACAGTAAGAGCTGTTCGACAGTGGAATTTGCTGCCAAGGAGTGTGGTGGAGTCTCCTTCTTTGGAGGTCTTTAAGCAGAGGCTTGACAACCATATGTCAGGAGTGCTCTGACGGTGTTTCCTGCTTGGCAGGGGGTTGGACTCGATGGCCCTTGTGGTCTCTTCCAACTCTATGATTCTATGTTTTCAAACTTTGCCCCGGAACCCAAATGGGGTCCATGAGCTTCTGTTTTTACTGTTGCGTAGCAAATTTCAGTCCCTTGCATAGTAATTAAGCCTTTACTCTTCCCGCTTCTACCTTGCACTGTTCATTTGGGTCCCCCCCGAATGTAATTAAGCCTTTTTTCCTCCCTCTTCTGCCCTTGCACCACTCATCTGAATCCACCCCATCATAATTAAAGCCTTCCATTTCTGATTGCAGTGTTCTGAGGTGATTTTTGGTGCTTTTGTTTTTGCTATTTTTCGCGTTTTTATGGCTTTTTAATTTTTGTGATTGTTGCTTGTTTTTTGTTTTATGATTGATTGATTGATTGTGTGACTGCGGAAATTGTGTGACTGCAGAGGCTTGACAACCATATGTCAGGAGTGCTCTGATGGTGTTTCCTGCTGGGCAGGGGGTTGGACTCGATGGCCCTTGTGGTCTCTTCCAACTCTATGATTCTATGATTCTATGATTCAATGAATCTTCTGCATCTGTCTCACTGTTTGATAATATTGATATGCTGTACAGGTTTTGTATATTTTTGGATGCATTGTATATAATGCTAAGGAGACTAATAATTCAATTGTTATGTGTATGTTTTATATTTATTAATAGTAGTTAAAGTAGTACTATTGTTGTACCCTATAAAAATAATATTTCTTAGTCAATTTCCTAAAATTAAATTAACCCTCCAGAGCATCTTTGAATATCCTCTTGTTTCTTATTTCTGGACCTATCCTCAAACAGAAAGGTCATCCTTTTTAAATGGCATTTCCTACAAGAAAGTAAGAGCTGCAGCCTGATACATTGGAACAGACTATATTAAACTACAAATTGGTAATTAATAGTATGACATTTGGACACTTTTTCCAGTGGCAACTAATGAAACATATGAACCCGAAGCCCTTTTAAAAAATATATTATCATATGCCAATTCTATTTTTGCAAATACTATCTTAGAATTCCGGAAAAGTAACATATTTGAAGCAAATATTTATATAGAGTGCAGTCCTGTACATCAGAAGCAAATCCCATTGAGTTCGCTGGGGCTTATTTCCAAATAATGGGGGTGTATATTGCAGCCATAGTGACATTAAAGTTGCTGTTGCTTTACAATTGCAATTACAATTATTATTATTATAGAAATTAACATTGTGTATTATCAGGTTTACTGTATGGGAAGTTGAAGCCTTTTGCTTTGCTCGCAGAAGCAGCCAAAGAATATTAACATTCTGAAAGAGAACATGCAATTGATTGCTTTTATGATGTATAATGCTACAGTTCGTTGAAGGTAAAAATGTTCTTGCAAAGCCAGAAGACTCCATGCACGCTGGCCTCACAGGATCTGGAAGTGTCCTCAGACTGTACTAGGCACCACTTCATGAGGAGCCTCTGGCTCTGTGGGGTGGCAGTTTTGTGCCTCTGAATATCAGCTGGTGGGAATCACACCTGGGAAGAGTGCTCTTGTTTCGTATTTCTGGGCTTCCCATGTGTAAGAATAGAATGCTGGACCTGAGGGGCCTTGGACCAAAACCAGCAGCACTCTTGTGTTTGATGATGTTTGATGATGCAAATGACATACCCTCCAACATGCCACAGAGGAAAATCGGGATGCACGTCTTTTGGGGCTGTGCTCCCATGCAAGTCGGGTGACTCAAGTAAGAGTGTAGCCCCCAATATGCTCGTCTTTCGCTGAGCTGCCCTCTGCACACACTCAGATAACACTGTCACCTATTCCAGCACCCACTTTACTCTCCTGGACCATGTTCATAGCTGTGCTAAGAGAATCATAGACTCATAGGACTGCAGAGTTGGAAGCCCCCCCTCCCCCCTGTTAAGGCCTGAATCTCCAGTTTGCCATGGCAGGGCGGGTTTCCTGGAGGCTGAGAGCACATGCTCTCTCCTTAAAGCCAGCCCTAACCTTCAGACTGGCCATTATTGAAATTTCAGATCTGATGTCTCCCACCCCTGCTTCCCTACCTGCAAGAGAAAAAAATACGGTCCTCAGGGAAAAAATCAACTTGCTTGCAAAGAAATGATAATGCAGTCCCACCCACCAGTCCTCTGCTAAATCCAAAGCCTGTTGTGGCTGCTAAGTTTTCCCCAGGAGGTGTGCGCACCCGCATTTAATGGAATCTCAAAACTACATGCAATGTGTCATTTTGGACTTTAATAGATCCTGCTCGTGCAATTTATTCCAATGATATGGGAAACAGGAGGTCAGAGACTTTCACTGTCAAAGATCAGGTTCCAAGGGACTTCTGGAAATGGTTTCCTTGTTCATGGAAAGTGTTAAAAGGTCTTGTTCAGCTACACCCACCAGCAGCCATTCTGTAATAACTCACCATGTGCACTAGCCTCCCATGTTAAGCTTTACAAATAATAACCGTGAGCCAAGATAGCTAGCAGAAAGCCATTATGTTAGGCTTCGAGGAAGGCAGAATTTCTGATTTACTGCTGCCTTCTGGGAATCTATGGTTCAGGAGGTCTGAATTCTTGCTCTTGTGCAGGGCAGAAGTCATCATTTCTTGGCAAAGTTGCTGAGGATGTGAATTAGAATAACACAGATTCTTAATCTTGAAACTCCAGGCAGGGGAATTAATCCTCAGGGCAAGCTTATCCCTGGGGAGGCAGGCAGAAGCATTAGGATTTCCTGGCACTCTTACAGGTTTTGGTATGCCTGACCATAAAAACAGATCATCCCTGCTGGATAAACCCCTAAGATCTCAGAACACTGAAAGAGATAAGGAAGAGAGAGAAAATTAGCATACAACTAACCTATAATGACTTTGCATGGCACTGTCCTAAAATTAGCAACCGCTAAGGAAGGGAGTAATGGCTTTATCCATATATAAAGTCTCCCCTGTTTACAAGTCAAGGAAGGATTTCTTTATCTCCCCCTGCAGGCTCAGCCTGAGGGGATGGAAACAGGTTGCTTTGAGGAAAAAGCTGGCAAACCTGCTAAAAATGGGAATCTGCAAGGGTTGTGCTGAATGTGTGCCTCTTTCCAATGCAGAACGATGGAAGAAAAATGTCAGTGGCAGCCCAGTTCAGAAGGTAACACATAACAAAGGCATCCTGTTAATTAATCTAGAATAAAATTTCTAACTTCTCATCACCCTTTAGCCACCCTAAGTATTCCAGGTCTCCCAAAACTCAGACCCTGCTGCGTGGACATAGCCAACAAGACATGTTTCCATCCTGGCAGATCAGTGATGGAGTCTGGCAGTGAGATTTGACAGAGTCCTGGGGTGCTTAGTGGAAGCAGCGGGTAACATAGCTGGCCAGTTAGAAGAGCCTGTCTGAGGGATGGAGCCTGAAAGACATGGTGAAATGTAGAAAATATCAAGAACACTAAAGGAAAGCAGAAAAGAAAGAACCCATCTCCTTGGTTCTAGCTTCTCACTCTGAGGCCCATTTTTCCAAACACCCTAAGAAGAACACTAGAAATTAAATCTCAAGAGCTGGCAAGCCAACTAGAAGTGTTCGCAGAAGCCCTGTACTTGGGGAACAATGAATGTGTGTAGGGGGTGGAAGCAGGTTTGTGGTGGCAGATTCCACCTCTCACTTCTCCTTGTTTAGTTGGCCACACATGACATGAGCAGACCTTACACAAGTACAAACTTAGAGGGATAGATTGATCTGCACAATGGGGCTCTGCCAGGTCCCTGGTCATGTTTACGGAGTCGACACACATATCTATGTACTATTCATGCAACCAACTGAATGTGCATAGTTTGGGTTGGAGTTTGCTATTGCAATCCTGCTCCCCCACATAAACACCATACACTTGGTTTATTCTGACTGACCAAGCAAATACAGCTAGGGGCTCTATATAGCCGATGTGTGTAATCTGATAGCACCTGGCCTGCGATCTCCACCTTGGAAATAGTGATGATCATGTTTCAAGGTGTTAAGTGTCCATTCTCTATTGTGCCATAGTCTTAAGGTAATGGAAGTCTATTGGCTGGAGTAGCCTAGTATGGGGACTATGCTCCTTGGTCCCAAATCAATAATACCATGTGCTGCAAGGCAGGTCTGAACCTGCTGGCTTCCTCACTTCCCATTTTGCTGGCTTGGGCAGGTACCTGGCTATTTTCTCTTTCCAGTGCCTCCATATGATTAGAAGTATGACTTGTGTCTGCTCATTCCACTCATCTCAAAGATCAATGACCTTGGCATAGGAGCAAGGAGTGCCAGTATTGTTCTCTGGCAGGCTTACTGGGTTAAAGTCAAGAAATATACTGCAAGATTTAATTGTGTTAAAGTGTGCTGCCTATATAAGGGAGTGATTTATAGTTCTGGAATTTTTCTGGGAACATTGGTGGGGTTTTCCATCTTAAGAGTGATCAGAAAGTTTAACTAAATGTCACATACAGCCAAGCAACTCCTTTCTGGCTATAGTACTGTTGCATGAGGAGAGTGAACTCAGTAACCCCATTGCTGCTGCTGCTGCTGCTGCTGCTGTTTTTAAACGAAAACCTAACAATTCTCAGGAAGACTCTTCTGTTCTGGGGACCCCTGCCTTCTGGGGCTGGAAGGGTTTGGGGTCTTTTTGACCGTGGTGTACCCCATCATGGGAATTCCTGCTCCAGAGATAGTAAATTACCATATACTATCTTTTAGAGACAAGAGACAAGAAAAGATGTTCCATATTCACCCAGGCATTTTGATGGATGATATGTGACTGGGAATTCTGCAACATGCCCAGAAGTACAGCTTTGAAACTCAAAAGCTGCACCAAGGAGAGTTAAATTGTGCAATTCTATCATTCATGCAAAGTAGACATTTTACATTCCTTTGCATAGTTCTGCATTGCTGTGAATCGGCCAAACAAGGGGAGTAAAAATGAGTTCTGCAGGATGTTGAAACCTATTTATTTATTAGTTAATAAAAATTTATATACCACTTGAATGCAGGAAAAAAACACAAAGCGGTTTACAAAAAGGATAAAACAAAGAACACAGGGAAGGCACCTGCCTGGTATCAGTATTCTACCTCCAATTATTGACCTTATTCAACAAGCATGGGCTAGATGTTTCTAAGCACTTATCTGCCACCACGATGTCTCTAAACTTCCTTTTTATTATGAATTACCAAAAAAAACACCTTGTTTTTTTTCCTTTGTGCTGAGGCGATCTATCTACTGATTGTATTGAAGAAAACCACACACAGACACAAAGCAAAACACAACAAGTCTTACTAAGATGGCCTTCAACGAATGTCTTCCAGAGAACTTTTGCAACTTAATTTTAGGAAACGTTCAAAAGGTTTACTATTTATGTTTTCTGCAATTGTTGTTGAAAAAATAAAATCTGTACAAAAGTGACTTTACAGGTACAAAGAATTAAATAAAGGTATCTTCACCTTAAAAAAAAAAAAAGAAAGAAAGAAAAAGAAAGCAAGTTGAAATTCACAGGAAGCTGAATTCCACATCCTAATATCACAATCGTTTTTCCATGCTCCCTCTACATCACAGCATAAGCACAGTCCTGGCCAATAAACCAGTACAATCACACGCCCTAGCTATTTGACTAGAATTACAGAAGATTTCAGAAATAACAACTCTTGCTATATAAGGGAGACCAGAGCAACGCAACAGATGTACTCTTTGGTAACTAGGCTGGGCTTGGGGGTGTGTGGAAACAAACATCTTTTTACACCCTCCTGCCCACTTTCTGTGTTCCCTCTGCACACCGTGAGATGTAAAGCACAGCCCCTCGTGTGGGTGAGCTTTTCAGAAATCCTGAAGAAATGTCAGCATGCAAATCCCACTGAAAGAAAAAGAGGGATTTGTTTTCCTGATTCGTTCCTTTAAACCCCCCCTGTGGTATACTGGAGGTGGCACAGCTGGAAGAGTGGCAGCAGTAAACCATGGTGCAATTTCACCTCTGTGGGCTTCACAGCATTTGACCCAGCAGGAGAGTTCGGCAGAATCTGGAAGGTGATTTGCAGAGCATTCCAGTATTAATTATTGCACATCTACTCCCTGCATGTGGTTAGGATCTCAGCAGCAGTGACAATTTCTTCCTGAAGTTAATATGCCTAAATAAGCCTTTCCCCTCTTTTCAGAGCTAAAACAAATGCTCATTCATTAAGCAAATCAAACAATGACAAACAACCATTATTGCCTGCTAGCTTTTAGTTCTGCTGAAGTAGACATCTTGGCAAATGGTTTCCCTCTCTCTAATCACTTTTAAATTCTTTTGAAGAGGAATTGGGATTTCATGGCATGGGCATTGCTCTCAAACGCTGACTTTTTTAGTGGGGGATGAAAAACCCAATGCATGAGAGAGGGGTACCCTTCCCCAGGATTATATAGAAAGCTGGCAGTCCCTGAAAGTACTTTAGAGCACACAGGGCTAACCCAAGACATGTTGGCACCTGAGGTGAACCACAAAATGACGCACCCCCTTCCCCGCCAGAGAAGAAGGGGTATGTGAAGATCTATATCAGCAACAAGGATGGAATAAAGATCTACATTGGGGGTCTGCTGCCTTTGTGAAGTCACCTAACCTTGCCTCATGGATAGGTTGGGCTTGAAAGCACATATGCGCAGCCTGTGACCCCCAGATCACCTCCCCTCTGTCCAGCTGATTTGTGCTGGTTTAGCAGGAGAACCCCTGCTCTTCCTGGGTCCAACCAATCAGACTCAAGAGACAGGAGGAGAGAGTCCAAGATTCTTTATTTCAGCTGTACAGCGAATAGACTCAGGGGGATCACTCCCTAAAGAACTGAGACCCCCCCCCAAGCACTGTTTCTGGGGCCTTTTTATACCAAACATCTTGTAACAAACACCACCAATCTCTCTCCTGTATTTTGATATTTTCCTTATACAGCACATGGTACCACCAGCACTGGCAGAGGAAGAGGAGGGCAGGGGGAGCACACCGCCCCCGGCACCACGATCCCAGTGGGGTGCCATTACAGCTGCCTCCCCAGCGCTGGACGCAGGCGGCGCATCACGCCCCCAGGATGCACGCCACACCCCCAGGACGTGCGCCGCGCCCCTGCATGCGACGTGCCACGCCCCCGGGACATGCACCAGCCACCTCCCCGCCTGCTCTCCGCCCTCGGTGCCAGAGCATGAAGCTCCGCCACTGACCACCAGGCAGAGCCAGTCACTTTCCTGGGTTCTTACTTCTCACCTTATATGGAACATCAGGCCATGCAAGACAGATACTTTCACAAAGGATGGATATATTCAGAGGCAGGGCCACTAGATACATTTCTACTATAACTGCTCCGCCTATGTATGTACCCACTTTGTGCCTTAGAAACATAAGCGGCGGCGGCGGCAGTGACAGGGGGCTCAAACCTGGCTACTACACTGGGAAAGGTTGAGAAGGATTCTCCTTGGCTATTCTGAGGGCCAATCAGCTAGGCAGCAGGGGGAGGTGTCCAATGAGATTGGGGTTTCAGCGAACCCCAATATGCACCTCCCCACTTCCTTGCTGCCCAGTAGCAAGAGCCAAGGAGAATGTTGTGGTGAGGTGGGTGTTTGATTGGTCTGCCTAAAGAAGAGATGGATAACTTGTAGCCCTCCAGATGTTCTGTAATCCCTGAACATTGACCATGCTGGTGGGGAGGCTGACGGTAGCAGAAGTCCAACATGATCTAGAAGACACCAGATTCCACACCCACAACCTAAATTAAAGTCTCCACCACCACAAGTCTGAGTGGTTTCCCACTTGTCCCTTGCTTTCTAGGCAGGGGGCTCAGTGATTTTGCCTTTGCCTTACTGCTTTCTCCCGGAAAACCCTCTCTTTAGCACTAAATCAGAGCAAACGTCAATCTGGAGAAAACCCAACTGATGTTTGCTTTGATTCAGGGTTTTTCCAGGAGCAAGCAGTGGGGCAAGCAGAAATCTGGATAGGTCCTAACATGCATCACAGCAATTTCTCAAGCAGGCCTGTATGTAAGATGGCCAAACTCAAGTGGTTCTTCCCCTTTCAAAAGAGAGGGCATGGACTAAGACACCATGCCTGCAGACCATGACCCAATGCTGTCCCTGCACCTCACATTCCTTCAGATGTCTGGCATTGGTTGGTGGTTTATGTTCATTTCCTGTGTGAGCTGCAGTGCTGTCCCTCCCTCCTGCTGTTGTTGGTGCCTTGTTTTTGCTGTGCCATATCACAAAGTGCTCTTGAAAATCTATTCCGTTTGAGGAAGGGCCTCTGCCTGAGACCCTGGAGACCTGCCAATACCGACCAAAGCTTAGATCCTGCCTCCAACTCTCCTCTTGGCTTGCCTGCATTTTCCTCCTTGCCCTTTGTATTCTTCTGGTTCTTGGTTCTTTGTCAAAGTGTGCTTTCAGTTTTGCATCATCATGTTTTTTCTCTTGGTATTTATTCTTCTACCTTCTAATATTTGTTCAATTGATCCCCTTCCTTTTTCTGAAAGCAACTGTGGAGTCATTTATTTCAGCCAGCCCACGCCTGATTGTTTTTGGTCTTCTCTTCCTTCCAATTTATTACTTTATTTCCCCTTTCATTTATCATACTCAATTGCCTAAATTAGATTAGAGGCCCATTTGGCAGGTCAGACTGTTTCTCCATCTAACCCCATGTTGTCTACTTAAGGGGTGGGTGTTGTGTACTGAAGTTCTCACCCTGGGCCAGCAGGGGGATACTGTAGATAGTTCAGGTCCACATATGCAAATAAGGGATCGAAAGTGAGTTCAGCCTCAGGCCTGGGAGCTGAATGCAGCCTCCCCACCTTCTCTAGCAGGATCTCAGGACTCTTCCCAGGCCATACCATCTCTCTCAAGGACACACTCTATTGGCCCTCCTTGAGTGTTTTTGCCTGGCTGGAATGTGTCCTAGATAACCAGTAATGCTTTCCTAGAGCAGTGTTTCCCAACCTTGAGACTCCAGCTGTTTTTGGACTACACTTCCCATCATCCCTGACCACTGGTCCTGCTAGCTAGGGATTATGGGAGTTGTAGTTCAAAAACAGCTGGAGCATCAAGGTTGGGAAACACCGTCCTAGAGTGTCCCTGTGTGTAGAAACAAGCCTAATGTATAAATATAAAATGTGCATTATTTTCTCCGCCTACTTTTCCCTTGGCCACACCCACCACTTTGCATGGGGCCTGTGGAAGGTTGCTCAGAAGGGAAAGCAGCCCTGAGGCTCAAAAAGATTCCCCATCCCTGGTCTGCTCTTAACTGACAGCATCTCTCAAGGGTTTCAGGCAGAGAAAGGCTGCATACACATCATAACTTTAAAGTATATTCAGTAGTGGATTTATGGGTGTGTACAGGAAGTGCATAATGAGGGTCCCCTGCAGCTAAGGTGTCCCCCCATGTTATTAGTATTCATTGTTAACATTATTATTGTTATTTATTGCATTTCTATACTGCCCTTCAGCCAACAAAATACATACCTTATAACAAACATAAACGATAACCCCCCACAGTTTAAAAGGCCTTAAATTGTTTAAGCAGCCAAAGGCCTGTGAAGAGAAGGTTTTTGCCCGGTGCCTAAAGATATGTAAGAAAGGCACCAGGTGAGCTTCCCTAGGGGGACAATTCCACAAGTGGGGAGCCAACTCAGAAAAGGCCTGCTGCCCCAAAGAATCCACCCATTTGCTGCTCTAGTTGTTTCGTTTTGCTGCCTGTCAGCCACATGGAGCAGTAGGCAGGCAGGTAGTTGTTGTTGTTGCTGCTGCTGCTGTTGTTATTGTGTGTGTTGGGATGGGACGGGGAAAGCATGCGAATTACCTGTTTCTCATTTTGCTGTCTGCCAGTCATGTGAAAATGGTGTTGGGGAGTATAGGAAGAAACGTGGGAATCTTCCTCTTCCTCTGCTGCTGCTGTGTTTGTTTTACTGCCTGCCAGCACAGAGAGCAGGCAGCTACTTGAGAGGAGCCTCAATGGAATATGAAGTTGTGGGGAAGATAACACAGCTCTTTCCTGTTTCAGCTGCATGCCATAACACAGAGATTGTTACAAAGCTCTTGGGGAGGAGCCTGGTGTAAAAGCATTTTCACCTTCATCATCTTCTTTTTCCTGATTGTTCCCAAGTTGTTGGATTTTATTTTTGAAGGTGGGGAGCCCAGTGCAATGGCATCTTCATTATGATTGCCATTCCAATTGTTTCCAAGTCGTTTGCAGGTGCGGAAGTGCAGGTGCATAACATTGATGATTATCAGGGTTTTTCTTATTTTTCCTCAAGGTTTTGTTTGTTTGTTTGTTTGTTTGTTTGTTTGTTTGTTTTTGACATGGGGGATCAATTCAGAGGCATAATTATTACCATCACCTCTTCTTCCTGCCATGCCCACAGCTGGGATTGTTTGTTCCCAGGCTGTTTGAGGAATGCAAGGGCAGATAAGTTATTATAATCTCCTCATACCCCACTAATTTTGACATAGCCATGTTTACAGAGCAAATAGCATACAGAGCAAATATGGTAGGTGAACGAATAGAGCCCCCCTCCAAATGGCTGTGCACAGGGTCCCACAGACCACATAGCTGCCACTGAGCACATTCAAAACACATTTCCACCCTCAAAGAGTTTTGTCCAGCGTAGTGTGTTAAGGGTTGCTGGGAATTGTAACTCTGTGAGGGGTAAGCTACAGTGCCCAGAATTCTTTGAGGGGGGAAATGTGCATTGATTGCACTTTAAAGGTTTAGTGTCCTTCTTGTCACCTCTTAATGATTCTTTGTTTTAACAAGAAATGTTAAGAGATCTGAACCTGGGACCTACTACAGTCATGCCTCATGTTATGTCCGTTTCATGTTACATTCTTTCACGTTACGTCCAGCGGTGACCCAGAAATACTGGAAAGGGTTACTTCCATGTTTCGCCGCTCGCACATGCGCAGAAGCACAAAATGACATCACACACATGCACAGAAGCATGAATCGCAACCCGCGCGTGCGCAGACACACCACTGCAGGTTGCGCTCTTTTCATGTTGCGAACAGGCCTCCAGAACGGATCCCATTCACAACCAGAGGTACCACTGTACATATAAAGCACAGCTCTGCTATTGAAAAATGGGGTACTACTTCGTTGCAATATAGGAAAAACACTTTTTAAGGGGTCTAAAAAATTACAGATTTTCAGTTACTATATATTCAGAAACAAATGCTTCCCCTCTCCATTACAATTCCACCTTTTTGTGTTTTAATAGGGTAGATGATACTAAAAAGACATTTAGGTTTTGTTCTTGAGGTAATATTGATGATAGCATTATTCTTAACTTTGTCCTTTATTGTGGGAGATGACAGAAACAAGGATATATTATGGTGAAACGCTTGGGGACTTAAAGCCTTAAAGCCTTCCCTGAAAGCTGGAGGCTTTCCTTGTTGTTTTTTGTTTATTTGATGTAGTCCTTTTCTGGCAGGTATTGCAAGGCTAAGATTTCACCTTTTAAGGCTTTGTGAGCAGCACCTCGAGAATCCAAATTACTTAGGCTTCTTCAGCTGAAAAGAATTCTAAGGATGGCAAAGACTCCTTTGAAGGCTCTCAGTATGAAAGATGTTAGTGCCTAAAGGACAGGAGACCCAAAGTAAGGAAAAGCTGGAGCTCCTTAGGCTGCGTGTGCAACTTTTACAGAACACTTCATCAAGCAGAGTGGAAAGAATGCTGAACCGACTAGATGGCTCTGATCCAAAGAGCTACCTTAGTTGTGTTATGTAGGATGCAGTTATTTTAAATGTTAAACTTGAATTAGAAGTCCCTAGGATTGCTGGTGTTCATTCTGAAGGGGAGGGGGGACTTTCTGCTCTGTGTGGAAACGCTTGTTTTAAAGATGCACAGGCAAGATGCTTAAATGAGTGGCTGCTGCAGAACTCCAGATGCTATCTGATGACACTAGTTATGTGGATTCATTTCAATCTGGTTTCCAGCCCAGATTCTGGGTCTTGAAACAACTTTGATTGTGCAGATGATGACCAGCATTGAGAGAAGGAGAGGGGAGCCCAACCGTGATCATTCTCCTGGTCCTCTCAGCAGTTTCCGAAGCAATCAACCTTGATACTCATTCTTGATAAAATGTGTGGTCAAATTGGGGGCACTGTGCTTCAGTGGTGGTTCCATGCCTATGTAGGTGGCTGTTTCCACAAGGTGGTGCTGGGGGACTATTATTGTCCTGCCCATGCTATGGTGAGCCTCAAGGCTCTATCTCATCCCCCATGCTGTTTAGCATCTTCATGAAACATTTGTGTGAGGTCCTCTAGAGTGTTGGAGTCTCCTTTTCTCCTTTTTACTGCATTTTTACAGAATTCAGGCAAAACATCAGCAGTGCTAAATTAGTAAATTTACTATAGATAATTGACTACTGGAGGTCCATTCTAATGAGAAGGAGAGTCTGCTGGTAGATGGTCTAGGTATGCCAGGAAAATGATGTGTGGCTTGCATTGGATGGGCATGTCCTCCCCCTGCAAGTCCATGTTCATAGTCTGGGGTTGTTATTAGATCCAGCCCAATCTTTGGTGGCTCACGGCGTTTCCATCTGCTCTGGTTTCCATCATGGTGTTCTGTTGCATCAGAAGCTGTTTAGTCATTCTGGCCACATGGCCCAGAAAGCTGTCTGTGGACAAACGCCAGCTTCCTCGGCCTCAAAGCGAGATGAGCACTGCAACCCTATCGTCGCCCTTGACAAGACTTGGTTAAGTCTTGGTTATCCAGGGGTTCTTTACCCTTTACCTTTTACCTTACCACCAACTAGGGCTAGTGAACCAACTGAAGCCTCTTCTGGACAGCCTGGCCATAGCTAGCCCAGGACTGAGGGTGCCAAACACTCCCATTAAGGTGGCCTGAATTTTTTTCCCTTGAGCCACACGACCTGAATTCTCCTAAGCCAAACCCCTTTTAAAAAGTGCATAGATTGGTTACAGCTAGGTTGGGCAAGTCTGAGTGCAAAATACTAATTTCATGCAAATTGCATGGAAGGGGAGAAGGAATTAAGAAAATGTCAGGAAGAGATGAATGGCAGGCAGCAGGAAGAGACAGAGAAAAAGAATAATGCCCATGTTGGGTTCTAGCACCACCCACTGCTAGATCGAACCACTCCCACAGCTTTCACTTGCCCTGCCCACAGCTAGGGTGTGCCTACCCCCCTAAATATCATCTGCGAGAGAAATGTTCCCCACCCCTGGGCTTCAGCATATTACTGCCAGGATAAAGCCTTTCGTTTTTCTGCCACAGCCTTTCCTAGGATCTTGAATGGCAGGAGCTTCAATTTGATAAGAGACTGATATTTAGTGTTAGGTTAGGAGCTGCCTCTCTTTGTGCCTGTAATACTTTTGGAAAGTCAAGAAGCTTCTGCAATAGATGGCATTGCTTCTAACATAAGCCCAGCCTAGGTAGCTTAGGGGATTTGGTAATGGGATATGGATATGCAACCTGCCTTCTTCCTGTGTCATTGGTTTACAACTGGTCCAGATATATTGGTTATCTGAATGTTATTAACATTGTAGCATTGGCACACAATAGCTTATTTGCATTTACCTGGAGAATAAGGGCAACTGTTTAGCATGCTCTGGAGAGCCCTGGGCTTCCTCAGTGATAAGATCAGTAAAGAAAGAGATGCTTTCTTGAAAGACAGCTTGCATACAACTTCTATCTTTCCCTGTCTCCCCCCTCCCCAAAACTGACTAAAAACCGAATGCCTTTCCTTGTAGGGGAGCTGCGCCACACCTTTGATCCTTTGCTTGCATTTTTCTATGATATCCTTTTTGAGATGGGTTGATCAGAATGGTACACAGTGTTCTAAAAAGCAGCAGCACTAAAGATTCGTATAAGGACATTCTTGCGCTGCAAGTTCCTGCTGTAAAGTGTGCATCTGCATTTTTCACTTGTTGAAGTTTTTTTAGGAGCAGGCTTGGATAGAGGGCCAAGACCTGCAGCAAGGTTCTTAAATATACTGAATACTGAAATAGTACAGTATTGTACAATAGTACAGTTGTTGTTGTTGTTTGTGTATCAAATTGCTGCGAGTACTTTTTAAAAGGAGGAACAAATGTATGTGGTCAAATTCCCTCCTGGCAGCCTGGCATATATTATAATACATGGTCACTGCAAAGCCTTTCAAAAAAAGTTAATGTTTGAAATTTTGCTGATTGGCACATGAACCTTTTGAGCTGATGGAGCGTTGTGTCCATGTGCAGGTGGGACTGGAGGTGATGCTAATACACAACCAAATTGAAACAGCTCCTTCTTCCTCTACCTCTTTGCACAAGCATAACGGGGATCTCTGGAGGTTCTGCTGAGACAGTTCAGTTGGTAGAGCATGGGACTCCTTAATTTCAGGGTTGTGGGTTCGAGCCCCACATTGAGCAAAAAATTCCTGCATTGCAGGGGGTTGGACTAGATGGCCCTTGAGGGTACATTCCAACTCTATAGTTCCATGATTCTAAAGTATATATCTGCATCAGTATGAAACCATATGGATCTAAGATGCATACAGAGGGGAAGCAATGCATTCCCTCTCCTTCCTTGGTACTTTAATTCCTCCCTGCTCTGTTCTCTGACATTCCTGTGATGGTGCTCCTGCTAAATGCGACTTGGGCGGGCAGCAAGATTGTCCATCAGTAGAGCATGAATCACCTGGAAAGGCTGTAAGGAGCATTATTGCTCTTTAAGGCCAGACACTGTCTGATCTTACCAACTGTGTGCAGCTTTTACCTGAGAAAATCTATTCCCTTTCAGCCGGTAAGTTGGTAATATGCTTGTATTGATTTTCAGTTCTTGACTGAGTTTCATTGGTCTTGCACTGATGGCTTAACACGAGTGGGAAGCTGATACTATATTCTTTTCTGCTTTGTTTCTCACAGATTAAGCTACTAATGATGAACAAATCCTGACTAAAATTTACATCTTCACAGCGTTTCAATAAGGACATAATAAGAGCCATGTTATATTAGATGATCCATCAAGGAACCCTAAAAGCAGAGCATAAAACAACAACTTTCTTTGTGGCCTGCTCCAGCACCCAGTATACTGCCTCTGAATATGGGGTTTCCATTTTTCTATCATAGCTAAATTTATCTTATGCGAGTTTGAGACTCCATTATTAGCATTAATTTTGTCAGCATGATGCATGAAACGCTCCCTGTAAAATCCAGCAGAAGCACCTGTTCGCTAAAGTGATGCATTCCAGCTTTAGCCAAACATTTGCTTTGGGCCAAAAATAAGGCCCTAATGACACGTCACTTGCAAATACAGAGTGGGAAGGGACTCTGAGGATCATGTAGTCCAACCCCCTGCAATGCAGGAATATGCAGCTGTCCCATACAGGGATCAAACCTGCAGCCTTGGCATTATCACCACCACCCTCTAACCAACTGAGCTATCCAGGCTGACATGTGCAGCACATGCTTTGTGGCTGTGTTCTCCATGGGAAAGTACCTTTGGAAGGGGAAGGGGGATCAGAAAAGAAGGAAGAGAAAGGGAACACTTGGGGAAGGGTTTGTAGCTCAGTGGTTGAGCATCTGATTGGCATGCCTGTTGCTGATTCAGCCCCCAGCATTTCCAGAAAGGGCCGAAAGAAACCCTAAGGAGTTAGATGAACTAATAAGTCAGCTTCCTATGTTCCTAGCCCTTTTGCTGCTCTACCACTTCTCTGGTCAAAATGGTCTCTGACCACTTGGCCTCTCCCTCTGGCATACGTTGTCATGTGGAGGATAGAGTGAGCTTGTTTTCTCCTGATCTGGAGGGTAGGACTTGAACCAATGGCTTCAAGATACAAGAAAGAAGATTCCAACTAAACATCAGGAACAGCTTTCTGACAGTAAGAGCCGTTCAATATTGGAATGGTTTCCCTTGGAGGTTGTGGACCTCCTCCTTTCTTGGAGGTTTTTAAGCAGGGATTGGGTGTCCATCTGTCATGGATGCTTTAGCTAAGATTTCTGCATTGCAGGGGGTCAGACTAGATGACCCGTGGGCTTCCTTCCAACTCTACAATTATATGAATCTAAGGACTCCACCCAAATATTCCTAGAAGCTGTTGTTTGTTTATGAAAAGTGGAAGGAGAGGGATAATTCATTTTTATTTCCAGGAAGGCAAATAAAGGGAGCTGTAGCAAGTGGTTAATAGCTGCTTCAATGAGAGGCCCCTTCCTCGACAATGTCTTTTGCTTAGCAATGTGCTTTTATGGCTCTCCCTGCACCCATAATGGCCAGGAACTTTTAAAATGAAAGCTGAGATTCTCCAGATCATTCTCAGTTTGGCATATTTGTATGATTGCAGGTGGCACACCGGCAGTTCTGCAGATTTTCACAGCTCTTATATATAAGTAGCCTGCGTAAGACGGGATGCAATTTCATTCATAACCTCAAAATACTTTGGCTCCAAGACACGCGGAGCACCATTTGCTTGCTTCATGCCATGCACTGGGTTTTCCTTGCTGGTTTGGGGTGTTCAGTCTTCATCAGCATTTTCTCTGTTTTCCTTTTCCACCCCTTTTTTCCAACCAAAAGGAATATTCCTATTTCTCTGCAATGAAAGTCCTGCGCCATCTGCCCTGTGGCTTTGACCCAGATATCGACTTTATCCCCTTCAAGATATGACAGTGTTGGGAAATTTATGTACCACTTTTAGCCTCGGTCTCCAACTTGCACCATAAACTATAGCAACTACAGGGTAATGTGTGCCTCGAGTTAACGACAAGCGATGCTGCTGAAAGTTTCAGACAAAGACACCTCCCCCCTTACTACTTCTTACATTTTATTAAAAGTCACTGAGAAGAACAGCAGCTTCCCTTGAAGTGTGCAATGCAAAAAGAGTTTCCTTGGAATTTGATGAGAAGCTAGGCATTACGCCATATTTTTGCAATCGTTTTTCCTGAACTCAAAGCTGTGGCGGTGGGAGAGAAAGTGCAGGTTAGATAAATTGTCTGTTGGGGTAGATTTGCAGAAAAAGTTGTTCTAAGTCAGTAAAGTGAATAAAATACAGACTCAACAACACACAAGATGCAATGTGTGCTAATAGAAGAAAGGGGGAAATGTAACTTTCACAAAACACCATTTTTGATGAATGGAATTTTCCTCTGAGGCTTCTCTAAGAGCCTGGCTGTAAGTAATATACTGTATAGTACCTGTAATGTGGAACTGTTGGCTTTATCCCCGTCTCTCTCTCTATTTTCAATAACATAAAAGCAACATATGGGTGGAATCCACACACATATAAAAACCATTTCAAAAATGCTTTTTTAAAAAGCCTTTTAAAAAATACATTGAATTTTCCATAAGGCTCACTATCGCCATCTAGTGTCACATTGTATATTGCACTTAAAACGTTTTATTTGCAGCGAAATAAATTAAAAACTTTAAAAAATTGTCCAGTAGCACCTTAAAGGTAAAGGGACCCCTGACCGTTAGGTCCAGTCACGGACGACTCTGGGGTTGTGGCGCTCATCTCGCTTTACTGGCTGAGGGAGCCGGCGTGTACAGCTTCCGGGTCATGTGGCCAGCATGACTAAGCCGCTTCCAGCGAACCAGGGCAGCGCATGGAAACACCGTTTACCTTCCCGCTGGAGCGGTACCTATTTATCTACTTGCACTTTGACGTGCTTTTGAACTGCTAGGTTGGCAGGAGCATGGACTGAGCAATGGGAGCTCACCCTGTCACGGGGATTCGAACCACCAACCTTCTGATCAGCAAGCCCTAGGCTCTGTGGTTTAACCCACAGCGCCGCCCGCGTCCCATAGTAGCACCTTAGAGACCAACTAAGTTTATTCTGGGTATAAGCTTTAGTGTACATGCACACTTCTTCAGATACCACACTTAAAACGTTTTATTTGCAGCTGTATAGCTGAGTCCATGGAGATGCTTGGCTGGAAAAGCAGATTTCCTTTAAATATTTGGTACTTTACATATTTTGGTACTTTCCTATACTAGTGACATTCTAACAAAGGGGTCACCAATGTCTTTGAGCTTGTGGGCACATTTGCAAAATTGAGAAACTGCTGTGGGCACACAAATCGTGACCAAGGACACAGTAGTCTATTGCTTACAACAGAATGCTTTATTCAAGCTTAATTTCAGCAGGGGGTGGAGGAGCCTGCAGGCACCAGGGAAGGCCTCTGTGGGGACATGTGCTTCTGTGGGCACCAGGTTAGCGCCTCCTGGAAAACAAGTATGCGTTCCCAGATAGCTCAGTTGGTAGAGCATGAGACTCTTAATCTCTTGTTGCAATCCTGAGCATAGTTTACTTGAAAGCAGGAGATGGGTTAGACACAGCATATTGCTTGGTATAGCTGTTCCTGGACTGTAGAACTCAGAATTTAGACTGGGAGAGAGATGCTCACAATCTGTGCTTTCCAGAATACTCTATAGGACAATTTAGACTAGGGAACCTGTGGCACTCTAGACACTGATGGGCTACAACTGCCATCAGCCCCAGCACAGCCAATGGTCAGGGATGATGGGAGTTGTAATCTGGCAACATCTGGAGAACCTTGGGGTGTTTCTTAAGCCATTGGAGCAGAATATGCAGTCTGTTTTGCTTGCAGCCAACTAGCAGTACTGCATTGTAAGTGACTCAAAGAAGCCAAGACTTTCAAAAACTGAGGGGCTGCAAGGGAGGCCAGAATGGAAACCTATTGTGAAAGTCATGGTGCCAAGCTTTTTAGCCAATCTGGCACCAGATTCATAAGGCTTATTGTTTGGCCAGTACCTGAAGCCCAAGTCATAGCTGATTGAAGCCTATGTCCCCATTCTGAAACCCTGCAGAGCAGTTGCCGGTCAATTTACCGTATTTTTTGCTCTATAAGACTCACTTTTTCCCTCCTAAAAAGTAAGGAGAAATGTGTGTGCGTCTTATGGAGCGAATGCCGGCTGCGCAGCTATCCCAGAAGCCAGAACAGCAAGAGGGATTGCTGCTTTCACTGCGCAGCGATCCCTCTTCCTGTTCTGGCTTCTGAGATTCAGATTTTTTTTTTCTTGTTTTCCTCCTCCAAAAACTAGGTGTGTCTTATGGTCTGGTGCGTCTTATAGAGCGAAAAATACGGTAGTTAATAGATAGATGGGCCAGTCACCTGATTTGGTGTAAGATAGGTTCTTATACTGAGCATGTTACTAAAATGATGTATCAGCTGCAATGACTACTTGTCCATTTCAAGAGAACCAGGAGCAGGGAACCTGTGGCCCCTCCAGATCTTGTTTAACTACAACTCACATCATCCCATGCTTGCTGGGGCTGATAAGAGTCGGAGAAGACAGATATGACACAATAAAACAGCTCGCTCCACTGTGACTGCACTGCAAATGAGCCTTCGTGCCTAAATTAGATTGGCCTGTGTGCCCCCAATCCCCTTTACTGCCGCAACCTTTGCTGCTTCCCCTCTGCTCTGGTTGGTGAAAATTGACATGGCTTCCTGCAGGTAGTTGCTGGAGACTGGAAGTTTCCTATCCTACACACTTGACTGCAGGCTGCTTTGTTAATGTTCTCCTATTGCAGAAGGAAGTAGCAGCAATGAAGGTGAAAAAAAGAGCAAGACTGACAAGTTGAGCCACTGCTTCGTTTGATGGGATGCTTGTCTGTCAGTTCAGCCATGAAGACAGATTGGCAGTGCATCTGACAAATGCCCTTCTGAGCCTCCTTTTAATATTATGTCCGCCGATGTCTTAGACTCCGGGGCATCAGGCCGTGCAACTGGGTATCCTTGACCTCTTCTAAATTGTGGTCCAATTAAAGAACTTGGACATCATCCACAGGAACACACACTTTCCCTCTGTCACTGGGAAGCAATGCAAGAGTTCTCTGGCATTTCAGCGAGGGAACAGTTGCGCATAGCAAAGCCCTTGCTCGTCCCATAGTTTTGCCATCCACTTTAGGCATCTGGTAGTTAACAGCTGTTTCTCGGGTGGCATGGAAAGGGATATGGAGGCAAAACCTCCCTTAGCCTGAATTCTCCTTCAAGGGAAAAAGTCTTGCTCTTGAGGCAATTAACAGCTTACATGTCCTGCACAAGCACACCAGGAATTTCGCACTCAGAGAAAGCCAAAGATGTCTTGACAGTGAAAGCTGGCTTGGACCAGTGCTTGCCTGAAACAATATGCCAGTCTGTCGCGCGGCAGTTAGAGGAATGGGTATGCCTGAAACTGACCAGCTACTGAGTGACAATAGGGTATTAAATGAAGCAGTTATTGCACAAGGCAATACTGCCATTAAATATGTGTTTTGTGTGCCGGTGACAAGCTCCCCGTTTCCCAAGTGGTAAACCAGGGATGGAAAACCTGTGGCCACCCAGATGTTGCTAGACTGAAACTCCATTCATCCCTGATCATTTGAGGTGCTGGCTGGGGTTGATGAGAGTTGAAGTCTGGAGGGCATTATCTGGAGAGCTACAGGTTCCCCACTCCTGAAGTACAGCCACTGCACTTGTGAAAAGAGGGTACCCAGACACTTGCAGAGGTAGGGGTGTGTGTGTGTGTGTGTGTGTGTGTGTGTGTGTGTGTGTAAGAGAGAGAGAGAGAGAGAGAGAGAACTGTTTATCTGCAGATGAACAGACTGAGCATGGGAAGCAAGGCAGGCAGCAGTAGCAAAGCAGCTTTAGTTTTGCCAAGAGCACAGGGCCAACCCTTTGTTGTCTTTATATTTACCCAGGCTTTTTAAACAGTTGCTGCTGGTGCGGTTTTAGCAGACTGCATTGTTTTCCTTATTGTTTTCCTGTCATCATGAACCGTCCTGGGAACTTATACAATGAAGGGTGAAATAGATATAATATTTAATAAAATAAGGCTGCTTCCTCCTGCCAGCTTGCAAAACCCTGCCTCCTTCCCTGTCCATGTTTTGCTTTCTTTCTCTGTAGCCCACTCCAATACAAAATGCCAGTCCCTACAGAACAGGGGTGAGCCCAGCTTCAAAGCTATGAACCATCAGTGCTCATTGCAGAACTCTGCTGGAGCCTGGAAAGCTCACTTGGTTAGAGTGTGGTGCTGATAATGCCAAGGTTGCAGATTTTATCCCCTTATGGTACAGATGCATATTCCTGCACTGCAGGGGGTTGGACTAGATGATCCTCAGGACCCTTTCCAACTCTACAATTGTAGGATTCTTCATGCATCTGACAAAGTTGGCTCTAGTCTAGTTTATGCCATTGTAAGCTGCAAGGTACCATAAGCCTCTTTGCTGTCTGAGCTCAAAGAGCAGCTGCTGAACAACTCTGTGGAATTTCCCCACACTGGCCCACTTATTCATTTGGGTACATGGAAGAAGTTGTCCTTTTCGCTCATTGTTGATTTTATAATGGGCTTAATTAGATCCTGGAGGAAGGGAAAGCAAAATAAACATGACATAACAAAATGAATCCACAGTACAGGGCGTCTCCTCATATTTTGGCAAAGTCAATTCTTGTCACCTAAGCAGATAATCCTTTTACGCACCTCATTGCCTATAGCATGGCAATGCCAATAAGAGTATCAGCTGGCTGGATTCTAGAAATGTTGATATCTTGGCTAGGTCACCTTTTGGCTTGTCTGATTCCACCCTTTGTAGGAATGTGACCCACCTGCATTAATTCACACCTGTTGTCATGCTGGCAGCTGTTCGCTGTATGCGATTTGTCTGAAATTTGCTCAGACAGTCTTTCCTCACCCATATAGGGTATGATCACATGTAAACCCTTTAGGCTCGTGATGCACAGAACATAATGGATACTCCATGTTGAAGCAGTATACCTTTGAATGTCAGGTGCTGAGGACAAACAACAGGGACAAACTACCACACCATGCTCTGGCTGGACCACTGTTGAAAAGGCACTACTGAACAAGATAAATGGTGGTCTGATCCATAGCCTATACTATCTTGTAAAATAAGTTCTGCAGTGAAGGACCATATAATAGCCTGACTCAGTGCAAAATAGCTTCAGTTTGTAGATTTAAATGTATATCTGCATCCTTATTTGTTTATTTCATAAAATGTACATACTGCTGGATTGTAGGGGGAAAACCTCAAAGAGGTTTACAGTACAACAAAGATAAAAAAATAACATTATCACTAAAAAAAAGTTACAACCATTATTTAAAATACGTAGAAAGTTAAAACCACAATAGAATAGACTAAAAGAAACTGAAACCCATATGAAATTTCTAAACATCTGAGTAGGCTTGTCTAAATAAGAATGTCTTCAGCAGGTGCCGAAAAGAATTCAATGAAGGCGCTTGTCTGATATCAAGAGGCAGGGAGTTCCAAAGTGTCAGTGCTGTCACACTAAACAATCAAGTTCTTACAGATGGGGTGCAGGTATTATGTGGCACCTGTAAAAGTGCCCATTCTGCTGATTGAAGCGGTGGAGTGGGCACATTGGGTAAAGCAATCTTGTAGGCAAACTTAATCAATGGATGGACTGTGAAACCTTTATTAGGTGGCCTTCAGCCTTAGGTCTCAGAGCAAGTAAATCAGTAAATCAACAAGGGATAAAAAACTGGTTTCATTTTCAACCCAAATAAGCTATGATTATTAGAATTAAGAAAACGTGCCACTGTATTTAACAGCTGCTGGCGCAAGTGGGGAGAGTCTTGTTGAACTCGGGTCCTGATTACAGGCTTCTCATGGGCACCCAGTTGACCCTTGTGAGAATAGGATGCTGGACCACATGGGCCTTTTAAGTTCTTTGAATGTCAACATACATATCTTCATGCACATCCTCAAGCTTAATCCCCATTCCTAGTCTTCTGTTTGGCTTTAATGCACTTTACAGTTCAGCTAGGGACGCGGGTGGCGCTGTGGGTTAAACCACAGAGCCTAGGACTTGCCGATCAGAAGGTTGGCAGATCGAATCCCCGCGACGGGGTGAGCTCCCGTTGCTCGGTCCTTGCTCCTGCCCACCTAGCAGTTCGAAAGCATGTCAAAGTGCAAGTAGATAAATAGGTACCACTCCGGCGGGAAGGTAAACAGCGTTTCCGTGCGCTGTTCTGGTTCGCCAGAAGCGGCTTAGTCATGCTGGCCACATGACTAGGGAGCTGTACGCCGGCTCCCTCAGCCAGTAAAGCGAGATGAGCTCCGCAACCCCAGTCGGTCACGACTGGACCTAATGGTCAGGGGTCCCTTTACCTTTAGAGTTCAGCTGGCTCACTATTAACTATCAGAAGTATTAGGGTGAACCAGATTTTTAAAGAGGGGACAAGAGTCCTTATCTGGAAAGCTCTCCCTGACAGGTGACTTCATAGCTAACAAGGGATAGATGAATGAAGCCAAGTTAAAAAAAGAGAAAAGATAGATGACTGACGTTTAGCAAATGTTGGATGACTGAAGTCAAATCATAGACAAGTGAACTGGCATGCTATGCTTCCGGCAATACCTTTTGAAGCTGGCAATGGGGCAGGTGGTGGGAGAAATCTAGCTCACACTTTTCCTTTCCCATTTTCAGTCTGATTCTAAGTGTGATGTAGTACTAGTTCAAACATGAGATGAACACTTGGGTCTTTTTTCTTTAGACAGATTTACTAGCATATGTGCCGGAAAGCTTGTTTTCTTACTATTTTCTGCTGCCTTAAAAACCCTATAGATTATGATAGTGCCAAACAAGACACGGGAAACTATCCAAATATATTTAAATCTATACAGGGATAAGCACTGACTTTCAACATTACCTACATTATGTTTCTGGTTCTGTGGTAAATACCCTGTGCAATTTTGGGGCAAACCATTTATTATTTCTAATACTGTAGGAGGAAGGAAGGGGAGATTTAAACATACTGCACATTTATATAGTATATATATTTTAAACAAAACTGTGGATGCCCATACTGGAAGTAGACAATTGATCTTTTGGTTGGGAAAGCCAGAGGTTTAAGGCTTTGGTACATATCTAATGGTTCTAGCAGACACCACAATGAAAACAAGATATCTGCACATTCCTCCTGCAAGAAAGGGGCTCAAAGTATATTCCCAAAGTTATTTGTACATTATTCAGGTGTAGGAAGATTATGTATGTATGTATGTATGTATGTATGTATTTATTTACTAAATCTATGTCCTATCCTTCTTCCCAAAGGAACTCAGGGGAGGCCAACAAGTGATAAAACAATGAAAAAACCAGGGCAGATGCAAACTGGGAAAGGTCTTCAGTGCCCATCTGAAGAACTGCACAGATCCAGACCTGCTTGGTTTTTGCATGGTTGTGCCATCATGTGTTTTTAGAATGTGCCCCAGGGCCCCACACAAAGCTTATTTGGAGTGCACATATTGACTAAGCCTGCTCCAAGATGATTGGTACCCAAGTACCAGAGCTTTGTCTGTTCTTCAATAGAGAAGATGAAAAACAGCTGGTACCATGTCCCTGCAACTCTAGGAAATTTGGGTGAAGGAAAGTTCATTCCCAAAGCACACTAAATCACATTTCAGAGGCTGCATTTTTATGAGATCCAGAGATTGGCTGTTTCTGGTAAGGCTGGCTTTAATGGTCTCTGAATGACTTCTGATCCGCGGTAGTGGAAGGAAAATCACCCTAAACCTCTTTTAAGTCTGTTCCTGTGAATTCATGGGGGGATAGTTAGCTGCCTACACTTTCAAATGGTTTGAAGAATTGAAGCCCTCTCTCACTTGCAGGGTTGTGTATTATTTGCTGCATATTTCTCAGCCTGGGAGCTGACAAGCTGTATTTCATTGTGTACCATAAAATAGGAAGTCTGAACCTTTGGGGAAAGTTAATCATCACTTCAGAAACTGCAGTTCTATCTAGGCATCTAGGCAGATGGTATCTCGGCAGCTCAAAGAGATTAAAAGAGGACACTCATTGACCGCAGGCTTGCGGTTTAAGAGTAAAGATGGACAGGCATTCCCAGGCCCCTTCTGTATTATACATTTAAAGCAAGATCATTCCACTTTAAGCAGTCTTTGCTTTTCCCAGAAATTCCTAGGAATTTGCTGTGTGTTGCTGTGTGTTGTTAGGAGAGCCCTATTTCCCTCACAATGCTACAGTTCCCAGGGTTCCCTGTGGAGAATTATTGATAGTTAAACTACTCTAGGAATTGTAGCTCAGAGAGAGACCCCAAAACAAGCAAGAGACCAATAAGTATAACAGGTACCAGCTACCAGGTATTAGTCTTCCCCAACCTGGTCCCCTCCAGATACAGTGGTACCTTGGGTTACATATGCTTCAGGTTAAAGACGCTTCAGGTTATAGACTCCATTAACCCAGAAATAGCACCTCAGGTTAAGAACTTTGCTTCAGGATGAGAACAGAAATCGTGCAGTGGCGGTGCAGCGGTAGCAGGAGGCCCCATTAGCTAAAGTGGTGCTTCAGGTTAAGAACAGTTTCAGGTTAAGAACGGACCTCCGGAACGAATTAAGTTCTTAACCCGAGGTACCACTGTATTGTTGAGCTACAACTTCCATCAGCCTCGGGCAGCATGGCCAACAGTCATGAACAAGCACAACACTGGCAGGGCTACGATAAGACACTGCCTAATAAATAAGAGGAAACAGAAACAGAGAGGGATTCCTGAGGAGTCCCCAACCAGGAAGTGGTAGGGAGAAGCATGAAAACACAACATACTTATTTGCCCTCAACCTTTCTTCCACCAACCAAACAATAGGTTGGTCAACCTGTTCTCCTGCTTCTGTACGACACTGGAGCTTCAAATCCAACTTTCCATTCCTGACCACAAGGCAAGAGAGCAGGCGGGAAAGGGGTGTCCAAAAGCAGTTTCTGGGGAAGGTAATGAAAAAGAAGGCAGGGAACTCTTCTGTTGAGAGTGAGTTGTCCTCCCTCCAATTCCCTGGTGCCATGATGTTCTCCTTGATGCCAAGGCTCAGATAATGGTCTCAGTACCTACAGACCTGCCTCTACTGCCCTGGGCTCTCATGAGGGCTTGGGAAAGTGTGAATACTGCACCACAATACCGCTACAGCTTGGGGAGGGATTTTGACCCTTCATATTTTTCTGCATTGGTAGAGGGTTTTCATAGAATCATAGCATTGGAAATGACTCCCCCCTACGGCCATCTGGTCCAACCTCCTGCAATGCAGGAATCTCAACATGCGGTTCCCCATCCAATTCAAAACAACACCAGACCCTGCTTAGCTTTGCAAATGTGTGCTAGCATTTTTATAGCTGCCCCACTAGTTTTCTTCTCCCCTGCAGAGCCCCCTGCCCCAGCTTTGAAGTAAGAATATAAGAAAAGCCCTGCTGGATCAGGCCAAAGACCCATCTATTCTAGGATCCTCCATCATGTCATGGATCAGCTGGCGAAGGGGCCTATGTACCTGTGTGAATGTCCACCTGTGTGTGCGTGTGCATGCACACATGCAAGAGTGTGGGGGGGGGAGAGTGGGGTTGCCACATGCACCGTATAGCATGTGGTCCCCAGAGGGTTGGCCAAAGACAGAACGGATCCCAGGTTGTGCTGTCTGTGGTCTCTGTGCCCTTTGGAAGTCACCTTATAGCATTCCTTATTCCCCCATTATAAATAAGGATTTGAAAATTATTAGTTCCGTAGTGAAAAGGAGTGGGTTGGTTAGATGAGAGGTATTAAAGGAAATAATCTGTATTCCTGACAGGTTAGTAAAATGGTTCAGAACACTTTGTCCTTTTACATATATATATATAGAGAGAGAGAGAGAGAGAGAGAAGGAAAAACATTGCCTCTGTACCACTGCCAATGTCACCAAGACCTTGAGTACATCTGTCATTCAAGTGACGGCGAGACCTGTTAAACTTCTCCAGAAAGTCCTCTAAACTTTTGCCTTTGTGACTTGGTGTGACTTGCAGACAAGATTGTATATCCCAATATGAACCCACATAGCAGGACATAAACATTAAAAAACACATGTCTTAAGAATTTCATTCTGTATAGTTCCTGTAACTTCTGAAATCACAGTTGCCGTAGTGCAGGACAAGTGATGATGTTTGAAACCTGAGCAGGCAGAGCCTGATGAACCTGCTGTGACCAAATGTGGCACCTAGAGAATCTGGCAGATTGGAGGTGGAGCCAAGTGCGGCACATGGGAAGTTGGGGCGGAGCCTGAATAGAACCTGGTGGCTTGTGGGTGGAGACTTGCAGAAAATGGTGTGCTGGGCCTGGCAGAACCTTGAATTCATTGGCATTTCAGAACCCAATGTTTTATAATTGCACTACCTCACTGGTCAGACAAATCAAATACTGAACCGATAAGTGGTCAGATACAGATAATTAGAATTTGTTTTGAAAGTCAAGTTTGCCTTTATGGGCATAGCCAGGGGGACAAGGGGGCAGGTGCCCCCCAATCATAAAAATGCTTAACTAAAATTAGAAATAATCAGGATATTTGGAATTGAAATGCTCGCTGAGTTCACTTGAATGATATTGTGGCGCATTCTAGTGACACAACTGGAAACCTGACTGAGCAGTAGGCGTGGCTTCTGCAAACTGCCCAATCGCGTCACAGGTAGCTCGGTTCTGGAACAGGACAGGTGGGTGTCCTTTCTCCTGCCCCGCCGACATAAATCCTGACCATGCCCATGTTTGCCTTCATAAGATGACATAGGCAATTCATATGTTTGGATTTTTAATGTTTTAAATATAGGACTAAAACAGAACTTGAGAGACAGCTGATGTAGCAAAACTGAGCAAATTTATTATTTATTTACATAGGGCCATTGGTGTTAATGATGCTTGCAATAGTTATTACAACACAAAGACACATCCCTGCCTGGAAGAGCTTTAGGATCAAAAACTGGCTGGCCAGTTGTCCTCCCTTGAATGACTTGCTGAACATATAGTTTGTACAGCATAGTTGGCAAGTGTGTTAGAGATCTGGCAGGTGTGACCCTGTGTCCCCCCCCCCATCCCACACACAAAGAGTGCTTGTTTGCACATCGCTACTAGGAGATGTTGTGATGGCTGGGGATGTGTGTGCAGCAATGACCCTAAAGTTGTGTTTACAACAGTGTTTTCTGTGTTTACCTTTATTATCTCACACACATTTATTTGAGCAAATTGCAGTTGGGGGAGGTCCGCTGGACGAGACGTTAAGAGGTTTGTTTTCTGGAAAGCATCTTGTTCATTTTATTTTCTTCGAAGGTTGTTTCCTAGTTGATTATAACTGCCTGAATTCTTGTGAAATGCAATTGGGTTTTACTCTCGCACTTTAATTTAGTCATTGTTTATTGCTGCATGGTTAAATTTAACGTTGACTGCTTATCTGCAAGTCTACCATTACTTTAATGTGAAGGGGGGTTGTTTATATAATAACATCAAATTGGTGTGTGTGGGATATTTGGCAAGAAGTAAACTGAGGCGAGAAATGGAGGTAGGAATTGGAGTGTAGGAAGCCTGCACCCATGGAGGAAATGTATGTCTTTTGCTGGATTCTGCTTTTAAAAATCTAAATAAAACAATCCCACCACCCCCAAGATATATATTAGGAAAATTCTCTTGAATGAGACCATGATGGAGAGTATGCTGCAATAGTGTGGTGACCCTGTGGACTGCCAGTTTTTGAAGGAAAATCACTGCAAGGAAGCACTCTATGAATAATAAACTGCAGATCAGAGAGTCACATTCCCAGTAGGCAGGGAAGTGTATTTGATTGGCAAAAATGTCAATTCCACCAAACCAACCTCAATCAGGCATCAGCATCGTTATTATTCATTGTATTTGTTCATCTGATACTTCATACAAATCTACAGCCTTGTTCCTTGAAGATGAGGAATAGAATCATAGAATTGTAGAGTTGGAAGGGACCCTGAGGACCACCTTAGTCCAAACCTCTGCAATGCAGGAATATGCAACTGTCCCATATGGGGATCGAACCTGCAACCTTGGCATTATCAGCACCATGCTGTAACCAACTGAGCTATCAAGCTGATCACCCCAGGGTCATGACACTCCTGCGCCCATCAACCACCTTCAAAACACCTCACCATCCAATCCCCTTTCCAGTGTGCCAGCCTTTCACAGTTTACATGCCAAACCCCCTTTACCAGCATTGCTGCTGCCCCTTCACCAGCTGCCCGCCTTACCAGCTTGTCTTCGCCCCACCCAAATCCCATAACCAGCTTTCCACTTGTCCCCTGAATCCTTTCTAAAATCCCACCACCTGCCAACACAATTTCTCCCATCCTCATCCTGCCAGTCCCAAACATCCATGTAATCCAAGGATCTGTTGACCCAAGGCTACCTCTTCCATTCATTCTTCCCTCCCCTTGACTGCTAATGCTGACAAATTGCACATGTTGCCCCAGGTCTTTTTTAAATGAGTTTTCGTGGCAGGGAAATGAACTCAAAGGGGCACTTTAGAATCATGGAATTGTAGAGCTGGAAGAGACCACAGGGGTCACCTAGTCCAATGCAGGAATCTTTTGTCCAATGTGGGGCTCAAACCCACCTGTCTCATGCTCTACAAACTGAGAAACCCCAACAGTTGTCTTTAAAATCATGCAAAAGGGCATTTTTAATCTTCATTTTAAATAATTAAACACAGTTCTATATAAAAAGGAACTTCATGGGAAAAATATATCTTAATAGTAATTGATGGCAGTTTAAAGAAACTTGGCATCTAAAACTTGTTCAGAACTCCAAAAGATTTTTTTAAAAAAATTATTTAACACAATCCCACTCAGCATAAATCTCTAGAACAGACTGATATTATCTCCTGTCTTGGGTTGGGGGGTAAAAAAGGACAACAGCAGGCCAGGGATCTAATGCAAGGCAAGGAGGAGACTAGGAATTCAGAGCGTGTTGCTGATTAAAGTGGATGCTCGGGTTGCAAACGTGATCCATGTGGGAAGCACGTTCGCAACCCACAGCATTCGCAACCCGCAGCGCCACGTCTGCGCACGTGCGGGTCGCGATTTGGCGCTTCTGTGCATGCACAAAGCGCAATTTAGCGCTTCTGCGTATGTGCAAGCGCCGAAACCCGGAAGTAACCCGTTCCGGTACTTCTGGGTTCGGCACGGTGCGCAACTCGAAATCGCACAACCCGAAGCATCTGTAACCTAAGGTATGACTGTAATGTCATATGTGTACCATACATTTAAAGCACATTACTTCCTCTGGAGAATCCTGGGAGCTACGCAGGGCTATGATTCCCAGCCCCCCCATACAAACTACATTCTCAGTGTTTTTTGCAGGAAGCAACACACTTTAAATGTGTGGTGTGGACCCAAATCATGTTGATATTGGTGTTTAGGTGAGCTGTGCAATGTCAAATGCTAAAAGACGTGCAACACTCTGAGCCTTGGACTTCCACAAAGCGTTTGATGAAGTACTTCACCAAAGACTCCTGAGCAAGCTTAGCGTTCATTCTGTACATTTCCACTTCCGACTATAGTGGCAGCAGCAATAGACAGCAAATAATTGTTTATGATGTCTGCTAATCAGACTTGACAGTCCCAGGCACCCAGCCTTGCCCGAGGTTTTGTAACAGAGTGAAGCTGCTGGTGTACTGAGCCAGTGCAGATGGGGAAGCTCTGGCACTGAAATACTCCAAGGTCTAATTTCTTTGCGTATCTTTATCCAGCTTGCCAATCATAAATTGGCTTATAACGTGGCTCATGACAATTTAAAGAACAACAACAACAATACAAGTAGCAATGCATTTGGAACAAATATGCTGGGGACGGGATGGGGGTTCCTAACTGGGTGGGGTTGCATCTGCTTTGGCCCCGTGTGCCCGGCCCTCTCAATAAGCACCTTGGCCACTGTCTCCCCTTGGACTCTTGAAATTGTTCAAGCCTGTGGTCTCTGGAATCCACTTCTGCAATTCACTGCTGCACACCTCTCAGATGCACTTGCTTTGGCTAATGTCTGGAGCCTCAGGGTTATGTTGGGAAAAAGAGGAGAAATGCCAATGGATTTTATGTATTGCTACTTATTTATTATATTTCCATCCCACTTTCCCTCCAAGGAGGTTAATGTGGCATACATGGTTCTCTCCAATCCAGTTTCCTCCTTAAAACAACCCTGCGAGGTGGACTCAGAGACAGTGGTCACTCAGTGGCCGAATGGGGATTTCAACCTTGGTTAAATTTCATTCTGTTCTCTGGAGAGGTTTTGAGCTACTGTTTTCTGCCTTTGGTTTGGGGCAGGTTATACTTCCCAATTAATAAATAAATATCCCTTGCTGGTTTATGACCTGATTCATTGGGTATGGCTTGATTCCTATTGGATACTTTATGGGTAGCCCATAAAGGCATCAGCTAGTCTGTAAATAGATGGATTACAGACTTTGCTATGTTTACATTCTGAAACTGTTGAGTGATTTTGAAAGAGCTACCTTTTCCCTCAATCTAGTGAACTACTTTTAATGGCATGAACCAGTGTTGTGCTTTTTGGCAGTCTGGACACTAGCAATGAATGTTAACATAGTGCATCTGCATTAGCACAACCAAACACCTTCACCTGCCCCAGCTGCAACAAAACATATCTTTCCTGTATCTGTCTCTACAGCCACAGCAAACACATCAACCTTCCAACGGTTCGACTTCACCTCTAAATGTGCACTCCTCCATTGTTTCCCAAGACAGATGGATGCCAACCAACTCAAGAGTGGCTGGGTATGACCTGCACAGCAATCTAACAATTGATTTTAAACAAGGCTGCTGCCTGGAAGTTTGTGTGTCACAGTGGGGATTGGGGAGAGAGGTTTTTATTTTAATTTGGCCATTAAAAAAGAAAGACATTTAAACATCTACAGCTGGCTGGCAAAATGACTTCTCAGGGTGTTGCTGTTTTGTTCTGTTTGTAGGGGGTAGGATTGAAGCTGATTAGCTGATGCTAATTTAGGCAGGTGCTAATACTATCTGCTTTTGAATTATGGTGCTGGAGGAGACTCTTGAGAGTCCCATGGACTGCAAGAAGATCAAACCTATCCATTCTGAAGGAAATCAGCCCTGAGTGCTCACTGGAAGGACAGATCCTGAAGCTGAGACTCCAATATTTTGGCCACCTCATGAGAAGACTCCCTGGAAAAGACCCTGATGTTGGGAAAGATGGAGGGCACAAGGAGAAGGGGATGACAGAGGACGAGATGGTTGGACAGTGTTTTTGAAGCTACCAGCATGAGTGTGACCAAACTGTGGGAGGCAGTGGAAGACAGGAGTGCCTGACGTGCTCTGGTCCATGGGGTCACGAAGAGTCAGACATGACTAAACAAAAAATACTATCTGCAGGTATGCTTGCTTCCCACTTACTGAACCTGCAAATAGAATTTACTACAAATGCCACCATATGTATCCAGTCCTCTTGAGCTGGTTTGCTGCAGAGAAATCCTTGATGACGAGCCTTAACTGCTTCCCAAGCATCCATACATCATCAGAATGGGAGCCAGATACTGCATTGCATCTCTCTTCTATACTACTTGAAGGCTTAAGTTCAGCAGTTAGGGCAGGACCCCTACCCTAAGTTCCTGCCCCAGCCCTAAGTTCTCACCATCTGACCATGCCCAAAGCCTATCCAAATGGGTTCTAAGATCAGCTGACCAGGTCAACCACCTGATTCACAGCAGTCTCACAAGGATACCGACCATGAAGAAGACTGCCCCAAGAATGTGCTACCTTCCAGGAAAGCGATCTTCAGGTATGTTTACACAACTGTAGGTAAAAACAGATTTACACTATGAAGTCATGTTGATTTTACACCACTCTGTGGTATAAGATTCCCCCCAACCCGAACCCCTGAAAACTGTAGCTTGGTGGGGCTGCCCTGTTAGAGATCTCTAGCCTTCTGTGCAAAGTTATAGCTCCCAGGTTTCTGCACTGGAAAGGGAAGTATTATGGAACCAGTTTACATCCGTGGTGTGGACGTGTTCTAATTGTAACCAAATACAAGCAGTTCTTCTGCAAGACAAATCTTGAGGAAATAACAGCACTTACTACTGTATGCTCCTTTGTAGCTCCCATTCATTTTAATGGGACTCATGCGGAAGAACTTTCCACACTTTCCTTGCTATTTCCCCTCCATTGCAGTGTTTTGACATCATATTAAAACCTACGTGGCTTTCCCAAACTATTCTACCTTTCTGCAAGAGAGCTGTTAAGTTACATCACAGGTCAAGGAGTTCTTTCTGAGTATGTAGAGTGGTTTTCCATTTACTGACATTCTTGCTGATTCTCTCTTTCCATGATCAAAGTGGAAAATCTTCAAGAGTTATTTTCCACGGGATCAAATCTATCGGCTGTTTGTAGCTTATTAAAATGCAATCCAATCTCTTGCTGAATGTCACTTAGCTGCTGGTTTCAGTGTAACAGAATCTAGCTGCTTCCACCATTTCTTAATCTTATGCTGGTACAGTATTCAGTCTATACTGGAAAGGTGACCTAATATCAGCCTTGCAAACATTTTGTTGATCCTGTAGTACAGGGACTGTTACTGAAGCAGCTGCTTTAGCTTCAGCGATGAGGGTAGAATTTCAGTACTGGACAAACGCCATCTCAAAACAAAATCTAGAGGTCTTCCTAGAAGATGTTTGAGATCTGGTGAACCCCTAAAGCAGGGGTGGCAAACGTGGGGAGAGGATTCCACCTCACCTGCTAAGTTGCTCAAGGGCCAGATCTGTGACATGTCACTAGTTCTGACCTCACAAATGCCCTTTCTTACATAAGCACCATCCTGCTGCACCTTTCCTTTGAGAGTTATGCTCTCCTCATCAGTCACCTGTACCAGCAAGGCTACAGCTTCTCTCTCAGCCATTCCTTGGTCTGTGGCCCAGTGAAGTGTTGGTTCGTGAGATTACTGAGGTGCAAAGAGGGGGTTTCAGTGGAGCTTTGAGAGCTACCCAGCCACTGGAAAATTGGAGTTCTTGTACTATTTTAAGTCAATGTATTCTAATGAAAAGGGGAGGGGGGCTTTTTTAGACAGGTGATTTCTCATAATACCTTTACAGTGGTACCTCAGGTTACATACGCTTCAGGTTACAGATTCCGCTAACCCAAAAATAGTGCTTCAGGTTAAGAGCATTGCTTCAGGATGAGAACAGAAATCGTGCTCCGGCAGTGCAGCGGCAGCAGGAGGCCCCATTAGCTAAAGTGGTGCTTCAGGTTAAGAACAGTTTCAGGTTAAGAATGGACCTCCAGAACGAATTAAGTACTTAACCTGAGCTACCACTGTATTCCTTTTTTATTGTTTATTTCCTACAAGTTCCCATCTGCTTTTTTCTTTACCTTTCCTAGCTGACAGCAGAAAGGACATGGCCCTGCTAAGAAATGACAAAACTGGTTGACTGTATGTTTCCTGAATCCTGGGGTTGTTGTTTTTTAAGAGGAAGATACTATTGTCTCTGCAGAACCTCAGCAGGAGGTGAAAATTAAGTTTACTGATAACCTAGGATTAGTGTGCTGATCTTTACATTAAGTATTAAGAGCTCAGAATATTTACCAATGCCTTCCTGGACTCGTTTGAGATAAGGAATTGTACCAGGGTGAAAACAGTTCATTGAGGGGCGTATTTTATATCAAGTTATGCCAACTTGACTGATCTGCAGTAATAAACTACAGGAAAAAAATCAGATTGGCATATGCCATTACAGGGGGCTACTAATAAGTACTAGGAAAAAGTGCAGGCATCAAGGACCATCTTAAAATAAACCTTCTTCTCCTCCCTTACATGAAAGGAAATGCCATTTGGAAGATGATGCCTGTTCCAGCATACATATTAGGACCTGGGAGACCAGGGTTTACCACTGAGCCATGGAGCTCACTGGGTTAGCTTAGCCAGGCATTGTCTCTTAGCCAGGCATTGTGTCCTGGTGAGCTCCGACTGGAAAAAAAACCCTAGTTGTGAGAATAAAAATGGAGGGGGAGTTGTGGAGAGAACTATGTACACCAGTTTGAGCTCCTTGGAGGAAAGGGGGCATAGAAAGGTAGCAAACAAACAAACAAACAAAAAACTAAACACAAAGGATGCTTTTTGCTTCAGGACTATTGTTTTGGTATGTGCCAATATATGCAAATATAACTAACCGAGTCACTGACTTGGCATGTTTATCTAGAAGTCCCATTGGGTTAAGTCATGCCACTTACTCCCAAGGAACTGTGCACATATAATTTCACTGTGAACTCATACACTTGATTGACTAAGAGTTCTTTAATCAAGTGATAGCTCTAAGCATCTGTTGTTGCTGTTGTTTTGTACTGGCTCGTGTTGTCCCCCCACCCCCCAATGCAGCTTTGAGGAGTAATGGACTGACAGCAGGCTCAGAAGAATAATGAACTCTCCCAAGTTCAAAATGGGTTGAGGATGGCTTCCAGAGTTCATTTATTACAGAAGCCTCTGGCAGTAGGGGAGCTCCAATGGCACAAAGGTGGAGAGACCAAGCTTCCCATGCAGAAAGTGCCTGGCCAGAATCTGAGTTTAAGAGTCTCGGGAAGCAGATTCAAACTATCTTTTGGGGGGAAAAGCAGGCAAGCAAACTTCAAGATTTGCATTTGGACAACCTTGGAGAAGTGCTACTAACCATTCCTTCATTGCAGGGGGTTGGACTAGATGACCCTCAGGTCCCTTTCAACTCTACAATTCTATGATTCCAGGAGTAACAAGTACGAGTTACAATGGTCAGACCCCATAAGAAGGCAGCTTCCTATGTTCGCAGTTAACTCACCTGGTTCAGGAAGAAAGTCACGACAGGAATAAACCCTGACTGTCAATAACTTTGAGGCACCATTTGTTTTTTTTAAAAAAGAAGAAGAACAAAACAGATATGCATTATGCAAAATGAAACCAAACAATTCAGGGGCAATGATATGCCAGCCAAATAAAAGCTCAAATAGGTCAATTCTTCTAGAAATTGACTTGAGTATTCAGATCATTTGAGGTGGAACAGATAATGCTGCCCCACATGCCACCTTTCTCCTTCAGAACCGATTTTTGGTGTCAGGCAGCCGTGAATACTTCAAAAACACCTAGATGGAGAAATTAATCTATCTTGCAGAGCATATTATTACATTAAGCCCATGTCTGATACAGCTTTATGCAGATAATGCAGCACTGTAAAGCTGAGACTTCTTATAACGATTCTCTCCCTCCCTTTGTAGAAGCACTCCCGTGCAATGGTTTTATAAGAACAGTTTTATGGGTGGTTTGGTAGAGCTGAGTTTGAGAAATAGAAGTTTTCACCTTCCACCCTGCAACCCACGTGGCTCTCAGAAGCAGGGCTGTAATACTGGAAAGCTCACTCAGTGGCTAAAAGGCATGGCAAATGGGAAGTCTCACATTTTGCTTTGAGTTGTGGGGTGATAAAGGACTTATTTCACCCTTAAACAGCAAGTATTAACTGGGTCAAGATCCACCCCAGCGATTTTTGGTACTCTGAAACAGTGCAATTCTAGACATGTCTCCTCAAAAGTAGGGATGGATGAATCAATCAATCAATCAATCAATCAATCAATCAATCAGTCTGTCAGTTTCAGTTTCTCTCAGCTTCTCATTTTTCCAGTCTAAAGTTCAGCTTGCCACATTTCCACGTCAGTTTGCATTTAAACAAAAAACAAAAAGACCCATTGAAAACTGGGATTTCGGTGCACATTTGTCCTAGTATACATACAGTGGTACCTCTGGTTAAGAACTTAATTCATTTCAGAGCTCCCATTATCCCTGGCCATTGAATCATGCTTCCTGGGACTGATGGAAATTGAAGTTCAGCTTTGCAGGCTCTCCACAGCCTCTGCCCTCAACCCTTTCCCAACCTTCATGCTTCCTAGAACAAACAAGCAAGAAGCCATGCAGCCATGGCTCCCTGCAAGTGAACTGAATCTCTCTAAAAGAGATTTTATAGCTTGCATATATGCTAACCCAAAGATTGCATGATCCTTCTTGTAAGGAAACCAAGTTACTTCTTTTTAAGTTGTTTGGAACCTTTTTTCATATTTGTTTTACTGCCAGCAGATGGAGACTCGTTTGCTGTAACTTCTGGAAAAATTCACTTATTCGGAAAGCTAAATGTCTGTGATTTATTCTAGCCTGAGAATTTCCATGGAGAATATTTGTTTAAGGTGGATGAGGGCAGATGTAAAATCTAAACAAATTTTGATGTGCTTGGATGAATTGCCATTGGAGAGTAGGAATCTCTCTTCCAAACGTGTCTCTCCAACAGAAAGCAGATGATCTCATAAAATTTCTGCACCCAGATGAACATGCAGAATGTACTAACTTGGAGGTTTGCTAACATAAAGGTCACACTGAACAAATTAATATAACATTTTACAGTGGTACCTCGGGTTAAGAACTTAATTTGTTCTGGAGATCCGTTCTTAACCTGAAACTGTTCTTAACCTGAGGTACCACTTTAGCTAATGAGGCCTCCTGCCGCTGCCGTGCCGCCACTGCACAATTTCTGTTCTCATCCTGAAGCAAAGTTTTTAACCCGAGGTACTATTTCTGGGTTAGCAGAGTCTGTAACCTGAAGCGTCTGTAACCCGAGGTACCACTGTATTGCCAAATATATGGCTTTCCAAGAGATTCTATTGAATCTCCTCTCTCAGCTCCGCTACACAAACCCCCAAGAATCACCTCTCAACTCTCATCCCTTTGTTTGCTGTAAGAAAGTGCCTCTACATTACAGCAATCATTGCAGCAATCACTACACAGGGAGACTGAGCAATATCTCAGATGCCAGCACTCCTCTGGCATGAAGCACAGGCCAACTTTGAAGCTGTGGTTATGAAAGGAAAGACAACTCATTGCAAAGAGCATTATCTGAAGCACTACAATAGCAGCTATGTAACTGCATATTGTAGGATGTAGTGAGTGAATTGTGCAACAATTAAAAATATTGTTAAAATTTGCTCACTTGCCGTATGTGTTTGGATTCTCTACCGGCTGAAGGTAGATAAACAATAGTTGGCACTATCTGTGCAGCAACATTACTTCCTGCTTAAGAAGGTGGCAGTGGGAAAACATGGTGGGAGAGATAAGGTAATAGAAAATAAACCAGAGGTGGTGACTTTGGATGACATTTCGCTCAGCAAACGAGACTGCTTGGCTTGCTGTGCTGCAGCTTAATACGATTTCTTGCAATGATTCTGGGATATAAAATGTAGCCACGTCTGCTAAGATCCCATTGTGATAACCTTAATTAAAAATACATTGTAATCATACATCACAGAGATGCATGCTCATAAGAGAATTTAATCCAAAGCTACTTGCAACCTTTCCAGCTGAGATCACCAACCATCAAAAGTGTGCTTTCAAAATTGGACCGCAGTCTACCGTGTGTGATAATTGACAGAATCATTCCCCCCCACTCTCTCCTGCTCCATTTTTCTGCCTGTGCATCAAATCAAGAAATGTAATGGGGCTATACCCAGTGCTTTCTGACCCCAGAACAGGGGCTCTCATGCTAGCAGATGGGTGAATTTTAACATTACACAACAGAAGAATCTGGTGCAAAAGCTGTGCTAGCAGACATCTGTGGCATAACAGATGGTGCACTCTGTTGTGCAACAAAGTCACAACGACCTGCCTATAAGTGCTCTTGCACAACAATGTTCCACTGATAAAGCATTTTGCCACTGGAACAAGTTTTCTGCTAAGTGACTTCAGCTTGGTGCTATATTGGATAGAACCCATGGGGGAAGGGTTGTAATTTTTATTTCCCCATCGGTTAATGGATCCTCACAAACTGAAATATGATGTTATAGTCTCACAAACTTCACTTTGGAAATGATTATGTCAGATACGGTGTTCTCAAACTTTCTTCTCAAACTTGATCATTTCCTCTTCCTCAAGGGAAGAGAAGCAAAATTTCCTCAAGCTTCACCAAGATCAAGAACTTAGAAAAGAATGACATCTCAGTTGTTATATTCTGCTCATACTCGGGGACAATCAGATCCAAATACATAGAATCAGGGCTTCACAATAGTTAATCAGCATGTTCCAATATGAATGTGAATGAATGAAACAAGTGAAGTGTCTCAGAAAAACAAAAGGTCTCTTAGTCTAGTGGGCTTGAACTGCTTCAAATTGCAGGTCAGGGATTATGTTCCTCCACATAAATGATAGCATAAAGATACTTCCACATGGAAAACTAGAATGTCAAACTAGTCTAGAGCCCTTCTCTCTAACATTGGTTTTATTTGGTGCAGGGGCATTTTGTATGGAGAAGCATTTTATCACATGACATTCCCACCCACTGAATTTGAAGTGGTATACACCTGAAACAGGTTGACTACTTCAGTGAGAACCCAGACACACAGCAGCACTGGGCAGCACTGCAATATTTGGAATAGTTTTCTGAGAGAAAAAGGTCAGGAACAACATTTGTACCTTCTTCTAGCACCTCTCAATATTTCAAAGAGAGACTCGTTTCACACTTCGAGAGCCATAACTATGGTTCACCCAGAAACTAATGTCCCTCAGATGCATGGTCTCTGTGTGTGTCAATTTGCACTGTTAATCCATGCCTTTGACTGAGAGCAAATGTAGCCAGATGTTGTAGGCATACAGCTCTCATCATCCCTGACCATTGGCCACGCTGGTTGCGGCTGATGGGAGTTACAATCCAACACCACTTCAAAAATAAAAAAAGGCAGTTACCTCGTTGCTGTCTGGGAATGGGAATGAACACAAGAGGTGGTACCCAGATTCCTAATCAAATCACGTGGAAGTGTTCAGTGAAGAATTGCCTGCTCTCTGTGCCACCTGCCACCTTTCAGGAGGAGTGGTGATTGAGAAACAGAATGTTCTGTGAATGGACTCTCCTGTGTGAGTGTCTGAGGGCCCTGCTCTTGCCGCTTACCACCTACCTGGCCCAGGGCGGGGCCTGAAGCCTCGCAGGGACTGCTGCGCTCTGCTGCCCAGGAGGACTCTCCTGTGTGAGTGTCTGAGGGCCCTGCTCCTTCCTGCCACTTACCACCTGGCCCAGGGCGGGGCCTGAAGCCTCACAAGGACTGCTGCGCTCTGCTGCCCAGGAGGACTCTCCTGTGGGAGTGTCTGAGGGCCCTGCTCTTCCCGCTTACCACCTGGCCCGGGGCGGGGCCTGAAGCCTCATAAGGACTGCTGTGCTCCGCTGCCCAGGAGGACTCTCCTGTGTGAGTGTCTGAGGGCCCTGCTCTTGCCGCTTACCACCTGGCCAAGGGCGGGGCCTGAAGCCTCACAGGGACTGCTGTGCTCTGCTGCCCAGGAGGACTCCCCTGTGTGAGTGCCTGAGGGCCCTGCTCCTGGCACTCACCACCTGGCCCAGGGCGGGGCCTGACAGGCCTCACAGGGACGGTTGCTGTCACTGCTGCTGTGGCCCAGGAGGATCCGGAGGGGCGCAGAGTTCTTTTAAAAATGTTTTAAATTTTTCCTTTTCCTTTTTATTTTATTTTTTTGGTATATGCGGGGACGGGGATGGGGGTGGGATGGATGTTTAGTTGGGAATTTGTTTGATTTTGATGGATTTGTAATTTTTATAGTTTTTTTATTTTCTGGGGTTTTTTTGTCTTTTGTTTTGTTATTATTGTTTTAAGGTCTTATTTTGTTCTTAAGGGGAGGGGTCAGGGCTGCCGGGGAGTGGGTCCCAGCCAACAAAATGGCTGGGGGGATGCGCTGGGACAACCGATCTCAGTGATCACGGGTAGGAGGAGGAGTTAAGCTAAGACCAGACCATGTCATTACAGAGAAGGCAGGTTTAGTTGTTGTCTGAGGACTATCCCTGCCTCCGGGTCTGGTCCTGACCGGACGGATACTAGAATCAGCAAGGGATGACCTGAAGGTGCTGCTGTGCAATGCCAGGTCAATGATTCATAAGACCACTGCCATCCATGACTTGATCATGGATGGAGGATTTGACCTGGCATGTGTAACAGAGACTTGGTTGGATGAAGCAGATGGGCCTGTTCTTGCCATTGCTTGTCCACCAGGTTTCTCTTACACACAGCAACCCAGGCCTTGTGGGCGGGGAGGGGGGGGGTTGCAGTGATTTTTAGGAAGTCATTAGTTTGCACCAGGCATCCTATTGGGAAGACCCAGTTCTCTGAGTGCATGTTCTGGAAGTTGGGCAATAGGGGCAGTACAGGATTCCTTTTGGTGTACCGACCTCCCCACTGCACCAAGGATTCCGTGCCCAAGCTGCTTCAGGTCATGGCGGATGTTCTCCTGGAGACACCTAGTTTGGTTGTCCTAGGGGATTTTAATATCCATGCCGACACGACCTTACAAGGGGCTGCTCGGGACTTCGTGGAAAGCATGGCCTCCATGGGGCTGTCCCTGAATAGGTTTGGCCCAACCCATAGCCGCGGACATGCCTTGGACCTGGTGTTTACCTCCATGGATGTTGGTGATCTGACACTAAGTAAAAGCAAAACGAAAGAAGTGCCATGGTCAGATCACTTCCTGGTGCAACTTGACTTCTCCGTGACCCTTCCCCTCTGCAGGGAGGTGGGACCGATTCGGATGGTCCGCCCCCCGCCACTTAATGGATCCAAATGGTTTCCAGAGAGTGGTAGGGGATGCTTTATCCCATGTTGATGGCCTTTCAGCTGATTCCCTGGTGGCCCGCTGGAATGTGGAGTTAACCAGGGCTATTGACTGTTTGGCTCCGAGCGCCCTCTCCGATTGCATGGAGCCCGGACAGCCCCGTGGTTTTCCACGGATCTGAGGGCAATGAAACAATCGTTGAGACGGCTAGAGCGCCGGTGGCGGATGACCCATTCTGAAGCTGACCGGACACAGGTTAGAGCTCAATGTCGAGCCTACCAAGTGGCGATAGCGACAGCGAAGAAGACTTTCTTCGTCGCCTCTATTGCATCTGCAGAAAACAGCAGCAGGAGACTTTTTCAGGTGGTTCACAATTTAGCGGAACCACCTGCTACATCGGGGCCCAGTACGGGCCACATGATCTCCTGCAATGATTTTGCAAAGTTTTTTGCAGATAAAGTCGCTCAGATTCGGGAAGAGGTAGACGCCACCGTGGGAGCAGGGCCGAGGCGGGAGAGTGCTAGAGTCCTGTCTAGTCAAATTGCGTGGGATCAATTCCAATCTGTTACCTCCGAGGATGTGGACAGGCTGCTTGGACGAGTGAAACCAACCACCTGTCTCCTTGATCCTTGCCCATCCTGGCTTATAAAAGCTAGCCGGGAAGGGCTGGGCGATGGGCTTCGTGGGGTGGTGAATGCTTCCCTCCGTGAGGGAGCCTTCCCAGACCCGCTGAAAGAGGCGGTTATTAAACCGCTTCTTAAAAACCATCTTTAGATGCGGCCACGATGGCCAACTATCGCCCAGTCTCAAATCTTCCATTCTTGGGCAAGGTGATTGAGTGAGTGGTTGCTGAACAACTCCAGGCACGCCTGGAAGAAGCGGACCATTTGGATCCCTTCCAGTCGGGATTCAGGCCTCATCACGGGACTGAAACTGCCTTGGTCGCACTGGTTGATGATCTCCGGCGGGCTAGGGACAAAGGTGAGAGCTGTTTCCTAGTTCTGCTGGATCTCTCAGCGGCGTTTGATACCATCGACCATAACATCCTTCTGGACCGTCTTGAGGAGCTGGGAGCTGGGGGCACTGTCATACAGTGGTTCCGCTCCTTCCTTTTGGGCCGTGTTCAGAAAGTGGTGGGGGGGGGATGAGTGTTCAGACCCCTGGGCTCTCACTTGTGGGGTGCCTCAGGGTTCTGTCCTCTCTCCCATGCTTTTCAACATCTACATGCAGCCGCTGGGAGAGATCATCAGGGGGTTTGGGCTGGGTGTTCATCAGTATGCGGATGATACACAACTCTACCTCTCTTTCAAATCAGAACCGGTGAAGGCGGTGACGGTCCTGTGTGAGTGTCTGGAGGCGGTTGGAGGATGGATGGTGGCTAACAGATTGAGATTGAATCCTGACAAGACAGAAGTACTGTTTCTGGGGGACAGGAGGCGGGCAGGTGTGGAGGATTCCCTGGTCCTGAATGGGGTAACTGTGCCCCTGAAGGACCAGGTGCGCAGCCTGGGAGTCATTTTGGACTCACAGCTGTCCATGGAGGCACAGGTTAAATCCGTGTCCAGGGCAGCTGTTTATCAGCTCCATCTGGTATGCAGGCTGAGACCCTATCTGCCTGCGGACTGCCTCGCCAGAGTGGTGCATGCTCTGGTTATCTCCCGCTTGGACTACTGCAATGCGCTCTACGTGGGGCTACCTTTGAAGGTGACCCGGAAACTACAACTAATCCAGAACGCAGCAGCCAGACTGGTGACTGGGAGCGGCCGCCGAAACCATATAACACCGGTCTTGAAAGATCTACATTGGCTCCCAGTACGTTTCCGAGCACAATTCAAAGTGTTGGTGCTGACCTTTAAAGCCCTAAATGGCCTCGGTCCAGTATACCTGAAGGAGTGTCTCCACCCCCATCGTTCTACCCGGACACTGAGGTCCAGCACCGAGGGCCTTCTGGCGGTTCCCTCAGTGTGAGAAGCCAAGTTACAGGGAACCAGGCAGAGGGCCTTTTCGGTAGTGGCTCCCTGTGGAACGCCCTCCCACCAGATGTCAAAGAGAACAACAACTACCAGACTTTTAGAAGACATCTGAAGGCAGTCCTGTTTAGGGAAGCTTTTAATGTTTGATGTATCACAGTATTTTAATATTCTTTTGGAAGCCTCCCAGAGTGGCTGTGGGAAACCCAGCCAGATGGGCAGGGTATAAATAATATATTATTATTATTATTATTATTATTATTATTATTATTATTATTGGAAAGGATAGGCCAGGATCTCAGCAGCTCTACCTTCACACTTGGAGCTTGGCAGGTGAATGGTAAAGAAGGAGAGGGGGGATGGAGAAAGGAGGAGTAGATTACCCAATTCCCTTCCCATCCTTTCACTTTCTCACACATTTCTGTTTCCTAGGCTCCCTCTAGAACCTCTTAACCCTTTTTCCTCTGTGGGAAGTATAGAATCCCACCCAGAAAAATTATGATAGTTATTCCATTGGACTAAGTCTTCTGTGTTTGTCCCCCCAAAATAAATTTAAAAAATAGTATTATAGATTCAGCTGTTCCTTAATAGTTCTAGTCTGGTTTCTACTATGACAAGACACAATTCCTCCGAAAAAAATCCCATGTTACAATCTTGTTTCATACTCATATTTATTCCTGTTACTGCATTTATTGCAACTGCAGCATGTGTTTCTATTGCTATGATTCTTTAGCAAATCAATACTGACAGGAGATGAAGTGAATTTCGCCCCCCCTTCCTATTAGCAGCTTTGCAGACAACCAGCTATGTTTCAGAGGTGTTCCTAGGTAAGCAAGAGGTGTATTAAACAAACAAGTTAAATGTTTTCAACATCAGGTCTCACACATTCTAAATATATTTTTTTGAATTTAAATTCTCTTAAAACATCCCCAATTGCTTCCATTTACGTCAAGTGCTTAATGCAGGGGTTCAGAACCTGCAGCCATCTGACTAATTCCATGCAACCCTTAGTCTAAACTGCAAGTAAACTATCAGTTCAGACCTCTGGAAAGAGTGATATGTCCCTCTCCTGGCAGTCTGCTGAGTGGGGGTGAAGAGGGGGTGAAGAGAAAGAGAGAAAACAGGGTGGCATAGAGGGAAGAGGAGTGGCTCTGTCTACCAATGGCTTCAGCCCTATCCACCACCAACATTCAGCCCTTATTGGGGGGGGGGGTTGTCTAGCCATATCTCAATTATTAAGCTTCAATTGACTACAGTACTTAAAACAGTGAGTCATTACTGCTCATGAAATTGTCTGAAACTGCACATCTTTTCAGTATGGTTGTCAAAACTGATTGCAGTGTTGTGCAATGTGCTGGTAATAATAATAATAATAATAATAATAATATCAATCTGCAGGTATAAAGTATACTTTGGGTTCCAAGTTTATATCTTGCCATCCCTTAATAATATTTATTGTTATGATGCATTTTTCTGGTGATCGATTTTTAAATGCAAAAATCGTCATTACATGGGGTTCAAAAACGTCCGTGGAAAACCCCTCCCTCCCACTCATTCACATTTTTCACACCCATTGTTGCCCTGATCTGCTGCTACCTTGCAACCATTTTTTATGTGAAAGCACACTGTTTACACTCTTTTTTTTATATTAGCTCTTTTACTATGTAATAATCTGTATAGCGATGCACCATAAAATATGACTTTTAAATATCTGTGAGTTTTTAATTGCCTTCTGTACCTTTTTAATTGCCTTCTGTACCCCAGATTTGCAAAATCTGCCCCACACTCCAGTTTGATTCAGAAAAAGTCATATTATGGCGCCATCCATGTATATGGCATTTTGCAGAGTCCTATAATCTTCTCTTCCAAATCAGGTTGTTACCTAATTGCATTATTTACTGCTTCACCTGGGTATAATTTCAGTGGCTCCACCTTCTGGCTTAGTTCAAATCTGAAATAAGAGAAAGGACTGATACAATGTTGAAACATCATGACCATTATTTTGTTTATCAGATTTCTTCCTTCCTTTTGTATTTTTCTTTCATGTCAGGGCCAGACAGTGCAATCTTAGGTGTGTCTACTCAGTTAGTAAGTCAGTTAAGTGTGTGAGGGATTGCGGTGCAGCTGATTTTCATGGTTTATTTGCCTAATCGCTCTATCCCTGCCTTGCTAGCTATGCTCAAAAATTTCTCCTAGTTATCACATGGCTTGCAACTCTAGGAGTATCTTAGGCTTTAAACCACGGCTACTTTGGGGTTTCTGATCACCCTCTTTAGCTGCTGTTTCTTTCAGGTCTCTTAGTGATTCATCTTTCCTTGTGTCTGCTTTTATCTGCTGCATTTGTGTTAGCTAATGGAAATGGCTGGGCAATTAAATCTGCATACGCTTTTGTTTCACTTTCTAAGGCCTTTTCTGACTTCACATGGCAAATTACTGCTCTAGACTATGGTAATGCCACTGCGGTATACATAAATTTATTTAGCGCATGTTGCAACCCAATTCTACAATTGCTGCTTATTCTTAACTTGCCGTTTGTTCATTGCCTTTGTAAAAAATGGGTTGTGGTCTATTGCCACAATCACCATCTAGCCTTATATATTAAATACAGAACATTTATTTGCAACTGCTATGTTAAGGGCACCAGCCTTTTCTGTGATGGTGCATGGGTTGAAATCTTTATGGATGCACCTGAAGTATAAAATTTTATTATGGCTTCTGCATTAGCTTCTCTTTTAAGGCATTCCTGCCTTCTTGAACTGTGTTCGAATTCATTTTATTTTTGATCAACTTTCCTGAACAGTACCATTTAGGCTGCTGTTTTCATGGTGATGTGATTTCACAGTGTAACGGAGGATGAGCTCAAATATGACAAAGGGCAGGATACAAGTAAATAGGTTGATAAATTATATTTGCTCAGATAATTGATAGCTTCTAGAAACCACGGGCAGTCATTCATTGACTGGGATTTGGCATTCTCTTGATGGTTCAGTGCTATCCCTTTTCACTCCACTGGGTGAAATGGTTTCTCCCCCAAATGCCATTAAGTAACTTCTCTGAATATAACATGTTGCCAAATAGGGGGCGGGGGGAATTCCGAAAGCTGCCGCAGAGCAATATTTTTAGAACTGAAATATCACAAAGTAGTGCGCAAGATTTCTCTTTAGGCTGGATTTCAAAATACAGATAAAGGGTGGGGCAAATGAGTAGATAGGAAACACCATCCACAATGTCTACAAATGTTGGGGCATCAGCACCATGACTAGATTTTATCACATACACAGCCAACCTGAAGAGCAGTTCTGGAGCACTTGAAATCATGCTCACTACTTGGTGACATTTCAGCTGGTCCTAATAAAGGTATTGTCCTGCTGCAGCATTTGGATTTTCTCCAAACACGTTCCTCTCGGTTTAATTTCCTAATTGGATTTCAAAACAACCTAAGCTTCTTTTATCGTGTTTCTCTTTACTGAGTTCTCCCACGGCCGGGAGGTGTTTCCCTGAGATGACATTATGTGCGTTCTCTGGGGTGGCCAGTGACCTCAACGGCACTTACTGCATCTGGTTAGCTCTGCTTTAAAATTGTCTCGTAATGCGTACGGCACCTGTCCGCACGACCAATCAGCAGGATTACCACCTTGTTTCCCCGGATGATGTGCTCACATTGCTCATGTTGTGGGTCTGTGTAGGTACAAAAGCATCCACCGTACCACAGGGAGTCAGGTGGCTTAAGCTTAATTTGGTATGCTCTAACCTTCCATCGGGACGCAGGTGGCGCTGTGGGTTAAACCACAGAGCCTAGGACTTGCCGATCAGAAGGTCGGCGGTTCGAATCCCCGTGATGGGGTGAGCTCCCATTGCTCGGTCCCTGCTCCTGCCAACCTAGCAGTTCGAAAGCACACAGTGCAAGTAGATAAACAGGCAAGTAGATAATGGCATTTCCGTGCGCTGCTCTGGTTCGCCAGAAGCGGCTTAGTCATGCTGGCCACATGACCCGGAAGCTGTATGCCGGCTCCCTCGGCCAATGAGTCGGTCACGACTGGACCTAATGGTCAGGGGTCCCTTTACCTTTAACCTTCCATCGGAGTGTTGATTTGCACCAGGTCATAGCAGCCAACTCCTAGAGCCCACAATAAAACATTTGAGCCCTCCCCCAAGTTAATGGGCATTACCATTCAAATGATGTGTGTGCACTGTGTCTCGTGATTGACAATGCAAGTCGGGGCTTACCTGGCCCCCTCAATATTTTATTCAAGTTGGCACCGCTACACCACGTACTTCCTCTGGCTAAGGTCATATTAGGTAAAGGAGATCAATATTGCCATGTATGGGGAGTGGGGTGCAGGCAGCGCTTTGTGCATATATTTATTTATTACATTTATATCCTGCCTTTTCTGTTATCCTTGCAACAATCCTGTGATGTAGGTTAGCCCGAGAGATAGTGATTGGTCCAAGGTGAGTTTCATAGCTGAGTAGGGATCTAATTTACAGTACTTAGGGCTGCCCTGTGTTATGTATTTTAGCACATAAAAAAGAGTAATAATCACATTTTCTCAGCCCTAGCCTGACACTCTAATCACCAAACCACACTGCCTCTCAAGTGAGGAGGCATCAGTTTGTGCCATTATGCTTTTGTTTTCAAATGATAACTGAAAATTTAGGGAAGGAGCTGGCATGGTTATGACCCTGGTTATTCAGCAAGACTAATGAATACTTACTGGACAGAAGAACTAATAAATTGATATTATGTTTCTTCATGAGGCTTCTATTTATAGAATAAATATTTATTTATAGAATAAAAATGTGTTTTAAAGCAAATATTAATGTTAATATGTGCCAGCTTAGATTGGTATTTTCTCCACAACATCCTGGAGTTTATATGATTTAAGAAACAGCTTTTGCAACTTTAAGCTTGACAGTATACAGGACTGCATTTTGAGGAATATTTTTTAAATCCACTGTGGAATTTTTCTGTACACAGAATATCCACAAGAGGGAACTCTAAAGATGAGTTCTTTCCTAACCCTTTCAATGCATCCCAACATGCTTTCGAATGGGCAGAATAAAATGCAAAACTCATCCTATTTTTTGAACACATGCAGCGATACTATTTTTAAAATCATCCAGCTCTTCTGACATTCAGTAAGAGAATTAAGGTATGTAGGCTTGCAATAACCCAGGAAACTGACCTATTTGCTCTTGTTCCCCATTGCAGAGCAGTCAGCCTGAGACAGTGCTCAACTCCTAGTTTGAGTTCAGTATTTTTAGCCTGGATAAGAGGCTACTGAGAGGAGACATGATAGACATCTTCAAATATCTAAAGGACTGTCACGTGGAAGACAGAGCAAGCTAGTTTTTTCTCCTGCTCCGGAGGATGGGACATAAGCCAATGGATTCAAGTTACAAGAAAGGAGCTTTCTATTAAGGGTCAGGTAGAACTTTTGTGGACTCTCCGTCGTTTGAGGTTTTTAAGAAGATGTTGGAAGGCCATCTGTCATGGATTCTTTAGTTGAAAATCCTGCATTGTAGGGGGTCAGACTAGAAGTCTCTAGAGGTCCTTTCCAACTCTACTGTTCTATGGTTCATCATGTTGACAAAGATACCAACAAAGTAGGTGGCTTTGCAGTTCCCTGGCCACATTAGCACTGCTTTGCTACACTGTGAAAAGAAAAAGGAGCAACAGAGAGAAGATAACAGAGAATTTGGTGGAGGACAGTGCATGAAAGAAAGCAGGACGAACTCACATTAGGAAGCTCTAAATTAATTCTAGCATGGCAGAGCTGTGCCCTGCACGCACATTTGACAGATGCCATATTGCACTTAGCACAGAGGAACCGTGTTCTTTGTAGCAAGGAACCAGACCATTCTTCAAACAGTGGTGTGGGGCCCACAAGCTTCCCTTCCCACTCAGTCCCTACCCTGTAACAGCTGGTCAAGCTCTTTAAACAAAAGCTGGTGCCAGGCATTAAGAGCTAAATAAGGTATGGAGCAAACATTGCTTGGACGCTGTTGGGACATGATGCACAACGTATCAAGGGAGAATTATTATATTGATATGAGATCTTTCAGCAGGGCTCTCAGGAGCCAGGTAACACGGCCACCCCAGATTTAGTTTAAAGATAGATCCATTCAGGATATGTGGCACTTAAGACATCAGAAGAGTCTTGCTGGATCAGACGATAAAAGGTCTAGTATCTGGTCTAACATTCTTTTTTCCAACAGTGGCCTCTGGGAAGCCCACAAACAAGGCATTAAGGCTGTGTCCCTCCTCCAGTTGCTGGTGTTCAGAGGTACACTGCCTCTGATCATGAAATATCCATTTAATTATCATTACTAATAACAGTGGGTTCCCCTCTTAAGCCATCTGGGTCAGCGGCACCATATCTTGCAGCAGCAAATTAAATAAATAAATTGTGCCTTCTTTGTTTGCCTTGAGAATAGTTCAGCCTGAGGCCCAAAGCCCTAAATACTTGTCATAGCACCTCTGCGACATTCCCATAACTTCAGGGGCTCTGAACTTCTGCATGTGCAGTGATTTGGCTATTGCACCCTAAGGCACTTAATTGTGGAACAGCAATGATTCAGTTACATCCCGAGTATATTGTAAGTAGAAACGTGGATGTTTCTACTGGTTTTATAGTTTCTAGAGTCTAATTTATTTGAATGCTTCTCCATCTAGTTAACATTACTATTTTAAGACATCAGCCAGGTACCGTATTTGAACCCCTAGTCTGGATAGGTAATTTGAGCGTAGCCATATTAGAGTATAAAATGATTTTTCATAATATTAATGCAGAGACTCACATGAGAATAATTATTTTATTCAATTGCTGAAGGGGGGAGAGGAAGAGCTGAGCAAAACACATTGGCAAACCTCCATGGGAATCTAAAAGAATGATTGAGAAACATTTTTCCATTGTTCACTGGGCTCTCAGCTGAGCCTGATCTCAATACTTCATGGTTTAAGATTTTATGTTTGTAGAAAATAAAGATGGGGAAAACTATTTTACCAATTATCAACTATATATGCCTCTTGTGCGCTTTCATGGCAGATTTAATAGGATTGTTCATCTGTAATATCTGAAGTGCTCAGATGCTACTTAATTGGCAATGAATAATTACTTTGGTATAGCTCAACCTAGCCAAAGCTAAGCGCTTCCCAAGCTACAGTCTTTCTTGGGAATAAGCCTCAATGAACACAGTAGGGCACGCTTCAGAGTGAGACCAGGGTTTAAATTAGAAGGATTTAGACTAAACGCTGGGAAGAACCATGCAACTGACTGCCTCCGAAGGTGGCAGACTCTCCTTCATTTGAGATCTTGAAACAGAGGCTGGATGTCCACCTGTCAAGCATGCGGGAGTTATGGGTTTCCTGCATCTACAGGCATTGGTTTAGATGAGCTTTGAGGACCCTTTCCAAGCCTACAGTTCCATGATTCAAATGCTTAAAACGTGAATGTGGATTATGGCTGTCTTGAAGCAGCATTGAACTGAAAACAAGAGAATCAATAAAAATATGCATATAGAGGTGATGAAGTTTGCACCCCACCCTTCATCAAAGGAGCTCCATACTGTGTGTGAGGGAGATTTCACAATGTGTGTGCTATTTCATCCCAGTTACATTTGTCTACTTAAAGAGCATAAAACCATCATTAAAATAGTCAAGGCTTTCCTTCCGCCACTGCTGCCAGTCTAAAGAAGCCCTTGTGAAACCAACACCACTTGTGAGGCTCCCCAGTCTTCCTGCTGTCTTGTTTCGCTCTTGCTTCTTTTGCCCCCTTTTAAATAGTGGTTGGAGTGAGCGAGCTGCCTTTGCCTTTCAGTGGGGACCAAATCATGCACAACTGCACGGCAGATTAGATAGTGTACAGCCTCTGCTGAACAGGGCTACCAGGTTACTACCATGTCAATTTAAAACAAAAATTGTCATCCCGGAAGCCACATTCAAGGATTATAAAAGCAATGCCCTTTTGTCTACTTGCTGCTAAAATGTCCTTGGAGCTGAAGGAGCAGAAGCAAAGGGGACCTAGTTTAACGGCTGGTTATTAATTCACAGTTTATCTCCTTGCATTCCTCTTTTATTGATTCTCAGTCCTAGGGCTCATTAACTGGTGCAGAGGAGAGAGAATGCTCTAGAAATCCTGTAAGTTGGGTCAGCTTTCAGTGTATCAGGGTGGGGTGGTGCTTATTTAGAATGTTAGCCTTATTGGGATTTGCATGTTGTTGTTTTAAAAATCTTGAAATGTTTCTGAGTTGTGTCCTGCACAATCTTATGCATGTCCTGCCGTGTTTAATGGGCCAGGTGAGTATGCATAGGACTGCAGCTTTATAATGTAATCCAATGGACATTTACTCAGAAGTACACTCCCATTGAATTCAATAGAATTTGCTCTCAAGTTATTGGGTATAATATGGCAGCCATAGAGTTTGAAAATGGTGCGATCAGTTTTGAGTTTTTATGATAGAAGGGCAGAAATATCTAATAAGTGCAGCACTTCCCAAAACGTGGACTGTGGACCACAATAATCCACAAGCTTCATTCAGGTGGTTCATGACTTGTCTGTGAAAATACAATTTAGAAGCCAAATCATAGAACATCTAGCACAGTGTGTTACAACGGCTACAACAGGCAGAAAACTCATTGGGTTATCCGTCAAGACCCTCAGCAATTTTCAAGTGGGCCATGGGCGGGGGTGGAGTTTGGGAATCATTTCAAAAACATACCTAATACCAAATTAAACATTAGTTAATTTTTGGGAAAAGCTGGCCCAAACCAGAAGCCCTGCATTTTAAAGTTTACAATGGTACCTCAGGTTACATACGCTTCAGGTTACATACACTTCAGGTTACAGACTCCGCTAACCCAGAAATAGTGCTTCAGGTTAAGAACTTTGCTTCAGGATGAGAACAGCAATCGTGCTCTGGCGGCGCGGCAGCAGCGGGAGGCCCCATTAGCTAAAGTGGTGCTTCAGGTTAAGAACAGTTTCAGATTAAGAACGGACCTCCAGAACAAATTAAGTACTTAACCTGAGGTACCACTGTATTTGGCTTTCCTTTTCTTTTTGTATGGTCAGTCTTAAAAGTCCTCGCATTGCTGCTCCTTGTCAGCCACTGCTGCCCTACTGGTGTGTCACACTGTCCAAGAGAGCTGAATGACACCCCCCACCCCCCAAAAAACCCACCAAATCAAAAGCAGAAAAATGGGGAAAAGTTTTAAAATTCTGGGATTTAAATTCAAAATCTAAACATGAATTTTAACACCAGCGTTTCACTGTTCTTTTAGACTTGTGAATATTATTCTGATTTTGACAAGCTGCTGAACACCAGATGCTATTGCATGACAGCTATCAATTCATACCAAGGCTATTATCCACCATCTCCACACCCTCTGGGCATGGGAGTTTACTGCTGGCAACTCCATTTCCTACCAATAGCCCTTCTAGGAGTGGTGAGCTGGACATCCTGAATGGTATACATAAAGGACAGACTGAATAAGGCCCCAGTTATCCTTACTATTTTTAAGTAGTAACAGTAGGTTGCAGTCGCAGTTTATATATCCTGCCCTTTGTCATAGACCCAGTATATGTTGCAACATCATAACCATAATGAATACAATATGTAATGAAAAAAAGAGACGTCCCCCCTCACACCAATAACCTGCTCCTTCTCTGCAAGTGCAGCCCCATTCAGAATAGGCCACTTCACCACTTCCTTGACCCAGGAACCACCACTCTGTAGGATCTCTATCTTGTCAAAATTCAGCTTCAGGTTATTGACCCTCAGCCACACCATTATTATCTAAGACAGTGTTACCTGTCTTAGATGATGACAGAAAAAGAGCTGGGTGTCATCATAGTCCCGTTATTGAAAAAGGGTAGAGATGAATGGTTCCTTTAGCTAAGACAGCTCCTCTCTACCTGTTCACAATTTCGAAGGCATCACAGCCTTATTAGCTCAGCAACATTATGGGTACCACTATTAGTTGTACTCTAATGAGACATGCGGGGACATGGGTGGCGCTGTGGTCTAAACCACTGAGCCTAGGGCTTGCTGACTGGAAGGTCGGAGGTTCAAATCCCCGTGATGGGGTGAGCTCCCGTTGTTCAGTCCCAGCTCCTGCCAACCTAGCAGTTTGAAAGCACATGAAAATGCAAGTAGATAAATAGGTACTGCTCTGGAGGGAAGGTAAACGGCGTTTCTGTGTACTGCTCTGGTTCGCCAGAAGCAGCTTAGTCATGCTGGCCACATGACCCGGCAGCTGTCTGCAGACAAACGCTGGCTCTCTCAGCCTATAGAGCGAGATGAGCGCACAACCCCAGAGTCGATTGTGACTGGACCTAACAGTCAGGGGTACCTTTACCTTTACCTTTAATGAGACATGCTACTGTAAAGTCATGTGATTGGCTCACGATGCAATTCCTTGGAAGTAAGTCCCCTTGAATTCAATGGACTTTACTTCTGAGTAGACCTGCATAGAAGGGAACAAAACAAACTGAGTCAGGGTTGCCCGCAGGATGTGCAATCTCATGGGCAGTTGACCCATAGAAATGAATGGGATTTCAGTGGGGATTGTGCAGGAGAACTCCTCACTGGATTGCACTCCCTGTCTGCGTGGGGGGGGGGAGATTAGATAATATTATTTTATTTTGCACAATAATTCGAAAGGGAACACTGTAAAAGTCCCAATTGGCTGACAGCTTAGGCGAAAGAAAAAACAACCCGGTGACAGATGCCAAAATGGACACCACTTGTGTCATAGGTTAAGTAACGATTATTTTATAATGGTGGCTTTATGCAGGAGCTATAAACATATGACGAACAGGAGAGCATGTCCGTCAGTGCACAGCCGGACTCGGCGGTGTTTACCGCTGGAGAGAGGGAGCGAGAGGATGGATCTGCCTAGATCTCTGCGGATGGCGCGGAGGGACGCGTGTGCAAATGGTCTCCAGGCGCACTGGCTTTTGCGCCTTGGGAATTCCGCGCGAGGGGAGACTCGGGCTGAATCCAGTCGCTGTGACGTTGACAATGGGCTTTACTTTCTCCTGGAATTCTCCTCCCCTCCCCCTGCATGTCATGTAGGTTTCATTGCCAGGCTGCTTCTGTTGCATTTTGGGATTAAGTCAGTCTCTCTCTCTCACTCTCTCCCCACCCTGCTATCTGTGCCAATTTTAAAACCACGAGCCATATTCGCGGAGATGGTTTAAAAAATAAATAAAAATAAATAAATCCTGGTGGGTATTTCGCTTTAAAAGCGAGAGCGACAAAAGCCTGCACAAAACAAAACAACCTCCCCCCCTCGCATCGCGAAGCACCTGTTTCTGCAACTCAACCCTGGCACAAGATCCGGCTCGCTGCTTTCGTTCATTTTCCCAGAACCCACGGCCTCCTTCCCTGCCCTCAGCCAAAGATTGCTTTCAGATCTGGGCCGCGATAAAGAACAACAACAACGCCAACTATCCCAGCCGAACGCTGGGTTTCAACAGCAGCCTTTAATCGGCGCGGATCTCGGCGCCCTCTCGGGCTGCTCCCTATGTCTCGTTGCTCCTCCGATGGAGAGCGAAGGAAAACAGAGAAAGAATGAATGGCAAACAGGCGAGCCGGGGTGCGGAGAGGCTGATTTCTCTGTTCTTCCGCCTTCCCTTCTTGCCATTTGGGGTCCTTCCTCCCCGGCCGACCATTTAGGCATGCAAGTCACTGAGATCTGCTGAGAAAAAGAGAGCGGTTGGGAAAACATCGGTGTATTGGGACTTCAACCGTATAAGCGAGCGGGGGGGGGGGGAGCGAGCGAGAGAAGAGAGTGACAGCCAGTGCGTCACGCCATTCAGCAAGTGCCAGGATCGCGCAGGGTTTTTTGCGCGTCCCTCTTGCGCCGCCGCCGCCGCCTCCACGGCCCTTCGAATTGCTCCGCGTCCAAGCAACGCGCGGAGCCCTTCGCCTTCTCTCTCTGTGTGGTGCGAGGAGGACTTGTTGAAGCGGCAGGTCACACGGGCCGCCTGCGTTTTGGCTCCTCCCGCCGCTGCTGCGCCGCTACCTGTAAAGCGCGTCGCTCTCTCGCTCGCCTCCATCTGTTCGAGGCAGCCTCCAAGAAGCGCGCAGGGCCGTTTGGGAGGAGGCGAGGGGGAGCCTGGAGAGAGCCCCGAGACCAGGCAGCAGCTTGTCCGTGCTCGGCCTCCAGCCGTGAGGGGAGCCCCTTCTTCTTCTTGGGGAGCCGAAGCCGCCGCCGCCGCCTCCTCAGCGGCCGAATCACAAGGCGCCGCTTTCCTCCCGCGCGCCCGGCGAGTCTCCTACGCCAGCTGCCCGGGAAGCTGAGGCGCGCAGCAACGGCGAGCTGGGCGCGTTGCTAACGGGTGGCGAGGAGGAGGAGGAGGCGGCCGAGTAGTAGCAGCAGCAGCAGCCGAGGATGGCAGGCGAGGCGGCGGCCGCCGCAGCGACGACGCAAGCCCGGCTGGGCGAGTGGAGGAGGCTGAATTAGGAGAGAGGAAGGGGCTGGACTTGCCGGAGGGAGACGCCGAACGAGCAGGGCTGCGTGGGCTCACTCTCCGGTCGGTGAAGAGAGAGGGCGCGACTGACGAGGCTCGCTCTCCGCCTTGGCGCTCAAATCGTGAGGCGACCAAGGGACGAATCCCGGATCTCGGCCGGGACCTGCGCGCGTCTGCCTGCCCGCCCGCCCGCCCGCCTTCTCCCCTTCGTGGCGGGCGTCGTGAGGTGCCGGCGCGAGGGGTGGCTGCTGGCTTGATTTCGGGGAGGGGGGTGGGGGGAAGGGGGAGCCGCTGATTTGGCCACCGGGAGGAGGCGGCGGCGGCGGCGGCGGCGCCTTTATTTCCCGCTCGGTTCCCTCGCGCCGGAATCTTGGAAGGCGGCGGCGAGGGCGCCAGAGCGAGAGGTGCCGAGCGGCGGCCGCCTGCCTGGACGTGCGCTGAGGCTCGGCTTGCGCGCCTCCCCGCCGAAGAGCAGCGCTATGGCTGGGGATGGGCTTGGCCGAGGGCGCTGGCGGCGGCAGCAGCAGCAGCGGGAGCTCCCCGGGGCCCCGGCGGCGCGCCCTGCCCGCTGTTAGCCATGGCAAATGGCAGCGGCGGCGGCGGAGGAGGCGGCGGCGGCGGCGGCTCCAGCGGCTCCAGTAGCTACTACTCGGGAGGAGGCGGCGGCGGCAGCGGCGGCATTAAGATGAACAGCCCCATCAGCGCCAGCAGCAACCTGAACGCGGACTCCTCCTCGGCGCCCGCCAAGGCGATCAACGCGGTCATCATCCCCATGACCATGGAGGTCCCCTGCGACAGCGGGCAGCGCATGTGGTGGGCCTTCCTGGCCTCGTCCATGGTCACCTTTTTCGGGGGACTCTTTATTATCCTGCTCTGGAGGACCCTCAAGTACCTGTGGACCGTCTGCTGCCACTGTGGGGGCAAGGAGAAGGTAACGTTTCTCTTCCCGGGTTCTCCCGCTTGAGGGCCGCTTCACACGTTGCCTAGCGCGGGGCTGGAAGCTGAGGTCGTGCAAAGCGCGCACATTCGTGTGTCTTGCAGTTGTCTTCTCCAGGGAGCTGCGAATGGCCGTGGAGTGGGGGGAAGGTGAGGGTTTACACCTGCAGAATGTGTGAAGCGGCCCTTCTATCCCTGGTGTTATTTGCAACTCATTTCAGGGAAACTTACAAATAAACTGTATGTTAAGATTGCAACCGTGCAGCTGGAGCCGTTGTGTGTTGACAGGGAAATGGGTCCCAGTGAGTTCAGAGGCTTCATTCTTGAGGGCATCTGCTTAGGAGAGCAAGTGCTTTTGAATGTCACATGCAGCTCAGTCCTTGGGAACTGCAGCCTTAGTCCCAAGTAAACTGCAAGGGATGGGAAGATTCATTTTCTTTCCTTCACTTCTTTTAGTCCTTTCTGATTTACTGTTACCTTTCTCCATGTTTTCCCCATGCCCCTTTGTTTACTATTCTCTTCATTTCCCCCTTCCATTTTCCCTTTCTTCCTCTTCTGATACTGTTTTCCATATATTGAGTTTTAGCGTTAATAGAAGTCATAGTAACATCAAAGGTTTATTGTTACTCTAACACAATGACAGTAATTCAACCTCCTGCCTTCTAACCATCATCAGTTCAGCAAGAGTTGTTTGTTGTGTGTTTGCTGCCCCAGGTTGACTCCTGCTGCTTTGGTACTAGGAGAGCAGTGGGCCTTTGTTGTTGTTGCTGCATGAAAAGTTAAAGAAATCCTCAAAAGGCAATAGCCTCAGATTCTGGATAAAATTGTGTCGGCCAGCAGTTCAGTAGTGGTCATGGGTGAGCTGAGGTTCAAAGCTTGAGACTTCTTTTGTCTGAAGTGGACAGGGAGTCTTCAGAACAGTGGTGGTGGTTCCTCTTTTCCTTGTTGAATGATGACTTCAGCTACTCCTCCCCACCTCACACAAACAGGCTGAGAAGGAAACATACCTTGGCAGTAATAAACTTGCTACCCAATTTGCTCTATTATTGCTGCCAGGTCTCTCTTGCACTCCGATGGGTTTGACTTTCTAACGGCAAGTACTGTCGATTTTGCTATGTCCAAATCACATTTTGTTTGGTTTAGCCATAGGTGGTAACAAATCAATGGATAAACTAGCTAACAACATGGATTCGGTGGCCCCCAAAGTTACAAATGGTAACTCAGAATATGTATAATCCAATTCAAGAGTTTTACTGCCCATTCATGTTAGATCTAATGACAGTGAATGCGTTTTGGTGAGGAAAGGGGGAATTCGGGATTTGCCATTTGCAATACTTGCCACAAGTGATGGCAGACTGTGAAAATAGATGTAAAGAAAACACAAAGAAGACATTTAAATGGGTGAATATTCCTGAAACAATCACACACTGCCCACCCCTTCTCGTTCACCCCTGTTTCTTCCCATTTAATCAAAATCTTGCTCCCTGTAAGGTCAGAATTCAAATTGAGCCACTCTGTATGGCTCTTTCCCGCCTTCTTTGTAAGCAGAATCCATGTGGAATTGTCATCTGCCATGGAGGGAGAATCCCATAAGCACTGTAGAGGCAGAAACATTATAGCTTGCCAGAAGTATTGTTGTGGAAGAGACCTGGCCACATTGCCCCCCTTAAGGTGACTGCTGAAAACTGTCAAGTAAAATAACTGAGCAATAGGTGGTGGGAGGAAACAGGTCTGAATCTACACACAAATGTCGATGGAGCCAGGATTTTGAGTATCTCACCCTCTCTGAAATCCATGGGATCCTTGCCCATTGCATTCCATTAACTCAAGACATTTGGGATTTCGGCTGTCCGAAAACACATTTTGGGCAGAATCCTGTGAGGAGTTACTCCCATGCAAGCTCCATGAAAGAAGCAGAGAGCTACAGAGGAGCACACCACTGGGGTTTCTTTTGCTGGTGCTTGTGCAGGAAGGCTTCCCACAGGATTGTGCTGATTGATTTCAGTGGGCCGAATATTTTGTGGTCTCTCCAGTTACTTTGGGTGCAAGCCCCCCATTGATTTCAATGGAATTTACTTCTGCATTTGTGTGTTATGCTCCCATACTTGGGCTACAGCCGACCTAGGATTGGTCTTGGAAATATTGTCCCTGATCCAGAGCAAGCTTCTCACTCCTGAGACCCACTGAAATGGCAGCTCACAACTAACTTGTGCTGTTGATTTCAGTGGGACGGAAGCACAACTAGGACTGCAGTCCTAAACCACACTTATTAGGGAGCAAGCGCATGGAACACAGTGAGAATTACCTTTCTGTAGACTTGCAAAGGATTGCTATGTAAATTTCTCTGGACTGGGTCAGTCAGTGGCTATCCTGTGCATAGTTGGGTTACTCCTATCCCATTGACTTTGGTAGGATTTAAGCAGCCTCATTTTGTTCAGGATTGTAGCCCTAGTCCCATGATGTACAGACACCGCCTCTAGAGCCCTCTGCCCTCCACTTGAGCAAAAGAAGTCCCATACCACTTATGCAAAACAAGCCATACTGAGCCATGAGCTACACTGAGCAAGTCAGCCAGCCACTGCGTTTTGCTGCCCGACTCCATCTCCTGCTCACTGGCTGTAGGTCTCTGCTGCTGTGAGACTAGAAGTAAAAAAATAAGACTGGAAAACCAACACCTGCGGAAAATCCACACCTCTCACCAATGTTTCATGTGTTATACCAGTGATGCAGAACCTTTGGCTCTCTGGATGTTGCTTAACTACAGCTCCCATCAGCCTCTGCAAGCATTGCCAATGGCCGGGGGTGATTGGAGTTGTAGTTCAGCAACATGTGGAGGGCCAAAGGTTCTCCATCAAATCTGGCAAATGATGGAACATGGTATAAGCAAAATTTCTTGGTTCGTGCTGCTTCTGTTCCCCATACACCTGAGGGCGATGGGGGCGACCACTGCTGAAAGGTGAAAAAATAGCAAAGTTGTCTCAAGGCAGCTCATTTTTCATATATATTTGTGTGAACCTGTTGACTTGGCTAATCGTTATCCTTCTGCATTGGAGACACCCTCTTGGTTGTCCCTCCCTGGGCCCATTTGCACATGCATGCCATTGCCAGATGTGCAGCTCGGCATGTGAATGGACTCAGTTGCATTTGAGATGTGAAACGTCTCCTTTCTCATCAAGTGATGAGCAGATATGTGTGAATCAGCCCAGTGAATGTGAGCAGTGCCAACCCTGCCATCTCCCTTCCGCCTCAACCTTTAGAGGCCCACTAAAACCTGGAGCATGTCAGCTTTAACAAAAAAATCCATCAAGAAAAAGCTCAAAAGGGACGTCTCAGGGAAGCAAAGTGTTGCCTCTTCACTGCCAGCTTCCTGTAAAGGGATGACTTGACTCTTGCTAAGGACTTTAACATCATGCCAACTTTTTATTTCTCACCCCCCTCCCACTCCCCCTTTGCTTAATACATAGCCTGATGAAGAGTTCTGGAGAACTCAAATCCTTGATTGTTATTTTGTGATGGTTGGGTAGGTCCTAATAAATATATTTCCCCACTGTGGATTTGAGATTCTTGTCAAGGCAAACAGTGAAGCCAACAGCCATTTCCTGCTCAGTGGGATTACTCCAAACGATGTGTAATGTGGCTTATAGCTGCCTTGTTAGGATTTCCCCTTCCAGTTTTATGTATAGCTACCCAGAAGGTAAAATATGCTTCAAATGCCATCCCATTTTGAAGGTTAGGAAACAGAGTATAATGAGGATCCCCACCCACCCACCCCAGTCCTTGTAAGAATGCTTTTTAGCTAAACCAGTGTTAATGCTCTATATTTGCTAACGTGGCATCTGACAGGCTATTTGGACCCTCCAAAATAGACCAGCAGCTGGAGTTTCTCCCTTCCCCTTTTCACATTTTTCGGATTACGAATGGAAGAATAGATCTGCTTCAGCTATTCCTGGCACCCAGCTACACAAAAAGCACCCAAACCTTTTAAATATATATGGTTGCTAGGTTGCTGTCATGATTTGACATTCAGCTATCGGCTTCCCCTGCTTCCCCCAAGATATGGCATAACCTGGCTGTGCAAACGTGGATTCATTTTTATTTTTAATTTGAAAGTGGTGATGAAGTAGGGATGCATGTGTGTCTGTGTGATGACAGAAATAACGCTGCTATGCTGAGAATTATGAATGCAACCTTGAGAAAGTTAAATCCCATCAAAATAGGTGGGGACTCAAATATGCTTTATACACGGCATCTTGTGCAATTACTTACTAATTTCTGAGGTGTTGTTTTGGGTGGGAGGGTGTAGTTAAGTCGTAGAATGCTCAGAGTTTCCTAAAAGTGCCTATGATCTTCCAGCCGATGAATTGCCATCATTTCAAACTGGTTTTACTCTGGAAAGGATGCTATCATATGCTATGGGGTAATTTGAAGCTTTAAAAATCATTTTGACTTGCTAAGTAAATAACAGCAATAGCCTTTTCCTGCTGAAGAGATTCTTTTTGTTATGGGGAAATGGAAATGTGAGTTTTTGGAAAGGAAGATTTGTTGGGGCTGTAACACTCGTCTCTATTTATATGATGACAAATGTATATTTTTGAAGAGAACTGGCTCCTCAGAAAGGAAAGCCAAATAGCTAGATAGGTCTGAAGGAGTTTCCTATCTTTCTCTCTCTATGTTTAAAGGTAAAGGTAAAGGGATTGCGGTGCTCATCTCGCTTTATTGGCCGAGGGAGCCGGCGTACAGCTTCCGGGTGATGTGGCCGGCATGACTAAGCCGCTTCTGGCAAACCAGAGCAGCGCATGGAAACGCCATTTACCTTCCCACCACAGCGGTACCTATTTATCTACTTGCACTTTGACGTGCTTTCGAACTGCTAGGTTGGCAGGAGCAGGGACTGAGCAACGGGAGGTCACTCTGTCGCGGGGATTCGAACCGCCAGCCTTCTGATCGGCAAGCCCTAGGCTCTGTGGTTTAACTCACCGTGCGACCCGTGTCCCTCTCTCTATGTTTATATATATTAATAAATATATTCAAGTGCTTTCCTTTGTTTGTTGCAAGAAACATATTTAAGGAAGTCCAGAAGTCAACAAATACCCAGAAATTGTTCGGAGATGATTACCAGCACTACCTACCGTATATTTCCTTTGAGCACCTGATCCCAAAGTTACAGAACTGAACCAAGTACCTATAGTTCTTCTGTTGGTTGCCAGGTCATCCTCGTGGACTCGGTTGTAGGAACAAGTTCCCACCCTTTGAATGTCCAGCAGTATTAACAATTTCTACAGCCAGAGTGGGCTCTTAGTTATATGCCCCACTTGCCAAGGCAGTTAACCCTGCAGCATCTCTCAAAGAGTCGCTGATAAATCTGGAGAGTCACACATCTCCACTTTATCTCATTCACCGTCAGTAGTACAGGGTGGCTGAATTGTGCTTTACTGTGCTGTGCTTAAAGTCCAAGAGAAACTGCAGAGATGGCAGTCCTCCTGGCATGCTGCCCTCCCTAAGCCCCTGAGCAAGCTAATAGCTGACACTTCATAAACTGTCTTTGAAAAGAAGCCTTCTCATTCAAAACTGAAAGCACATATTGCACAGTCGAACATTATTTTTGAACATGCCATATATTGTTGATGTTTCCTGGCCAGGTTGTATATTGTGTAGGTTTTCTTACTGCCTTTCTCTAGCTAACATTATTGACATTGAAAGGCCTATGTGTCCTTCTGGTCTGTTGTTTTAAATATACATTTCATATCATTAAAATGTGTCCCTTGGTTGAGTAATTGTACACATTTACAAAATACATGGCCGTTGGGCTGTCTTCATTTCACCAAAACTTGATTTGTTTTCTTTTTCTTCTAACTCTCCTTCGTCACTGTTCAGCCATATGAGCTTCAGACCAGTATTGGTTGGAGAATGCCTAGTATGGTTTCATGCATTCAGTTTCCTCTCTTGTGAGAGCTCTTTTCTCTAATTTTCTGAATGCTCCATCTTCTCAGTATGTTAGAAAGCCCCAACCAGGCCCTTCAACATTAGGCAAATTGAGGCATGCACCTCTGGCAGTGTTTTGGGGTGTCATTAAAAATCAGGAAATTATGTTATTTCATTTATTGTTGTTGTATTTTTTTGGCCATTAAAGGGGCTACACAAATACCCGCTTATTTGATTTTCTGCCTTGTTACTGCCCAAATAACTTGTTTAGCTGTGCATACTTTGCACCTTAAGGTTTCTGATGCCATGGTATAATGGAAAGGGAAGAAAGGGAGAATGGGTAAGGTTTATTTCCAACAGGGGATGGAACAAAGCAAAAACTTTCACTATATTTAGGAACAGTCGGCCCTCCAATGTGCGAAAGGAAATACAAAGTCGCTGAAACAAAAAATAAAAATAAATAAGATTGCTCACTCCTGGGTGACACCCCTTGCTTTCAATCCCACACATCTTAGTTATGTGAGGGTTGGTTTCTGCCGTGTAGAGAAATGATTTTATGCCTGGGAGCAAACAAATTCAGATCTGTGAGTGTCTGTCTGGCAGAGGGCAGAGGAAAGCAAGTGGGAGATTTTCAAAGACACCCGGATTTTCTAAACAGAGTTGTACTTTTAAGGGTATATGTTGGGGCAGGGAGCATATTCTACAATACAAACCTCTTTATAAGCTTTATATTAATGTAACTATCATGGCTCCCTCCACAGAATTCCCCCAATGATTCCTGGAGAGGTGCTAATAATTCCATGGTGTTGTAGTTGTTGTAGTTGTTGTCAGTAGTTAGTTAGTTAGTTAGTTAGTTAGTTAGTTAGTGTCACCCTTCATCTTTAGATCTCAGGGGGGTTCACAGCATAAAAAAAAACGTAATAAAAACAGCTCTCATAATCCCCAGGCAGTATGTGCCTAATGGTCAGGGATGATAGAAACTGCAGTCTGAAACATCTGGAGGGCAGCAGGTGGAGGAAAGCTGACTGGGATTTAAGGCACTGCTTCCATACAAGAGGTAGAAGCAGATCAGCCAAAGAAGACCCACATTATCCATTGCTGAGCTGCACCATTTCAGATTGCAAGTGTGTCTGTGGGAAGATGTCAAATGCTTGAATCTCTCCCACATAAAATCCTCCTCCTTGCAAATCATACAAATGAACATACTAGAGAGAAAAAAGAAAGAGAGAGGTTCTGGCCATTTTCCTGGCAAAGCATGCTGGTATTGTATACAGTGTGGGTTTTTTTTAATTATTAAAGGAGGCATCTTTTTGAACATAAGGGCCTAGTTCCCATGACTTTATTCTCACTGCATGCTGCATCAGGAGATTAGTAAAGGTAAAGGTACCCCTGCCCGTACGGGCCAGTCGTGTCCGACTCTAGGGTTGTGCGCCCATCTCACTTAAGAGGCCGGGGGCCAGCGCTGTCCGGAGACACTTCTGGGTCACGTGGCCAGCGTGACAAAGCTGCTCTGGCGAGCCAGCACCAGTGCAGCACATGGAAACGCCGTTTACCTTCGCGCTATAAAGCGGTACCTATTTATCTACTTGCACTTAAGTGTGCTTTCAAACTGCTAGGTGGGCAGGAGCTGGGACCGAAAGATGGGAGGTCACCCCGCCGCGGGAATTCGAACCGCCGACCATACGGGCAAGTCCTAGGCACTGAGGTTTTATCCACAGCGCCACCCGCGTCCCCCGCATCAGGAAATTAGTACTTGATTAATCTTCCCCTGTTTGCTTTTACTAAATGCAGCTATAGTGAGGGAAAGGAACTGCTAATTTGACTTCACATGCAACCTGGAGGCATTTTAACACTTCCCTCCCTGCACTGCTGTCCCAATCCCTTACCTCCTCACCCTTTTCTTACATTTTGCTGGTGGGTAGAATGCAGTTGCCTGCATTATCATTTCTTCTCAAATAGCAGCTTGGGGGTATGTGGTTTAGACTGGCACAATAGGATGGGGAAACAGAGTTGAAAATCCCTAAGCCACTTCCCTGTTCAAATTAGCAGCCTCTCCTTCCTTGTGGCTGCATTAAGTTTAAGGATAGACAGAAGATAAACCATTGGTGTGGTATAACATGTAGTTTGGTTCTCACTGAGAGGTGATAAACCTTTGTCTGGAAGTACCACTTCAAACTGCAGGTGGGAGCTCACATAACTGAGCGTTCCTTCCTACAAAAGCAAAAAAGAAACCCAAATTTTTCTTGAACATTTAAAAAACAACAATTAGTATGTTGGGGAGGGGGGAAGAATCTACACAGCCATTCTATGTGCAGGGGCCCCCTACCCCTTGTATAGAGAAGTATTCAGTTGTTTGAATCCCTACTTGTAGCTGGGTTAGGGTTAGGGTTAGGGTTATTCAGCAGAGCCGAGTAATATATATATAACTAGTGATTTCTCTATTAAAGATATGAATTGAATTATTAATGTCAGTTTTTAAAAGTACAGTATAACTGTGCAATTTTAAGATGTACTGGTTGCTTGTATGATCTAGGGAGAAATATGTATTGTGTTTGATGTTCTTCCCTTAACCTGGGTCCTGGTTTGTATCTAAAAATGGGAAAAAAATATTGGGGAATTAGATGAATTTTTATTCATGGGTTGTTGCTCATGACATTGTGATATAAAGTGTATAAATGCAAGGAATAGCACATCAGATGGCCCATAAGCATTCTAATTGTGAGCTTGGGTGATCACATGATCACCCAGGCTGAAGGCAGCCCTGTTTAGGGAAGCTTTTAATGTTTAATAGATTATTGTATTTTAATATTCTGTTGAAAGCTGCCCAGAGTGGCTGGGGAAACCCAGCCAGGTGGGCAGGGTATAAATAAATTACTCCTACTCCTACTCCTACTCCTACTCCTACTACTACTACTATTATCTGTTTGGAAGCAAAACAGGACTACCCAAAAGTAAGCAAATGGTTTCTACCTGGGTATCATTGGTATGCAGAAGTACACACACCTGTAAATTAAAAGAAAAATAAATTTTACCCCAAAGGATTTATGCACTGGCAGGATTTACAGAAAACTGATGGCGGTGGATCAAAGAGATAAGAAAACAGTGATTAACTTGCCTCTACTGTCATTCCAGAAGCGGCTTAGTCATGCTGGCCACATGACCCGGAAGCTGTACGCCGGCTCCCTTGGCCAGTAAAGCGAGATGAGCGCCGCAACCCCAGAGTCGCTCCCTTTACCCTTTACCTTTACCGTCATGCCACAACTTCCTCTTACTGTGTAGTAATCAAATGCTCAGGTTCACAACTAGTTGTCAGCCCTAAATCTGATCCCACTAATATAGCCCAGCAGAGGAAAGGCCTCAGGGTGGGAGGAAAAGGGGGAAAGCACCCCCTCACATTCCAGGCATGTTGTTGAAGGTCCCATAAAACACTGCCCGTTTGTACTATTTATGTTCATTCTGCACTGTGGAGTTGGACGTTTCGGCATTGGAAGGAAACGTCCGTGGTTACTGGTTGATTCCATAATCGTCTGAATTTCTTGTGATGTTTCCAGCAGGTCTGTTTGCACTACACCTTCAGAACCCAGGTCAGGGTGACCTGAGGTGCACCTGATTCTGCTTGTGGCTCAGACCTGCAATGTCCTGGAGTCTTTCCAGTCTTCTGGATAATGTTGGCGGCATCTGGAGTTGATCCAACATTGCCTTGCTTCAACCAGGCTGTGGGCACAATAAGGTGCTAAAGCCCCACCCTTACCTTAAGTCACTTGATAGCAGTTAACCATTGAAATGGCATGGGCACAGTTTGCCCTTATGTAGTAAAGCCCAATACCTTGGCTTGAGGATTGCTTATTTACTTATATCGCAGACCCTCCAAGTGTCCCTGTTTTCCAGGGACAGTTCCTGAGTTACAGAAGATGTCTCGGTTTATGGTTTGAACTTGGAATGTCCTGCATTTCCTTAGGACGTCGTCCCTATTTTCATTGGAGAAATGATGGAGGGTATGGAGTTATCCAACCTGCCATCCGTATAGAGGGATTTGTTTTCATAGTTAATGTTTTATTATGGTTTTATATATGTTGCAAGCCGCCCAGAGTGACTGGGACAACCCAGTCAGATGGGCAGGGTATAATAATAATTATAATAATTATAATTATTTGAATAGGACATCCTTATTTTCACAGGAGAAATGTTGGACAGCATGATATCGGGGTTGGGGGACATGTGGCCCTCCAAATGTGGCTAAACTACAACTCCCATCATAGTGAGCATTGACTGGGGATGCAGCTGATTGGAACTAGAATCCAGCTACATTTTGTGAAGGGAGGAAAAACTTTGGCTGTGTGGTAATCTTGTGGTGTTGCTGGATGCATGTTAGAAGAGTGCTTATCTGTGGCCCTCGTGATATTATTGGACTACAACTCCCATCATCACGGGCAATTTGCCATTGTGGTTGGGCCTGATGAGAGTTTGAGTCCAACAATATCTGGAGGCTGGTCCATTAGGGCGAATGGGGCACTACCCCACCAGCTTCAGTCAGTCTCCACCTGCCTGTCTTCTTAAAACCAGTTGGGGTCTGGGGTGGCACTGGTTGTCAGCTTCTTCCCCCTCAGTCTCTGTGTTGCCCCTTGCAGAACTCAGCAGGGAAGAGGATGTCTCTGTCATTGGCTCTAGTGCCCTCTGCAATTGGGCACCCTGCTTTCTAGTCTTAATGGGCAACAGCCACCCCTGTTTGGAGGGCCCCAGATTCCCCATCCCTGGCTCATCACTTCTTCCTTTTCTGTCAGCACAGGCTAAATGGTACTACAGCTGAATCAAACAGCAAAGCAGGTGAGGATTGTGCATGCCAGTGCCCCTCTTGAATTTGGTGTGATGTGGCAACATGAGAATGGGCCTTTTCTGTGGTGGCTCCCTGACCATGGAATGCTCTTCCCAGGGAGGCTCACCAGGCGCCATCATTACATATCTTTGGGCACCAGGCAAGAACTTTGCTCTTTACCCAGGCCTTTGGCCATTATATAACATAGGGCCTGTTAAAGGTAAGGGGGGCAGATATTATGATTATTTTATTATTACGCTGCCTATTACTATGCTTTGTATAATTTTTTTTATGCTCTGTAAAATGTTTTTAATGTTGTATATCACCCTGGGATCTTTTGATAAAGGGTAATATATAAATTTTGTAATAATAATAGAAGACAGTTTATTAAATCATTTATTATATTTATGTATTTAACACATGACCTTTTTTTTAAAAAAAAGAAATGTATCAAGGGTTCTTTATTGACGTATCAGATTTTATGCTATGCCAGCCTTGTGAATTGTGGAAGACCACCTGTATTGCTATCCAAAGTAGAACAGAGAGTCTCTCCACTATGAATGTTGGAAGGTGGCCAGCAAGCTTGCAGCTAGACATTTTGGGGCACTTTGGGGAGATCCCTTGTCAGTCAATGTGAAGCAGCAAAAACCTAAATTGGATACATTTACAGTCTTTCAGAGTGCAAACCGATCTCAAAAGTAAGTCTCATGGAAGGCTCGGTATAGGATTGCAGCTTAAATGTATCGATAGAACCTGAGTTAGATTTCAAGTACCAGGTGTCAAAACGCATGCTCAGGTGCCCTAGGGTGACTGATCACTGGCTGGGCACCCATTTTCTCCTCCTGTTTCTCCCCTTCCTTTACCTGGGGCAAATTCATTGTTTCCAACGGACTCACAGTGCACTAATGTTGACCTAGCTCCAGATTTCACCATCCCCTAGTCATATTTTGTTGCTGCTGAAGTTAAGGAAGAAAGGAAAACTAACACAGAAGAAGGGTAAAGACAAAGTTTATTTAACCAAGAGAGATAATCGTAGAGTTGGAAGGCCTGAGGGTCTTCTAGTCCTCCATTTCAGGAATATCAACTAGATTATACATGACAGATGGCCATCCAACCTCTGCTTAAAAACTTCCAGGGAAGAAGCATCTACCTCTTGTGAGACTGATCGAACAGATATTACTGTCAGAAAGTTTGTCCTGATGTTTAGTCAGAATCTCAGTTCTTGTAACTTGAAACCATTGGTTTGGGTCCTGGTCTCTGGAGCAGGACAAAACAAGCTTGTTCCATCCTCCATATGACAGCCCTTTAGATAGGATATGTTGTCATCGGTGAGAGAGAGAGAGAGGCAGAACTATCAAGAGAGCCACCTCTGCAGATCTTAACACCTGAGAGAGTCTGTTGGACGGAAACAATATTTCAGATATTGGGGACCTAAGTTGGATATGGAAGGATGATGGGCTTTTATGAAAATAAGTTCAGTCAATGAAGGGTTAATTTTATTCAGGCCCAGGACAAGCTCCTAGAATCGAAGAGTTGGAAGGGACCCTGAGGTCATCTAGTCAAATTACCTGCAATACAAGTATCTTTTGCTCCATGTGAGGCTCGAACCCACGACCCTGAGATCTACTGACTGAGCTGCTTTGTTGACTGATCTCTACTGACTGAGCTGGTCGTTCCTTGCAACTTCCCCTCTCCCGCCCCTTGAAAGGCATTTGGGTGTCTGCATATTTTCTCTTATATCACACTTTCATTTGGAGAGAGAGGAAGAGAGAGACATGAAAATTTAGGAAGGCAGCCTAGTATATTTCTATTTTCTCACTGGCTTTGACTCTGGAGACCAGCAGTACCCTTAAATGCATGACGCTTAATATAGAATCTCTCCAAGTGCCAGTGGGCATCATGCACATTTGCCCAAACCCAACTCTGAACCACATGGCAGCTGTTTCTGTGAAAACAGATGTTTTGGGGAGTCGTCTTGACCCGCCTTTGATTCAAATTACAGATGGTCTTAGGCTGGAATAACCAAAACATGAAATGAATAACCTTCTACGTTGGTTCTCAAGTGAACTAGCCTACTTATTTTGGTTAAAGCTTTCAAGAAAGCGCCAGGGTATTTTAAACATTTTAAAAATAGGTTTCTTAGGGGGTCCATGGCTCACTGGCAGAATACACTTTCTGCAAGCAGGAGGTCACTGGTTCAACTCTTGGCATCTTCAGTGAAAGGACTGTAAGTTGTAGGAGCAGTAGAAAGGATTGTCACTAAAATGCTTCCAAAAAACAAACCAAACCAAACCAAACCAAACCAAACCAAAACAAAACACCAAACCTCAAGCAAACATCTAGCATAACAAAGAGAGCACTAGAAATCTCAGTCCTTTGCCATCTCAGGAACTGGTCTCTAGAGCCCCTATGCAAGACCTGGGCTGGAACTGTTCCAGCCCTTTGTGAACTGGAATATATGTAAAACATAGACGTGACTCAAACACCACAATGACCTTTGCCTTAGACTTTGAGTAATTGTTGCTGAACGTTGGAGTACATAAGAGTAGACTACATGTTCCAATGTTCTGACTGTAAATTGTAGCTTAATATAGCTTGAATGCACCAGTATGCCATCATGAGCACAAATATGCATACTTTCACAATACATCGGATGTCTGGTGCCCACAATACCTGGGGATTGTTGTTATTGTTTGACAGATGCACATTTCAGAATGGTTACCTGGGCTAATTCATACATGAACATTGCTCCATGTTTCATTTGTTGATGATTCATATTGAGAACTGCTTTCATTGGAAGGAAAAGTATTGTGCTTTATATAATGAGCTGATATGATGAGATCTTTTGTCTGAGGTGTTGTGATAGGGGGTGAATGTTTTCAGCTGCCTCATCCGATATTTGGTGTTGTATCCATCAATCAACCAAGCCTTCACATATTCATTTACCTCACTAAGCTTGCCAAATGTAAACTTTAGCTGGCTGGATCTTATAAATATATTAGAAATACTTTTAAAATTATATTTTTAAAGAAGGTTAGTATGTACTGTGTGGTCACAAAATACATACCGGTATTTGGTCTAAGAGAACTCTAGCTATTCACCAAGAAAAGATGAAATCTGAACTTTGTGCAGATTATTGCAAATCTACAAATCTAGCATGTCTTACTCTGCTGAAGTTAGTCACAGGAAGGAGCTATGACTTATGCAGAACATTATAACCTTGTCCCCCCTCCCAACTACTGGAAAGTCTCTCTCTGGCTTTTGAGGTTTCACAGAGCATTGCTCTTATATGTTTGCAATTGTCTTTGAAGTTAAATGGAGTAGAATTTTTTTCTCAGCAAGCCTTTCCATCTAAAATGACAAGCAGCACTAGAGAACAGATCTCAGTCTTGGACAGTGGTTTCCGTTCCCAGTCTGGTAGGTAAAAGTAGGGAAAGAGATCAATATATTCGTCTTCATGTGGCTGAAAATGCTGCAAGTGGTGGCTGTCTGCAGGAGGTGAATGAGAAAAGGCAGATGTTTCGATCTGACCCCAGGTGCTGCCTTGGTTGCATGAAAAGGTTGAGAAAAGTGAGAAAGTGACAGGATAGAAGGGGATAAAGAGGGAAGAAAAGACTGGTGGAGCAGGGATATGTATCTATGGGCAGCTGGGTATGAGACCGGGCACGTTGAAGGCAAAAACCTATGACTAGTTCATACGTATGTGTACAACACTGGAGTACTCTTCATTCAGGCCATCATCACCTGATATTGCAGTCATCAAGTGATGAACATTTGCGAGAGAACCATCCTACCAAATAAAGAAGAAAGACTGAGAGGGAAAGAGGCTGCCTAAGTGCTGTGGGTGATTCAGCCAGAGTGGCGGGTGGGCGGGCTTAGGATGTGCCCAGTGGATGCTTTTCCTGAGATATGACGGCATTTGGGCTTGCAAAATATTTCACCCACTTACCAAGGCTGGCTTTCCCACTCAAGCCAAGTGCCAAATGCTCTCTGCTAGGCAATCAAATAATGGATACAAATACGCAAATGTAATTGTAATGTTCTCTGATCTTTCAGTGAGTCAGGTACCAGCCAGCCTGCAAGAGATGAAGCAACCGTGTTTACACCTCTCACTCCTATCTGTGACAGTTTACAACCAGCTGCCTCCCTGTTCATTTATCTTTTCTCCTGCCTCGCAGGGAATGTTGCATCTCCAATTGCTTAGCCATTTAATAGCACACAGAGGAAAAAGAGAATATCTAAGTTACACCCGTGAAGCATGTTGAACGAAACAAATCCGTTTTATTCTCCATACTACTAGTCAAATTATGATGCAGAAAGATGATGCAAACTATCCTATTTGCTGAAGGATCACAGAACATGAGCCTCATGAAGCCACTGGAGTTTTTGATTCCTGGAGCACAATATCACAACACTAAATAGGTTTCTTAGGGGCAAGGGGAAGCCATGTGAATCTGGGAGGAAAAAGTAAGGAAAGAAAAACATTGTTGCTCAGTCCAGGTAAATATATACAGCAGTAAATATATAGCAGTAAATTACAGTGGTACCTCGGGTTACAGACGTTTCAGGTTACAGACTCTGCTAACCCAGAAATAGTACCTCGGGTTAAGAACTTTGCTTCAAGATGAGAACAGAAATCGTGCGGCGGCGGCGGGGCGGCAGCGGCAGGGACGCCCCATTAGCTAAAGTGGTACCTCAGGTTAAGAACAGTTTCAGGTTAAGAACAGACCTCCAGAATGAATTAAGTTCTTAACCCGAGGCACCACTGTAATGGAATGCAACTTCCTTACATTTTTTTGTGTGCTTACGGCTGTGAAGTTAGGCCTGAAAATGTGTAGGCAAGATCTGCTAAAATCTCAGAAGCTCCAGGGGTTGCGGAACAAGGTTTTCAGTGGTTGAAGGCAGGATTTCAATGCCCTGTGTAGTGCCTACCTGCTCCCCATGATTAGCAGAACCAAAATTACCATAATGGTGGAATATAAGATGTACATGTACTTAAGTTGCATAACTTACGCAGGTTACAGAAACTGGCCTTTTGAAGCATAAGATTATTCTTATTACGTTTATATCCCACCTTTCCTCCAAGGAGCTCAAGGTGGCATACACAACTTATCCTCTCTCTATCTTATCCTCACAACAACCCTGCAAAGCAGGTTTGGCTGAGAGATGTTGACTGGTCTGAAGTCATCCAGTGAGCTCCATGGCCAAGGGATTTGAACCCCAGTCCCCCAAATCCTAGTGCAATATGCATACTGGATCTGAAGTGCAGAATTCAAAACTTTTTTCAAAGAGCCCTGCCACTACAGCTTTAGCTCTCAGCAGCGCAAACAGGAATTTGGCACTAGAAGTGCCAAGCTCTACTGCTCATGTTGATCCTACTAGCTTGTTTGGAGTAGCAAGAGGATTGGTGCAGTCCCCTTGTGGTTTGCAGGGATCAGGTGCACCAATGCGAAGCTTTGCAGGAAATCTTAACAGCATCAGAGCAATACAGGGTTTGGGTGTCTCGTGGGACTGATTGGGTAGGAGATTGCAGAACTGCTCAGTTTCACTGTCTTATATATCACTCTGGGGTGTGTGTGTGTGTGTGTGTGTGTGTGTATGTGTATAGTTGAACATTAGCACCAGTTATTGTAGACAGACCAGAAACGGTGATTTTTTCTTTTTATTTATTATGCCACATTTCATTTTTTAAAAGAGTCATTTACAAAATATATAAACCACATCAAAACAGTGAATTCAAACCAGCAAAACAGTCCTATTAAAAGGGGCAGAACCAGCACATCAAACAAAAATTAAGACAGGTGATATCAAAAATTGAAAGTCCAATAAAAAACAACAGCCTTAAACTACTGGAGAGACAGCAGGAAGAAAACTGAAAGACCCTCTCTTGGGAGAGAGTTCTAGACTTTTCCCCCTGGCTCAGGTTTTTCTGCTCTTCTGTACTTTAATGGCCAAGCGAAATCAACCATACTCACCTACTTGTGATACAACGCTGAGTCGTGCTGCGAGAGATGTGAATCTCTACCATGTCAGGATGCAGATTAATTCTAGCTGGGGTGCAGATAGGGTTGGCGGGACAATGCACTTTTAACTTGGGAGGGTATCTGCAAAATTAGCTCCACTTGCCCTGAAATAGTTAAGCTGAAATTAAGGAGGGTTTATTGAGGGGTTTTTTTTTTTTTTTGTAATTGATATTTATTAAGTTTTCAAAGAATAACAACAAAAATTTCCAAAAAAAAATTTAAGGATACAAAAAACAAAAATAGTACATAAACAAAAAAGAAAAGAAAACCCAGCCGCAAAGAAAAAAAAAAGAGAAACAGAAAAACAAAAATATAAAGTCCTTTACAATCTCTATTGACTTCCTTTCTAGACTTCCTCCTCCTCCCCTCTTTTGTTTCTTAATTTTTAATTTTTACAGCAAATCCTTTCTGTTTTTTCATAACAATCTGTCATTACGTTTCCTTATTCTATTTTCCCTCTTGTCATATAAAAACTTTAAGACTCATAGCTTATATTCAATATTTACCAAATTCTTGCATCATTACCTTTTACGAATCATTTACCAATCCTTACTTAAGCCATGTAATTTCATTCAACATCCTTCAAACATTTGTAAGCATTCCCAATATTAAAAAATAAAAAGGAAAAATAATAAGTCAAATTCAGTCCAGTCAGCTTCCAACCGTCCCTCCCCTGGACCCGGGATTGTCAGTCCTTTTAACCTCGATAATCCGGCTCCTTAACCTGGTTGTCTCGTATCCGAGGCCCTCAAGTCTCTTTCTTGCCCCTTTCGCCACTCTTGTTGATGATTCCTTTCCAGTCGTGGATGCTCCAGCAAGAAAATGCTTTTGACCCTTTGCAGCAAGTCCATCCCAAACCCATTGCCCAAGCCAGACAGCAAATAATACCACTTCAAATTTCCACAAAGCTTGGAGACTTCGGCTACTCCAATCCTCTGATAGCCCATCACCAGACTCGGAAGGTCCAAATAACCATATGGAGGGGGTCGATCCATCCCCCATTTCCAAATCTGACCACATTTCATCTTTCCGAATCTGGTTTGTCCCAAGTTCATTTATCAAGTTCAAAGGCTGATCTTGCCCGTCCAAAGGTCCCTCCATCTCTGAAGCCTCCGTCACTACAGCAGGTTCATATGCTTGTATAGCCTTTAACTGAATTTCATTTGTTTGCTGCTGTGCTCTGGTAACTTCCATCATCAAGGTCGTCTCCTGACGCATCTGGTCCAGCTGGGCACTTAGTTTTGAAAAACCTTCCAGGAACAATTGTTCAAGCCTTTGTACTAGCATTGTCCTTCAAGGTCAAAGAAAATTCTTTCCCACGACAATAGTCCAATAGTCCTTCTCTTTTAATCTCTCTGCGTTGCAATTTCACTAAATTCCACTAGATGGAAATTTTTTTTTTTTAAAGGAATAAAAGCAACAGCAACAATCTTTCTTTTTCCAGAAACACTTTATCCAAAATTCCGCCTCCAAATTCAAGAGGCAACAGTAGAATCAAAATGTTACCCTTCTTTTAACTAACTGTCGAGCTGGATAAACTTCAGAACGTCAATTCTGACAGCCCGCTCCTGGTTCAGGGCGGTGGAAAATTGCTTTATTTTAAACTCACTTCCGCAGGATTGAAAAGTCCAAATACAACCCCTTCTTCTCCTGCAGTCAAAGGGGGTTCAGAAATCTTAGATGTTGAATTCTAGTTCTCTTAGAATTTAATTTTCAAGCTTTAGTATATTTTGTCTTTGCTTTCTTCACATAACAAAAGAACGGAAGGCGACTTCCTGTTTAGACCTTCCCATTCCGAGTCCCAATTAAGTTCAATTTCAAGTCCAATATTATTTGTTTATTCACCAGTCTTAAAAGTGGTTCAACTCTTCCAAGATCAGGTACTCACGGATAGATATTTTAGATGCCAAATTGTCCAGGAAAAGGCAGCGCTCTCCGATAACGGCAGTGCGGCTTTGCTGCACGGAGGAAGCAGTCGACTCACAGCACCACGCACCTCCACTCCGGAGCCCGGTAACGGGCTCCGGTACAAGGGGAGAGCGCTCTCGGTGCCCGCCGAGTCCCACGTCCACAGGCTTCTTCCGCCTGTGGTTTTTGCGGGTCCCCGCTGCGCCGTAGCGGCAGGACCCAAGCCTCCGTGCAGCGGGTTCCCTTCAGTCCGAAGGGAATTCCGCCATTTTCCGGAGGCGCCACCCCGGAAGTCTCGGGTTTATTGAGGGTTGCCCATGAGACTTGGTTCTTCTAGTTGCAATAGCAATAGCAGAGCACATGCGCTGTGTGTGCAGATCAATCCGTGGTCTTTATTTCTTTAATTTGCTTGTATACGACTTAATACTTAAGACAATCTCTGTGTGGCTGTCCAGTTAAAAGGATGTTGGAGAGATGGGAGAGTAATCCGCCAAAGACTGCCAGGCAGAGTAGCAGACAGTATAAGAGATGGTGGAGCCATCACAGATACAGGGTGATGAAAGCAGGGATACATCTTATTCCTTGACTGGATGTCTGTTGATGGTTCACCTAAGGACATGGGTAGGCAAACTAAGGCCCAGGGGCCAGATCTGGCCCAATCGCCTTCTAAATCCAGCCCGCAGACGGTCCGGGAATTAGCGTGTTTTTACATGAGTAGATTGTGTCCTTTTATTTAAAATGCATCTCTGGGTTATTTGTGGGGCATAGGAATTGGTTCATTATTATTATTTTTTTCAAAATATAGTCCGGCCCCCACAAGGACTGAGGGACAGTGGACCGGCCCCCCTCTGAAAGAGTTTGCTGACCCCTGCCTTAGGAGCATTCAGCCTCTGCATATTGAACATAGCTCTGGTCTGAGGAGTTCTCACCCTAAAAGCTCAGCTGGTACTAATACTTCTATTACTGCTGCTACTATTTACTGAATTTATTTGCCACTGCCCACAAATAAATCTCAAAGCAACTTCAAAAAGATCCCGTGAACTGTGGTTTGATGAGGATGCTGAAAATTGTCTGTTGAAGATTCCCAGATCTGCTGTTTCAGTGCTCCCCGTGGTAAGGGGATAAAATCAATTTAAGTCTGTAGCGTAGATATGCTCAGAGTTTCTCTGGGCAAGGTCCATGACATCCTAGCTGCAGAAGAGAAGCAACTGAAACAATTCCCTCGACTCCCCAGAGTCGCTGTACTTGCTCCCATTAGTTTGGTCTGCTACGTACACCCTTAAACCCTCCTGATGCATCTCTCCACACAGCTTTACTTCATCTTCCCACAGATTCAGACAGGAAGAAAAAGGGCCCCTCAAAGTTTAGCAATGACAAAATCACAATGCAGCCAGAGGTTTCACCATCTGCAGTGCTGTAGGGTGGTGGGATTCTGTCCAGAATCACAGGGCTTGCCATCAACCGCCAGCCAATTGTCTCCAGGTTTCCATTCGCAGAGGGTACCGATCGTGCTCCCAGCCAGTGACAAAGGGCTGCTTTCCAAGAAATGATGCCAACCTAGGCCAACATTCTATATGCCGTACAAGCTTTTTCTTAATTCAACACAGACTCCCACAAGCTAGACTTTAGGGTTGAACATTTAATTCACATCAAGCTGTGAATGCATATTCCGACCCCCACCCCCAAATCATGGGAACTAGATTTCCCATCAGAGATCTACAGTTCCCAGCACCATTAACAAACTGCAATTCTGAGGATTTTGTGGGAGAAATGATACGGTTTTGGTGCGCTTTAAATGTATGGTGTGATACACTGTATCAATTCCATTTTAAAAAATGGCATAACAGACTACAGTATGTTTCTGCAAATTCCCTAAAACCCTTCAAATCCATCACCCATACCAATGTGATATTTTTCTTCTTCAGGTTTAATGTTTTCATTTGTCATTCCCCTCTGCGTGATGCATGCCGCCTGTATACTAAGGGGTTAAGTTTCTAAAAAAGTTGCAGCTTTGAAGTGCACAGGCCACTAAAGAACCAAATAACCTGGCTTTTGGATTTCAGAAGGATTTCAGTTTTCAACGGCAGGTCTTGTTGGCAGGGCTATTCTTAGCCCTTTTAAGCAACACATGTTCTCCCCAGCTACCATTTGTGAATGCGGTATTCTGTTCTTAAAAGGAAAATCTCTCAGAGCATCAGCTAGGCTCTCTTGCTATAACCAAGAAAGGACAACAGCAGGAGGCCTGTCCATTGGAGACTGGACCTGAGTCAACGGCTATTAATCACAAAGAATCATTCGTAAAATGTATCTTTTGCCTGGACCTTGCTGCCTTGTGATTCTAGGGGAAGGGATGGGTGAGAGAGAACAGGTGATGTGTTGGGAGCCAAAATAAACACTAAATCCGCTAGTTTTCCTTAAATGTCCTTGTGCGACAGATGGCAGGCTGATTTTGTTTAACGTGTCAAGGCAGCATCTATAAAAGCAAACGAGGTTTCTTTAACAGTCTGACGGAAGGAACTTGGTGTTGCTTCCGTTTAAGGGAGAGGTGAGGATTCTTTCCCAGTCCTGAGGGCCTCTTTCCCTCCTCCACAACCTTCCAGGGGCCATATGCTGGTGATGGGCGGAGCCAGAGACAAAAAGTGGGCAGAGCAAAGATCATCTACATCCCCATTGTCCAGCCCGGATACTGAGGTCCAGCTCCGAGGGCCTACTGGTGGTTCCCTCCCTGCGAGCAGTGAAGTTACAGGGAACCAGGCAGAGGGCCTTCTGGGTAGTGACGCCCTCCCATCAGATGTCAAGGAAATGAACAACTACCTGAATTTTAGAAGACATCAGAAGGCAGCCCTGCTTAGGGAAGTTTTTAATGTTTGATGTTTTATCGTGTTTTTAATATTCCCTTGGGAGCCGCCCAGAGTGGTTGGGGAAACCCAGGCCGATGGGCGGGGTATGTATGTATGTATGAATGAATGAATGAATAAATAAATAAATAGACTCTTACCATCACACAGTAGGCTACACTCCAGCCAGGCAAAAGTCAGAGGTTTCTGCATGTGCACACGCACAAACATCCACAAACACATTGTCTATCCAGGCAAGCAAGAAGCATTACCACAGTTCAATATAACAGCGCAAGAACGCTTGAAGAGAGTGTGGAGCTGGGCCAATAAGCTGTGTGGGGTGAGGTGGTTTAGGATGAGAGATAGCAACCACCCAAAAGTCACCCTGTTTGTTTCATGTCTAAATGTAGAATTTGAACCCAGGGCTTCCCACTCTTAGTCCGACACCAGAACCTCCAAACTACGCTGGCTCTCATGGTTTATGCGGTGGGGTTTTCATGCAGTTGCAACTTTAGCATTCAATTTTTATTCTAACGAACCTTTCCGTATAACTCAAACCAGCTCACCATTCCTCCCTCTCAGGAATTTTCTATGGTTTATTTGTTGAAGTAGCTGTTACAGCATATGCATATGCATAAATTGTAACATAATTGTTACACTTACTGAATTAGGAGCCCTAGGGACGTTTGCTTCTTCTGCTCGGCATTGAAATGCAAGCAAGATAAGAGCAAGATGAGAGCAATGTAGAGCAGAGAATTAGCTAGTATGCAACGCTAGAAAGAGGATGTTGAATCTAATGTAATCAGACCTGGATTAGGAATTGAATATCTCAAGTAGTGATGCTTTTCTAGGTCATCCTTTATGTACCTACCCCAACCTTCTCTCCATTCTTCCAGTCTCCAAGTGGACTTTGGATTTAGCCCTTGGGATCCTTTCTCCTCTGTGCACCTTTCCTTTCTGACCTGATGCATGCAGAGGCAGCTCACTCCTTAATGCTGAAAATTTCTGCTCTTCAGGTGCACGGAGTGAGGGAGGGACAAAAGGTTTTACCTTCCAAAGCAGCGAATGCCCAACTTAAATGGAAAAGGAATTTCCATGTATGAAAAGCAATTTACATGTACAAATTGGTATGGCTAATTTTACCCAACAACTCCCTCCTCCCCTCTCACACGCAAACACAAACAAAACTCACTGCACCCGCCTCACAATATCATGTGTTTGGCGAGTGAGTGTCGTTTGGGGAAAGTGGCCCCTCAAGCCAAATTGGGCCACTTTGGCCCACAGGTCAGAGATTCCCCACCCCTGCTGCAAGTTATAAAGACCTCCAAGCAGTGCAGTGTACTGCCCACTACCAACTTCCCATGTTTCCTTCCTACTAAATTCTCACAAATTCTTGTCTACTAAATAAATTCAGTCTTTGTCAGACTATTTTTGAGATTGGGGGGGGGGGGTTGCTTCCTTAATTTTTTAAAAAAAAATTATATACAAACTTTGGGGTCCCCCCAAGCCATGCAGTTATCTCCCTCCTGTTTTGTTGTGGCCCCATTTGGGCTTCAGTTCTGCTGGTATCCTCCACCGAATTTGCCATCAGATACACTTTCAGGGTACACAGAACATCTCACAGCAACACAGGCAGGTCATTGTCTAGAGCAGCCTTTCTCAACCTTGGGTCCCCAGGTGTTGTTGGACTACAACTCCCATCATCCCTAGTTAGCAGAACCAGTGGTCAGGGATGATGGGAATTGTAGCCCAACAACATTTGGAGACTCAAGGTTGAGAAAGGTTGGTCTAGAGCAGGGCTTCCCAAACCTGGATCTCCAGCTTTTTTTTGGAGGACTACAATTCCCATCATCCCTGATCACTGGTTCTGCTAGTTAGGGATGGTGGGAGTTGTAGTCAAGAGCAGCTGGAGACCCAAGTTTGGGAAACACTGGTCTAGAGGATAATTACAATATACATTTGCATAGTTTTGGGGGATGAAGGCAGAAGTGGGGTGTGTGGGAGAGTACTGAGGTGTAGATGGTTGTAAATGCTGTAAGCGAGCAAGGATTGAAGCCCTATACTTTCAGAATGGGGCTGTAATTCAGGGGTTAAGCCCTTGGCATATTTGGTTTTAAATGTCCTTAGGTAGTAGGGCTAGGCAAGGTGGATCAATGGCCTGATTGTTCATATGAATTAACTTCATATGTTCAATAGCAATTGTTGGTGAAGATTTGGGAGAAAGGTGGAAAGTGAGCAGGGGATTTCTAGGCTGAAGAGGCAGTGAGGGAGAATGGGCAGAATTATTATTATTATTATTATTATTATTATTATTATTATTATTTAAAGAAGGGGACCTTTGTTCAGCTCAGGAAGGTAGAGCTGGAGGAGCAATTGTCACAGGCAAGAATATATCGGCCTGATGATGATGGTGATGATATAACACTATGTGGTCATCGTTAGGTGGTCAAGCGTGCTATGCCCTCCCTCTCATTTTTTTTTTTTAAGTATGTAGACATAAAACATAACAGCCAACTTAATAGCAAACCATAAACTAAATCCACAAGCTCACAGCAGCAGACAGTTTGTTAATGGTTATTTCAAGAATCGATAATGTTTCTCCAGCTTCTATTAGAAATATTGATATTCCCATATCATTCTCTGGTTTCTCTAATACAAGTTAATTTCTCCCCCTACGTCTTCAGTATACAAAATTATACACATCCATTCTTTCTCTCTGACCCTTGTGGGATTGTGAACTCCTTCCTCTTCTTCTCTTGTGCAGGCATTTCCCATTTAACTTCAGAGGTTAGCATTATACCTGTGCTAGCTTTTTAGCCAACTAACCCAAACCACAGTTTGGAAACCTGTTTCTATCCATAAGTAGCAAAGTGCTTTGCCAGGGTTTCATGGAATTGTGCTGCTGGATGATTTAGTGGAAGAACAACAGGCAAATCCCATTGTAGAATAAATGCATCTCACTGTTTTTGATCCTGTTTGACTTGCTAAAATTGGGCTTGGCCCCTTTGTGTAGTAGTAATGCACACTGGCCATCTGCAGAGATCCATCAAGTTACCCTCCTTTTAATATATAATTATTATTAGAAATGGGCTTAGGAAGTGAACAAGATAAAATATTATAGATTTTAAATTTTAAAAGGCTATTTAAAGCCGTTTAAAACGTTACTGATTGTGGGACTTCCCAGGGTGGCATTTTAATGCTGTTCATGAAACCAGATTTCCTCACTCACTCCCCCAAGAGTTGCAAAGAGTCAAAGACAGATGGCCTTGGCTCTTTTATGGGACATGCGTATCTCAGACACCAGGGTAAATGACAAGCTGCCAGCCCAACCATTGGGCAAAATGAGGTATCTGCCTTGGGCAGCAGATTTTAGGCACCATTGAAATGTGTCAAAAATGGTCAGTTATTTAATTTATCATCACTCTGTCTGGCACTGCTAAAATGGTTGGCACCTCCTTTCCCACTCTACCCTGCCATAAGATGCCTGTGTTTGTCAGCTTTTCCTGGCAGGTAGAAATTCAGTAGGTGACATTTCCCATTGCTGTACCTCCAGGGGCGACAGCTGTTTGTCACATGAACCTGGCCAGGAAAAATGGAAAAGTGGCAACCAATGGGAGGGAGACTCATTTGAATTTTTCGCCTCAGGCATAGAGATGTTTTTGGGCTGGCTTCGATAAGCAGCATTGGCTCAACCATGTGCATTAGGAACTGGGAAGATTGCAGGAGCTCGATGAGTTCAGAAACATCATTTGATATATGGCTCAACAGGATAATGTGATATAGCCCATCTAAGTTGCCTTATTAAAAAAAACAAGCAAGCATATTGCCTCTGCATATCACTTAACTAACTGCTTTAACTCTCCCCATCTTAATGGCCCAACCATTTTTTTAAAAAAGGATTGATTCTATTTGCAATGAAATACTGAGGTTGTCAGAGCCTTAAAAGCCCTATGATTTGCGTAGCCAAGAGGCAATTAAGTTACACATCCATTTCCTCTCCCCATTTTTCTCCTTTGGTTTGCTTAAAAGTGCCATTCTCTTGATTTCATAAGGCCCAGTGGCTTGAACGGCTTACAACACCTAAGTAGTATTCAGTTGCTAGGCCACTGTCTTAAGCTGGAGTTGGTGCATTAACAGTGCAGTCTGCTGGGTGTACATGGAAGGTAATATTCCTTGTGAGGCTCTCTGGGATTCCACTGGTGGAGTGGAATCCTGGGGATCAACTCCAGTTGCGTGTGCCCCTGCACGTACAAGCCCTGTTTAGGCATTCAGCTAGAAATGAGCATCAGGGTTGTGTCTGCTGCTTCCACTGCTGCCCTCCATGCATTCAAGGATCCCATGTACACAGAACCTATTGCACAATCCATACTTTGAAAAAGAGAGAGAAGTGTACGGATTGTGCACACAGAAGCCTGCACATGCCTCCTTGAGTGCATTGAAACTGGAAACAAGACCAGCAGGCAAAACACTTCTTCATTTCTAGCCAAATGGAGACCTGAATGAGTCATTGAACTTTTACTTCTCCTATGCACCCTCCTGCAGGTACAGACATAAATTAATGGGGCAGAAATGAATGGGGCCATTTCAGTTGTCAGGAGAGCTCCTCTGTGCATGCACTAGAACCCTCATTCTTACAGCAGATAACCAGATCATGGCATCGCAAGCAGACTGTCAAGCCTTGCATAACATATCCTCTTTTGCAAGAAGATTGAAAAGAGGTGCCTATCTACCTTGTAGAGCAGAATGCCACTTATGGGAACATTCAGCCAGAAAAGGCTCAAGGTGGATTTTTACCTTGTCCCAAAATGTTCTTAGGGCAGTGCAGCCTGTACATTTTGCAGTGAGTCACACATGCAGGCCGCAGGCTGCAGCTATAGTTCATAAGTTGTCTGGTGCTGAACCAAGCAGAGGATGATCAGCAGAAGGACCCAGCATCCTCCTTGCTCCTATTCTTCCCCTCCACTCTGTTTTATTCCTTTCTCTAACTAAATGATCAAAAGAAGGCTGGGCCAGACCATTGGTCCAACTATAATCCAGTGGTACTCTATTCTGACCCGCAGTGGCCTTCCAGGACCATGGGCAGCACTCTCTCCCTGCCTTGCATTCATAAGATCAATTGATTTATTTTAACTGAGAATGAAACGGATTGATGCCAGAAGTACCCAGATGCAAAGCATTTGCTCTGCCACAGAGCTATGCCCCTTCCCTTTGTCATACATTCCCCAAAGAATCCCGGGAACTGTGGTTTGTTAAAGGTGCCGAGAGTTGTTAGGAGACCCCTATTCCCCTTGCAGATCTACAATTCTTGGAGTGGTTTAACAGTCACTCTCCCTTTTCCCCCAGAGAATTGTAGGTCTGTGAGGGAAGTACAGGTCTCCTAACAACTCTCAGAACCTGTATCAAACTATAGTTCCCAGGATTGGTTTTTTTTGGGGGGGGGGAACCATTACTGCTTAAACTGGTGTGATACTGGTTTAAATGTATAGTGCAGATGGGGCCTAAGGATGCAGGAAGAATACAGGATCAGACAAAAAGTCATAGATAATAGAATCAGAGAGTTGGAAGGGACCACAAGGATCATCTGGTCCAACCCCCAGCAATGCAGGAATCTTTCACCCATTGTGGGGCTTGAACCCACAACCCTGAGATTAAGAAGTCTCATGTTCTACCAGCTGAGCTATCCCTGTAGTCTAGCATTCATCTAGACCCACCAGATGTCTTGCAAGCAGTAAGGGCTTATTTCACTTTAGGCCTTGAGTGCCAACAGTGCTGTCTTCTAAGGCCACCTCTAATTCCATTTCTGTCTGAAGCATGATTCTCGACAGCATGATGCAGATCCATTCAGTGTGCAGGAACTCCCTTCTCAACTCCTCTCTCAGTCCCTACTTTTCAGGGATGGGACCAGGAGATGGCGCACCGATCCCCCTTCTGCCACCAGTGTATTGCAGGCAGTTTATGGGTTCTTTTCCCCCGGCAGTAAAACTTATTTGATGCATTTCATTTCATTTATGAATCTCTTCCCATGAAACGTTTCAGTGTGATTTAGCCATGAAAACAACAGCGGTATTAAATGTATTCAAAGTCAAGGGCTGCCATTAGGGAACACCTGGTAGCCAGAGTGTCCTAGGGCTGTCTGAGTTCTGCTGAGCAGAGGATATGCCATTTCCTCCTTGCTTAGGTCCACATGGGGTTCTAAGCTGCATGACTCCAATTAAAAAGCAGTGGAAGTCAAGCAGATAAAAACCCCAGTCCATTTTCATCATTCAAGAGGCATAAGGTGGCAATGGCTGCTTCTGCCAGGATTGCGAGTACAGTGAAGGGAATGATTTGCTTGCTAAGGCTGCAATCCTAAGTATTCTGACTTTAAAGTAGGTCCCACTGAACTTGATGCAGTTTACTCCAATGTTGCTGGGGATGGACTGTAAACGTTAACACCTGTCTGTTGGCCCAGGTTGGTTCCTGGTTCCCCCATCACAGTAGTTTTCAAACTTCCCACTTTGAGGAAATCCTTCCACGTTAACTTTACTGTCAAGGATGCCCTGCATATAAGCCACAGAACCCTCTGTTTTTGCAGAGAATTCTGGGGCAAATTCTTGTTGGCAAATTCATATTGCATTATTGCCACTGAGTGAACTGAGATCAGCAATCTTTGAGGGAAATTTGGTCAGCGGCACTGATCTCCTTTTTGGGGAAGCCTTGATGAGGTACTCTCACAATTCTCCAGAACATACCGTATTTTTCTGTGTATAAGAGTAGGTTTTCTTCCTAAAAAATAATTTCCAAAATTTGGGGGTGTCTTATACATGGGGGGCCATATCCCCCCATTTTATTAAAGCGGAGTCCCAAAAAATAGGGGTCGTCTTATACATGGGGGCATCTTATAGACGGAAAAATATGGTAGTTTGAAAACCACAGCAATATATTAAGAACACTATTCTCTAGTCTACTGAGACTGCTCCTAGTTATTTCACTAGAAAGGCTTAGCAATGGAAATTTAATCATAACTGGAGACTAGAGGAGATGGACATGGATCTGCTTTGTTGAGGTTCTTGAACCAGACAGTTCTGACACAGTTGGCTGAAGCCCATGAAAGCATGTAAAACTATTTTTAAGGCCACAAAGATCTTTGCTGTTTTTGCAGAGGGATAAAAGGGTTTCAAGCATGCTGGGTTTTCTGCAACATCTATTCATGTGGTTATGCCCTTTTCAGCATAACTACCAGTTTGAAATGAGCCCAGACACCTTAAATGTCAATGCACGCACACACTATAAACAATGGATATGCATAAGGTGATTTCACAAAGGTGATGCATGTATTTGTGTGCTTTCTCCGGAGAAAAACAACCTCACCTTTTCAGTGGCTCAGTTTGCATGCAAGACTACACCAAATCACAGCCAAGGTTTGTTCCTGGCTTGCCAATCATGGTTTGTCTGGGGGAGACAAACCACAACCTGGGTTGGGACATGATGCTAAGCTAAACCATGGGTTGGGTTTGGGTAACACAGCAGCAGCAGGAGGACAGGGGGAAGAAGAGGAGCAATCATGATTTATGCTGTCTGTTCCCCAACATACACATATTCACACCTAGCCATGGTTTGGCTTAGCCATACAAAGAATGTCTCTGACTTACTTTGACAAACTGTGACACTGTGAATCTTCAAGCCATCCCTGTTTGGGGGTCACTTGTGGGCCTTATTCCTGACTTAGAATTCTGATGAAGCCTCTTGTTTTCCATTCATTCTTAAAACCATCACTCTCCTTCAGGCATAGACTATAAAAAAAATTCATGATGCATTCTGGCACAAAGCCATTATTCCAGGGCCAAATTCTCCACCTTTATCATCCCCTGCATTGTAAGCCTTGTGTCACAGTGAGCTCCCAGCACTGAAGATAATCTTTTAGGATATAACAGTGAATTCTGTCTATGGACTTTCCGATTCAATCTCCCACCCTCCCTGGACTTTGAACACAGATGAAAGATGCTCAGTGTTATAGATGGGAAATGCAAAATACTTTCCTTCCTTCAGCTAAATCTATGAAGAGGCAAAATACCAAACATAGGCATTTAAATGTGCCTTGAAATGGCTTTTTCACAGCCCTACAAATATTGGAACATTTTATTTTTAGCCTATAAGAAGCCTGAAGGCCAGCTAGGGGATTATAGGATGTTTAAATCCAAATTTTCGTCCCAGCATTTTGAAACTAACCTTTTTATTATTGTCCCAATGAAGTGTACCCATTATGGAAAGCAATAATCTATTTCTCCTGCAGTCTAAAAGGAAGTAGCCTGAAGCAAAATATGGCAAAATAGGGGGGTAGTCTGTTGGAAATGTTTATTTTCCAAGGTATTCACTTTGTCAATGGTGGGTGGGACGGAGGGTCTTATTTGAATGTATATACCAGGCATAGGCAAACTTGGCCCTCCAGATGTTTTGGGACTACAACTCCCATCATCCCTAGCTAACATGACCAGTGGTCAGGGATGATGGGAGTTGTAGTCCCAAAACATCTGGAGGGCCGAGTTTGCCTGTTCCTGGTATATACAGTTATTAGGGCTTTGAACACTAAAGGAAGACCATGGTGAACTTACAACAATTACTATCATAGCACATTCACAGTGGATGTGGTCTATGGCCTGGACAAGCACACTATAGACTTTATTGGAACTTTATTTAGCTCAACCACACAGGGTCCCACACCTTCCTCTGTATGTAATGCAGTAACTAAACTCAGTCTAACAAGCTAATGCTTAGTTGAATTTTATTGCATGGAACTACACTTCAGTAAACAATGTGCCAAAGGTCTTACGTGTACCAAATGAATACAAATCATTAATTACAGCTGGTTCCAGGGATGAATTGTGTACCTATGAGAACTTTAGCTCTTCATCAACACACACACTGCTTTAAGTTCCAAATGTGTTGAAGGGCGTTGTCTTCTTTTTTAGTTGTTATATTTACTTGGTCTCCTAAAACGTTTACATGAATTGAATGAGGGGTATCAGCTTTTTCCTCCGAGAACTACCCCTTCCCCCAGCACTCCACTGGCCTTATGATGGAGATCTGCATGGATGTTTCCCGAAACATGTCTGTGAAATATGTGGTGTCAGCAACAGATTTTCCATTATTGCCAAACCTCTGCAGTTTAACATGGAAATACAGGCCATGTAATATTTTGTACCCTTATGTACCGCCTTTCTTTTTACAAGAAAACCCAAGGAAGTTTACAACAAATTCAGAATTAGACTGTAACAACCATGAAATACATTCTCCAGAATGTCTCGTTTGGATTCTGTTGAAGGACAACTTTTGACTACCTCAAGAAAATAAGCTTGGAAAAGGGAGTATAAAAGCCATCAGTCCAGCTCCCCCAAATTAGTTAAATTTATTTTGACTAAAGGATGGTGAGGTCACTTGGCCCTCTCTGTGTGCCAGTGACTAATGTTGCTCGTTGCAGGAAAATTCCACTCCAGCAGTTCTGGCCACCTGGAATGAGAGCAGCACTGTAAGAAGAAACAACTTGGTTGGATGCTGCACTTTGACTTCAGTTCTTTCCCGCAACGATGACAGTATTCTGCCCAGGAAAGTAGCGCTGCGCTCAGTTTTCTGCGCTTCCTAGCCTCAGATTAATGACAGTTCTGCGACACTCTTTGGAACCTCAGATATCTTACTAACAAATAGAGCTTGGGTTTTGTAAGCATGCACACAAATTTTTGGCTACTCCTAAAAGCCCCCCTCCCCAATCCAAATATGAACTTGGTTCAAGCATGTGAAGAGAAATGGAATTCCCACAGCCCCACATTCCATTCCAGGTGTAGTTTGGCTTGCTGTATACTGGATTGCTCACCTCTGCTTTGACGTAAACATAGCTCAGTTGTTGGAATATGAGGCTCTTAATCTCAGAGTTGTGGGTTCAAGCCCCACATTGGCTGAAAGATTCTTGCATTGCAGGGGGTTGGACAAGGTGACCCTTGTGGTCCCTTCCATCTCTACAATTCTGTGATTCTATGTCCTCAGTCTTAACTATGCGCCGTTAAAATAATAATCCAATTTATAGTTCTTTGTAGAATTTGGGTTGTCTTGAGCTAGGTGTGTCCATCAACTTTCACCTTTCTGGGTGGTGTTGAAATACCTTAACCATTTTGACGGAGAGATGTATAAATGTTGAGGTGCCCTGGGCCAGACATGCTTTTAGATGACCTGCCTGCTTGAATGGGTCCATCCCAAACATCTTTGCATGTCAGGAGTTGGGAACAGATTTGGCAGGCATTCCCCACCAGCTGCTTTAATTGGTGGGCAAGCCCTCCCACCTGTCAATCAATCACCTGACATCACAATGATGGCAGATGAGTCAGCTTAAATGGAAAGAGTGGAGCGCACACTTAGAGGGAGACCCAATAAAGCCAAGTGTTTTCCACTCATCATCCTTGTTGCATTAAGTGCTCTGTGTAGGTGTTTTGTTGAACATCATTTTCTGCTGTGTTTTAACTGCATGGTAGCCTGCATGAGTCTTTGGCCATTTGAACTTAGAACTTAATTACTACTTGACAGTCACTTACAGATGAAGGCAGAGCAGGAGTTCAAGTGTTTTTAAAGAAGAAGCAGATTGCCTAAATTATGAAATAGAGACTTGGCCTGAAGACAAGCAGGGCCGATAAAAAGGTTGGGAACCCTTTAGATGCAAAATGCTTTCATAATTATTATTATTTTATTACACCTGTATTCCAGCTTTCCTTCAGAAGCTCAGGGCATTTTATCACATCAACTACAGTGGTGCCTCGCAAGACGAAATTAATCCGTTCCGCAAGAGTCTTCGTCTAGCGGTTTTTTCGTCTTGCGAAGCAAGCCCATTGACGGATTAGCGCTATTAGCGCTATCAGCTGTTTAGCGGCTATTAAAGGCTTAAAGGCTTAGGGGATTAGCTGCTAAAAGGCTATTAAAGGCTATTAAAGGCTTAGCAGATTAGATAAAGGGGGAAAAGCGAAAAATAATCTCTAGACTCTCAAGGTATTTTCGTCTTGCGAAGCAAGCCCATAGGGGAATTCGTCCTGCGAAGCAACTTCAAAACGGAAAACCCTTTCGTCTAGCGGTTTTTCCGTCTTGCGAGGCATTCGTCTTGCGGGGCACCACTGTATCTGTGATTTAGAAGATGCTGAGTTTATGTTGACTAGTCCAAGATCTCTCACTGAGTTTCATGCCTAAACAGGGATTACTCTGTCCACTGCACTGTGCTGATCTCTCAAGTATAGATTTTATGTAATGCTGCCACCATTTCACTAGGCAAGGGTGTGTCTTATAGTGAGTAGTGTGATAGGCAGAAATCCAACAGGTACTGCTTTCTCCATCACTGGAGGGGAAGAAGAGTTGTACCTGCTGAATTTCGACATGTGACACCACTGTTAAAGATAAATAGCCTGTGTCAAGAAGAGGGGAAAGTAACCTACCAGAAATCCATGGGAAATAGTAACTGCAATTGGCTTGTAGACTTTTAAGTCAGATTCAAGATTTGTGGCTTCCCTTCTGTAGCTTGTTGGGATGATACTTTTAACTTTTCTTAGCCTAATTTTAAATACACTACTAGATTTTAATGGATTATTGAATATTGCTTTATTTGATATAAGTTGTTTATTTTAAAGTTATTGTGATTTTTTGTATTGGATCGGATTGTTATTATTAATTTTTGACATTTTATTATGTTTTAATATGTGTTGGGGGCTGCCCAGAGTGGCTGGGGCAACCTGGCCAGATGGGCGGGGTATAAATAAAAATATATATTATAAATTATTATTGTTATACAAAGTTGGGGAATGCTTAACTTTTAAAAATATACATCTCAAGTTTCAAGCTAGGTGGAAAGTTTAACAAGTCTGTCAGCAGATACTGTATCAGGGATTCTGTATTTTATATCTTCTCTTTGAAATAAGATGCATATTTAGCTATCTCAGGATTAGAAGAGGCTTTGGCTTGTCAACCCGGCTTTTAAATTGAGAACCATTTGAACTGGAGATGCAAACTTTCAGCTTTGCTTCGCAATTTGTGTTGCTTGTTTGCTTTTGGTGTTAATCATGCTTGGGGCTTTGGAAGTCACTCTAGCGATAAACATTTGGTAAGGAAAGATTGCTCATCAGTTGTATATGCCTAGCTTTGGTGTGGAGAAACCTACTTGTTTATCCTAGACAAATTTATGGAGGGTAAGACTATCAGTGGCTGGCTGTGATGTCTATGAGCTACCTCCCCTGTCTGGGGCAGCCTGCTGCTGAATACCAGTTGGCGGAAATTGCAAGTTCGGTTGTGCTCAAGTTCTGATAGGGGGCTTCCCATGGACATCTAGTTGGCCACTGTGAGAGCAGGATGCTTGATGGACCATTGGTCTGATCCAGCAGGGCTCTTCTTATGTTCTTAAATATTTAATTTGAGAGCATTGGTATACTAATGCATTTCATAATGAGGGCAATACATGGAGCAGAGAATGACAAAACTCCTTCCATCTCAAGGCAAGCGAGAGACTCACTTTGGGGTGGAATTCTCATTCAAGAAGAAACTGCCCACTCCTTCCCCACCTCCCAGAGATGTTATGCAGCTCTGCTATCAATTTTCCATAGCCTGGACCAGTACAGTGTGCTGCAAATACAGTGGTACCTCAGGTTAAGTACTTAATTTGTTCTGGAGGTCCATTCTTAACCTGAAACTGTTCTTAACCTGAAGCACCACTTTAGCTAATCGGGCCTTCTGCTGCTGCTGCGCTGCCAGAGCACGATTTGTGTTCTCATCCTGAAGCAAAGTTCTTAACCTGAGGTACTATTTCTGGGCTAGCGGAGTCTGTAACCTGAAGCGTATGTAACCTGAAGCGTATGTAACCCGAGGTAGCACTGTACAAAACAAAAACTCAAAATAAGCGCATAGCCAGCAACTAAAGCACACAATCTCATCCAAAGACTACACATCCCATCACAGAATATATACTATATCATCAAGGAATTAAGCATTTGCGCTTACCCATTTAATTTAATAGTTTACCTAGGAATGTAATTTACCCTCCACTAGGGAGGCTAAGATTAGTTCCAAGGACACTGAGTGAATCTTTCAGAGAAGTGATTCAAGTCTTATACAGAACAAATTCGCCAAGGAAAGTGTAGCTATAAGATAGGTCAACTTCAGACATATACTTTTGGTCATAAAATGAAACGTGTAAACCCAGAAGCAAGATCGTTGGGGCCTAGTAAATCGGGTCAAACTTTTCATTTCAAGACCTGGTCATTTTAACGTAGAACTCCCATACTAGTTTTACCGGTCTACCCATTTCCCAACACCTGGGAGAAAGAGCAGCCCTCTGCTGCAATATTGCTGTAAGAATAATGCACACGGGAGTGGTTTTAAATGCTGTAATTTATTGGGATAATAGTGAGATAGAGCCATACAAAAATAGGAAGCAAAAGTTAATGCTTAAAAAAGAAGACGTCTGATGTGACCCTTAATCTGCCCTGGAGTTGTTATTTTCATAGAATGGGTGGCCTCTACCTCCTGTTCCTGTAAGCCTTGGTGATTTTTATTTTTATTTTTACAAAAAAAGTAGTAAGCCTACCTAGGATCAAAGCGTCCAACTTCCTTCAGTACAGGCTTTTAAAGTTGCAATTGGAGAATCCCAAAGAACAACAGACTTCTCTGAGCCAAAGCCTCCATCCTTCCAGGTCCTTGAACCTCTGATGGGCATTTGCTTCTCACTCTTCAAAGTCAGGACTGCTGAGAAAAAGAAATCATCCCTGCGGGAGGAACTGATGGAAAATGCAAGTTCCTGACTCAGAGTTCTATTGCATTCTTCTTCCAACTTCTAGAAACAGCACTTACAATTTAGAAAACTCTCTCTCTCTCTCTCTCTCTCTCTCTCTCTCTCTCTCTCTCTCTCTCTCTCTCTCTCTTTCTCACTCACCCACCTATACCCACCCACCATCCAGTATGCTTCCTTTCTCCAACAGAGAAAATATGAATTTGATAAGAGACTGAGTGAGTAGGCCTGTTTTGCCTTGCATGGCGATTGTATGTGATTAAAAGAGAGATGCAACAATAAGACCGACATACAGAGGCCTTACAGAATATTCTCTGTGGAGTTTGTTCTATATTTGGGACTCTGGTATGACAGAGTCTGCTATGTCAGAGCTTTCCATCCGTCTCAAGCACCATGACCGGAGTACCACGACTTTATAGTCTGACAAAACACACAAAGCAACAAGGCTTGGAAAACATGCTCTGATGGTTAGCAGAGCTCTAGAGCAAAGGCTTGTTTCAGGAAGGGGCTTCATCTAGGGAAAAACGCAACAGAGTCATAGGCATTTGACAATTTTTTTGATCAGGGATCGGTGGGCGATTTGTGTTCCAGACTGCTGACAGCAGCCATTTTGTGCGAAGGGAGACAAAGAGGCAGCTGATGTTCATGGCATAACATACCGTGAACTTCCTGTAGATCTGAGAATCCCAGATCTCCACAGATGGCCAGATGAAGATGTGCCTCATAGAAGAACACATTATGCACTTAGAACACGAACTCCAAAATAGATGAAGACTGTGTGTACAAGGTGTTTTCTATTATTATTTAATGCGAATGGAGAAGTAGTGCTGGAACTGGTGATGACAACGAAAACACCACCAGTTTCAGTTACAAACGTTCTTCCCTTACCGTTGAACAACTTGCTGGCCTACTCTTCATTTCAGGGAATGGACCATCAGTTCAGAAAGTTAACCCAACACATTGCATCAAGTGGTGGGTTCTTGTGAGCCGTAATTTAGTGCTAAGCACCCAGACCAAGAGCCTAACAAACTTATGTCAAGGGTGCCTCAAGACAGTCACTAATTTCAACCACATACCAACAAATTCCGGTTGTGCAATTGGGAGTTGAACCCTCTTCCCCAAAACATTGGACTTTCCACAATAAGGAAAGTGGTAGCAAAATGCAGTGGAAAGTGTGAGAGCCCTTGGGGGAGATGCAGGCAATTTTGATTTAAATTTAGGATCTCGGGGGGGGGGGAACTATTCTCCTGGGCTCCTGTCCACTACTCCTTTCCCCACCCCCAAAGTTTCCCACTTCAGGTTTTGTACAAGAAATTGCGTGTATTCCAGACAGAGAGGAGCTCACTATGGCGCCAGCTAGCAGGCAGGCATCAGTAGCTCACCAGAGCCTGCCTTTGATGTCAGCCCAGGCACATGAAGTAATTGAGAAGATAGTACCTTTTGAGTTTTGCAGTGATTCTCAGGACATAAAAGGACTTACTGACTGATACCCCTTTAGCATGTGCAAAGTGCCCTTTCCTTTAATTTCTACAAAGGCCCCACACTTCTGGGATTAAGGGGAAGATATTCCTCACTGGATAAATAGGACATTTCCCCTGGATGCCCATCCTAGGCAAATCCACCGTTCTGTGCATGTGTTGCAAATCCGCAGCCCCAGTTGAAAACCACCTTTTAAAGCCCATAGTCCCAGTTTGCCACTTTGCCCATTGCGCTTGGCAGGATTTGAGTCAGGAGGACTGGGGGAAGTGGCAGCTTAGGAAAGAGAAAGAGGTGGCATTTCCTTGGGTGGGTAGGGGAGCGAGATGGAGAGTCCACTCGGCCAATTCCAACTATACATGTACAGTATGTTGGTGCAAGGAGGGAAGCCAGCTTAGCGCTATTCCCATGCAGAGCAGACAAATTCCTACAGCTCGGCCTAAATTCCCTGCATGTCAGAGGAGGAGACACATGTACTTTGATTCCGATTGCCTGCCTGAATGATGATTTTCTCTCTCGCTGAAATGAGAAGTTAAGAAATGAACAATTCTATCTCTTATTTATATATTCATAGAAAAATGTCACATCAGAATAGTGAGCCGCTGAGTGGATTATCATAAGCATCATTTGTAATGTAGCTGTCTTGACTATTAGCGGATGAAAATATCTTTGATTTTTATCTTCCCTTGAAAGCTAGACCTGTGCTCAATAACCTTATTTTGTTCAACAGAATGTAGCTTCTGTTCACCTTCAGGAAGTATGTGATCTTTGCATACCAGCTGCAGTGTTATCACGTTAAGCCAAATTTGAGAAAGCCAGGGTTTCTGTTGTTAAAGGCTCTTTCTCAGGGATCTTAGCGCTTGCTCTAGGGATTAGAAGAGGACATGTAGGGTCTGTGCAGGCCTTGTAAAGTGCAGAGATGCTGATGAAATGTAACTCTTAGATTGCAGGGAGAACCTTTGCACCAACACTACTCAGAAGCATGGTGTGCTGGTATAACATGTATACATGACTGGAGATTTGTATATTAAATGCAAATAAATGTAAATAAGTTGTAGTTATGATTGAAGATTCATATATTACACGTACCAAAATGACATTTGCTCTGCATATTTCCATATACTTGCATTGTGGTGACAATCCCATTTCTGTAGGTTTGAAACTGTTTTGAGCTCTTGTTTTGTTTTACAACCAAGTGGCAAATGCATTTTACTAAATAAATAAATAGAAAGCTTCCTTGTGCTGCAGCAATGAAACTGCTGGCGCATTTGCAAAGCTAAGCAGGGTCTGGTATGGTTTCAAACTGTATGGGGGACCGCATGTTGAGATTCCTGCATTGCAGGGGGTTGGACTAGATGACCACTGAGGTCCCTTCCAGCTTTACAATTCTATGATTCTATTGAGTAAAACCATTGTCCTATTGTCTTCACCAACTGGCTGTGTCTCTCCATGGGCAGGAGTCTTTCGCGTGAGATGCCAAGGAGTGAAACTGGGATCTTTCGCATACATAGCATGTGTTCTGCTGTCACTGAACTTCAGCCCTTCCTCCTGTTATACAAATAGTCCAGTAGGAAGCCAGCTGAATTCCATGTGCTCAGCTCTCACAGTTTGGTGCCTGTCCCCAATATAACAGGGGCAGAGTGTTCTCTTCTTTCTAGATAAACAAACTCAGTGGTCAGTAGAATTCCACCTTTATGAAATCATGTACAGTTTGATGCAGACTTCCCCCTATTTTTTTATATATTTTAAAAATGCCAAGATGGAAAAAGCCATCGTGACTTGGCAACATGATAAAAGTTAAGAATGAATGGGCATTCACTGGTGAGTCACCAAGGGCTCCACCAACAGTGTATCATCCTGTTGTCACCTTTTTGAAGTAAATGAGTTGACCTAATAAGGACCAGATCTTCAACCGGAATACATAATTTGTCTCCAGATGCTCATTTATGCAAACCCAGAATGAGATTATGCCACATTTGCACCATACCACTTCAAACAGTCTCGCATATACACCCATGCATATTCAGAATAATAACCAACCGGGATAGGTGAGGTGGTGCATTGTGTGATCAAAGCAAGTGCCTGGGTAGAGCTGGGCTTGGCACAATTCTTGCCACTGGCCCCTCCCGCCCCAAAGCTCCTTGTAGCTTCCTTGGGCTTCTGGCGCTTCTTGCAGTCACATTTCAGGTGGCCTTTCTCCCCGCACATCAAATGTTCAAACAGACATCCTTCCTTTCCCAGACTTGTCCCAGACAGGCATTTGATTTACAACAATCTCATCTGCAGCATTGGAGGAATGAAATTGCTAACAGGCTTCCCCCAAATAATTCTGGGAGGTGTAGTTAAGGGTACTGAGATTTGTTAGGAGACCTCCTATTCCTTTCATAGAGCTACAGTTAGCAGAGTTCCCTGTAAAGTAGGTTTGATTGCTAAACCACTCTGTTTGTTGTAGCTCTGTGAGGGGAATAGGGCGATACTAACAATTCTCAGCACCCTTCTACAGCTAGCAGAATTAATGGGGGGAAGCCATGACTTTTTAAAGTAATATCTAAGTGCAATTAATGTATGTAGAATTTCAATTGGCTTTCCATATCCTGCCACTAGTGGGTGTGACATAGCCATGTGGGCTGGGAAGGGCACATTCTGTATATAATTTAAAAAATATTTTTCCCCGTTGACTTTTAAAATAAATCATTTAGTGTATGCTAAAGCGCTTGCTTATTGAGGTGCTAGTAAGTGATTAATAACTCTTTTTTTGTTTTGTTTTTAAGTCAGCCACGTGATTTGAAAGTTTGGCAAAAATCAACATGGCATTAAAATGACCCTAGTAAAAGCAGTGTGATTTTAAATTTGCAGTAAAACAAGTGCTTTTGCACAAATTTTCAGACAGCATTTTTTTTTTAGGCAGAAATTTGAGTCGGCACCAATTTTAAAATGGCACATGGTTAAATAGAACTGGCACAAATAGTGGAGGTGTGCAAAAATAGATGCATAACAATGAGTCTATCCACCTGATACATCACTCCACGTGCCAAAGCAAGGCGCTGAGGTGATTTATATTTACAGACATTGCATTACTATTCTGTGTCGTCCCCCCCCATAGTTGAATTTTCTGTGATCCGAAAGTAGGCAAAAGAAGCTTGTCAAAAACATGGGAGAATGGCCATTGGATAGCAGTGTCATGTAGATATATATTTCATATTGAATGGAGTGCTGATTATTTACAGGAAAAACATCAAGGGAGTAAAAAAAGAAGAAGTCATAAATATATCAGCAGGTGTCAACATCGCTCTTCCTTGGCCACCAACTAAAATGTGGCACAGTCAATTCTTGTTTACTTATTTTGCTTCCTGGGTGAGATGACAATTAGAAGGAAGCATCTCTTTCGTCTGTCCTGAATTGTCCCACCCTTCAGCTTCATTGGATGAGAGAGGAAGAAAAACATGCATATTTGCATACACACACACACAGAGGCTGGGAGCCCCTGGAGGCTTCACCTGGGGCAAAAAACCTGGCTAGCCCCCTGTAGCTATGGCTCTGACTTTTGTCCACAATCTCTAGAGCAGGGGTAGGCAACCTAAGGCCTGGGGGGCTGCATGCGGCCCAATTGCTTTCTCAATCCGGCCTGCGGATGGTCTGGGAATCAGCGTGTTTTTACATGAGTAGAATGTGTCCTTTTATTTAAAATGCATCGCTGGGTTATTTGTGGGGCATAGGAATTCGTTCATTCCCCCCCCCAATAGTCTGGCCCACCACATGCTCTGAGGGATGGTGGAGCAGCCCACGGCTGAAAAAGGTTGCTGACCCCTGCTCTAGAGGCTTGAAGATGCTCTCGCTTCTAGAACAGGGTGTACCAATGAATATATGAAGACTGTTGCTCTGGCTTTCCTTCTCGGATTAGTGTAGAATGATGCATGGAGGGTGTTGTTGATTGCCACAAAATTTAAGGCGTTGCTTTTGGAAATTGTGATTCTTGTGGCACTCCAGCCTATAAATTGTGTTATGTTTCAAACCTGAAATGGCATATTGTAAAGAAGTGTTTCAGTGCAATTAACTTAATTACCTAGTGAGGACAGACTGTACAGCCAGAAACTGATAGCAAGCAAATAAATGTAAAAGGTGTACTCAGAAAATATAATCAGGCAGCTATCCAATAAGTCAGCTCACCATGTTGCAAATGTCTCTAAAAGCAGTATAAGCAAAGGCTGTTAGAATATGTCTTGTAGACTTTTGCTTTGTTTGTTCTGAACTTATGCAAATCCACCAAGATTTTTATGGAAAAACAAGTCAGTATCCCTGGTAATTTGTGGAGGAAGGAATAGACAGCTCGGCATTATTGGCCACCCAACCTAGAATAGTTTTAGGACTCTGGAAGAGCTATATCCTAGGACAGCTTTGCTGAATATTCCTTCTATGTTTTTGCAGGAACTGCTGTCAGTTTCAGCCTCCAACAGCTTCCAAAGAGATCACAGTGGGGATAAGGGTTTGGGGCTTTCTGCTTCCCCTTGCTGTCCTCTTCAAAAATGAGAGGCCTAGACTGCAATCTGAACACTGCTTACCTGGCCGCAAGCCCCTTCGAATTCAGTGGGACATTTCTGAGTAGATATGGTTAGTAACTGTTTGTGCTTATGTAGCATTTACAGTTGGCTAATATTTCATTTTTTCCAATAAATCTTGATGGCAGAGGTGCTTGGTTGCTCTAATTCCCTCCCACTCTCCCCCAAATCATGGCCTCTGGCAAGCATAATACATTTGTCGAATGAATGAATGAATGAACTTGATGTAGTCATACTGTGTTTTATTGAGGTGTGGGGAGAGGGTGGCGCTGTGGTCCAAACCACTGAGCCTCTTGGGCTTGCTGATTGGAAGTTCGGCGGTTTGAATCCCTGCAACAGGGTGAGCTCCCGTTGCTCGGTCCCTGCTCCTGCCAACCTATCAGTTCAAAAGCATGCCAGTGCAAGTAGATAAATTGGTACTGCTGCGGCAGGAAGGTAAACGGCAATTCTGTGCGCTCTGGTTTCTGTCACGGTGTCCCTTTGTGCCAGAAGTGGTTTAGTCCTGCTGGCCACATAACCAGGAAAGCTGTCTGTGGACAAACACCGGTTCCCTCGGCCTGAAAAGCGAGATGAGCGCCGCAACCCCATAGTCACCTTTGACTGGATTTAACCGTCCAGGGGCTTTACCTTTACCTTTTTATTGAGGCACAATGAATTGATTGTGTTTCCCCTTAGGATACTTCCTGCTGAAGGCCTGTGCTTAGAAACCTACCAGGCTGGGTGAATTAGCAAGTTTCCACAGATAACACACAAGTGGCCTAGGTTCATATATGAAGAACACACAGTTGCATGAGCAGGTAACCATAAAAGGAAATATATAAATAGGCTATACAGTGGTACCTCGGGTTACGTACGCTTCAGGTTACATACGCTTCAGGTTACAGACTCCGCTAACCCAGAAATAGTGCTTCAGGTTAAGAAATTTGCTTCAGGATGAGAACAGAAATCGTGCTCCGGAGGTGCAGCGGCAGCGGGAGGCGCCACTCGCTAAAGTGGTGCTTCAGGTTAAGAATAGTTTCAGGTTAAGTACGGACCTCCGGAACGAATTAAGTACTTAACCCGAGGTATCACTGTATCTCTGAAACCCTATTAACAACTTGGGTGCTGTACTCTTTCTCTTGTTGCTAGTGGTGACAGACAGGGAGTAGGTGGAGCCAGAGACAATGAAAGGCAGAACCAGGTGAGGAGACATGTGAGGGCTACCTGAGGGTGATTCTCCACTTGTCCTCATAGACCAACCTCCACTGCTTGAGGCCCACATTTCAGGGATGTGGGCATATCATTCAACGCAGTGTGGTTTCCAAACTGTGCTGGGGTTCTTTGGGTGCTTACCTGGGGTTCCTCAGTGAGAAGGTAAGTAATGGCAGATAAGCATTCCTGGATAATTGTGTGCCTACCATTGCTGATCTTCCTCTGGTTGTCTTTTTAGTTTGCATAGGGGCACAGTGAGGCCAGCCGACCATGTGAACCTAGATCAGAAGCTCCCAAACTGTGGTCTGTGGACCACAGATGATCTGCGAGCTTTATAAAAATAGTTACAAAAAAAAATAAATCACACAGTATCTAGCACAGTGCATTTCAATTGCTACAACAGACAGAAAAAAATCATCAGCCAGGACCCAATTTTCAAGTGGTTTGCAGGGAAGGGGCAAGATTAGTAACCACTGTCCTAGAATATAGTTAAGCAGTTGCTTTTTCTTTTAAAGAAAGTAGTTAAGTTAAACTTAGCATATATTATAAATTAATTGTGAGAGATAACTTTTTATATCAGATGCGTAGGTAAAAATGTGTTGGATCGTAAGGTACTCCTATAATGGTATACTTATGGTCTTAATGGCTTAGTTTTGACATCACACTAAACAAAACCATGGTTGAATGTGAGTGTGTGGGCTCCAGGAAGGAGGCTGCAACTGCTTTTCTCAACCAAGGAGGAGAAAAGCATTTGCACTCTCCTTCCTGGAATTTTCCATCTGTTTTAGCTCTCTGCAGGCTAACCAAGAGCTGTAACCAGTGCTTACCTTATGGCCTATGGCATGCTGTTTGCCCATGAGTCTGGGCTTGGATGACACACTAAACCAAAGTATGGTTTAGCTCAGGGCGATGCAGCAGCAAATGGATTAGGAAAGAGCGAAGCAACTGCAATCTCCTCTCCAGAAGCCTGCAGATTAATGCTAAGCCATTGTTTGCATGGCAGGCAAATGAGGCAAGCAGGTTTTTATTTTATTTTATGATGAGTGTATGGAGAAAAGTGTTGGGTATCTTCTGCTTGATAATAGATAACAAAGCAAGTGTCCTTCAAGATGAATAACCTGGCCACTTCGAGAGCTTTAGTCTTGTTTTAAATGTCTTTGTTGCATTTGTGTTTTTAACTGTTTTTAATTATCTTTTATGTAAATAACATTGAGACAGTAGTTTAGAAGGTGTTAAAATAATAATAAAACTACGCTTTGTAATACTATTTTCCTGACTTTAAAATAACATATGTGTTTCTCATCCCATTGAATACTACTGTTTTTTCCCCTCTGAAGAATTTCTAGCCCACTTTCCTAGCTATGATAATGAAGGTGGCTTAAAGATTAATTTCTAGAACCTAGCAAGACTAAGACAGACGTGTTAGGTCCTGCTAGACAGTCACCATTAGGAGAAAAAATAAATCACTAATTAGATAATTTCCTGGCTTTGGGGAAAATAATCATTTTAAGCAAGACCACTGCACTGGTTATTTCAGTCTGTTCTCTTTTGGGTCATCTCGCTCTAAATCGCCGTGACCCACTTGCCAGATGTGATGAGCTCCAGAAACCTTGTGCTAATTATTTTGGCCGAGTTTTCTAAGCTGGTTACAGTTTATAGCTGTGCCAGCAAGAACTGGGAGATTATTATGGTTATTATTTATTCAAACATGCTGTGCAGACAGGCTTTCTTCACATACTGTCTGCTAACTTCTGTTGACTTTGAAATGTCTTCATTCTCCTGCTTCCTCTTTTCTGTTCTACTCTTTCTCCAAATCCGTTTTCATTCCTTTTCACTATTTGGGTAACCTTATACCTAAACCGTATCCTCCAAAGCACAGCAGTACCTTTCTTCCCTCACTGCTCCTTACCATTGTACTTCTTAACTCCTCAGGGGTGCCAACTTGAATAAAATATTGTGGGAGTCCAGGTAAACCCCACCCTGGTTAATCGTTCACATGACACAGTGCACACACACCATTTGAATGGGAATGCCCATCAACTTTGCGGGGGCTCAACCCCCTCAAATATTTTTTGAAGCCCCCACAGCCCCTAGGAGTTGGCTCCTGTGTAACTCCTGGTTCCTTCCATTCATGTGTTAGGTTTACGTGCCTGTGTAAAACTAACCTCCACTCTGTCATTCTCCAACCGCTTCCCCCACTTCACTATTTTTTGGAGGGTGGCAACACAAGAACGGGGACTTCTCTGCAGTGGCTCCCCATTTCTGGAATGCTCTCCCCAGGTAGGATCGGTTGCCTCCTTCATTATACACCTTTAGGGAGGCTTGCCTGGCATCTTCACTACATATCTTTAGGCACCAGGCGAAAATGTTGGGTTGATTGACATCTGATGCCCTTTTAAAATGTGTTGTGGAAGGGGAGGAATTATTGGGTTTCTTTGTTTGTATTATGTATTTTCTGTTTCTTGTGGTTTTATGTCGTGAACCGCCCTGAGAACGGGAATAGGGTGGTATACAAATTTTAATACCGCATTTTTCACCCCATAGGACGCACCGGCCCATAGGACGCACCTAGTTTTTTGGGGGAGAAACAGAACAGGCTGCTATCCGCTAGCCGTGGGAGAGCCGCGTGACTTTGCGCGGCTCTCCCACGGCTAGCGGAGCACTGCGCGAAGCCCGAAGCTTGGAGTGTGCTGCGTCTCCCACGGCTAGCGGATAGCTTCCTGAAGCCTGGAGAGCGAGAGGGGTCGGTGCACACCAACCCCCCTCGCTCTCCAGGCTTCAGCGAAAGCCTTCATTCGCCCCATAGGACGCATACACATTTCCCCTTCATTTTTGGAGGGGAAAAAGTGCGTCCTATAGACCGAAAAATATGGTAATAATAAAATAATAAAATAAATCCCCCTGTCCTTCTTTCCTTTGACTGTCTAGCCCAGGGGCACCCTGCAAACGTTTTAGACTATGGACTTGGTTAGATATGGTAAAGAAAAAGTGATTTATATGCGTTGTATGTGCGATGCAACATTGTGCCAGCAGATGGCGACGTGGAGTCCCGTTTTTCTCTACCTGTTTTTCCTGTTTCAATTTACAACGCTTTAAACTGGAACACTTCTTTGATGTGTCTTAGATCCAGCCTATGACTCCCAACATCCTCTGACCATGGGTAATGCTGGCTGGGGCTGATGGGTTTTTGGAGTCTGTAACATCTTGAAGGTCCCAGGTTGGCTACCCCTGGCTTAATCTCATTAGATTGTAAGACTCAGGACTGGGGCAGCAACTTGTGCAACTCTGACTGCACTTGGCAAAAATGGCAGGTCAGTCATGCTGGAGGCAGAAGAGCTTCACATTGCCCTGACTTGCTGCAGCCATAGGGGAAAATCGGTGGGGGGTTAAGTGGAGAGTAATCCAAACTATTTCCCCCCGCTGTTTAAATTGGATCCAAAGCCAAACAAATAGTAATTGTGTCGCACATCCTGAATTTGAAACCGAGCCAAAACAGGATTTCACTACTGTTGTAAAATAAAGACAGGTCAGCTCCCCGCTGCGAGGAAGAGCTGCAGTTCAGCAGCCGATCCCGTGCGTTGCACGCAAAAGGTCATAGGTTTAATTCCTGGCATGGCTAGGCAGGGCTGAGCTTGCCTTCTGTCTGAAACCTTGGAGAGTCACTGCCAGTTTGTGCCGACAGTACTGAGCTAGGTGGACCAGTGGTCTGATTTGGCCATCCTGTGTTCCTAAGAGTGACACATTCCTGCCCCCTATTCACTGTCTCTCTCCCAACCCACCTGCAACTCTTTGTTTCTGAAATTGCCTCCTTAAAATCCCACAAAGCAAGCATTCTCCCTGGGCTTCCCTGCACTCTCAGCCTAACCTCATCAGTGATGTGCCTGGAAATAAGAAAATAATTATTATGGGGCCCCAGCATGTGGTGCCAGTTCTTCCGCTGTAAGACAGCAGAATGACAGCCTTTGTTACCAACTCATACAAACTGCAAAACAAGTGAAAGTAGAATGACCAGAGGCAAAGGTTCCTGCACCTTTAACCATTGTGTAGAAGAGGAAATTCCAGCAGGTAGAACACCCATATGCTGAAATCCCTTTTTCTGTACAGGAGCCCTGTCCTCTTTTGCGCCACCCCCCCGCCCCCACCCCAGTGGAAGCCTCCATATGGGTCAAATGTGATGTTTCTATTGTCCAGATCTAGGAAACCTTGACATTCTGTTTGGCAGACTGGGTGGCCTCCATTAAGGGAATTCCAAGCAATCAAGCTTTCTGGAAAGTGTGTGTGAAATCAAGGCTATTTACAGACACCACCAAATTTATAAGGGTGCTCTTTCAGAAGGCATTTGATTGTATCTCCCCCCCCCCAAAGAATGCTTTGTTTCTTCCCCTTAACTCTTGTAGTTTAATATAGCTTTATTCAGATTGTGGCCTTACTAATTATATCCCTACTATGTGCAGATATAAATAGGTTGACTGGCGCTGGAGCAGTTGCCATCCTTGCTCTTTTCCACTCTACTAATTTGGTTCACGGGGAGAATTCTCCATGCTGCAGTTTGAACCAGGAAAACAGAAGCACTTTTTTTATTATCTCTCATCTGTTTTGACTATCTACTTAACAGCTTCCAGGCTTTGCGGGGAAAACCCCTCTGTACAGAGACTCAAGAGGGAACTAGATGTGGTGTTTGACATGCAGCTGCTTCCAAAAATGTCAGCCTATGTGAAGCTTCCCCTTTCTGGTTTAGTCAGCCTTGCCTCTTGCATCTCCCTGCATTATCCAGACCTCGTTGCACATCAATAGCTATCTGTGGTTGGGAAACGAAGGGAACTCGCATGGGCTGATATGGGTGCCTGGTACAGAGTGGGGATGGGTGGGATTTGACCTGGCATATTTCAGTAGCAGCTCTGAGGCAAAACAACAACAACAACAACAACAACAACAACAACAACAACAACAACACTAATATTTATACCCTGCTCATCTGGCTGGGTTGCCCCAGCCAGTCTGGCTTGCTTCCAATACAAAAAAAGCACTGCTAATCTAATATGTTGCAGAATCCAACCAAACAAAGCTTGGCTATAATGCTTCTTTGGGTTTGTGGGGAGATCTGTTTCTCTCCATATTCATATATTCCTGCCCTTCATAAAGATGGGTTTTGATCTGTCTTCTTTGCAGCTGTACATGTGGCATCGCACAGCTTCCCATGACGGTATAATTACACTTTTACACTCCTTGAACAAGGGCAAAACTAGGCTTTATTTGATTATCTGTAGATCTCTGTATGTGTGACTATTGTTGTCCCCGCATAGCTATGACGGGGTTCTGACACTACTGAATTCTTCAGAATATGTCTGGGAAACATTTAAAAGAAATAAAAGAAACTAGGTACAATTCCTGTGTAAACCATTTGCGATCTCATACAACTCCCTGCCTTTTGATTAGGACTTGTACGGAATAAATTCCTAGAAGATTGTGCCTAGGCAATCCTTTTTCTCCTTGCTGGGACAATCTGCCCAGCAGTGGTGCTTGAATCAACGTGTCCTGTGTTTTTCTGCTTGACTAAGGGTGGCCCCTATAAGTCCTCCTTCAAAAGGGCTTGAGAGCCTATAAAGCTTTTCAGAGAGAATTGGGAGCTGAAACATGTTCAGCTAGAGATGAAACTGTTTCCAGATGGATTCTTGCGCTTTGGTCAAACATCAGAAGCTTGCATGTAAAACAGCGGTGTTTAAATTTCTTAAATGCATCTCTGTCCAAAGAGTAGGACACGGGCAGCTAACAGCGCAATCCTATATTCATTTACCCATTTACTCCTAATGAGTTCAGTGGGACTTACTCCCACATAAGTGGATATAGGATTTTAGCCTGTTAGTTCATGCCATGTCTGTAATTGGCTGATATGCACATGCTCTTATAATTGTGAGCAGTGCAGTGTTGGAAAAGGGGACTTGATACCTTTCATGAGTGGTGGGTCCTCCAAAACTATAAATTCTATTCGCAGAAAACGATATGGATCTTCCGTGACCATGTAGAGCCCCGTTGTGAGTAATTAAATGCCCCTGTTGGCTCCTCCTTTGGTTTCTACTGCTAGAACTGAGAGTGTGAAACTATTTGCCCTCTTGGGAGTTTTATCTTTACAGCTCCTACTACTAAACATGCTGTGCTTATCTTGGCTGGCTTGATGCAGACAGGCAGAATATAAATGTGGGCATCCACCCCCCCACTCCCGAAATGGCCTTTGCAGCTGCACCCTAATGATGATTTGCTTTGTAAAGTGCTATGCACATAGAAGGTACTATAAGGGGCGGGGGGGAACCATATACACCCGTAATCATAATGGCTACAATAATCTGAAACAACTTACAATTGTTTGCTTTTCACACTCCCATGTCATATACCTCATATCTTACCGGAGTTTGAGGCTCCAGGAAGCAAACAGTTAAATGTCTGATGCTAGTGCTAGGATTGGGGCTCAGTGCTTCATTGCTCCCCAACCTAGATGAGGCAACTCGTGCAAATGGTATGTTCTCTCCATCCGCCTTTGACTTTTCTTGCTGCTCTGTTCAAAGTGAGTACTGCTAGGAGGTGGGTAATTCTCATGGTCTCAGGACCCTGGCAAATGCCCAGTCTTGCTATCTTCTGATTCATAGAATCATAGGAAGGAATCCCGAGGATCATCTAGCCCAACCTCCTGCAATGCAGGAATCTTAGCTAGATAATACATGACAGGTGGCTATCCAATCTCTGCTTAAAAACCACCAAGGAAGAAGAGCCCACCAACTCTTTTGGGAGTCTGTTCCACTGTTGAACACCTCTTACTGTCAGGTAGTTCTTCCTGATGTTTAATTGAAATCTCATTGCATGTAACTTGAATCCATAGGTTCAGGTCCTAGCCTAGCAGGAGAAAACAAGCTCACTCCATCCTCCACGTGAAAGCCCTTTAGATGTTGGAAGATGGCTATTATATCTCCTCTCCTCTTACCCAGACTAAACATACTCAGCTCCTTCAACCGTTCCTCATAAGGCTTGGTTTCCAGACCCTTGATCATCTTGGTTACCCTCCTCTGCAGCTTGTCAATATCCTTCTTAAATTATGGTGTCCAGAAGTGGACACTGTATACCAGGTGTGGTCTGAAGCTGCCTTTGTATCCTGCAAATATTTTCTGAATCAGGCCGGAAAGTGGAATTAAAGTTTTCAGGGCTAGAATTCATTTGGGTCTGCCTAACATATATTTTTAACTAAGTTTTTTTGTTTTTCCACACCCATGTCACAAACAGCTTTTGAGTTCCCCTTGACTTGTTATGTGGCGACCCTGCTGCTTGAGAAGGAGACATCCATAGTCCCCTTTCCACAGTTCTTTGGGTCCTGAACCATGTGTTCTGCATATGACACTGTGGGAAAAACACCATTGTTTAGACAGCAAGTTCTTTCTTTAAAATGTATTTTTATTAAAGATTTTCTTGATTTACAAAAGTATGTGCAATGTCTCTCTCTCATATTCCCCCCCCCCGTAACATTTTTACAAATCACTTTCATTTGTTGAGACATTAGGAAGAAAAGGGGGAAAGGGGGGGGGAGATGGGGGGGTCAGGTGACAATGTTTCTATTTTACTTAATATATGTAGGGTTTGGTGTCAGCATTGCTTGTGCAGGTTCTTTGCTGTTCACTTGTGTTCCTTTGGTGGTGAGAGAGGTTGGGGTTGACCTAGGGTGTGGTTGTTCATTTGGGGTTGGCTGTGGTGGTCTTTGTTTTCGTGTGTGAGTGGGGTGGGTGGGTGTTTTGGATCAGGTTAGCCATATTGATTTGTATGTTGTTGGTGGATTTTTGTCATTGTCTTGTTGGACTGTGTGTGTGATAAAGGGGAGCCATACCGAGGCGAAGGCGTCTTCTTCTATTTGTCCCCGTGTCAGTTTCAGTTTATTGGTTAATTTTTCTAGTAAGGCTGTTTCCCATACTATTTGGTACCATTGGTTCATGCTTATTCCTGACAGGCCTCTCCAGTGTGTCTGGTTATGATGCTTCTGGCTGCTGAAAGTAGGTGGATTATGAGTTCTTTGTGGTGTAAGTGGGCATTATTGTCTTGGAAGATGTTTAGTACAGCAGGTTATTTTTGATTGGCAGGAGGCTATTGCCAGGAAGTGCTCTCAAACAGAACAGATAATGCCACCTTGGCATTTTTAACTTCCAGAGTACAATAGAGCAGAGTGTGAAAAATGCTAGGCCACAACAATGCTGGCTTTTAACATAAGGTCAAGGTGGAAGGGCTGCTTTAACCTTAAGGTTTTGGTGTCCTTAAGGGTGGCAACGTGAGTGACAGAGTAGCACTCCTATGCAAGCCATAGTGAAATGTATAGGACTGCACAAAGTTCCATTTCAACAGAGTATGTGCAGATGGAAACTCAATAGTAGACTGTCTTTCCTTGTCTGCTTTAGGGCTGAAGAGACAATAAACTCCAAATTATGCCCTTGGCATGCCAGATTTCTTTAGTGTCTGCCTTTAACCATTCAAATTTTGCCTAGCAACTCTCCTTGACTACATTAAAAAGGGCCAGTAGTTTTGAGAACCTATTGTAGGAAACTGGTTATACTACAGCTCAGTTTGGACATCATATCAAACCATGGTTTGCACTAACTATGGTTTAGAACCCAAGCCAACATTTGAGCTTCTAAATATGCTACCATTTAGAGCTGTTTTCCTGATTTAATTTTTGCCTTCTCAGAGTTCCATCTTTGGGTTCAGTGGGCTCCGAAGGCTGAACATTTACTATAATTAAGGTTTGTCAATTCTGACATTAAACCATATTTGGCACAAATCATGGTTTGCAAACTCGTTTAAAAGCCTGGTTTCTGATTGAATTTCCCAGCTGATCCCAGACTGTGCTTTGCGAGTGCAGACGTTGCAACAAGCCACAGTTTGACCTGACGTCTAAACTGAGCTAACAGTTGTTAGAGAAAGCCAAGAACCTAGATCAGTGGCCCATCCTTTTGTCAGGGACTGGACACCGGAGGAGGAATGGTGGAGACAGCCCCCCTCCTTCTCTTGAACCTTCCTGAGAAGAGGAGGGCAGTATAGAACTACAACAGTGGTTTGCAGAAGGTCATGACTCTGAGACAGAAGAGGGGAAAAGCTAGGAGATAATGGAAGAGGAGGGAGGGGGCAGCAGAGCCAGAGTATCTGGCTGGCACTTTATCATTAGAAAGCATTTCTGACCACCCCCTTCTCCTAGAACCCAGCATGCATTGAGAGTAGTAGAACAGAAAGCTCAGAGGCAGAAAGCACAGATTAGCTGGTGCAGGGAAGATGTACAATAGGAGAGGCAGAAGGGGGGGTGCTTTACTTGGAGCAACACCATTATCTAGGAGAGACGGCATTTCTACATTGTCTCTCTGTAATATTGAATAATAAAAGACTTGGTAAGAACTCTTCTTTTTTTAATCTGCTTCTTGGCTGCCACCATGGGAGGGATCGGATTCTCTGAAGCCTGACACTAGTCCAGAATCTTGCTCTTGCAGTGGCTGCCCAGATGCTCCTGGGAAGTCCACAAGCATGATTTGAGCACATGAGCATGTTCCACTCCTGTGGTTTCCAGCAACTGAAATTCAGAAGCATTGCTGCCTCCAACTGTGGAGGCCGAACATAGCCATCATGACTAGTAGCCATTGATAGCGCTCTCCTCCACTGATTTGTCTAATCCTCTTTTAAAGCCATCTAGATTGATGGCCATTGTTGCTTCCTGTGGAAGTGAGTTCCATAGTGTAACTGTGTACTGCATGAAAAAGTACTTTCTTTTATCTACCCTGACTCAACATTCAGCTTCACTGGATGTCCAGTAAGTTTCCCTGTGTCACTGCATCTCAACCAACATGCACCCAGCACTACCTACCAGGCCATCTGGGTGACGGGCAATATCTGCAACGTTTGGGTCAGGCAGGCAATTCACATTGCGGTCTGTACGCCCACCACATCCCCAACTATCTTCTAGTGATCAAATCATCCACTATCACAATCCTCCCACCCACCCACCAGAGAATTATCCTCAGCACAAGAGGACAAATGGAATTTGTCCCTCAAGGAATGTGCTTTCCAAGGGAATTTCCTCTCCCTCAATACCTAATATGTAACCTAATCCTTAGGACACTTTTGTCGTGTTTCCCATATCAGTGTAAATGTCAAAAAGCCTAAAATTTTAAGATGAAATTATTTCTCCATTGACTTCAATTTTACAATTCCTCCCCCTTTTACTGCTTTGCTTTCCTTTCCTTGGTAACTCAAGATGCTTCTCCAGTTTGCTGGCAGTGTGGGTGTGAGAAAGACATCTGTGTACGCTAGTTAGCATGGGAGTCTGGGGGGAAAAACACGCTAAGAAGGTAGGCAAAGAAAGACTGCAGCAGCATGAGGCAATCCGCAGGCTGCCTGCTTAGTACGGTTCCAACATAATCTTCCGTGGGCACCTCCCTCTGTACAACTGGTGGCCACCAGGAATAAGCCAGATCACAGTTAATAAGTCAGCTGTCATGTCCCATAGAAATGTAGGTAACATGGTGGCCAGAGGCCACATGGAAAGATATGCGAGTTGCCACATAGGAAGCATTTAGGTCCAGGACAGGACCAATACACTTGTGTGTGTGTGTGTGTGTGTGTGTGTGTGTGTGCATGCGCGCGTGCGTGCGCAGCAACTCTGGAGTCTGAAAAGCATAGTACAGTCCCATTGGCCTTTCCCCTCTGTGGCCCAGAAGGTACACAAACATTCAAATCTGGCTGGTTCTGAAAGATGTGAGCGTTCCTGGGTTTCCCAGGAGGGCGTGCTAAGCACAATCAGTGCCAGGTTGCAGTTGGGCAACAAGAAGCAAAAGGAACCCAGGCCAGCCAACAGACTTAGTCCTGACACCGTCCATGTTCATATAATTAGTATATTCATCAATACCTGTTTCTTTTCAGTGGCTATTTGTTGTCCACAAATTTCCCAGGGATTCTGCAGAGTCTTTGAAAATGCCTCTCAAAGAGCACACACAAAAGCAACACAAAGCTTTAAAGCCACCTCTGAGGGTTACAGTGTCCACAGGGACGAGAAATGTTGTTTTCCGTTTTGTCCCCGTTTGGGAAATTTAGCATCCTGTTATTCATTTAATTAAACTGGTTCCTATAAATTAATCAGGGTCAATTGTGTTTATGTATGCCAATAATTCATTTAGAGGCCATTATACGACGAACAGCTAAATAAATATATTTATTTAGAAATCAATTATAGAAATTACATGTTGCATACAGAGATGGAGGCTGATGGCTTTAGTACAGCAGTTTATGTCAGATTAATTGTAGAGAGTTATAATAAAGCAATGGTTATTTGCAGTGAATGGCAGGGAACACCCCTGTTTCCGGGGTGGTGGAGGAGAGGGAAACAGTGTGAATTAATGATGCATTTATATGTTGCAATAGTATCCAGAGAGGATTTGAGACTCATATATGGCAGTACTCTTGTAATTTCTATTTTATGGGTGTAATATACAAAGAACATCTCCCCCTATTTTTTATTGCACATGAAGGACATGATTCAGTGAAAAGTTCTGCTGTGCAAGCCACATTGAAATGAATGCATGTCATGTTAAGGCAATATGCTTGACAGCCAACCCAGCACCTTGGAAGTCAGGCACAGGTTTACTTCTTCCGATTCAGCTAGGGAGGAGCCAGAGCCAGAGAAGCTGCCTGGATAGCTCAGTATGTAGAGCGTGAGACTCTTAATCTCAAGGTCATGGGTTCGAGCCCCACGTTGGGCAAAAGATTCTTGCATTGCGGGGTTAGACCAGAATACCCTCGTGGTCCATTCCATCTCTAAAATTCTAGGATTCTAAGATCACCCCTCCAATAGCTATTGATTCAGTACCAGCGTAAAGTGATTCAACCAATCACCTTTCCTGTGCTCTGTCTTATGGTGCACCTTAAATAAAAGCATTCAACAATTCTTGTAAGCCTTACAGAGTACAGCATGATAGTTCTAAACTGGAGGTCTAGGCTCTTTACATTCAGTATTTTTTGTCCCGCTTAAAGGCAATTCACTGAGTGCTTGAATCACCTATGCCAACAATCCTATCCCCTCATTAAGAGTGCCTTCCTCCATTCCATCTGCCAGAGAGATTAAAATGGGAACTGATGGGCATGGAGCAAGCTCTCTGAAAGTGTTTGCCCATGCTCTCTCCAGCTGGTTTCCCTAGCTCTTCCCTCATTTGCCTCCGTCATGTGCCAGTCTGCCTGCATGCAAGTGAGGAAGCAGACAGGTTTTCTGTGTGATCTTCTGTGGTTAATCCCACCCCCTCCATTTTTAGTGTATGTGGATTTTATTCATGTTTTAAATGGTTTTTATTATGTTGCTTTGTTTTCTTAGGTCCCCTTAAATGACAGGGGAGGTTGGATAAATTAGTGAAATGGAAATGAATGGGTTGTGGTGGCCCTAGGATGGCCCCTGATTATGGCGCAGACAGGGAGGACAAAATTTGTCTTGAGTATGATTTGTGAGAAATTAGATACATGTTAAGTACACTTTCAACCCCTCCTAGGAGGGCCTTACAGACGCATCTTTAAATTTGTGGGACCAAAGACAAAAAGGAATGGCTAAGGTATTGCTGCAGGCCACCCCAATCCCTGCTGAGCCGTGCATGGGCTTCCCAGGGGTCTTAGCCCTCCACCAGGGTCTGTGCTCCTTTGGAGAATTTAAGACAGGGCTTTAAGAAATACGATTTATTCACGTACTTACACCTGAATTTAGATAGAGGGAGTCCAGATTTTACAGCATGGTCATCTCAAGAGAGGCTTGTTCTCCACAGCAATGCAGCATTTGCATCCAAGGCATCTCTTCCAGCCTGCCTTCAGCCAGCCTTCCCAATATGGACCCAGCCTTTTCCTAGCTATTCCAAGCCTCATGCCAAAGGCCCCAAACACTCCTGCTTACCCTGGCAACTGTCCAAATCCCCAGTGTCTGTCCACACCTCACAGCAGTGGGAAAGGACAGTTCCCTTCATTGCCAATGGCCCTCAGTGGCCTTGCATTGTTTCTTAATGGCCCTAGCTTGGCCAGGTCCTTTTTGCACAGGCTAGCCCAGCAATTTCTCTGCAGCTTGTATTTCTTCCTTTATTAATTTATAGGTTTTGGGGGGACTCCCACCCCCACCCCGCAAACATATAATAGTATTAAGTTTCTTTAGGCAACAACATTGCTAACCATCACAGTATCTGCATTTGAGAAGTTACCTTTATCTCCTTCATCCTGCTGTGTTGGATAACAGAAGCATGCATAATTTGTACTACTTGCAACATTTTATATTTTAGCATGGGGCCAAAGGTTAAAATGTGGAAAACTGGATTATAGATTTGGTTGCAGTGGGTTCTATGCTAGTAGCTGTGGCAGCTCCAGTAAAGGCAATGCTTAATTTGTTTCAGTGTAACTGATACTAGAATTACGTGCTGTGTATTGGAAAATTCTGCCTTCACTTGCCTGCTTGTATTATTGATGCCCTCTTTTTAGAGATACAAAAGAAAGGACCCAATGCCTACTTCTAAAAACAGCTCCTAATCATTTGATTATTGCTGTTACGTTAGGCATTAAAGACATAAAAGGCAAATTTCATCTTGAGGGTAAGCGCAGAAGGATCACCGGGCTTATTAGCAGCACTCACGTGTGTGTAGCTGTATCCGAGGACTGAATTTGGCTCCTTGCCTAAGGTTTCAGTAGATCATCATGTAGCTAGGGCTGTGAGCTAACAGATCCATTCTTTATTTACCGCAGGCGAACACAATGAGAGTAACGTTTCATTGAAGCTTCGTTACGTAAAGCCGCTTTGAATAATAGTGTACAAGGATTTCTCTCTGGAAGGCTAAAAAGGAAGACATGCCAGAAGGATGGAATCAAGGCCTGTTTTAAAATGGAGCAGCGGCTTTTTGAAAAGTAGCACCTTTTAATAGATGATGAATAAGAACATGAAAGCACATTTCCAAGAGAAGTTAGGTTTTTCCTCCTCGTAGCCTTTAGTTCGTCACCTCTACCTCCACCTCTGACCCAAGCTGAAATGAAACCTAGAAAAACAAGATGAGATGTGCAGATATTTCCAGCCATCCAGATTATATTCCTAAATGGAAGTTACAGGCAAAGGACACCTATTGCCCATCAAGCTCTTTTCCTTTCAAGCTGAGCTCGTGCAAGAGAGCTCCCTCCTTGCTTTGGGCCCCAAAGCTTTGCTTCATTGCTCCCATTTGAGCAACTGATTTAATATAGTCTGAATTCAGCTCTTTATGCGAAATATTATCTTATATGGCTTCATAAATAGTATAGAAAACATTGATTTGGAAAGGAATAATAATTGCCAAACAAAGATGAAGTTTAAAACCAAATGTTCATAAGTAGCGGAGAAAAACAAAGGGGATGCTGTCACATCAGGACTAGTGAAATGGTTAAGGGGAAGTAATTTCAGTTATTTCAGATATAATTACCCATATACAGCCTAATGAACTGTGGAGAATTCTCTCCCCCTGCAACTCCATGATTGTCCTTGGAGAGGAATTGGACGTGGGCATTAGCTGCTCCTGGAGATAGACATACTGAGAATCGTCTTCAGGATCATATGCATCTCTAGCTCCTTCTCTGCTCCCACCTGCTCCTTTCACAAATGGAGAAGTATACAAATGAATTGAAGATCCAGTGGTTTCTTAACTTTGTGATCTTCCCTGACCATGGAAAAGAAAACCTTCTTTAAAGCAGGGAGGGGATAACTTCTCCCAGATTACAAGAGTTCCTGTGTTCAAATAATCTCCTATTCAGTTATTTATCTCTAAGTGCAGGAACCAAAGCATGAGTAAGGAAGCGCCATGGAGTTATTAAATTGTGGTATATCACCCCACATGTGGGTCAGCTAGTGACTGTTTGCCCGCCATCATTCAATCCCATAAGAGCAATTGTGAGAGAAAAACTAGTGCTTTCATCCCTGTTGCCTTCCAGGTACCTCAATTGTTTCTCATTTTGAGGAATGCCACTCATCTTATTGCCTCTTGACAGGCCAAGTAAATCCAGGATCTCATCACTCTCACTGCTGACAATAGTTTACTTCAGAAATGAAGGCGCTTGCTGTGGAGGTGGAGGGGGGGAAATGAAAATGTGGGGTGAGGTTCTCAAATGAAAAGATCAGCAATGGCAGAATGACTTCCCTGAAAGACAACTTGCTTTGCAGCAGATCATCTATCTCCTAATATGCACAGCTGCAGAGGCATGCCATTTTAATTCCCCGTAATGCCCCAGGACGTCACCCTGTTGAGGGACATTGTGGGGACTCAAAATGACACCTCAGACTCCTCTGCCCATTGTGAAGGGTTCAGGCAATACAGCCTTGGGCACTGCCAGGTTATTATTAGAGTCCCAGCATCTGCCTGAGGTTGGCTTATGTTGACGGCTGGGCCAGCTAGCATCCTCTGCAAAAGACACTGTTATTGTGTGGAAAGTTCAAGGTTTCTTCAGGAGGCAGGTTGATGTGGAAATGGCACCTTGAAGCTAGAAGGCTTTCAGAATGTTGATATAAAGGTCAAGACAGATGGCAAACATTTATTCCGGTTTTGACATCCACGCCCAAGCTCCTGCCGATATAGGTTGACTTCTGAATCACTTGGTGAGGCAATAGAATACCAGAGGATGCCAATGGCTATTACTTTGAATTTCAGCATTGCAATTCATTGCACACATCATCTTGCATGAGCTTAGCATTGTCGGATTAGAGCATTTCAGCCACTGAAATGGTTTCAAGTTACAGAAACCATTCTAAAGGAATTTAGATAGAGCACTTTTTGTCCAGTGTCTTATTGCAGTCTGTACAGTCCTGTAATGTGTGTCAGTATTATTATTCCTATATAGCACATAGGGAGCTGGGGAAGTCTGGCTTACCTAAGCCCCCTAGTGAATGCATTCTGGAGGTGAATTTGAACTGTGAGCTTTCTGAATTGCAGCTCAGTCAGTCTGTGAGCCACTACACTGCACCAACTCTGTTGGATGGTGCCAGTGTTTCTCTGGGAGATTCTGGCAGAGTTTCTGATGATGCTTGAGGTTCATAATTGTGACTGACTGACAAATGCAGCCTTCCCTAACCTGGTGCCTTTCAGATGTTTTGAACTTAAACCCCCATCAGCCTCAACCAACTTGACTCTGTTGACTAGAGCTGATGGAAGCTGTAGCCCAAAATATCTGGAGGGTACCAGGTTGAGAAGAGTGGTCTCATGGAAATACCATGCTCCCCTCAAAAAATTGTCTTATGTGCAAATTACATGTCAGACCATTCACCACATCACAGTGGACTTTGAAATTCAAATTGGAATGTGTTTAGAGCTGATCCATAAGTATGTCTGTGGCAAATGTTTGAAGAAAAGACAACTGTGCAAAACACATTTCTTTCCACATTGGAGACAAACACACACACGCACAGGAGAGAGAGAGAGAGAGAGAGAGAGAGAGAGAGAGAGAGAAGGTTGTAAACCACAGTTCTTGTCCCTGCAGTAGGTATGATAAACTTCATGAATTAAATCCTGAGCAGAAAATAGTTTTCTCCAACTCTCTTGCCATTTTGCCTCTTTCCCTACTTGGATAGTTATATAAATCTAAAAAAAGGTCACAAGATCCTACCAAGATACTCATTTTCATGTAACAAAAAACCCAGAAACTTCAGTGTCCGTCATGGGCATTAGCTATTACTAATATCATTATTGTGATAATTGTGATGTGGGGAGCGGTAGTACCTCTGATAGCGGACACATCATTCTCCATCTGGGGCAGTCCGCCCATCTTTGGTCCCCACCCTGCACTCAGCTCTCACCTGTGGCTCCAGCAGTGGCCACACCCCGGGAAATGGCTTTGACTGGATGACTAAACCAGGTACCGATAGCTGATGGGTCTCAGCGAGTTAGGGACTTCCCCTACAAGCTCTTCTGTGTAATGCCTGACAACTGCCCTGGCCTGGCCTGAGCCCTGCTTAAGCTGGGTGTGCTCACAGAATTCCTCACCATGTGCTAAGGGCGTGGCTTATCCGCAGGTGAGTCAACATGGAAAGGTAGGCAGTTTGTAAATCACATTTAACACACTTGCTGCTTTTATGTAACTGTACAAGCCTTGTGTAAACAGCCCACCACCAAGTCAGTATGAATTTCCCCCAGCCAGTAGCAGGTGTCCAGGGCAAGAGGTGACACATCAATAATTCCAGTTTGACAGTAATTCAGTTATCCATACAGGTCGTCCCCATCTCCCCTCACCAGAGGCACACCATTCTCTCTCTCCCAATCCTTTTTTGCTGATTCATTCGACATCTCCCTCTATCCTGCTTGCTTGTATAATAATAAAAAAAAATGCTCTGCACTAATTTGAAATTTAATATAGGCAAAGACCTGGGATGTTGCCTTGAAGAAATGCAGTGGCTGTAGCTTGTTGGCAGCAAGCCTGCACCTCAGCGCCAGTTTTATGGGTTATTGATTGGCTTACGACATGCAGTGCGGTTCCTGTTCTCAAAGCAGACTGTAAGCCAGGCAAGCATCTAGGCTTAGACTTTGTTTTTAATTAATGTTGACAACCTATTGTGTACTTGGTGGTGGGGTTGGGCTTGAGTCGGTGGTGCTGGCTTCCCAGGTTTGGGACCATTCTTCAATCATCGGCTTAAATTAGGTTAGTGGACTGTAATACACTGGAGTTGTTAACTTAATTATCCTCATAGGGGAAACTTAGGGGAGGGGAGTGGGGGACATGAGTCAGTAGCAGAATATTTTGCCTAATGAAAGATCCCAAGCTCAGTCCCTAGCATCTCAGTCCCTGGGAGGGCAGGGGCAGACTTTGGTCTTTCACATTTCAGTGGCACCCTGTAAAAGGCCAAAATTTGGCGACACTGACCCCCCCCCCGCCTCTTGCCTTTTGTTCAATTCACTATGTCATAGTTGCAACGCCCTATTGGTACCCTGAAGGCTCAGTGTCCAGTGCGGTGGAACTGGTTGTGCTGCCCAAAATCCACCTCTGGGGAGAGTGGCTAACTGCCCCTGAGGAGGATTTTGATTCACCCCCTCAAAATAAAGTAGTTCCTGTGCACTATGAAGGAGCCTAGCAGGCCACAACCCATGTCTTGTGGTTTTGGGTCACAAGTTGTACACAAGCAGGTATAGGAATCATAAATCGTTTCAGGGCCAAATCAAAATAACCCCCCGAGCTCTTTGCAAGAGAAAGAGAATGTGTTTAAAAAGCAAAAAACAAAACCTAGCACCCAGCCAAATTTTACTTTTAGAACCGATTCTGCAAAAGGCAGTATAAAATAATACATTGGAAGCAGTGTCACCAGGGTGGACGATAAGAAGCTTTTGAATGAAGCAGCACTCTTACTCAGGGTGGATGCTCAGAACAAAATTGGAAAAGGCCGGCATGAGATGTTTCTCGGTGAGAGCCCCGTTCTAAGTGTTTCCTGCAGTTTACTTCAGTCCCAATAAGGTGATGGAGGATGCTGTCGCAGTCTAATTAGGTTAAAGGACAGTACATGGAGATTATTTGCAAAACAGATAAAAGTCATAGCAACTTGGGGAAGGAGTGGGGAATAAAGCCTGAAGTAAACATTGGTGATGTGCGTCTGTCTGCCAGTGCCTCCCTTCGCTGAGCAGCCACGGTGTTGCTAAAGCCTGGAAAGGGAAAGGGGCTGAAAGAGGGGAGGGTTGTTTCCTGTCCGTGGTCATGACTCAAGGAATAGGATCTGTGATGAGAAGACACTTTCCATAGCAATGACTTTTCAACCCCCTCGTAGCGACATGTCGGCACATGACCTTTGGGCTCTGCAAATTTGATTGCATAACAAATATTGACTTTTTTTAGACAGTCAGATTATCCTCATGTGAAATGAAATGGCTAAAATGAAATCATGGGACCATGTTGCACATATATTATGCATACTCGCATACATGCAAATAGGAGAACTATAAAGGGTAAGGCAGAATTTCAGAAGCAGGACTTGTGGGGCATGCATGACTTTTCGCCAGTAACATGCCTGCAGGTTATGCGAGGCAGAAAACTTTGCATTGAACGAAGGTCATTCAAAAGCAGTGCGGCTTCTTTTTCTGTCTTCAGCTAAATTGAATTCTTGGTGCACAAGTTCGATCAGTTTTGTAGCTTCCATTTTTTATTGTGGTATATGCATGCATTCGAAGGCGCTGCATAGATAGATAGCGTACGGTTTTATTCATTTTGCAATGTATAATTTTTGGCTGATGGTGGGATTTTTAAAAAAAAAGAATATAGAAGAGCTGCTTGTGTTTGGCATGATGAACTGAACTGTACAGTATCCTTCTTCAAGTGGAATATGAATTCTTTGTATTTACAAGCAAAAATTGTTACATGTATTCCTCGACTGTTTCCACCATGGGGTGAACATCAGGGTGAAGAATATATCATAGGTGGTCTACCCATTTTTAACACATGCCTGACTTCTTTGGTTAGCTGAAAATGAAGAACAGTAAAAGTGGACGTGTACTACTGAGGATGGGGGAGGGAGGGAGTTTCCAAACTGGTATAATCTAGTGCAACACCGTAAAGCATAGTTAATTTCAAAATCAACATTTTGTAGTGTTCTATAGAATTCTCTTTTCAGTCCCCATGTATTTGATCATGTAGAGCAGTGTTCTTCAACCTAGGCCCTCAGATGTTGTTGGACTACAACTCCCATTATCTCTAGCTATGCCTAATTTTGTTGGGTGTGATAGGAGTTGTAGTCCAACAACAAGGGGAACCAACCCTTCAGAATACTCATTTACAGTGTGTGTATGCAAGCTGTAGCCAGCATTTTTTTGGGGGGTGAGGTCACATGTTTAAAATAATTTAGTGCATTAAATGTTAAAAATGTAGGTAGGTAAATGCAATGTACATAAATACGGCCTGCATGTTTTTATGTTTTTCTTTATATCTCTGTAAACATAGGTGCTAGAGGCTTAGCCAGTGTGGTGTAGTGGTTGAGAGCGGTAGTCTTGTAATCTGGGGAACCGGGTTCGCGTCTCCGCTCCTCCACATGCAGCTGCTGGGTGACCTTGGGCCAGTCACACTTCTTTGAAGTCTCTCAGCCCCACTCACCTCACAGAGTGTTTGCTGTGGGGGAGGAAGGGAAAGGAGAATGTTAGCCACTTTGAGACTCCTTAAAGGGAGTGAAAGGCGGGATATCAAATCCAAACTCTTCTTCTTCTTCTTCTTAAAACGGAAATTAAGAAAATAAGCCTGGAATATGCCCATTAGAACCTAGCCCCTACAGGTCATCCCATAAAAGATATTGGATCAAGTTGGGAATTCACTTAATAATAAAAAAGCTTCCACACTTGCTTTCTAACAAATGCTGTATTCTATACACACTTTCCTGGGAATCAGTTCCACTGAGCTCAGGGGGAAGTACTTATGAGTAGACATGTATAAGACAGCACTGTAAGTTAGAAGGTGAGGCTTGCTTATTCTCCTGGTTATTTTTTATAACTTTGAAAGGAGGCACAGGAGTATAAGATGGGGTGCATTTGATTTTTAAAATTTTGAAATAAGTTACAGATTCCATCCCTCATACCGCATGTGGTCTGACGGTAATTGCAGAGTGGGTTAGTCATACAATCATCGCTGCAGCTTGTGCACACCCAGCAATTTCCTTCCCCAGATGCTATAGATGTGGCTATCTGTTTTGGCTTTGTGTTTGGTCAGGGTGGGGTAGGGTGAGCTATTCATTCTGCTTAAGTCAACTGTCTGGCAATGGAACCCTTGACATTCAGTTCATGTTGCATGCGGAAAGGAAAGCCACAGCATTTGAGCATGATATATGGGTGTGCCTGTCCACATAATTACTTTTGCATGGGGGCCAAGTTGCTCATTTCAGTACTGCTCATAGTTCTTTCCTTATGTACATGGGATGTGTATTACAATTAATGCTTTTCTGTTTTACATCCAAAACCATTTACAGTATTTGCAAAATGGTGCAAATAGTTGCATTTTGTGGTTATTTTTAAAAGATTGCACATTATCTCAGTATTTTATTTATATCGATTTATATAGTCATTATCCAAACTCTCATAAGCTATATCTGGGTTTTTGTTTTTTTTAAATCCGGGCCTTCATATATCCATTTGTGGAAGGAAGGCCCTAGTGTTGGAGTTAGTGGATTATGTTTGTAGGCCCTTCCAGTCTTGCAGTACCTGTGATTTACTGAACTCAAGTTAAACCCCATGCCTAGCACTGGGAGATGGTGGGAAGACATTGTTAATTAGATTAAGGCAGCATTTCTCTCTGCCAGTCCGGTGCTGCTACATGTTGCTGGCGTGTATTTGAATGCCAGATTCATTGCAATAAACAGGTCATCAAGGAAAACTATATGGAACTCACAAGACCACAAATGGTTATTAGGTGCAATTATAGCTGCTGTTTGTAAGCTAAGATAATCATATGCATAATTAAGGATTATGCAGGAGGGGCTCGGGGTGCTGCCGGAGGTAGTCGAGAGAGAAAAAGACCTCGTCTTTTCTTTGTTTGGTCTTTTATGGCAAGGTAGAGCTACTCTGAGATTTTCTTCTGCTAAGGATTCACTTTTGCAATCAGAAGACTGTACATGGATTTAACTGATTTAATAATTCCCTTTCTTCAGGGAATGTTCTTTGAGGCTAGCTAGGGATCCATAACAAATAATTATCAGCATGCACACCAAACTATAGTTCCCAAGGAGGGGAAAACCAAGACAGTGAAACTGGCACAAGCCCGTTTGCAGGGCAGATTTGCCAACTCTGACACTAAGAAGCAACTGCCCGCTGCCTCTCATGGAGACATAACATGCAGTCCAGGATAGGGCTGCCAGCTTTGTTTTTACGAGTAAAACTCCAGCAGAAATGCTTGCCATGTCTCTTTCCACCCCATTTATTTATTACTGTATTTATTATTACATTTATACCCTGCCTTTTCCTCCCAAAGAGACTAGGGCAGCATTCCATTTGAGTCCCATTGCTTGCCCTCCTCCCCCAGCTGTTGTGGGGGTAAAATGAAAGTCTCTCTTGCTTCACCGGATGGGGAGGAGGGTCAGCAGTGGGACTCAAGACCGGCCAAGACAGTGGCTGTTGCATCATATTGTGGAAACAGCCTTGTAAAAGAAAAACCCACGAAAGATTCCATATACTTAATGCTGGTAATTTACAGCTTGGAAGTAAAAGACTCAAATGTAGAAGAAGATGATTACCAGGTGAATGAGTGGCTGTTTACAGCCCCATGTTATTAAAGGCAAAGGCATATCTTCTGGGTTTTAGCTATGCAACAACCTTAGGCCATATCTATTAATGTCCTGAGAGCTTTTGATTGACTTTTGCACCCAGTCAGGGCTTGGTGGTAGAACTTCTGTTGCGCATGCAAAACACCCCAAGTTCAGTTCTCATCATCTTGGGGTGGGGGCTAACTGGGGGGGGGCCCTGCTTAAACCCTGGCAAGCTGCTGTCAGTCTGTGTCACACATAGCTGTCAAGTGTCCCTTATTTGAAGGGACAGTCCCTTATTCCAGCGCCATGTCCCGCTGCTATCCCTTATTGATGGATGACCCTTAAATGTCCCTTAAATGATGTCCCTTAAATTTCAAAGGAAGCAGCTCCTCTCCCTCCCTCCCTGCCGGCCAGGGAGGAGGAAGGCTCCACCTGTGTTTCTTGGCTGTGTTGCTCACCCAATAAGAAGTCTAAGAACGACTGGGGGGTGGAGCTTGCATGCCTTGTGTGTGGCTAGTTAATGCAAGCTGAGGGTTTTTTTGAATGCTGGACGCCATTTTGTTGCACGTGCTGCTGCAAACTTTGCAGTGCAAAGCCAGGCCGGGGAGCCATCTTAAGTTGAGGCTGCATAGGCCTTGTGGTGCATGTGATTCAGATTCTATTCAGTTGAACCTCTGGTTACAAAGTTGGTTGGACAGTGTTCTCGAAGCTACCCAGCATGAGTTTGACCAGACTGCAGGAGGACAGGAAGACTGGAGTGCCTGGAACTGGTGAGGCTGCAGGTCCCTTATTTTGGCTGCTGGTCCCTTATTTTCAAATCTGTAAGTTGACAGCTATGGACTCTGTGTAGAATACATATAATACTGAGTTAGATGAACTGATGGTCTGGCTCAGTAATAAGACAAGTTTCCTAATGCCTGGATAGCTCAGTTGGTGAGAGCGTGGTGCTGATAACACCAGGGTTGCAGGTTTGATCCAGGGGGTTGGATGAGAAGGGTGCTTTCTGACTCTACAATTCTATGATTCCTTTGTTTCTACTGCAATCGGCCATTATAGAAGGGGAATTGAAAGATCATAGTTAATACCCTTTTTCTGTATTCTTGAAAGTCTTTGCTGATCACTAGAGGTAGATGAGACAGCAGATCCTGATGCTCAGTGGCATTACCTCAGATAAATTGAATTTAGTATTATTATGACTTAATGGATTGGTTAGTCTTTAAGGTGGCACCGAACTCATTGTTTTTATTAGAAGGAAAATAATTTTGTGGTTTTGGTTTGTGTCCATCTATTGGACCCCTCCTCTCCACACACAAATGTTTAAGAGTGAGGGGTATATTGAGTTCTCAGGTGGAAAGGCAAGGTATCTGTTCAGGACTTGCTCCCAGGTAGGGCTGTGAGGAATGTTGAGTCATTGTTCTCTGTGATATGCACCTTTTCTGTTTGATGAGGAGGAGCTGAAGGCCTCTTGGCAGTTAGCAGCTCTCAGAATCGGTAAGTGGACCTCAGTAGCACTAGTACAGGTATTTTAGCAGGAAGCAAAATGTTAAGAGGGGATTTTCTGTAGAGAGATAGCAAAGGCAACCAGTGGGGTGTGTGTGTGTGTGGAGAGAGTACAGAGTCCTTTACACACACACACACACACACACACACACACCCACCCACCATTACTATGGCACACAAACGCACTTGAAAAATGTTGAGAGCTAATTCTGCTGCCCTGAAGGCTTTATTATAATCTTCAGCAAAAGCAGTTTGGAGTTGGAATATGCATAATGGGGAAGAGGAAACAAGCCTCCATCTAAAAATACCAACACTTTGTTCAAGGCTGGGAGTTTACAGTGCCTGAGACACTAGGGCTTTTCTTTTTCCTTCAGGCATGGTGCGAAAGTTCGTTCCCCCTGCCTTGGTGAGGATGAGATTTGTCACAAAATGAGCTTTTGGGACACCTGCAGTGGGCATTCAGAATACAGCTTTTGTACATTCTGTTTTCCTTAATGGCCACTGATAAGATTTGCCCTCCAGAAGATTGCCTAATGCTGCTTTGAAGTCGTCACCACGAGACGTTCCACAGAGCTAGTCTCCTCCAACCAGCTCTGTCGCTCTGTGGCGTTAGGTTTTTAAAGGCTATTTCCCTTTCATTTATGCAGTGAACTAATTAAACTGCATCTGCTGATTCTGGCACCCTGCTGTTCAGCCCTAAAAACCACCTGGATGCTTCCAAAGAACTGCTCTTGAAATATATCTTACATGCTTCCTAATTTTTTGAAAGGCTCTCGCACAGTTCTGCAGAGATCAAGATGTATTATTCAGAGAGGTTTGATTCTGGAATTTAAGGGCATTTGAACATTAACCGAACATGCTTCAGGCAGAAGATGGTGTAAAATGAATGGTTGGTGACTAGAGACAGCTTAATGGAGTGTATTACTGAGTATCTCAGCACCCTTCCACCATTCCTATTTGGCAGTCCTGGATGACGCAGTGATACCACTGTGGGGTTGCAAGTAGGGAGTCATATTCATTTGCCGTCAGATCGCAGGCAGAATGGGATGGATTTCCTATAGGACGTATGTGCCACCACCGAGAAGGCCCCAGCTTGTGACATAGCTAATTTCACTTGAATAAAAGAGGAAACATGGAGATGCCTCTTCTGCAGATTTGTGTGAATGAGGAGGCACAAGTAGCTACTAGTCATGTTGGTAGTGTGCTACCTCCAGGATCAGGTTGGCTTTTGATCAGATCCAGGAGATCTTTTCGCCAGGCTTTAAATAAACTTTTCAGTATTGAAATAACATGCACCAGCCCTTTTGAGTTGGAAGCATATTGACAGCCAGTACAGTGAGTGTGTATCAGGGCACAGTGCTCCACCCAGCTTGCCCTCTTTAAAAGGTGAGTGGCAGGACCCTGTATTAGCTCCCTCTCCCTAATTATTTTCAAGGGTGGCCCCATACAGAAAGTGTTACAGTAATCAAGAGGGAGGTTATCAGAGCATGATTGACTGAGGTATTATGATAACTTATCAGTAAGTGGGAATTACAGTTCATTGATTTATTGCAGGACATGGTATACTCTTTCGTTCATTCGTTCATTCATTCATCTTGTCTGGTAGAGGTATCTGTGCACAATATATGTGCCTCTGGCATCGATTGAGAAGTGAGTATGTAATATATTATTGCTGCTTGCCACTTTTAAAAGGTATAATCATTTCCCTCTTGCGGTATCTGTACAACAGAGGTCAAGCAACTGAAGAGGTGATAACACAATTGTGTACTTGGATGTCACTTACATTTGTTGACTGGATCTGGGTGAGTTTTTCCCCAGAACTAATGGATGTCTGCCTCATATTGCTGAATCTGGTATTTTTTCCATAAGGATCAGTTCCTAAAGGAATTGGTCTCTTTTAGCAAAATCAGAAGACACACCTACTCTGGTGGCCTTGAATACACTTGTTGCTCAGCTATGCTTTTGGAATCACTCCCTGTGGAAGAAACCAGATTTAACCTTACGATGTGGCAATCCATTAGACTCCTGAAGAACATTGCCAAGATGCAGGTTTTGCGCTGCATCTTCAGGGTGCCACAAAATCCTCTCTTGGTTTTGCTCCAAGACTGCAGCAATCCTAACCTCACTTACCTGGGAGTAAGCCCCACTGAATTCAAGTACGCTTATTTCTGAGTAGGTACGGCGAGGATTTCAGTGTGCACAAACAAATCTGAGAGGTTGCCGTTTTGCCATCAAGAGAAACAACTTTTCTAGTGATAAACTGTGTGTCTGAGTCATTTGAGGCAGGTAGGTGTGTCGAGACCATTTCAGAAAAGGGGAGGGCAGAGAGGATCAGAATGCTCATCCCGTTCCAGCTGCATAAATTGTCTTCATCACTTAACTTGTCTCTTTGTTAAATTGCAGCATTGGCATAGGGGAAACTGTGTCATGCCAACTTGGCTTCCCCTTTCAGAAATCCCTGAATGATAATACATTATCTCAAAATAACTTCTGAGAGACATGGAGAAGATTAAAAAAATGGGTGGATGTGTTGTGGGATGGAATAGAAGAGATGCAGTCCTAGTGATTTGAATTTATAGTGTCCAGCTAAAGTAGCAGGTCATAAATAATATAGAATTTATCTCCCCCTGCAAGACTTAAGCAGCCACCTTAACAAATAAAATACATCTATTTCATTTGGTACACAAACAAGTCATAAATACTGGCTGTCAAAGTGACTTTAAATTCCCTTCCACCATTTTAGTGCCTTGTTTTATTTTATGTTTTGCCTTCAAAACCAAACTGGTGGGACAGACTTCCCTGAGTAGCTGTAAGAGCCCTATGCTATAGATAAGTGATTGAAAGGCAAACTGCTTCATCTAACTAATGGGAGCATCAGAAAACATTTATTGGAAATGGCATACAGTGGGTGGTTTTCGTTTGTTCTTAAAAAACAGATTTATGAACTGTAAGATGTCATATGAAATTGTATTTACATCCTGGAGTTTGGCAGGTGGTACAAAAAAATAATGAGGATGGATATTATCCTCTATTAAATGATATAGCCTTAGGGTCATTTATACATTAATTTTAATTTCTTCTAAGAACCTATTAATTCTATAACCACAACATTTTGTGTTAGACCCGCTGGGTCTTTAATAAAATAAAATTCTTCCCTACACAAACAGAGCAAGTTACCAATTAGTTGTAAACCTGCCAGAACTATAAAGGTCAGCCTGAATTTCACCATTCTTAGCAGGTTGTGGCAAATGAAGGGGCCAAACTCTTATCAAATTAAAATTCCAGCTGAGTGATTGTCGCTGGTGCTGAGCTGTAACACTATGCACATGTGCACTAATGTGTTTCATGTGGTTGGTGGCTGCTGGTCACGGTCAAATGTGAACACATGCTCACTACCATGTAATATAGACAGTTGCCTCTTAGGCCAGTTTTAATCAGATGCGTGTGGAGAAGAGGGACCTATCCATGTGTCATTGCACATGCGCAGTGCCTTAAACCTATAAGGCATTACACATGCATGGCTGGCATACCAGGGCTCCATAGCCTGCTGGTGTGAGCATTGGGCTGGTGTGGCAATATGGCACCCATGAAGGCCCTCTTTAAATGAGATGCCAAGCACATATAATGTGGTGCATTCCATTGGGTGTGTTTATTGCCAGCAAAATTGGAGGTGTGTGTGGTAAAATCAAATTAACAATTTTTTTTCCTGGAGAGAAGAGAAAAGAATGCATGTGCTCAGTCCAAAGTGCCAACATTTTCAGCAACAAAGGTTGACAAAACCATGAGAGATATATTCTTGGAGGGAATTTTGAAAGGATTACAAAATGAGCTTTTTAGTGGTGGTTAGGCATGAAAGAAACACACCAAAGGCACAGTGGAGAGGTCTGCTATGTCATTTGGGGCTGTGCAGGAGATTACTTTTGAGACTTCAGTGGGCTGCTAATGAATACACTGACGCAGTCTAGATGTTCACCTTTTTTGACTCCTTTGTTTCCCTTAGTTGCTGCTTCCTCCTTGGTACAGGCACATCATAGCAAATTTTCACCAGTCACGGGAACCTTCTGCAACTGGATGCCCTCCAAACATTTTGGGCAATAACTCACATCAGCCCCAGTCAGTATAGCACCAATAGGAGTTGTATTCCGAAACATCTGGAGGGTACCTGGGGAGGACTGAGAATTTTGCAGCGACATAGGGAGGCTGCAGCATGAAGAGAGAACAGGCACCGGAGAGTATGCTATAAATAGTGGACAGGGTGATGTCACAACACTATGCAGCCAATCAGACTTAGCTGCATGATGACATCACCAAGAGAGCGTTTTAAATAAATAAATGGCCCCAAAAGTCAAAATACTACCCCAAAAAGCAAGGCATTTTGGGCACTGCTGAAAAGCTCAGCAAAATACAGTCATTTTTAGCTCAGGACAACTCTTGCCACATGGTTTCATTTCATTTCAGTTCTGACAACTTTTAAGAGAGGTCTACTTTTA